GAGTAGAGAGTACTTCAAGGCAACGAGCCTGAAGACTAAGTTGGAGAGGAGAATCTAAGTTGATAACCAAACTGAGGAACTACAGTATTGTACAGGCAGTATTTATATCTACAGATCGGCGCATCGGTGCGGAGCGCCAGACTAACTACTAGGAGCTATATGTGTAGTACCTGCAGGGTAGAGAAAAAAGACAATAAGGAGAGACTAAAATGAATGGGTATGTGTAAGACCTGGGTCAGAATTGGTCTTAGGGTAGGTTTTGGTATAATGGGTTTATGTTGTAGTGTGCTAAGAGCAGGCTGGAGCTCGAAAGGAGCTACGGGAACTGCGACCGAGGACAGGATTGAGCTAGTAGTGGCTGGGATTGAGAGATGTGACCCTTGAAGGGGCTCCTAGAAGGTCCAGGGAGGTCCCTAGGACATAACAAGGGAAGGTAGAAGTAACGGAGACCGGTAGACTTAGAAGCGCTAAGTAGTATGAGTTGTACTAACTAGGAATGTCAACGTAGGATTGATGGAGGTCTCGGATGTGTGAGCCCAGGAAGGAGGTCCCGGGAAGTGGGGGGTAGCAGTGGATGTCCTCGAGTGGTGGAGGTAGTAACAGAGAAGCGGTATGTAGTTCGATGTAAGGGTGTCATGCCTTGCTTCTCCGGACCTTTCCCTTTCCTTTCCAGAGCTCCGGTTTATCACTTATACATGTTTCCAATATTCTATGCACCATCCTTACGATCTTTACTGTACATATTACCTGTCACTCCAGTAGCCACATGACATATGTACCTGACAGCCTCATGTACAGTATATAGGCTGGGGACTCCCCTCGGAGCTCCCCAGCGTGTTATTGTCAAATCTTACCTGGAAACTCTTCCTACCTGGCTTGGTCCCTTTAGTACAGTCTACTAGTACTTGCTAACAGGGCCTGACACGTCTCAACAGTCATATATTTCCTCATTATCTGTTTCCTTTATCTCTGTCTCACCTCAACTCTGTTTCTCCTCTCTGTTTCCTATCTCTGGCCTCTTTCTGTCAATCCTCGTATTGTCTACGCCTCTACTTCGACTCATCATCTACGTCGAGGCTCTACAATTCGTCCTTCATCCTTTGGAACCTCCCATTAGGTTCCCAATTCCGCTTCATTGCTCCCTAAGCTCCCCACAGCTTCCCACTCGTATTGGCTACACCTCCCCTCCACATCGAAGCGGTGGTTACGTGTTACGTTCTACACCTCCAGGACCCTCTATTAGGTCTACCCAAGCTCCACAACTACCCCTGGTTAGGCTCCCCTCACCAGTATCGGCACTATCCCATACCTCCTCGTACGGCCTAGGCGGCTACTGCGTTCGCTTAGGCCCAGTCTGGGTAAGACCAGAGCAGGCCTTCTGTGCCAGGGCCTCACAAAGGGGTAGCTTCGACATTACCTAGATCGAGGTCCCAGAGCTTGTGGAGCAGTTGGGGAGCTCGAGGAGATTTGGGGAAGGTTGGCTCACCAAGGCAGTAGGCATTGGGGAGCTTTAGTATTGTTCGAGGGAGCTCAGGGACTCACTCGGATTGCTTAGACGTGAAGTAAAAGTGTATATTGGATTGTATAGACAATCGTAGAGACAAAGATAAGAATAGAGAGACAGAGATAGAGAAACTGAGAAGCAGGTACAAAGGGACAGGGACTGGACCTATGCAAAAGGGTGTGTGTTCAAAATATACCAAGCTGGGGATATTTGTGCTACGAGGGTACTTATATAGCTACAGGAAGTGTGTCATGCCTTGCCTGATTTTGCTTCCTTACCTATCATATTCCTCCTTACTACCTTCCTATATCTCCCCACTGTATACCCAGAGCTCCCCTTGTCCGCTTTTACCATTATGTAATATGCCACATGGCTGTCACATGTATAGTATATAGGCTGGGGACTCCCCTCGGAGCTCCCCAGTGTGTTATTGTCAAATCTTATCTGGAAACTCTTCCAACCTGGCTTGGTCCCTGTTAGTACAGTCTACTTGTACTTGCTAACAGGGCCTGACACGTCTCACCTGTCATACATTTCCTCTTTATCTGTTTCCCTCAACTCTGTTTCCTTCACCTCTGTTTCACTCAACTCTGTTTCTCTTCTCTGTCTCACCTCTCTGAACACCTCTCTCAACTTCCTAAGCCTCTTCTATGACTTACAGTCTACGTTGAGGCTCCACACCCCCAACCACCTCCATCCTCACCAACTACACCTCCTTCCCCCACTCCAGGACCTTTGGCTAGGTCCACCCAAGCTCTGCAACCACCACTGGTCAGGCTCCCTACACCAGTAGCAGCACTTATCCCATCTCTCCTTGTACAGCCTAGGCAGCTGTCCTGCTTGCTTAGGCCCAGTCCAGATAGGACGAGAGCAGGCCTTTTGTGCCAAGCCTCACAAAGTGAACAAGAGAACACTTGTTTGCTAGCCGGCTCCATGAGCCGGCTGGTACAAGTTCAGTTCCAAGGCAATCCTCCTAAGGATCTGCAAGCACATAAATTGCAGTTGTTGCGCAGAGGCAAAGTGCTCATAAAAGAACAATGCATGAACAATGCAAGTGTTTTTCTACATAAACACCCATACTTGATATAAGCAAATTGGAGAGAGTAAATTAAATGTAGATGGACCAAAGGTGCACTTTGTACCCAAGCAGAGCACAGTAGTATTGAAGTGGGTCCATTGGCACCCAATCAAAAAAGGACATTGGACCTATAAGAAAGCATGGTATAGGGGAAGCAGTTTCTCGGTTCAGGTATATAGAAGTGGAAGAAGCCCAGAGGGCAGGGAGATGACTGTCAACTGAAACAGAGTCACACTGTCAAGTCAAGTAGCAGTTAGTTGACTTCAAGAGAAAATAATGATAATAATTTAGGATTAATAAAAAAACCATTAAAAGCATAAGAATCAGTAAGAAAGACCCTTGTATAATAGGTTAGTATAGAAAAGAGAAAGGAGAAGACAAATTATCAGGTAAACCTACGAAGGATAAATAGGAAGTAAGTTCAATGAGAAGAGCACTTGTCATCAAGAGGCAAGTTAAATCCAAATCAATTCTCTTACCCCGCCATCAATCAAAAGGAAAGGCCGGTGGTGGCCCGTGGACTGCAAGAGCAAGTCTTCACAAATCATAGGATAGGAAGGTGAAATGTGGCTCAGGCTAGTAAATTTTAAAAGGGAAAAAGTTCTCACCCTTAAGTGGTCACAGTGGCTGTGCAATTTTTTTTTGAGCGTATAGAACGAATTCTATAAATGGAACTCGTAATTAGGAGCCTTGACTGTCGAATCGGCTGTGATCTAGATTCGCGTGTCTATCAGGCAGGGGGTGTGTTGATGGGGTTATCAGGCATGTCGAGGGAGGTTCAGCTGAGTTGTGAAGGTTGTGATAGAGGTAATGGTTGCATGGAAGATGTACCTTCTTGGGGAGGTACGGAGATGGTTCCGAGGCTAAGGATTAGGGACTTGTGTGGTCTATGATCGTGGGGTTGGTATTAGGCTGGCCTGGTAGTGGTCAAGGCATGACAGTATGTGTAGCGAGAAAGAACAATAAAGATGAGATTACAATAAAAGGTAGATCTCAGAATACTGCGCGGCGAAATAGGGCACTGAGGCATGGACTTGACAGCTTTTAGTAGCAACAATATTAGCAATTCTTTCAGTTGTGAGTCTTTATTTTAACCAAGAGGACAAAAATATTGATTCAACTGTTCTTATATTAGGTATCATTGGATGGAAATATTATATTGGTATGTGATGCTGGCTTTCTGATGGTGGTAACTGTGAGCTACATCTGCACAACCTGGCTGAATGTCCAAGAGCACTCTTCAGCCAATATTGCTCTGGCAAGTATACAGGTTTTGCAGATGTAGTACAGTAATAAAAGTACTTGCTGAAATATTTGATTTCAAAATCAAACAGCCGACCACTCTTGAACTTGTTATTCCATTTTTTGACATGTGGGTGCTAATCAGATTGTCCACATCTGCAAAACCTGGATATTCGGCTAAGGGTCCGAAAGCAGTTGAGAGCACTTCCCAGCAGTGAAAGCACTCAAAGCATACTGCTTTCAGTGCTTTCAGCACTGGGATCTGCTGGGATCTGCTCTCAGTGCTTAGCCGAATATCCAGGTTTTGCAGATGCAGCTGCTTCCATTTTGACTTACGCGCGATGCAAATCTTTCAGATTGCCTAATCTGCTCATCAGCCGTTTCATGCTGAATTTGCGCACATACTTTGCTAGGACCCCGGATAATTGGGGATACAGTTGTTCGGGAATTTGGACAAATTTTGAGAAATTTTTCGAAAATTCTGTTCAATTTTCGGACATTTCAAGGCCTCTGACGGCGGTAGGTTGCTCACAGGGGTTCGGACATTTTTTCCAGCTTGGGGAGTTATATCTGCAGGTGGGAGTCCGTGGGACTTTTGGAAATTTTTTTGAAGCCTCCCCGAAGATCATTTAGGCGAGCGCTAATTTGCTTAAGCGCCGGCGGCTGGTCGACTTTCGGACATTTTTTGACAGAAATTCTTGATTTTGGTTCGGACATTTCAGCCGAAATTCGGCAATTTTGGGAACGACCTTCACTGTGATTATCCGGGGTCCTACTTTGCTTCAGGAAACTCCATCACAGCTACTCTAGGGGAAGGACTCAGCAATCTTCCTTGAATTTTGCCACCAACCGGATACTAGGGAATATTGGAGCTCCATTGGATGGTGGATCATTTGGGGAAGGAGATGAGCAGGAGGAGGAGGAATTTAGAGCTATTGGGGAAAGTCATGAGGAGTTTGAACAGGGTCAGGGCTTAGGGCGTTGATAAATATTGACACAGAAGGCTGATGTTATTAACTTGATGGTACGAAACCCCTGTGGAATTGGTTGGAATAGAGACGGGTAGTACCAGGGGAGCTGGTTGGACCTGAGAAAGTGAATTTGCTACATAAAAGCCTGATTGTTCTTTGTTTCCATAGTAATATTGGCTCACACAAATACCGGAGATGATTTCTTATTTCATTAGTGCATATTTATTATGTGATCAAATTGTGCTTCACTCATTGCTCATATTTGCCAATCATTTCTTCCAACACTTCACACCTCCTCTTCCAGTCTCTTGCCTCTCCCCCACCTTCTGAACTGAATACGAGTCAAATTCGAAACAATTGATGACAGAGACCCCGCAACTGGTCCTTAGCGGTTGACACTCTACCTCATCACCGGACTACCAATTTAGAACGCCTCTAACTACTTATCAGAAAAGCACCCGAAGCAACACTCCCCAAGACAACTCCCTCATCGTTTGTATCACATACTCCACTGCAAAATACCTCTTTCATCAAAATGGGCCCAAGACCAAGCTCGACAGCCTCCAACGACGCATTTGCATAAATGGTATTAGCAACTAGGGCCATGGTCGTACCATCCAAAGTCCACAGACCGATGTCAATGTTACCAGATTGAGTAGTGAGGTGTCTGAAGGATGAGGATGGGCTGAGGATGAATTCTGATAAGGGAGAGGAGCTGGATGTGAGAGCTTTGGCGAGTGAGGAGGCGGAGGCTTTGATGTCATCTGGAGTTGGATCGTCCCATGAGACAACACCTGAGGGCAAACAGGTTTAGGACGATCATATTAGAGCTATGTGTGTGGGCACATACCTAATCCGCCGTGATTAATCCCAATAATACTTTGAACGACCCATTCTTCACCGGTAGGGTATCTTGTCCAATATCTGATAAGGGTGTAGGAGTAAGATTGATAGTTTCACGAGAAGAAGAGTTGAACACACGTATCATTACCAAACCCCTGAGGAACCGTCCAAACGACTTTATCCAATTCCCACCCCTCGATGAAAGCTCTCTCGTAAAACTCATCCATGCGTGTGGAGATGTCTTGGAAGTTGCCTTTACAGTTATCGCACCTGTTGGTGCATGTCAAGTTGGAATCATCGATCCGAATTCCCAAGTCGAATGTAATAATACACAATACACATACCCGCAATCTCCATAATCGACAGTACACGGAGTCCCCCACTGATTCGAGAACGTTACATTATTCCCGATCATATAGGTATCCTGTAGCAAGACATCCGCACCACCAGAATACTCGGACCAAAAATAATTCTCGCAGTTCAACACGAGTGAAACTGGGTGATACCCTGCACCGCCCTGGCCGTCACCACCATCGAGAGAGTTGATAAGGTTTTTAGTGAGAGTAGTTGCATTGAGAGGGTCGGAGGTACCGTCGGGTTCGTCAGCGGTGTACCAGAGGAGGAGGTTGGGACGGGATTTGATGTGGTTGACTTGTTCGGTGATGGAGGTGGAGTTTTGGTAGGTGCTAAGGAAAGAGAATTAAATGATATCACGCCCAACTAACAGGGATACGCAATACGCACTTTCTCATGTCGTACATCAACCATAAACCAACTTCTTGCATCTTGTCCAACACCTGATCAAGGACAGTGATGTTGTCAAAGTCTGGAACGGGATGGACCTGAGCAGTATCCAGGTAAGTTGTTACTGAGAACTTGAATTTGCGATACATACCACAGTAAACCTGAATAAACACTATAATGAGTTGTATCAACCGCCAAACGCTCAATCTCCACGCACCCTTGTTCCTTCAAGATCCCCGGAATAGACAGATTCGAAGCAAGATATGATCCGTACTGGGTATAAAAACCAATCGGGAAAACATATTGGTAAGGACCATCTTCACCCGTGGGTGGTTTCGCCAACAGCGCACCAGACCTCATGTCCATCTTGGTCACTCCGCCAATTCCCGGTGGTTTCCCTGGAAGATACGTGAGTAGAGACGAGGCAAGGAGCTGTTCTCCTGTGGACAGTGTGCCGATACAAGTCAAACTGAACGCATCCGTCTGGGGTGTCAGAGTGGAAAGGGAGAAGGGTAGTGCGTGTTTGGAGGCATTGAGCGGGACTGAGCTTGAAGTGAGGATTTTGCCGTTAACGAGTACTTTAACTTCCAGACTCGAGTCAGAGAGATTGATATTAGCGGTAGATGTGCTTAGCGGAATCGCGCCGGAGATGTTGGTGAAAGTGACGGGGGTATCCACAAGGATCGAGGTGAAAGAGGAATCGGTTGGATGAGAACCGAGGTCATCAGGCAAATACGGTCTCACAGCTGGTCCACAACGTAGTGCGATATGAGGTTGGGTGAATTCAAGAGAAGTGGGGAATTGGCCGCCTGGATTCGTCACTGGTTCTGTAATCATATAATTCTTACCGCACCTGTGACAAAAGCACTCAGAAACAGTGATCCCAATGCAAAGTTTGACGTACGCACCAAGTCTGAGCAGAGACTCCATCATGAAAAACCCAACCCAAACCCAACCAGAGTCCTGAAAGCGAACCTAGCGAGAACGAGGATAACCTTGCTGACTTGGGCATCACACGCAAAGTGTTTAGAGGAGATGACCGAGCTCCAGGCAGAACTTATATACAGTCTTGAGAAGATGGAATCTTATTATCATATAGAATTGGCCATATGGATGTAAAGGTCACGAAGAGATTGAGAAGAGAAAGTTGTCGGATTTTAGAACACATGATAGGTAGGTGTGAATGGGTGAACGTCAAGTCATCGTGCATCGAAGGCTCATCGTGGGCAGTCGAAGGCAAATAATGATAGATAGCAATGCGGACAGCTATGATACAAGGTTCCAAAATCTGAGAATAACTATATCTGAGTGTAACTCTGTCAGACCAATAAGATAGCACATTCAGATACAAGACGCACCACAATTACTTTACTTTACTTATTGCATCTCTCCGCTCGTCTCGCCTTCATTCATCTGAGGACGAGATCCTGGTTGGTCTGTAACCATGTCATTCCCCAACAATGCCCTCCGCTCAGAGTTTCCATCCTGCAACTCGTCCGGATATTGTGGACGAAACGGACATCCACAAGAACAATTATCCGAACTGCATAAGTCGCAGTGCTCTCCACAACTTTGATGACCTAGCACACACAAGAATCATTTCTGTTAATTACTCGGATCGACCTGAATAACTCACGAACGGAAGCGAAATCGGTGCAAAAACCGGCGAAGACATCACAGAGCCCAACGATACAGAATCCAAATATTTCTGCACAAGGTTCGTGCATGAAACGCTTTGTTATGGCGCTAATTCCTTCCGAGAGAGAAGGGGGGCGAGAGCCTTTATACCGCTGTATGTGAATAGAAACGCTGAACAGTCAGACAATGGGCACACTATGTATCCTAGAAGTAGAATACATTTCCGTTAAATCTACACAAGGCTAAAGAGCAAGTCATGTGTCGCCTTATAAAATCGCTTTTCCTCCAACATCTCCAAGAACGATACAATAAAGTGACGATTAGTCCGAGGGAAACGTTTACCTGCCATCATAACAGGAATTTCATCAACACGACCAACGGTGTTCATGATATCTTGATCACTAGGGAAATGCGCTGTTCCCACTTGTATAAGCGTGTAGCAGCGTCGCCGGTCATAATCCCTAACAACAAGCTTGCCGCTTCGCGGATCGAGTCCAGCCCGGAACCCTATTCCATCTCGGTATGGAGAATGTCCAATATAGATCCAGGATTAGTCGGTGGGTTCGAGTGCTGCGCTTTGATCCAGGAGATAGACGAGGACATCCTGGCCAGCTATGGATGTATTTGAGAAAACACATATCACAACACGTTAGATGGATGAGGAAAGAAGAAACAGAAAAAACAATTCAGATCCACGCGAGGACGTACACGGGAGGTCAGCCATACGTTTCCAGAGTAAAGTCGGCGCGGATGCGGGTCCGTTCCCGTGAGACAATGGGATAGCGAATACGACGGCGCTGAAGAGCGTGACGAGGAGGATGTATATAACGGATGAATGCTATAACATGAATGACTTGAACATCATCAGATAAGTGCGCGCACGAGCGGGGTCTAGATCTCGTCGGTTTGATTCAAGAAGGGGAAGCCGTCGGATTGAAAGAAGTTCGAAAGTGACTGGGAGAGTGGACTCGGAGCGGGCACCAGTGGTGGATGGTGGATGGATTGGTAGCATTGGGGGGACTTGAGACCTGTTGAACAATTTGAGCAACAAGGGCAGTTTACTAAGAAAAAAAGACAAGAGATTTACGTGTAATAAGAGATTTCTCATTCTCTTTGCCAGCAAGAAGAGTCTTTTTTTCGTTTAGACCAGCCGCTGGGGATTACGGATGTTGTTCCCATACTCCGAAGTCATACATAGTGCGTCCGAGTCGGAAGTCCGGGATTACTATCAGCAGGACCATCATGCTAGTCTCCGAAGGCGGTGGGATAGGGTGGGATCTGGTGGGATGTATACCAATGTCGCTAAAATATACAAGCGTTTGACAGGTTTGTCAAAATAGGACAGGGGGAACTACATCTTGCCCTTATAACCACGACTCTCTCTCTCTTTGCTGGAAGAAGGCCGGACCTCTCTAGCTCTATATTCTGTTTCTTATGTACGCCTCTCTTTTTTCCGTAACCATGAAACAATGAACTCTGTCTGTTCACTCACCTACAGCTGCGGTTGGGATTCTCCGAGTCAAACTTACGAACACTTTTGTTTTCCAAGATTCAAGAACGGGCAATCTACTTCTTTTGCCTCCCTATCCCTACCTCCTCCAGCTGTGTTATTTCACGGTGAGAGACCCTTCGTTTCGTCCTGAATAATATATAATTTGGTCTATTTCATCGGAAGGGACCGCCAACTCGCTGTGTTCTACTATGTAAGTTGTTCGATTCCTCCCGTCACCAATGGGTATTGAGAACCATGTCCTTCCTTCCATGTAGTCCCGTTTTTACAACACCAATATATCACATACATTCAATGAAATCTTTCTTCCTCGTACCACCATCATCAGCATCCTGGCTGCGCTCATTGATCGTCCTATCCCTCCTTCTCTCCACGGCATTTTCCAACGCTACATGTGCTGCTGCTCCAGTATCTCCTACCAATGAACTCACACAAGATTTTCAAAACATTCCACGTACGTACATCTTGCCTTTCCTTCCCCCCCCCCCTTCCCCCCTCCCGCCCACCTTTATTCCATCCTAAGTCTATATTCATCCAACATTCTCTCACCTGTAGTTAATACCAATGTCAAAGTCTGGATCCTGCGTCAAGATACCCCGCAAAAGGCGGATCCGGATAAATGGTGGATTTCGTTTGGCGATCAACAACATATCGGCGTAACTTTCCGGGCTGTAGACTCTGGTCCGAGTCGACAGCTTGAGGAATACACGGCAGAGAAACATCGACTTGATGGACCGTTGAGTTGGATTTTGTTGGGAGAAGCATATTTTCCGAGTGGTAATGTGATGCATGATATTCTAGGGAAAGGGTCTATCGATAGACTTTTAGCTGCATCGCGATCCCGGCAGGGAGGTCATGGTGGTGGCGACTCTCCTAGTCTTATGTTCATTCAAGGGGTCTGGAAGTCGCTGGAGGAGAAGAAGGTTATGAAGACAATGACGGGGCATTTCGACAAGATAATGGAAGGGGCGAATCATGTGGGCTCAAGTTCAAGTACCCACTTGGCAAGCAGTGACAATGGAATTGGGCCTCGGCCCCTCCTTCCGAAATACACCATACCAAGTAGGTATTTTCCAAAAGATACACTGCTCTTCTCGTCGTTTATTCACATCGATTCCCCTTACATAGCCAACGCCGACGTGAAGGTTTGGCTCCTGCGTCAAGACCGTGACGATCCACAGGGGGAACTTAATCCCGATGATTGGTGGATCTCTTTTGGTGATTCCCTGTATGCCGAAACCACTTTCCGGCGTGCTGCAGACGGGCATGGTGTCGAGGAATATGCTACGCGGAAACATGCCTCCATCGGGGCGAAAACTTGGATATTACTGGGGGTAGCGCGATTTCCCAGTCATGATGTGATGCAGAATATCTTCGGGGATGGGCCTATGAATGAACTCTTAGCTGCATCATGTTTACAGCAGGGAGGTGGCCCTATTAGTCATCCTAGTCTTAGGTTCATCGAAGGATTTTGGAAGAGGTTGGAGGAGAAGAAAGTTATAGAGTCATCAACGGGGAATTTGGATAAGATCTTAAAAGGAGAAAAGTATGAGAGTTCGTGGTCCAAAGTATAGGTGGAATTTGGCAGTACTTGGCATTTGCAGGTTTAAAAAAATAATAGTACCGCTTAAAAATCCTATACAATCCATCTCTAGTTATAACTTGGAACTCATTCACCAATCATCCCTCCCAACACTCCATGTCTCGACGTCTCTTTCTCTTTCCCCTTCTGAATCCGAGTCGAATCCAAGATCATTAATCGCAAAGAGCCCATCACCGGTACTTAGTGGCTGCCACTCCCCATTAGAGCCATCACCACCACGATAATTGGGAAACCGAGCGGCGACCCAGAGTTTAGAAATTTGTAATCGGTTGTCGGAGGGTAGGTTCAGCTAGTTTCCCTCCCAAGGGTACCAGTAATCAGACTGGGCCTGACAAAAAGAAGAAGGATATTGTTGACGGACCTGATATCCACCGTACTTTACAGCATCTTGATTAAGCCACCCGACCAGGTATTTTGTTATTGCTAAATTAGAGCAAGCAGGATTAATGAGGTTGGTGAACATATTCTGAAGCCCATGACTTCTGCTCACCAGCTTGTTTCTCAACACCATATGCCATGAACGTGCGTCCGTAGCCTTTCCCGACCCGCTCCCAATGCCTCGCCCACATAAAATTGGAAGACGGCAGTTTAGCTTGTCCAGCCCATACTTTGGATAACGCCGCAGAGGTGAATTCGGAGTAAAGGAATGTTTCGATGCCGGTGTTCACTGTTTTTTTGAGTTAGGAGGGGAAGGAGGGAGAGGTTGGGATTAGGGGGGGACTCGGAACACAAGACTAAGACTTGAATACTTACTATTAATAAACCCAATTGTCGGTTCTTCAATATAGAATATATCAAGATGGAGGCTTCGGATATGGGTTCCATCTGTTATCAGTGGTTGTTGACGTTGAGTTGACTTGGCGTCTGTGCCTTGAATCGGTATGCTTTCATTTGCACGGAGAGAGGTGTTGATGTATTGGGGAAGGAAGGGGAATGAATAGCGGTATCCTATGATCATTGATTAGAGGAAAATATATACAGATAAATGGGTGTAGTATATTAAACGAACTCACCAGTGGCTAAAATAATTCTGTCGAATCCGTTTAATATCTTCAAAGTGTATCAGTAAATTACTGGGCGTTAACGGAACCCAAGAGAGACAGACGTACGGTACCGTTGAAAAGCTCGACCTTGCCGGAGGTGATTCCCGGTGCCGTAAAGGGATGAAATGATTTGATTTCTGGAACGATAGAAACGTTTCGCGGGACTCTGGATAAGTGCATTTTCCGGGGGGGAGTATGCGCAGAGTCTATATATATAGGGAAATAAGGAGATTTAGATAGGAAAACCTCGGGCGCTATCAGTACATACCTTCGCTATCCCGAACGCTCAAAATGACTTTCCCAGCCACCCCGTCCAATTCCTCAGCTATTTCAGTTCCGCTGACCGATCCACCGATGACTAACACAGACTGATTAGCAAATTCCTCTGGGCGACGATATTGTCGGGAGTGGGAGATGAGATGAGGATAGAGGCTAGCCCATTGTGAAAGACCAGGAATATCAGGTGTGTTGGGTGCGTTGAACCGTCCGGAGGCAACTACAATGGCATCGAAGTGCTGTGTGTAGGCGGTTAATAACAGGAATGAACAAATACTACATAAATTCAATACTCGCTTCCTCCCACCAACGAATCTTGTACGAGTTGTTCCCAGTTTGGGTGAATTGTCGAAGGAGAAGTGTCCAACCCGCTTCAGTTTTCGTTTGTTGTCCGTTTTCAGTACTTGTGGTGATGTTGTATCGTTTAGTGACGCGTTCGACGCGGGTGTTATAGGAGACATCGAGATTGTTGTCGTTACTGTTCAGTGAGAGAAAGGAGGCGAAGGTGCGGACGTAGCGTTGGAGGTGGGTGCGGTTAATGTCTAGAAGGTGTCGGTGGTTGTTAGGGTGGACGAGGAACGACGTACCAATGGGAGTCTGTTCTGGCCAAGGTAATGCTCGAAACTACGCCCGAGATTAGAACTTGTTGTGACAATATATCGAGGAACAAACCTCTTGATATGACTAAAAAGTGGCGCGTCGCGTAATAAGCATATTCTCGAATAATAATGAAAACAAAATTCCCCTACCCTCGGTCCAGTCGCACCCAACCTTTCCCAAATCGGCTTCGGAGCTCTCTGATCAATCTTTACTTCCAACACCCTTTGCTCCTCCACGCCCTCAAAGCTCTTTTCATACGGCAACTTCACACCATCTGGTGGCAGATCCGGCTCGAAATCTGCTTTAGATGTAGGGAAATTGGGTACTGGTGCATTCGGGGATGTTTCGTTGGCGGTGTAATGCCAATTCCCACCGGGCATTGAGTCGCGCTCGAAGAGTCGGACATAGAAGTTGTTGAGACGGGAGAATTGGTCGTAGGCGATGAGGCCGCTGGAGTAGAGAAAGAGAATGGGTTTGAGGAAAAGAAGAAGAAGTAAAAATCCAAAGAGGGTATACCCAGCTCCTGCACCAATGATTGCCACTCGATGAATTGGCCATTTGAATGTATATGACGAGGCCTCGTGGGGCGCTGTAATATCCTCAAACGGGTCTGTAAAACGAAATGGTTGTTGACGAGGTTGAGCAGCGTTCAAAGTACCAATGCTGCTGAGTATAAGCACAGTGAGAACGAGCGATCGCATCTAGAGTAAGCGGGTGTCGAAGAGCAACACTGTGTCCGCAGATGTATAATACATATATAGCTTTATTTCCAGCACGCAGGAGCACGCCACCGTCGCCACATTTCGCGCTAGCGGGATACCTTGATCTTTTTTCAATGCTTGTGGGAGAAAGAATAATGGAATAGTTCATTTGGTTGATTTCAGGCGGCACCAGGCGTTTGGTTTATTGACAAGGCAAGCACAAATTGAAATTATTGATCGTCGTGGTAGAAGGAGACACACTGTTTGAATTAGACGCTGCTAAATATATGTTACAATTAAGCGCCTGTTCAGCCGCTATACAATTCAAGGAACGAGCGGAGAAGACACCAGGTGTGGCTGTGCAACTCGCTCTCGTTTTCATATTGATTGTTTCCCCAACAGCCAAGGCGCTATAGCCAAGTGGTTACGGCGACAGATTAGAATCAGAGGATTTTCATAAATATGACCTTATCTGTTCCTCTTTGAGGGCGCAGGTTCAAATCCTGCTGGCGTCGTATACAGAGCACCTCTACCTGGTTGTGTTTTTAGCATCTTTTCTGAGGGGCGGGGTTTTTTTGTTCCTTGTCTTCGTTCATTCATTCCTCATTTCTTTGCGTTCACCCTTTCCCCCTCCCCCCTTTTCCCCCTTTCCCCCTTTCCCCATAACATCCAAAATTAGTCATAGAATAAATGAGTAAATAAATCCTGGACACCGGATTCAGCACAATATCTAATATTTCCACTTCACCACTGTGGCTTACACTTTACTTACCAAGGTCTATAATAGAAATATCTATGTTGTGTTTGTATATAATATTACAAGGATATGAGCATTGAAATATTCAGTAGTAGACAAGAGGATTGTGGCCATGCCAGAGAAAGCAGCTGAACTAAATTTACAGTGGTAAAATTGGTGGTAAATGTGGACTTGTGTATGAGAAACTGCGGGACTGAGTTTTCGAAATGATCAAAAACAAGATTGAAGCTTGCTTATCGGAATATAATGACCCTTTGTCACCACATAGAACTACTTGAAAACATCCACCTGCACCTTCCTGCCTTCCGAGTTCTACTAGTTTTTTGCAAAACCACCCCACCAGTGTGTGGCATAATCTTGGGCAAGGGGTGCCAAGGGGTGCCATGACCTGTATTGGTGTCTCGGTGAGACAAAAGAAGGAGAAAAGAGGATAGCACACTCCCAGTGCCGGAATGGCTGTTGCCTATAGGTTGGAACTGGTGAAGCTTTGCACGGGTGAGGATTGTGAACGTTAGGATATTTGAGTTGAACGTCGAGAGCACGTTGAGAGGATGCTAGATGAGCTTGAACTTGAGCTTCCGGAGATTGGCAAAGAATTAGAGGAAGGGTGTGATACCATCGAAAGGCGGGAACATGTACGACCCTCCGCATGTACTACGGATCCTCGGCTGCGGAGGGGGTGGGAGGAAGTTTGAGCTCGAGATTGAATACTTCCTTCCGTCATCATCGTGCTTATCTACAGAGAAGGGAATAAAAGGTGTTAGTTACTGTGGTAGGAGAAAAAATAAACACGCAAGGAAGGGTAAACAGACATAGAACTAATGAGAGGGAAGAGATGAATCTAGGATATCGATAAGGAGAACCACATGTACATATATTTGCAAGAGACAGAACTCAAAATACAGGTGCCAGCGAACGTCTTGACAACGGTAGGGAATGAAGGAAGGGAGGTCTTACTGTGTTTAGAGATAAGTGTTAATATCCTATTATTCGACAGCCTCTACATCGTAAATGTCTTGTGAATATGCAAGAATGAATATGTATGCATATCCTTCGTCGGCGCGTCGGGCCCGCTTCCCTTACCACCACTCTCGCATAGCCGCTACTATACACGATACTATCTTATGAATACTCATACATCCCTCCAACTTCATGGTTTGATTCCTATTCCTACTTGTAGAAGTATGTAAGCTAGTACAGCGTTAGCATTTGCACTACTGTACACGATAAGCCTTGGTACGAAGAAACTTTACACTTTTATGATACCAATTTACAGTCTATCAGCAAGGCCATCACTGTCCTGGAGTAATATTTGTCCTACTGTGTACTACGTCGTCTCGTAAATGTTGAAGGAGCCCTTCCGCTTCTGGGAATCGAGGGAAAATACGACAATGGAAGTTTGGGATTGGACTGGATGAGGAAAGAGTTAGTCAAGACTGAAACCAACCGTGGAAAGCCCCTACTTCAATATATCTTTCGATGGTCCTCGCCCAGCTGCAGAGTTCGTAGAAACTGCGGGTTCAATACGTAGTGCCCATAGTATTGTACATATATCGATGAATAAGGCATTGTCAGCAACGTGTCGTCCCACACAGACTCTGAAATTATTAATCCGTCATCAAGGAGAATTAGAAAAATACAAAGACGAATGTACCTCCTCCCAAATCCATACGAACAATGTCCATCGTCATTTTCGTATTCAGCACGAAGCGCAAATTCAAGGCCTTTTTCAGTCTGGAATAGAAATCGTTCCGGGTGGAATTTATCGGCATCAGAACCATATACATCTTTATCGCGGTTCATTGACCTGAAGGTGTGGATTTTATTTCAACAAATGTGGCTTTTATAACGCTGTCAGATTGAACTAAATGAAATGGAGCTTACCACACGTTTGGTATGCACGATGTGCCTTTAGGGATAAAATAACCTTCGTACCAGTCGTCCTGATAGAAACGAAATGTCGAACGATTCATGGGTAAGACATCTGGCGACATACCTCCATCACAATATGAGGAACAGCCAATGGTATTGCGGGCTGCCATCTCAAAACCTGAATGACATAGAGTATGTGAGTATATTGTTACCGTCTTGCTGAACGATCTTTGGACGAACCTCTTTGACGATTGCTCTCACATACGGAAGATGGACCATATCAGCAAAAGTCGGACTCCGTGATCTTCCTACGACACGGTCTATCTCTATTTGTGCATTCTCTTGAATATTTGGGTGTAAAATCATGGCGTGAAGGAAGAATGATAAAGTGGTGCTAGTCTAACGACCGCGCAAAAAAAAAAAATTAGCAAAAAGGTGTGTAACATGGCAATAATATAACACAGAAGCGCACAGTTTCCAACGCAGCGACACTATAATCGAGTCAAAGAGGTGGTCAAGGGCATACTATGTCAACACGTACGAAAGAGAACCCGCAACCCAGGCTTTTTCTGCATCAGTCAATCCACTTGCTACCTGATCATCTGCTAGCTTGACGCAAAGACTTGTCCGCTGCTGGTCGTTTCTCACCTTTCAAAACATCGGAAGCTCAGCTTCTCCTTGACGATAGACACTGCTTAAGCCTGCTCACCGTGTCGTCAAAATACCTCTCGAAGATATTCGAAATTCGTTTATAGTCTCTTTGAGCATCCCTCTTCCACTTGGCTATTGCGGCAGGGAGATAATCCAGTATTGGGATAAGCTCTACGAGATGAGCGCCTGGATACACAGCACTGGTAAAGCGGTGCGCGATGTTACTGAGAGTTTGGAGCGGGTCCGAAGTCAGGTGAAGTTTCTCGTAAACAGGCGGCGTGTGGGCTTGTGGGGCATCATCGAATACCTGCTCGGGCTCCCCGGAAGAAAGAGATCGTTTCCCGTATATGACAGATATTATAGTTGAAGCAGACCTAATAATTATTGAGGAACATGGACAAATGGCGGGAAGGATTGCATCCGAACCTATTAATTTTCGCAAGCAGGGGAGAAGATGTATCACATAGTAAACTATGAGCAAGTATTATTGCTTCTTCGATCTGGACGGGTTGATATTGCACGCTAATTCGAGCGTTCAGAACAGCATGACCTGCACGGCGCATGTTTTGCCATCTACACAAACGTCAAACTTTGTATGACGGAAAACGGCGAGGCACACGTACGATTTGCCGTATCTCGTGAATGGCATAGACAACTGACTGCCTAGGTAATCTGCCACGATGCTCCTCGGTCGATCTGAGTAGATCGCAGAACGGCGCTCCAAAAGCTCTGTAGCTGCCGCTTTGGTGTTGAGAACCACAATGTTCTGTCCCGCCATATTTAGATACATTATGGGGCCTGTTCAAATTGGGGTGTGAATTCGCCATGGGATCAAGGAAGCAGAAAAACACACCATATTGGTACTTCCACTTATCGAAAATGAGCCATAGCTGAGACGCCGCTCCTAGTTGAAGGACGTTCCCTAAGATAGGCAAACCTCGAGGGCCTGGGGGTAGTCGTTTCCTATTCCAGGAGTTGAGAGCTATTCGGAGCGCTAGTAATGCGAGAAGTGCAAGGCTCGAAAGAACTGAAAACTTCATCAGTGGTCAATCTATGCTGGGGGAGAATCAACAACACAAAGATGAGTTGAATAAAATGAAGGACATACTTTCACTGGAAGGCTCATTGCTTATAAGCATTTCCTATTCTACTCTAGGACAAATCGGACAAGACATAGAAGATGATTTCGCGGTGCACGTTGCCCCGGGATTGTTTCGATCATCATACGCAGGCTAACCGAAAAAGGACTCTAGAGTCTAGATGTTGCTTCGATGATTCAATCTTCCTAGCTGTCCGGGTGGCATCAGCGATGGTGGGGAAGATATCGCGAAGAAGGCGCTAAAGCGGCAGGAAGGTGAGGGATTCGAGCAAGATTCTGACAGGGATTGTATTCGAGAATCTATGTAGTTATCGGTAGCGGCGCTATGTTGAGGATAGGAAATACATAACATATGTCATTGATGAAGACATGATCAAGTAAGTTACTGCACCACTGGCACGAAGAACTAGATAAGCACCGGCCTTAATCGGCTGCAGGGCAGTGACTCTTGAGTCTCAACGTTAACATTGAGCAGAAACAATCAAACTATCAGCATGACTTATGTATAAAACATTTTCAGCTTGATACACACCTTCAGTATTATCAAATCTACGAGCCTGATCTCTCCGAAGCCGCAGCGGTGACGAGTGTGAATGACAAGTTCTACATAGGCAATCCCTCATACCTCGATCTTCGAGAGTCGTCGTCTCTGTTACACCAAGTTGTCGTCCCTGCCAGAAATGAAGTAACAGAGGTCAGACGAAAGGCACACAAGGCACTACACAGCATCAGTAGCACCCTGTACATAGTACCGCATAAACTCGCATATGTAAATCCATTGGGAATCAGAAACTCCCCCGAAGAGGAATAAGTAGGGACGAAAAATTGAGCCGACCATCAGCTCACGATTCCTCGTGCATCGATTACAGAAAAGTCCCCCGAGGTGCTGCAGTAGTATACCAGCATAATACCGCAAACTTTGTCCCTGAATTTATGCTTCCAAGTCACCTATATTCCCACTCGAGTTTGTCCATGGATGCACCTGTGTACAACACAAAGCGACAGAACTCCGGACGGAAAGACTACTCTGTCTGTCTCTATCTTCAGAAGAAAGGGACCGGAGAAGAGAGTACAAGCCGTCGGAAAATCGCTAGCCGTGCTAGTACCCGACAGGATCATTCACAGAACCTCGAGGATAAGGAAAAACAGGTAATTGGCGCATAATCTAGTAGGGGAGAGTAGGGGTCTGTGCCAGTGGTGCTGTTGTATGTTTGTACAAGGACCCCGGGAAGGCAACTGGCGTCGATGGAGACACTCTCGATGTCGATAAAACGGTGGACCAATCACCTTGCTTGCTAGGTCCTTTGCCACCCCGTCTTTACCAAGCGCCCGTGCATTTTTTTCACACACTAGGCGCTTCAATCTCAGTCTAGCTCGCTCCGATGTATTTCTTCTAATCCCTTGTTCATGCACTCATACACTACTTTACCTTTTGTTACCGTACAACCTTTGGTTCGATTGTGAGTGTGGGTTGGAATTTATGAATGCAAGCAAGGTTTATCGTGCCCCGCAGGGGTTCGCTAGTGTAGACGATGGTAGCGGTAGCAAAAGGTGACCTAAGTGACAACAACAACCAGGTGCACCGGCAATCATTGGCATCTATTCGCCGGCCTTTTCCGAGCCCCTGTCACCTTCGCCCAAATCATTCGAACCAAATCGGTCTCCTAGTATGACCACAAAGACTTCTTTCCTTTTGACCACACTGTTAAAGCCAATGCAAGAGCATCTACCATTTCGCCTGTCCTAACTATTATCCTACATCCCCCCATTTCGTTACTACGTTTACGCTTGTCCCGGGCTTGTCCACTATGCATGTTTTCACGTCCTAGGGAAAACCTTATCGTTCTGAGGCAGACTGCATCAAAATGTTCGTGGATGCGTAGGGGTAAAGTTTCATTTGGTCAAAACATACAGTATGCTGTTTTAAAATGCCTTCCCCTCTCTTCAATAAATCGACTAATCACTTCTCAGGTTTCGAGAGCTCAATCAGTCTCGATTCAGCGCTCGGAAATTCGAGTCTTCGCTCATCATGTCAGTGACGCGGGGCCAGTCGTCCAAACCCCCCTTCCAGATTTCTCTACAAAACCTCGTGTCCAATAGTGATCATCTACGCTTAGGACTTTGGAACGTAATAATATTCGTGCTCGCTGCCGATGGGTATAGCTTATTTCCTTTTGCTTCATTAAAAAAAATTATCTGGCAAGTCTTGACCTTCGCCTGAATCAATACAAGCATCGACTCCCAATCCAAATTCGACACTTCATACTACCTGACATCTGTTTATATCTACAGTTCCAGTGGTCCATCGTGCTCTTTGTTCCGGGGACAGCCCCATCGCCACCGAGGCAGACTATATCAACATGTTCATTCAAAGAACTCAATCATCAACAGAATCACAACTGAGGCAACAGAAGAAGGAAGGAAAACCCTTCTATGATGAACCATAGGCTCATTCGTGCTATATGATAAATTAGTTGGGGTATATCAGGGCTAGTCGAATAGAGTCGAATGTTGGATCTTGAAAATTTAATGAACCGGGACCGTGTCGGTATTCTAGACTTTCCTAGTTGAAGTAACATTGAGCCCCTTCTAATTTCACATTTCACATCCGCGGCCACAATCGTACACTGCTCAGTTCCGTGCAACATTTCAATCTCGGACTTGATACCTAGGCAGAAATAGCTTGTTCTAGGTCTGGTAACATTTGGAATTTTGGAGTTCACACAGAGAAGTAGCGACCTGCGTACCTTCCTGCGCTTCGGCAAACTTTTCAAGACCCCTTCTAGCTTGCGCTCTTCAAAAAAAGGCTTTGACATTGGACGTGTTCAACGTTAGAACTGTTGTACAATTTCTTTCTGCGTCCTCGTTCCTGTGGTTCAGATATTAGGTCCTAAAGTCGTAGGTGGAAAGGTAGTAGAACGTACTGTACTTGCCATAAGCAGCAGCTCTATTCAGAGGAAATGTCCAGTCACGTTGCCCCGGATTGTTTTTGATTACGATACGCAGGCTATAAAACATCTTCAGCTTGATACACAACATCTTCAGCTTGATACACACCTTCAGTATTATCAAATCTACAAGCCTGCTCCCTCCGAAGCCGCAGCGGTGACGACTGTGAATGACAAGTTCTAAGCAATGCCTCATACCTCAATCTTGGAGAGTCGTCGTTCTCTGTTACACCAAGTTGTCCCTGCCACAAATGAAGTAACAGAGGTCAGACGAAAGGCGAACAAGGCACTAGCATCAGCAGTACCTCGTAAACTTGCATAAATCCTTTGGGAATCAGGAACGCCTCCGAAGAGGAATATGTAGGGACGAAAAATTGAGCTGACCATCAGCTCACGATCCCTCGTGCATCGATTACTGAGAAGTCCCCTGAGGTGCTGCAGGTACATAGCACACCGTACACCGTGCCTCCTCTAGTGTTATCCGAGTTCACCTATCTGCAAGCTCTCGAGAATGTACATAGATACGCCTGTGTATAGCACACAACAGCGAGTTCCCATTGACCAGTCAACTCTGTCTCTCTTTCTCGTTACCGAGAAAAAAGAACAAGCCTTGGAAATCGCCAAGTTTGCGCTACTCGACAGGGTTCTCTAATAACGGCTCGAATCAAGAAGATAGGTGATTGACGAAGATACAATCTAGGGACCTCGGAATAGGCCGCTAAGTATGACCTGCTATGACCACAAGAAGGCAACTGGCATCATTGAAGACACCCTTGATGTCGATAAGATCGTTATCGCGAAGCATGGACGATGCAGTTTCATTACCATGGAGAAGAAAAGCAAGAGGCGTTGACCACGTGAAATTAGATAAGATTGGGATAACAGAGATTACTAATACTATTAGGTAAAACCCAGCTCGCTGCCAGTATCCAGCTGTATCTCGAGTTCATCTCTTTTCAAATCTTGACCATCAATCTAAGTATGGACTCCCAAGGCCTTCTATGACCACCGAAATTCCACACTACCTGACATTTGCTCAGTAGCCCATCGTGCTCTTTACTCCGGGGACGACATTGCCACCGAGGCAGACTATATTATTATTAAGTGATCAGCATCGTTCTGCATCGTTCTTCTGAGACTCGAACGAATGGTATGTAACGAAACTTTGGTAGGAATTGAATAAATGGACGACGCCATGTAACCTCGGCTGGTTTCCCTTCCCGCCCTTTCCAAGGCTTTCCCATTGGTAGTATTAGGTGGCATTGGGCGTCTGCGAAGTTCATATCCACGGACAATTCTACACTGCTCAGTTCCGTGCAACATTTCAATCTTGGACTTGTCACCTAGGCTGTAATACGTATATCGCGCACGAGGTGCCAGTGGAATCTAATAGAAGTTGATACATGGGTATCGATATGGCCTTGCAGTGGCAGTCTGACGAGACGGCTGTCGACAATTCTCAGTGGATCCAGCTCGAGCTTCTACCAACTACGCAAATTTCTGGAACATTAGAACATCTCTCTGCTTATCGCATCGTCCTTCACCATCCATTACCCATCTCAATCTCCGCTTCACCGTCACGACTCTTTCTCAAATCACTATTTGCATACCCTTGTTGTTTGACGCGATCCTCAGTCCCTGCTCTAAATAACACTATGTCCTTTACGTCTACTAGGATGTTGCGTTTCTGCCTCGGACTGCGAGTCTATCATGGTCATAGCTCTTCCGAATGTTCCGAAATGTATTGGGTGGTAGCTTGATAACGCCCCCTCTAGGAGTTGACACTCAAGTAATCAAATCTTGCAATTCCCTCGGGGGAGGGAGACGGCTCCGACCGAGCCATTTGGGTGGTAGCTTCTGTGCATGACATTGTACAGTTAACTACTCGGTTTGAGAAAATCGTCAAAGAATTTGTCTCTCGCCCCATTACGTGACCCCCAGGATTGTATTTTCTGTCTCAAGTTTTGTCCGCTTTCACCGAGCTTTCAGACATGAAATCAATCAATTTCCTCAACTTGGCAAGGATTAAGCAACAGTCGAGTTCGACACGAGCAATGGTGGAAAAGGGATCGCTTGCGAACGGCGGGAGACGGCAGGAGGATGTCGATGTATTTATCGCTACATAATTCACGCGTTCTTGAGTATTGTAAGATGGATAACTTCGACTGGAAATCATTCAGTATGTACATATCATTGTCAGCTGACAAAACCTTGGACTCCGAACGCCGGGCTTCAGCACCTTTCAAGAGCACCGGCCTTCTGTGAATATTGAGTCAGTAGTGACTCCTGGTACCATTTATATCAGAATAAAGAACATTTCAGATTCATATGCACACATACCGTGATCTACTACGATATTTCTAAACCATTGTGACTTTCGACGGCAATAATCATGTCTTGGAAACGGGGGACACAACATTCTAAGGTGAGTATTGAACACAAACTTTGACTAGTCCTAGCCTTTGCAGCTCTAAGCATCGTCTTCCCTTGCTGATGGAAATACAATTATTGGCGAAACAAGCAGATCAGATAAGAGGTGCACACCAGTCAAGCGGCGCCGCCAACCATCAGTATCACCTTGAAGCATACATATTTGAATCCTTGTGGGACGAGGAATTCCCTCCGAAGAGGAATGGGAACGAAAAATTAAAGCCAACCACGAATTCATGATTCCTCGTTCATCGATTGTTGGGAAGTCCCCTGAAGTGCGGTAGGGCACATACACCACTGACCATACACTGGGCGTTATCAATCATACACCTATATTCCATCTGCAAAACCTGGATATTTGGCTAAGCACTGAGAGCAGATCCCAGCAGATCCCAGTGCTGAAAGCACTGAAAGCAGTATGCTTTGAGTGCTTTCACTGCTGGGAAGTGCTCTCAACTGCTTTCGGACCCTTAGCCGAATATCCAGGTTTTGCAGATGTCCAAGACCCCCAAAGTGCCCATAGATTCCTATCTATAACACGCAGCGACCAATTCCAAACGACGACACCTTGTCAGGCTCAGCTTCGGCTAAGATAGCAAGTAGCAGCCGCTCAGAACTCGTCGAGCTCCGAGTTATCCGACATTTACCCAGAAACATCTCGAGGATCGAAACAGCTGTGGATGCTTAAGATAGAGCCTGAGAGCATGCTACGCGATATATGCACCCGTTTTCACCTCGGGAAGGCAACTGGCGTCGATAAAGGTACCCTCGATGTCGATAAAATCATAGACCGTAAGCGATGGTGGCGGTAACGAAATAAAAGGTCTTAACCAGCTTGCACCTGTTTTGACGATCAGATCAGATAAGCAGAGATAAGATAAACATACTCTTCTCTTGAACATTCAATCATCATTCGTGCCAGTCTTCAAGCAGATTGACCTGCCAATAATAGGTGCTCTTGACCCATTACCAAAGATCGACAATGACATGGGGCTGATCCCCAAAGACCACTGAGCTCAGGCCTCAACTCAAATATCAAAAAACTCAACGACTTCCGAGAGTTATCACTGATTTGCTCAACGCTACACTCGTTCCGGTTGCACTTGCGATTTATTTCTGAATCCATGTGTCTATGGCCATCAGCGTCTCTCCGGACTCACTATACCGCAGTAGATCGGTTGCGTTCTCAAATCTCCCAACCTTTGACCAGGCTTTTTAGACCTCCGTCAAAATCAATCAACGCAATGGCCTTCCTTGGCCACCAAACTTTTTGTACCACCCTTAACAGCACTGTCAAAGCCAAGTACGTTGCTGGCCTAGTCGATGCACTTTAGCCAACTTGTCCCGCTACTTCTTCATGCAAGTAGCTTGGTCCGGACAAAGCATCCCATACTGTACCTACTATAAAAACCCCGCCGACATTTGCTCTACTTCACCAACCCAGCTCCTCCACATCAACTATCGAGATCATCCTCTTCTTATTATTTGCTCATCATGCTCTTTGCTGTATCTGGAAACAAGATCATCGTCAATGAGGCAGACTATATCAATATGTTTGTCGATGAGAATCCTGCAGGTAGTACCACAACAACCAATGGGTTCGTTCGTTCTTTTGATTTATATATGTCCCTTCTTTCGTTGACTTGTTAACCTCACAGCCTCGATAAACATGTTAGAGATACCTATCAGTTCACACTAGTCGGCAATGGTGTAGGATTCCTTGCTCCCTCGGACAATACGGAGTCATCAAGGGGTCGAATTTTTCGCCTCATAAGAACAAATCCAAACGGCGACGGCTACTCCGAAATCCCGATCTATTGTCAAGAGTACTCCAAGTGCAAGGACTCTGAATTTGAGGCTTCTATTGAATCTGGGCTCTCAACGATACCTACATTGATACCTGGACCGACGCAGGAGTCACACGACGCCTCCATTCAACCCACTCAGGATTTTGACCTGGAAAGTCTTCTTGCCTCGTTTTCTGCTGTACAGCCAATCACGGACTCGCAACCAGAGTTTGACTGGAGCTTTCTGATACAGCCGGGTCTCGACACTGGATTCAACGCTTCCGACAGCTTCACCGCGCCTGTATCCGCGCCCGGGGCTGAGCTTGACATGGTAGACACGCCTGTCTGGAACATGGGGGACCTCGGGAACATGGAGAACATGGATATCGATACAGCCTTACAGCAGCATGATTGGATGACCGCCAACGATCTCGATGTGCTTAACAGCCTTGAATTCAACTCGAACTCTTTTGCTTCCGAATCGGCGTTTCCAACACTTCCAATTGCCTTTCAGGCATTGACTCCAGGCGCAATGGCTGAATGGGCAACGACTGGATTCGTTCATGGGGAGGATTTTCAAACGTTTTGATCCTGAACGCCTTTGGCTCTGAGTCCATAATAGTTTTTTTAGCTCTGGTCAAACCATTCCACTATATGTTCTCCTTTTATTCAACGACTCCTCTATGATCTACCATGCCTGTTACCCCTATGCTTCATATTTGTTTCTTTCGACGTCTTATGCTCACTCGTAATCACACTCTTTCCCTTCCTTGTGCTGATTGTAGCTTTTCCGCAATGTTTTGTACACTTCCGTTTCACCCGCTTCTTTTCCCTTAGTGGATTGGGAATACTTATTACATCTGCCTGTACAATTCATTAGCTACTCGTCTTGAATAAACAGAAAAGGATTGTATGTTCCAGCCAGGTTCCAGCGTGATTTACACGACCGGCCCTAAATATCCTTACGTTGCTTTACAAATGCAGTTTCAATGAAAAAGTTTTCCCTGAGTTTTCCCATCCTCTAATTTTTCACTCGTTCAAATTCGCTCTCATCTGGCTCTCATCGACCGAGTGGAAGGCGGGACCTGCTGGATGTGTACTGGAGTGCTTGGTAGTATTGCGAACGGAGGGCAATTACGGTGATAAATGCACTGGAGGTTCGTTTCCCTTTCTCAACACTGTTTCGCCTCCCATTTGTTCTCGAAAGGATGAAATTTTCAATATCAGTTATCCCTGTCTTAATGACCCGTGTCGACAACTTTTCTTCAACCCTCTGATTCTCTCTTGTTCTTGTGGGTCTCTCCATACTGCTTTTGCTCATTTTAGTTTTTTCAGCCTATAGGTACGTCGGTCAAGGTATCACTGTCTCGGAGTCTCAAGATGTGTCATCAATCCCAGTATTTTTGGTATTCCCATATCGAACGACTCTGGTTCGTGTCCTTTCCCATCCTCTCCTCAGTTATCCTATTGTTGCCCTCTGGGTACTCAATAAGATCCCGTCCCCTTTTATGTGATGAAATATCTTTTTCAGTTATCCCTGTCTTAATAACCATGTCGAGACTTTTGTAACGCTGCTGATATTTGCCTCTTTTGCTGCTGCCACTTTTTCATGTTAAACGTTAAGCTAACTTATTCTCTTCGTTTCGTAGTTTTAGGTCGCTCTAAGTTAAGGCTATTGGCGTCCATCAAAGTTCGTTGTAGAGTGATAGTTCTGGCTGTATCTGTAATGCGTGTACTATGATTCCCTAACACTATTAATCGAAGGCTCGTACCAGTGCTCACTACTTAGATACCGTACTTGCGATTCCGGTCTTGAGACGATTCTCCCGTCGGCGATCCTATCAATAGCCGACGACAATCGTTATGCGTGTCCACCAATCTAGAAGCCGCCTTTGATTTCCAATGACCGAAAGAGCCTCAAGAGGCTCCAAAAGAACCAGAGGACGATTAAATAATTAGTAAATATAGCAATATTCTGACCTTGCTAGATGTTGCGTACCGACCTCGAAGGTCAGTGAATGGAAACAGATTGAGGGTGATGGGGTTGATGGATGCCAGTCGGCAGCTCAAAGGACGCAAGGGACAAGGATCCTGTGGTAACAGGCTGTACCATTGAAACAATGGGGTGGGCATATAATATAGGGAACCTCGAGCCCTTGGGATCATCTCCACCCGCATCAACCAAAATCGTCTGTGGTATACTTACGCTGAGTAGGCCTGTCGCCATTATTTAAATCTGCAGCAAGCTGACTCTTGCCTAGGAAACCCAACGCACGCTCTTTCATTTGAGATAGATTTGCTGGTCAAACTTGCCTCGCTGGTATGTCGTATCCTATCACTTTAGATGGTCCTCTCCGTATCGATATCAATTTGTTCTTCCAAGATTAACATTCGTATCGCTTCCGTATATCGTTCTCAACGACGAACCGTTCCTGCGCTGTACGTTCATATTCGATTGTGTGTTTTCTTGCCTCAATCAATGGATGTGACAGACTTACCCGCACGAAGATAGTGGTATTTGCTGGCCAAATCTGTTATTCCTCGGTGCGTAATACCATCTCTTGTATCCATTTCAACAAAGTACAAATCAACGGAATTTGCAGTCCCAAACATCCACGGCCTCATCGCTAAATTCCACTGCGATGCCTGCGGTTTCACACATGTTCTCCTTGTTCTTCTTACTTTCTATTTTTCTTGGTGGGATGTGCTTTCCTCTAGATCGAAGAGACAAAACCAACAGTGAGTCTGTTCCATTCTTTACGTCAGGCTTGTTCGCAGACTCAAAATCACTTCAGATTATCGATCTGTGCCCATTTCTATAAGAACAATGAAGATGCAAGACGGTTCAAAGGAATCTGCAATATGCTTCGGAACGCAGTACTTTCTGACTGCTATCAAAGATCCTGAGAATCCAAACCAATTCAAAGGATCTAGTGTCCAAAAGAAACCAAACATCAGCATCAAACAGTATACTGTGGCTACTGCTGATTTTGGATATAAAACCACGGAACAGTTCAAGTCTGCCATAGAGTATCTTGGCGGACATTCCGCAAGCTCGTCGTTATTATGGATGCACGAAACACTGACAAAGATGGTGGAAGGCAAATATATCCGTGAAATACCAAAGGCATGGACTACAGCATTAGAACAACAGGGTTTTAATGAAAATGCGAATTGGTTGGGAAACACAGGTGCTGGGAGTTCGAATGGTGAAGCTGTAAGGAACCCAGGTGGCAAACAGGCGGGCAACGGCGGGGGGGGTCAAGAGGTCGAAGGTTCGCGAGAATCCACTACGCGATCCTGATGTAATCCTTATCGAGAATGACAAAGAATAGGACCACAGTCTTATGATTAGTTTAACCATTCAAATTTCGCATTTCACTTATACCTCGTGCCCCCTCAACAAGGTAATTTGTTCGAATCTCCTTACTAGTTCGAGGGTCGCCGTTTTCACACGGCTTTGTTAACCATGGAGCAAAAGAATCAGGTCAGGTCCAGGGTGCATTAGAATCGAAGAGTGGGCACAATGTTCAAGCAAAATTTTGCCAGATCTTCCGCTCTTCCTGAGCATAAATTAAAGGACTGACATGTGTACTTGAGATATAAATCAATGCCCTTCACTTGAGCATACTCCTCCAAGCTACCAACGCTTTCCTATTCTCTTCCGCGACATCTTCTCCTTGCGCCCCTAGCGTTCTTCCCTCCATTGCCCCCTCATCAAAATGCCTGAAAACATCTTCGGCAACTCCGCCCATCATCTTCCTCTCTCCAGGACTCAAAAACATCACCACGATCCGGATTCGACGCACATTGAGGAATGCACGGAGCACGGCGGCGATGAGTGAGGATATATTCAAGTAAGCGGGCGAGGCTAATTCCGACGACGAAGACGGTGATGATGATGTAGAGGTTGATGGAGAAGGAGAGGAGGAAGAGGCACGAAGCTCATCCAACGCCTCATGAAACGTCCTGAACATCCCAGTGAGCAACGGTGGCTCAAGCGAGTTTTGAATCATATTTGGGAAGGAAGAGGGGGCAACCGTCTACATGTATCAAGGAGCGTCAGCGAAAAAGGGAAGTGCAGGGTGGAGAATTTACGGAATGCACCCACCATGATATACCGAAACTTCTCTTCGACGGACGAACCAGATAAACGACTCCATCCTCTCGTGAATTCGAACAATGTAGTAGTCGCAGTGCCCAGATGTACGTCAGCGCCCCAGGCAGGTGCGGGACTACCTTCGGCATCTTTTGTGTCTTTTGGATTTGCATCTTGCTCATTTTTATCGCCACCAGTCGTTGACCGAGTAAATATTGTATTCTTCCCTGACGCACGGAATATTCCTCCGCCTACACGACTGATGTTTCCCTCTTTCTCGTTCCGAGCACGTTTGGCTTCTTGGAAAGAGGATTTGGGTTTCAAGGAATCTTGAGGTGAAGGTGGGACTGGTGTAATGGTTGCCGTGGCCTCTGGAGATTTCGGTGCAGCGAGAGGGTCGGTAGGAATGGAGTGAGAAGGTGATGCGTGATTCGTGATCACTTTTTCGGATGGATGAGTAGATGAAGAGGATATCTTTGACCTCGAATCCTTAACGCTGACCGTCGCCTTTTGTGTTTCGTCGCTCGCCGACTCTATAATTTTTATCGGAACGCGCCTTCTCATCGGATGAACGATCTCTGAAGCTGCTTTCTTCCACAGAAGATCCTTGATTGCGCTCAATTCGGTCTTAACTGACTGGTTGGACGGATCAAGAGAAATAGCTTGTTCTAGGTCTGGTAACATCTGAATTCTTGGAGTTGACACAGATAAGTAGCGACCTGCGTACCTTCCTGCGCTTCGGCAAGCTTTTCAAGACCCCTTCTAGCTTGCGCTCTTCGAAAAAAGGCTTTGACATTGGACGTGTTCAACGTTAGAACTGTTGTACAATCTCTTTCCGCATCTTCATTCCTGTGGTTCAGATGTTAGGTCCTAAAGTTGTAGGTGGAAGGGTAGTAGAACGTACTTGCCTAGCTTGAGATAAGCAGCAGCTCTATTCAGAGGAAATGTCCAGTCTTTAGGATCCTCGAGGATGGCTTGTGTATAGTGTCCGATAGCAGACGGAAAATCCCCGTTTTTGAAGGAAATGTTACCCTGTATAGCGCAAATGTATGATGAATTTCAATGAATATGATGTACAGATGTTGCATGAACCTTGCCTTGTCTTTTGCAGTTTGAGCCTTCGTGGTGGACATCGTGAAAAAGGGCGTGAGAAATTTAATAACCTTGACGTTTAAATTCACGTTTAAATTCACTCCCGACTCTCATCGTTCTCATCTTTTGTGTTGGATTTTACGTTCTGACATGAACGTCCAGCTATGCGAAAGCATCTCGACTTTTGCTTAAACTTTATGAGACTCTCTCTTCAACCATACACGCGGGATGCGAAATTCGATACCCTTCTCTCACTGTGCATATGTATGAGTTAGTAGCCCGACCGGTTCACTGTGGTACGCATCAACTCTTTCTTTCATTGAACCGCCACAAAATAGAAAAAAATCTAGCTCCCTCTACGCACCCATAAGAGCGGCATGGTATCCCAACAGGACACCACGAGGTAAGCACATGCTATATATGGCAGCTAGTGTGGCGTCTAGTAAGGATACTGACTACCAAATTAGTGGTGATACTGACTCGAAATGACCAAGTATAATCTTCCTTATTTGCTCGTTTTGCGCTGATGATGGTATCGCCAGTGTTTTTTTTTCGGACAAGTCGTTCTCCCTCGACGTATAAAAGGTACTTCAGCTTCCCCCACCTTTTAATCGTGTCACCATCTCTTGTTATAGCTACTTTGTAAACCTCATACGCTCACCGAACTTTGAACCACTGCGTACTCACAATATGTCTCTACCAAGAGAATATGCTCTTCTAAAGAACGGAGAAATGATGGTGAGCGAAGCCGACTATCAAGGAATGTTCAAAGGTATCCCAGGTTCTTCTGACTTTGAGTAAGCTACTATAATATTTTTTCGACAAGTACAAGGATAGTGATAAAAGGCTCTCTCTTCACAGCTCGCGACATCCAAGGCGAAACTATACTCTCTCACCCCCCGGATCGGTGGGTGCTACCGATGAGCCTGGAGGCTCTATACGAAGCATACCCAACGTTACTTATATTACTACCAGTCCGAATGGCGAACAGCAAAGGTCTGAAGGCATGACATGCCATGAATACCCTGAACGCGCCGTTGACACCATACCCTTTCCTGAGAGCCCCACTAACTCTCCTGTTTCAACCCTTCGTTCTCCTCGTTCTCCTGGACGCAGTGATACATTATCTCCGTCAATGTTGTCACCACTGACACCCGGAACAGGATATTTGAGCACAGAGGAATGGCATATGCCCGGTTTCCCCCCTCAAGGTCGAAGCCCCATTTACGGCCCTGATAGTCCTGGTTCACCCCGTCCTTCTCCTGAATACGCTAGGAGCCCCAGGGATGTCTCCTCTCCGCCGATGTTCTCACAATTGACACCCGGAACAGGATATTTGAGCACAGAGGAATGGCGTATGCCCGGTTTCCCCCCTCAAGGTCGAAGCCCCATTTACGGCCCTGCTAGTCCTGGTTCACCCCGTCGTTCTCCTGAATACGCTGAGAGCCCCAGGGATGTCTCCTCTCCGCCGATGTTCTCACAATTGACACCCGGAACAGGATATTTGAGCACAGAGGAACGGCGTATGCTCGGATCTCCTCCTCAAGGTCGAAGCCCCATTTACGGCCCTGCTAGTCCTGGTTCACCCCGTCGTTCTCCTGAATACGCTAGGAGCCCCAGGGATGTATCCTCTCCGCCGATGTTCTCACAATTTGCACCCGGAACGGGATATTTGAGCGCAGAGGAATGGCATATGCTCGGTTTTCCCCCTCAGGGACGAAGCCCCGTTTACGGCCCTGCTAGTCCTGGTTCACCCCGTCGTTCTCCTGAATACGCTAGGAGCCCCAGGGATGTATCCTCTCCGTCGATGTCCTCACCTGGATCGGGAGTCTGGACCGCACAAGAGCGGCGCGTGCTCGGTTTTTCTCCTCCTCCATCATCACATCCGACCCCTGGTGCTCACACTCCCAGGGGTCGGAGAGATAGCTCCGCCTCTGCTTCGAGTCGGGCGCAAGCTAGAAGTCCAAGAACACCTCGTCATCAGGCGACCAACCATGATACACCCGATAGTCCTTTGTCCTCCATTCTTTATGAGCTTGGTCTTCCTAGACCCGACCCGAACGATCCTTCAAGCCTCTCCACTACCTATGATGATTACCCTCCTTCCCCCGGGCGATGGCCTGTAGAATGGGGAAGTCCCTCATTTTATGGCTTATCTCCCAGTCCTGTACCTCAAAGTCCGGGCCCAAGTGGAAGCCAGAGGAGTAGCACGATGAGTGCTGGTAGTAGAAGTCCAGGGGCAAGCTCGCGACATGGGAGCACCAGTCCTTATCTTCATAAAGCACGGTCCCCTACTGCTTCTTCAGCTAAGAGCCCTATGAGTCGCTGATCATCCGAAGTGCTCGAGGAGGTATGCCAATAGTGTATGTAGCTTACCCATGACGTGCAAGGCTTCCATGATTTCTATCCCCTTTTCCCTGTTTACGTTTGTTCCCTTTATGTTCATGTACATTCGAATATCGATCCCATTCATCTCACATACGTATGCGAGTCTATGCATATGCCTCATGTACCCTAGCTTCACATGAAATTTGTTCTATGCCTTCTTTTTCCACTAAGTCAAAGCAAGGCGCTCACCCTGAAGGCCAAATTTGATCAGCTCATAACTAGTCTCAACAAATACGGAAATCCTCTGTCATTGACTCGTCTTAAATCTTTGACTGAATTACTACCGACTCTGAAAGAGGAGGTCCTTGTAGGATTCAAACAGCTGTGTTTTGTGAGATCATCTTGCAGTTATTCATTCGTTTGGAGTCAATTCATTCACGTCCGTTTTTGGTGTAAGGTGTGTTGAATAGATGTATGATAGATAGATACATAGGTGTCTTATTGTAGTAACTTTGTTTGAACCGTCGACCGATTTGGTGCTAGTGCGTGTACATTGTATGGTTCAAATGCGTATATGTAGATGGTGCGCATAGTTTAAATGACATTGATGCCTTTTTGGGTGGAGGTTATAGTATAGTTTTGTAGTGCGTTTCTTTACATGTTATGGTAAATGTTGAAGTCACCGACTCTGAAAGAGGAACACTGGAGACCCACTGTGGCGTGAGAATACTAGCCGTCCCGAAAAGGTTAATCCAGGGTTATGGTACACACCTTTCAACTTCTGCCTTGGACACCCAAATGCGCCCAATCCTTGTTTTTATGGCCACAATATCCACGCCACAAAGTTCGCGACCAGAGGAAATGGCCACACAATGACAACTCACAAGTCAGTGATTGGTACAGTCTGTCCACAAAACAGCATTATACCAGGTCTGTATGGACAAAGCGTTCCCCCACAGTATATAGAGACACTCCCAACATGGCCACTTTCAATCTCGTCGTTCTCTATCATACGCTCTCAAACCCTCTCGACAATTGAACCATCCTCACTATGTCACTACCAACAGTCTTTGCTTATTCCGAAAATGGGCAGATAATTGTTGGTGAAGAGGACTATCAAGACATGTTCGGAGACCCCGGAGGTCCCCCCGTTTCTGAGTATGCAATTCGATTTTTTCCCTCAATATTATGATGCACTGATGCAATTTGGCGGCGTAGTCATCCCTTTTCGAGCTATACTTTTTTGCCTTCGGAATTAGTGCCAGCTATTGGGGAATCAGCAAGCCCTTTTCTGAAGAACCCCAACGACAGCTTCACTTTATTCACAACCAGTCCAAGTGGCGAGCAGCAAATACATGAGAATATGCTATGCTACGAGTATACCGATCTTTCCCATCTCGCTTCGTCTCATCATCCATCTGCTGGTGCCCTCACTCCCGGCGGTGGAATTGATGATTCTGCTTCGGCTTCGAGTCAGGTCCAGATCAGGAAGTCAGTAACGTCTTTCTACTCCACCTCTGGTACCCTTAATAGCCCTTATCCTCCTCCCACTCACACCTCGCGGGAAATCCAAGAAAGCTCCTCCATCCTGTACGAGCTTGGGCTTCCCCGACCCGACTCAGACGACCTCTCTTCTCCTTCTCCTTCTTCAACTTCTTCAACTTCTTCAACTTCTCCATCTACTGCTGTCTTCGACGATTACGCTTAACTTCCTCCGAATGGCATCCAGGGTCATGGTTGGAAGGTCTATCATTGTCCGGATATTTTTTCGAGTCCTGCACATGTCGTGACTGGTGGGGCTTACTAGGCCTCTCGTGCTCCATTGGTATACGACCATCCGTTGATATTCTCTCTCTGCACTTTTTATGTCCATCATTCGCCATATCTCTAGATCGTTGTTGTCGTATCCTTCACGATGGCTCTGCTGTATATAATCTCAATATTCGTGTATTTAGCTACTACTACAGGTAGCAGTACAGAGCTACTACAAGTAATATAGTGAGTCGTAACAATTTTCATGAAGGAATCTCGTCTCATGCGTAAGAAAGATATATATTGCTAAATACTTTGGGCGTGTCTGGGGCGTGTAGTATCTTATCTAATCTCGGATTTCCTTTATGCTTGAAATAACTTCTTGCTATGACCCAGCTATGGCCTCGCCAGACTTACCCGATACTCCCCGGATCGTCTTTCAGTCATTAGCAGAACACAAAATAGATTACGAGAGGAGTGCGATGGTAACGAACTTACCTATCAGTATTCCGGAAATAACCTTCGATCTCTTCAAACAAGCAGTTCTTCCGGTCGTCGAGGATTCTTCCGTGGAAAAAGCACACCAAAAACTTCGAGAACGGGGCATTTTGATCGATGAAGGCTGGAAAGACATAAATTTCGGTGTGGGTGAGCAGGGGCAGGAGCAAGAGACGAAGGCGAACGTCGAGGAGGAGGAGTTGAAAGTAAACGTGGAGATAGAGGTGGAGGAAATTGAGGTAGAGAAAAAGGATAAGAAGGAGCCACTTTTCTATGCGCCTCTGTTTGAGGGCCTGAACAGTATCATGGGGGCTGATTCTGCCGTCAAATTTCCAGACAAACATCTGCTTTCCGAAGACTATCATTCACACTATAAAGCGGACAACAACGGTCTTCTCACCGAAACCACAGCAGTTCCTCCTATTGCTGAAGGAGAAGAATACGAGTGCGATGTCTTGATGACGGGGGAACTGAAGAAGAAGTCCACGCCGGACACTGTCGATGATGTGAGTAAGAATCCCAAAGGGCTTCTGATATGCTAATTCTCATGTAGAATAACAAGAAAGTTTTATCTAATGCGACGCATATCATGAGTGCTGATCCCAAACGTCGATTCGTGCTTGGCTTAACAATCGATAAATTTAATATTCGACTATGGTTCTTCTCCCGGTCGCATGTATTCGTTACAGAGGCAATCTGCATATTGTAAATACCTCCGATTTCCCTATATTTCTGATTTCGAATGTTTATCTCAACAGGACGCCAAAAACTTAAACTACTTTGCTTTGTCCCTCAGCGGAGCCTGTCAGGAGGAGCTAGGATACGACCCTACAGTTAGGAGATCACAGGGAACGAACGGAACTGATCCACGCTATATTTTCACCATCGACGGCAAGCAATACATTACCACGGAAGCTATCACCGTTCGAAAAGCGAAATTTCTACTCGGGTGCGCCACGCGTGTATTCAAAGTTCAGCAGGTTCTCAATAACGAAGGAGAGCTTGATAGCGAGGTCAAGGTGATCAAAGACTATTGGCTACCTGAGGACTCTTGCACGGAACTAGAAACTCGTTCAGCTATCGAAGCTAATATCCAGAAGGTTAACGCCGTCCCAAACCTAGACCGGAGCGCGTTCAATAGATACTTTGTCAAGATTGAAGCCTGCGAGAAAGTTCCGGTACCTTCTACAACTGAGAAGGGACAGACACCTGACTCTACCTCGAATTTTCTTCGGGTCCACACTCTTCCTTCCGACGTCAAGCGTTTCACAGTTTCAACACAATCCTCTACTTACCAACGAGTAATGAGTGCGAGCATTCCAGCCTCAATCATGATGGAATCTGGACCAGAACGTGAACGACGTCAGGATACCGTCCTCCGTGAAGCCACGGCTGTCCATCCTGCGAGACTCGATCGTAGGACCTACGCACCCAAAGTCCATTATAGACAACTATTGGAGTTTGCGGGAGAACCGCTAAATCAGATTATGAACTGGGATATTGTTTTGAAGGCATTAGAATCGCTAATTATCGGTAAACTTGATCATCCTCTTCTGGAAGTCATTATAAATATAAGTCCTAGCTCTCTCGTATATGCATTCTGCTGGCTTTGTTCATCGCGACATTAGCGCTGCGAATGTCTTGGTGAAAGATGGGAACGCCAAACTTATTGACTTGGAATACTCAAAGCGTGTTCAGCCAGCATTTCAACCTCACTCTGGATCATCAGATGTCAAAACGGTGGGTCTAACAGATTACCCTTGTGATTTGACTAATTCGACCCCTTAGGGCACACTGTTCTTCATGCCTGTCGAAGTTATGATAGGCGAATACCTTTTTGAACCTCAAACACACATACTCAATTTTGAGCCCGTGCCCACCCTTTCCATTTCGGTATCACTATATGCATGATTTCGAGTCGGTGTTGTGGGTTTTCATCTACTTTCTCCTGACAAAATGGCCAGCTTCCGAGTCTCCTCCAAGTGAGGAACAACAGAATGCTCGGGATGGGTTTTTCTCTCGTGCTTTTGTTTTTGGGATGCGCAAAGATTTTATAGACGGTAATTCAAAAATGCGTCGTCTCGCTGTGGCAAGCACGCCACAGAACTTTCATCTTGACTGGGCATCTGCTTCACATTTTGCGGAAGTTTTGAAGGCAAAGTATCGTGCGCTGCAGGAGTCACTCCCAATCGATTTCAACAATGCTTTTCATCCTTCCCTGTACTCAGATTGGCGGCTGGCATTCATTCGTTGTGCGACCGAGGGCTGGGCAGGGGTAGTTACTCACCGCGATCGCACCAAACGACCGGCTGAAGACGATCCGGAGAAGGAGGCCAAGAAGTCGAAAGTTACCTGATTCACTGTCTTTGGTATCATCTTCCTACTCCACCTCTAGTACTCTCAATATCCTTTATCCTCCCCCCCACTCACACCACCACTACTATTCCTGCCCCTTCAAGTTGTATGTCCATCATTCACCCTACCGATAGCTTACTCCTGTCGTCATATGCTCCACAATCGCTCTCAGGCTGTTGTTTTTCATCTCAATTGTACTGTACACTCATCCATATAAACTACTACAGTACATACTTATCACAAAGTGATATTAGGTAGACGTATACCAATCTTCATAATCATCGTAAAAAATCTTCTATCATGCATAAGAAACAGTGATAACGGCTGATAATGAACAACTGGGACCATTCAAACCTTCGCCCTCAAATCACCTGAAGGAATGGTTTACGGAAGTCCAAGGTTTGCCCGAATAACGTTCTGGAGGGTCACTCCGTCGTCCTGATATGAAGTATTAGCGCGGATGGAGAAATAAAAGTAATGTTTGCGTAAAGCACGAACCTGATCAAGAGACCAAGTAAAGCAGCCTGCCATGCCGTTCTGCTTCGCAAATGTTGCCTTGTCGCCCAGAGAAAAGGTGTCATCATATGTGACCACCGTCGCTTGAGAAGTGTTGAACAGGAACTGCGGAATATTCAGGTTTAAGGGTATTTTATCGACTCGGAAGTCACTATATACATACCGGTGTATCACTGCAATTGTCCCATCCTGAAAGATAATGAGTCAACGAATAGTCTGTGTAATCTGAACACTAGGAATTACCTTCCGTGAACCCCCCTCCCCCACCGTACGTCCCGTCAGCATTCTTAGTCAGTGCCCCAGATGCTACAATCGAACCAAAGGGAATCTGCTGCCCGTACCAACTCTGAAGATTCGCCGTTGCCTCCGTCCCGGCCTCGTTCGAAGAGTCCTTTGTCTCCTTCCCTGTACTAGCATTACCATTAGTAGCACCTTTCTTCTTTCCTTTCTCGACATTGTCATTAATCTTCCCCGAGCCTGCTTGACCTTCAGCAGGTTTTTTCGCTGGAATCGTTCTTTGGTGCCTGGCGTGATTTCCGGGTCGAGCAACGTTGGTAAAAGTCCCATTTGGTCCATTTCTACGGTCCTCGTTTGGCGAAGGGTCGACTAAGCTGCCCGTAAGCGCGGTCTTGGTGCTGTTGGAGACATATCCATAAAGAGGAAGTCCTAAAAGCATCTTCGACGCAGGGAAACCAGCCGCAGACCACTGACTGAGCGCAGCTTGGGCGCTGTATTGCGGTAGGGTGGATGTCCCGCAGAGATTTCCGAGAGGAGCGTTTGGACCTGGGGTAGAGGATGATTGAAAGATATCATAGTTCCTAACCGTAAGAGTAAATATGCGCTCTTAAGAGGACAAATAGTCTCCACGAACATGATGTTGAGATAAGTCATCTGGGCGGCATACGCAGAGACGTTGGTCAGTGGGCTTCCATTTGAGCCGAGCCAGGGAGTGTCGGGAACAGCAGCAGATATAATCTTCGATGACCCTAAAGGCGTACTCAATGAGCGGCGAGGATTGCTTGGTCTGAAAAACAATTAATTACCCAGCGCAGTTCGGAGCTGTGTCAGGAAGGTCAAAAAGTTCGCAGCGTCGGAAGGCGAGTTGATATTTCCTGCTCCTACTTCGTTCGGGTATTCCTAAAGGTCCAGACAAACGCAACGATTCATGAGAAGTTGGCCGGCACATCAAACTCAGGACAAGACTCACCCAATCGATGTCAATCCCTGGATTGATTACAGGTCAGGATTAAACCTCCGTTGAGGGATTGATTTCTTACCGTCCAGTCCATAGGTATTGACAGCGCTCACGAGAGTGTTGACAAAAGTTGTTCGGTTTGCAGCGGACGCAACACATTGAGAAAAGTAAACGCTTCCACCCCAGCCACCTGGAAACACAAAGATGACGAATAAGTATCTCGAAGGTCACATAAGTACTCCAAAACTTGCCAACAGACAAGACAACTCTAGTTCCTGCACCACTGTTCCGAGCAGCAGTGACTGTTCTTGAGAGCATGTTCTGACTTCCAGAATCCCAGGTCAATGTGTTGGAAGAGTTCGGGATCGCAAAAGCTATATGAAACTTAGAGCTGGGGATGGTAACGAATGGGATAGTGAGCCTACCAAAGAATAGAATGGAGAACCTCGTATAGTCCAAGCTTTCAGGAGGGAATTCGGATTCGCTCCAGTCTGATGACGCAATCAAAAAGACAAATCACTTTCCAAACTCATATATGTTAACCAACCAGGATAATACGCAGCAGCAATCAACGTCGCATTAACTTTCATCTCGCCCTTGTTGGCGGTAGCTTCTCCGTCCCCGGACAACAGTTGCGCCTTGAACTGAAGAGCACTCTGTCGCGACATCGTCGATGGCAATGCATCTTCAAGATCAAGCTTGGGGTTGGAAGTCTTTGATTCGTCGGAAGAAAGAAAATCGCTCAAGGCGGGCGCATTCCGGTATGTTGGATGAACCAAAATCGCATTAAGATATGCGGCGAGACCGGTCTTGCGCTCTTCAATCAAAACGTCGTCCAACCAGGCAGACGGAACGAAAGAAGTAACGAGGATGCGTTTGGGAGGTAGAGAGACGGTGATGTCTTCACTGGGCTGCAGCGCGTTGTGGAGAGCGAGAAACTAGAAATGGGATGTATCATTTGGAACCCACACACGACGTCGAGCGTGCTTACCTCGGAATATCGCCTGTTCAGGACTGCATGGTTCCCGCCGCGTCTTACTTCCACAGTGTAAAGAATGTGAGGGCGGGGCGAGGAAGCTGTCGTGTGCGTGTTGATTGAAACAATGGGAGAATTCGCCATGGAGGAAAGAGCGAGTGAGATATAATGAGATGAAAGATGATCGTCGTTACAAGAAGCAAGAGACGGATATTGGACTTGATATATACCCCACCATTTTATATGAATCGCAACTCGTCATAGACATTCGAAGCATTTCCCGATTCACATGCGTCCAGATTGAAATATTGGGTTGCCCGCGACAGCCTGAGTGCAGCAGACAGACGACCAAAATAAGACATTCTCTCGATCTCCTGCCTCTAAAGTGTAATTTTTTCAGTGTCAATTATTGGTTGTCTTTCACATGATGCCTCAGCTGCAGTGTATTGAGTCTGAGCAGGTCTGAGCACAAGAGCAGTCTGTGTCCAATCAAATTTGATCCACGGTAAATATGTGACCGGATAAGGCAGTCCTCATACAAGTATATAAAATACTTCGATAGCGATGATCCTCCGGCAGTGTTACAGGACCAGAGGACGCATCTATTCAGTACTGATTCCTTGTTCTTCCTGTCTATATTTGTGCCAACAAAGTAAATTGTAACGTGGATAGAGGATTGATAGCGACTTTCCCTTCGTGATCCGGGTGAGAGTATTTCGACTCAGCTCCTTGGGTAGAAAAAAATTGAACAAAGGCATGTGAATTTCGATACGCCCTGTGGGTGATTTTACCCATTATTATTACAGGTGGAGACAGAGAAGAAAACGCCTGGATCGACAGCCATCAACAGATCCTCAAAAGACGAAGATAAAGTGAGGTGAGCCTAGGCGAGCCGACAATTTATCGCTGTCAAGGTTCTGAACCTTGACTAGTGTGGCGTTGCATGTGAGTTCTCGAAGTTGACATGCTGAGTCTAACCTACTGCCACGTTCCAGCGGGGAAGTCACCCAAACGTGGAGCTTATGCCTCTTGAGACCATTGTATCGAGGAGATAAGAACTGGCCAAGAGCTCTTTCGAAGGTAGGTTCAAATCAACACAGAAGATTCAGTGCTATTCATATTTCGATACAATTCTTGACGACGCAGCGGCAGCAAAAGATTCAGCTTCAGGATAAGGCACAAGTAGATATCTAACTCACTAATTATATTATAGACAGACGACAAACCAGAGACAATGTTCCAGCGCACTACAGCTGAACAAAGTCGCAAGACGCAGCAAATCCACAGCTAGGATTCGGAAGAATCCGAAGAAATTTGCCTACACATGGTATCATCGCTCCGGTCGGCTCCGAATAACGGGATAGATTTACCACGTGCTTTGCGTGCTGTTTCATGAGTCAACGCTCTGGTGAGTCACTGCACTTCTTTCCTGTTCTCCCACTTTTACCCCCCATCTTCTCTCTCAAAGCTGCATTCCCGCTTTCACTCACAAACCGAGCTATTGTGAGTATACCTGCTGCGCGTACCTCTGTCATCATCTGCGGTATCTGTCAGGCAATCGTTGTTTTTTTTTCCATTGTGGCGTAACTATCGACTCGGACTATTTGAAATCTGTGGACCAATACCAATGAAGTCGTCAACGAACTCATATCGACGGGGGCATCCCTCGTCTACTCTGCAACCATCGTCCCTCACAGACGGAGCTGGGACCTCACATCATGCATATAACGCGGAACTAATGTATTCACACGAACGCAAACGTTCTTCATCAGGATCTCCTCTTGAAGATTACTTGTTCAGCTACCAGAATGCTCTCATAAATTCTCATCCATTGACGAACAATTTCCAATCTTCCAATGCCAACCCCGAGCTTGCATCTTCCGATGCCTCGAAATATACAACTGCCACACACAATGGTAAATGCCCACTATTTGATTATTATGCTTGTCTGACGCCTCCTGTAGTGTCGCAGGATAGACTCCCCGACTTTCAGTCGCTCAGCCGCAAGTACTTACGGATGTTAGCGAACGAATCGGATGATAACAGAAGTCTGAATACAATTCGCACAGCACCACTTGCGGAACCTCAAGGAGAGAACTACGGAGGAGATCCGCAATCACTTGAATATGACTCTCTAAGTATGCATTCTAACAAAATCTATCTATATTCCACTAACTCAGTGAACTCCCCAGTCGCTTCCGAATTCTTAACACAGGAATGTTTCACCGATTATCTCTCGTCTCCTTTGGACGTTTCCCCAATAGAGAGTTCGCCCTCTTCTTCCCTTTTCGGCAGCCCCATCATGAAAACAATTGATTCCAATAATGAGTCGGGATGGGTTAATACAGACGACAATATCCGTAACGTCCAACCCCAACATATAAACAACGGCGCTTCCGAGTCTGCTTCGAATGACACGGTGCCCACGAGTTCAGATCAAGTACAACAGCCAGTCTCCGGGAAATCTTCGAGATCGCAAACTAGCCATAATTCCGTCTCCCCTCCTACTTCTGCGTCTGGCTCGGAATCTCGGAATCTTTATCCGACTAAACGTCTTCCTGGTTTTCGACCTGACAATATCATGATAAACACTTCAGCGTGTAAAGCACCTTCATCGTTCAAAATAGTGAACGGTACTCGACATCACCTCACACTCAATGGGCTCGTGCCGCTTGATGCCCCTACTCGGCCCCGGAGAAGTATGATACCTACTGAATCTTCCTCTCCACCCGCCGAGAACAAGAATCAGAAACGATCACATTCACTGGCGTTCGACGACGATGGTAACAATGAGAGATTCAATGACGAAGAACAGGACTCTTTGCCATCCTCTGAATTGTCTCTGAGTCCGAACGCTACAGAATCAGAGAAACTCGCTCTCAAGCGTCGGCGTTGCACACTTGCTGCGCGGAGAAGCCGAAGACGCAAGCTCGAATACCAGTTAATGCTGGAGCGAACGGTAGGAAATTTGGAGAAGCAAAGAGACAAGTGGAAGACGAGATGCACGATTTTGCAGGAGATATTGAAGAGGCACAATGCGGATTTCAAATTTGAAGAGGAGGAGGAGGAGGAGTGCTAATGTGAACATCTTGCTATACGGAAATACGATCCCTTTACATGGTAATCTATAACATGTACCAGACATGTACAGTATGTGTGCTAACATTTTCAATACTTTGGACGTGTAGTATCTTATCCAATCACAGTCTTGGGACTTTCTTGCCAAATTCGGATTCCCTTCATGCTTGAAATAGCTTCCCCGACGGGTGCGAGACCATGCGATGGAAAAAGCTCCCGCTCCGCCAGCGGAGATACGCCTCAGGCCCAGGGCATGCAAGTCCGTCCGTGACCTTTCCGTGACTGCAAGACGCGAAACTGGCACATTCAGAAAAACCATCTTCGACCTTCGACGTCAAGGATTTATGGCAACACACATCATCGTTTGCGCCTCTTCCAGTCAGTCATCCACAATTTCGAGTTGCCTCAAATTCTCTGCCAACAGATCTCCAAATCTGCACTAGTGGAAAAGTGACATATATATTGAAAAAAAATAGCGGAGGATTTTTTGTACTTAAAACGGATAGTGGACAAGATCGCACTAGGATCATAACCCCCAAGTCTTTCTCAGCTTCTCCTCCCATGTCCGATGAGGAAAGCGAATATTTGTCCCTCTATGAATCCAACTTGACCCCTCTTCGTGTCTGCTGTGCGTTCTGAAGTTCAGTTCAAAGTCTTCTTCCCAACTGATTAGTCGGAACATGTCCTTCAGTGGTTGCTTTGACATGGGGACTGTACGATTATTGTGCGTGATACCTATTGCTTTCACACAGATGATTGGCTCTTACCACACTCCACTAGTTGTAACACTAGAAGATGAGGTATGCCTATTCCGAGTCCTTCCGAAATCCATTTGTTGAAAAGAGGTCGTGGATCGAAGGTTCGTCATGTATGGGTGAGTTCTTATGACAGTGTATCACTGCGTGGTCATCTCACGATTTCTCTTCAACTTGAAGCCGCAAAGATTCAACTTCGCCAAATTCATGTTCCTTTGGGTGCGCATAACCATAACATGCGTCAGCGTTTTGTCCATCTATATTCACACCAAGCTCAGATCCGTTACTACACTCTGGCCCTTCTGATGTTCGATGTAATTCAAATACACGTCTTCGCAGTTCCTGGCGTCACGTCAGATAACCTGTTAGTGCTTTTTCTGGGATGTGTTCTCACATTCACTGAAAAAGTCTGCTCAGCTGCGTCGCAATGGATTCTATCATCCGAGTGGTCGGCGCTATCAGTCTATGGTCTGTGGAAATCATCATGCAATTGAGAATCTATGCTCTCTTCAACTGCTCGAAAAGAGTACGCCCATTCACACCTCATCTCATATAAAGAGGTCTGACGCGCGAGTTGAGGAAGGTAGCCATCACGAACTGTATCCTATTCTTAGCTTCTATTGCAGGATTTCTATGGATCCTGGTTTACAATGCTCAGAGACGACGTGCCGTCATTGCTAGTGCAATATCATTACCTCTTCCAGGGTGTCCATCGATTCATTCTGGCATAGAATGGGCGCAATGGGTTCCCGGTAACTAATGGCCAATATACACAAACTCAACCTCGTTTGATGACTTAATTCTCTTGCTAGCTACGATCTACGAGGGCATTTTATTTGGATATGCGTTGTACAAAACAATCAAATCTCATGCAATACGACTCAGAAATGGTATTCACATATCATTGCACTCCCTTCTTTTACGCGATAATTTGGTCTACTTCTTCGGGTAGGCGTTTTGGTTTTGTCGTTGCTTATGAATTCTTTGACGAGCTCATATCACAGCATCGCTTGTATTTTGGTATTCAACAACTTGATGGTGGTGGTGAGCACTACAATTTGTTTATCATGTACTTGGTTGAATAGTTTTGGTGACTGAACTTCTCGTCCACAGGGCGTAACACATATTCCTTGGTTCAGCTACGGGTAAGGGATAACCACTGTCGGAGCATTTCTTCCTAACACTGACACATTGCCAATGTGTAGTCCCTTCCATGCAGCAGTCGGGATCCTTACTACCCGTATGTTCCTCAATGTTCGCAAAGCAGCCAACAGGACATCCTTCGCCTCTGGTGCTGAACGAAACGTACCAGAGGTTATATCAGACTCTCCTTTTCCTGACAATGTAGCGAGTTGGATTGTAGCACAGAATAGTCAATTGCCCTCGTCATTAGATCGTCCACACCAGGATTGTTTTGCGATGGAGTATCGCGGCGTTACGAACCATACGTAGATTTGTACATTTTAACTGACTTCACTTCGTTGTAACATTTATTGTAAATAGTGTGGATTTGGTGTACATTATTGTTCGGTAATGATTGTTGTTATTTTCTTCGACTTCTCCTCCTCAGCCTTCACTATATCCTGGTAATAGGTGACACGCTCGTGGGGCTCTCGCCATGGAACGCCTAGAGCTTTAAAAATTTGCTCTTCGGTCTCTGACGCGATCAAGTTTCCTACGAACAAATAACTGAGCATGATGCGGATGCAACAAAAAACAAGCAATGAAGATACCGGTGTTCAATTTGACAGTGCGGTTGCGGGGGTCACGTACAACACCAGCGTATAGACCTCTTTGGTTGAGGGAGTATCCCATCCTGTTTGCAAGAAGTCGCATCGAACGATTGAACTAGAAGGATACGAGCAGTCAGATACTGCAAAAGTTGGTCCGAATCACGAGCTTACCATGTCATCTCCCTAAACCAACAGTCAGCCCATTTCCATAACAAGACAGGTAATAACGAACCGTGTAATACAAAAGAGCCCCTCCTTTGGAGCTATATGGGACAGTAAGGAAGTCGATGCGCCGACGTCGTGCGCCTGGAACGTTAGGAAGGCGGCAGATACCATGGTAGACGGCTTCGAGAGGCTTGGAGTAATCAGGAAGGGCCAAATCTTCTGTGAGAATGCCGGCGGTATGAAGCCTCTCAAGAAGCTTATGAAGTATACCTGAATTTGATTGAATTGATAGAAGATCGAGAACGTACAAAACGGCCCACCTTCATGCGTATGCCCGTCGTCGGGGCACCGGGTGATCAAAATGTCAATATCTCCACAATCAGTCTTCCCTCTAACGACAGATAAATCGCATCTCAGCAATGCTCTTCAAAAGCAGAAAAGAACTACATACCTTCGGTAACTGCCCATAATTTCCACAAATAGTGTGGGGTCGAGACGGAGAGCTGGGTATATGTGAGAAGACGGAGAAGGCCGGAAAGATTCCATGCACACCAATGGGTTTTATTAACTCGAAAATCGCCTTGGCTTCTTCACGAGGCATACGAGAATTCAAGTCTATAAACGCTCATTCAGCCTAGCACATAGTTTCTGAACCTCGGTACATATACCATCGTAGAACTCAATGCCGATCTTTTGACCTTCGTTCAGTGCAACATCTCCTACGCCGTTGCACAGATCCTCAATCGTTCGACAACCCCTAGCATACCACATGGTGGCAGTCTGGATACCTGAGAAGGTGTATGAGGTTCACTTAAAATGAAATTGGGATTGAACGACGAACCGACACCATAAATTTTCGTAAAAAGAGAAATCACCTTGACGTCTTCCGTCCTTTCGTACGCTATTCTTTGAAGGTTGCCTGTTTCAATGATTTCCATGATCTGAAGCATTTTAATGGTAAGGTACTAGGGCGCTGGTAGCGGTGTCACACGTCACACGAAGACACACCTTTTGAGCAGTTTTCTTTCCGACACCCTGTATTTTCTCTGCGTCTTCCAATGATTTTATTCGTTTTGGATGCGCGCGCAGAGCTCGAATACCTTATTCCATTCATTTCAATGCTTTGATAATTATGACATCGCTTCGTATGACTTACTTTTGCTGTAACTGTATACTCTCCAATGGTCATCTTCGGTAGGTTTGACCTTATGAAGCTCTTGAAGCTCCTCAAGCTGAAGACAAACGGATCAGCGACCAGCGCCAAAGAATCACAATATTAGTCGCACTTTTCTAATGATATCTTCGTTTGGACAAGGTTTCGCATTCTGATTGGGTTTTTTACAAAGCCAATCCTGGATAGCCTTCTTAATTTCCGCATTATAAACTCGGCGGAAAAAAGCGACATACCCTCTTAGGTTTTAGACCAGCTGGCTGGTAGTTAGGCTCGAGGTCTGAGCCGTCGGTGTCTGAGTCGAATCCATTCCGATGCTGGAAATAGAAAAAGGTCAAGAATCGGAACATTCGGCACTACAATAGTTGACTTACCTGCACATTGGTCTTCCTCTGTAAATAGAACTCAACTAACGGATCGACGATTTCTTGATTCACAGGTTTCTGAAATTGGAAATCCAAAGGTAATCTTGTAGAAGCAAGCTTGACCATGGTATTTCGAACGTGCTTGGATTCCAAAGGCTCATGCCGAGAGGAACCAACTTCTGGCTTGATATCATTGGCCGAAAACTCTCTGAAGTACCGAGATTGAGGAACCAAGATCATAGCTAGCATAGACAATGGGAAGAACAACGCACGATATCCGACTAAAATCGCGATCTTCATCTCCTTCCTGCGGAGCGCGCTTCTGCTCAAAATATTTGGATGTAGCAGATATGGAGACTGGAGGGAGCCGATTTGGATAGGCACCATATTCAAACAGACTCGAGACTTGTCTGATTTTGAGCACTTTACCGTTGTTGAGGAATGGATTCATATCCATCATGTCGACGACCCACTGCCAAGTGAGGATAGGAATATGGTCAGGGACATCGGTCAGTTTCTCTAGACCCGTAGCTTTCAGGAGGCTATTTTGGCCGAGATTTTTGTCGACTACAATATGTGTGATATGGTCAGGTTGATATCTTGGGACTACAGATCCGCCATGTCGCAAAATCTGTGGCGACTGATGAGAAGGAAAGTCAGGCGGGAGTTCGAAAACTCACGATCATCATTCTTTTCTGGGTAGAATCTCCAGAAAGTTTCGAGTTGATGTCCATCCCGCAGTAGAATATTCGTAATCCTTCGAGAAACTGAACTTTTCCTGTTTTATTGACCTGCGCATGCTGTATCTGACAGACAAACTCGTAGGGAGTGAGTTTTGTAGAAGGAACAGTGGTTTTTCCTTTGCCTTTCGCCTTGGTTGTTGCGGACAACTTCGCAGCTAGTTTCGGCGCCGCAGTGAGCCGAGACTTAGATATCGAGCCTTTAGTCAATTCAGCTGAATTGGAGCCGACTTTTACAATCGAGGACGAACAGGCGATGTCAGGCGAAGTGAGCGCCTCAGAGCTGGAGTAATTATCTATGATTGATGTTTCGTCAACAGAATTAGACTGATGTTTCGGTTTAGTCTGGAGTTGGGCGAGAGGAACCAGCTTCTTGACGCCTCTTCGATGTGTAGAATGCTTTGCTTCAAGAATGATTTCGAGCATGGATTTTTCCTTCTCAGGTGCTTTGCCGTTTGTAGCAGGAACAAGAGATAATGAACGGGCTTCTTCGATGGGAGAGGACGGAGCGGTCGAAGCATCGGAGGAGTTATCAGAGAAGCTTTTCGATGGTAAGCGCGTATGCCTTGAGCTCCTGGTAGCCAGAGGCCCGTCAATAATAATTGTCGGTTCAACTTTGACTCGGGCTACAGAGTCCGGGGCCCTGTGAAAACTCTGATTACTGGAATCGGAATGGTGACGATTTGGCGTTACGTCGCCTGGAAAAGAGAAGTCAAGAGCGTCGTCGCTGGAAAGGCTATGTTCATTCAGTAGGAGGACGTATGGGCCGTTGAGTTTTTGCATGAGGGGTTCTGTAACGCACTTATTGGAATCTCCGTCTTGTGCGTCAACTTGGGGATTGGCTGATGCCAAAGATATTTTCGATCGTTTAATTCGCGGAGAGGAGCGCAAAGGAGTCGATCTTCCCGTTTTACGCTTATGTCCTCTGATACAACGCAGTTGAGCACGTCAAAGTTTGTCAAAATAGCAAGATGAAACCTTGTTTGAGATGCGTATGGAACATTCTGAGTATAGCCATTGTCGAGTTTCTTCTCATTTGCGGAACTGAAAAACGATAACAAATGAACATGAACGCATCCAAAGAACTCCTGACACATACTGTTCGTTTTCTCCGGTCATTCGAGCGACATAGGAGTCGTCCATATCATCATCTGAGAAATTCATGCGCTTTTCTTGTTCCTTGAAAAAGATCCTGGCATTCATAGTAGGCATTGTACCGCCTCGATCGAGTCAAATTAATGAGATGAGCACACACACAGTTAAGAGGACAATGTGGGCGAAGGACAACGCGATATGGATTATTTAAGGCACAACGCCGCGCACGTGACATTGCTACGCGCGATGCGTGACGCATTTTCTCCTGATAGCCAGTCACCTCCAATAGCCTCCAATCAGCCAGCGCTGCGCTTCCTCATGTCGTTCGGCCTCTCTTTCGCTTGTGAAAACGGAAATTGAAGTCGCTGTGCGCGCAATTGCATGAAGCGTCCAGCTGTCTCTGAGACCACTTTGAAGCAAGCATCTACATTTTGTAGCTCCAACGCGAAATGGAGAGAACCACGGCAGATTCAAACCAGCATCCACCGCGATCACTCAGGAATGAAAATCATCTATAGCACAAGGGCTTCTCCAGAATCAGCTTCCCAGCAACAACAGCAGGATTCATCATGCCCTGATGCTACTTACCACGTTCTTTTCTGTATTTTCAGCCAGGCCGTTGAAATTTGCTGTGGTAGAGGCGGGCTTCAAGCCACTTTCCAAAGTATAAATGAGCGGTCCAAATTCAGGTACTTTTGGTCAACAGAACTCACTCGAAATCACTCGCAATGCCTTCCGAAGACGATGAACCTGACGACATCCAACCTCATGGTGAAGAGCTCCAGAACACGGACTTGGAGGAACTCAGAGATTCCGAATTTCCCGGTTATTTCTCTGAGCGCGACGGTCGATTATACCAGGCCGACACCGTGACGTCGCCCTACCCGCTCCCAGTAGACACTCCCGAAAACCAGGTACAGCACCAGATGTCCTTCTGCAAGTACGGTTCTAAAATTTTTTAAATCTGTACACAGAGACACAGCACACTTCATAAAGCACTGAAAGAGCTTATTGAAAACAACTACATTGGTCCCGTTCAAGAAGTTCTAGCGCTTCAAGAAGGTCAACAGAAAGTCGCGATCGACCTTGGTTGCGGCATCGGGGAATGGTAGATATTGTAGTATTTATTGCTATTCATTGCTAATGACGCGTTTCCAGGGTTATGGAAATGGCGAAAGAATTCCCCCAAGTCTCCTTCTACGGTCTGGACGTGGGTAAGCGGCCCCTGTCTTTGATACGCATAGTAACTAACCCGCTTCAGTCCCGATTGCGAACCGCTACCCCGATGAGAATGTACAATTTGAGCTTCACGACATTACTGAGCCCTTGAGGTGGGCCAATAGTTCCGTGGATCTCCTTCACGCCCGCGCAATATTTATGACTGTAAGGCTTATATCATATATGGTACCAGTGTTCACCTAAACCGCGTTTTTATAGGTGCGGGATTATTCCGTCATAGTTCAAGAAGCGGCTAGAATACTCAAGCCGGGAGGCATTTTTTTGTCCGGAGAGTGGGGTCAATTTCCTGCTTTCCACCCTGTCCTCCCTGAGGCGCGAGGAAATCCAGGTGATCATGTTCCTGGGCTGGACCGCTTCTATCGAATGCTCTCAGATGTCCTCGCACGTCGAGGTATTATATCTCCTGTAGCGTCCACGGTGCATGAACGCCTCAGCAGATCCGGCGCTTTTACCGATATCCACGAGCACGTTTACTACATGCCGATCGGTCCTTGGAGTCCGGACCCAATGGCTCAGACACTCGGTAAGCGTAACAGAGTAGCTTTAACGAAATTTATGAATGCCATTCGTCCAATTTTTGTGGCTGCCGGGGTGAGCGAGGGAGAGCTCGAACAACTATACAATGAATGTTGGACAGAGATGTTCGGTATCTCTGGACTGGTCTCGGTATACTACTTAGTCTCAGCACGCAAGATTTGAATGCTTGATATATTGTTATACTCCTACTCACTTCCATAATCTGTATTTATCTGTGAACCACCTGGGCCGGTACATAGACTGTAGACTGTAGTTACGTAGTACACTGTATTTATTTCCCACGCTTGTTTTGTAATTTCAACCGGATGAACCCGGACTTGCATTGCTTCACAGATCCACTTTGAACTTGGAAGACTTCTCTATGCTCGCAGCTAGGGCGTCATCGCGAACTATTCAGCGCGTGGCGCGTAATTTTGCCACCGTAGTCGACAGTGCTGGCATCAAAGTAGCTGCGGTAGATAATAACCAGCCCACGACCTCCGTCACATTTCTCATCAAAGCTGGCAGCCGTTTTGAACATAAAGCTGGAGTGGCCCATGGCTTGAAAAACTTTGCTTTCAAGGTGAGACTTCAAAGGAATTTGTGTTGCTCGTGGCTTATGAGCTTTCATAGAGCTCTGCCAAAAGGACGGCGCTCGGAACAGTCCGCGAAAGTGAAATCTATGGTGGTGTCTTGTCAGCGAGCTTGTCTCGAGAACATCTTGCTCTTACGGCCGAATTTCTGAGGGGTGACGAGTGCGTATAACTTCAAAAATAATCTATAGTCTTCTAATCCCTTATTCTAGGCAGTATTTCGTGGACGTCCTTGCCTCTTTTGTCACCTCTGGTAGATTTACCCGCCATGAATATGCTGAATACGTTGCACCTGTAGTGGAAAGCGAAATCGAGGAGTCGAAATTCAATCCTGGCTTCCAGGCAATTGAGGCTGCCCACGCTGTTGCCTTCCACAACGGGCTTGGCTCATCCTTATTGGCTTCTCCTCACAACTCCATAACGCATGAAGACATCCGATCTTTTGCTCAATCTGCATTCACTCGAGACAATATCGCTGTTCTTGGGACCGGCATTGACCAGGCCACACTCGCGAGTTTGGTCGAACAATCCCTCAGCAAAATTTCCGCAACCTCGCAGATATCATCTTCTGCTTCTTCGTATTTCGGTGGCGAGACACGTTTGCCGGCACATGGTGGTCCCCAGACTGTGTTCGTTGGCTTTGGAAGTGCTGGTGCACCTACTCCCGAAATTGCAGCTCTTTCTGCGTACCTTTCCCCCACTCCTTCGGTGAAATGGTCTAAAGGCTCTTCGCCGATCGCTGCTACCATACAGGAGGGCACGACGGTTGAGGTTGTGCATCTATCATACTCTGATGCCTCCCTCTTCGGTCTTCTTGTCCAGGGTCCTTCCGGTTCCGCTGTCAAAGAAGCTGGGAAAGCTGCCGTACAGGCATTGAAAACTGTATCTAATGGCTTGAAGGGAGATGATCTCAAAAAAGCCTTGAGCAAGGCTAAATTCACAGCAGCGTCTGCCGTCGATAGTCGGGAAGGATTAGTGTCTATCTTGGGTTCAAAAGTGCTTTCGGGACACGAGTCTTCCCTTGACACTACCCTCGCATCGTTCGATAAAGTGTCGGAAATTACCTTTGCAAAAGTAGGTCTTGCAGTTTTCACTTCCTTCAGGGTTTTGATTTTTTCTCCAGGCCGCTTCCACGCTGGTCAAAGTCAAACCAGTCTTTGTCGCAGTTGGTGATGTTGCTACTCTTCCGTATGCCGATGAGCTTGGCCTTTGAAGTACGACTCTCCCATTAGCAGCCAATCGCATAGACTAGTTCGAGCTCGAATTGAATGTCCTTCGTTTTTGCTCCCTTTCGTTCTCTCTTGCCTCAATTAAACTTCCATCATCTCAGAATGATTTACGGGCTCTCGCTGTCTCCATCTCTAAAAAGGAGCTAGTCGTCAAGGTTGGGCAACATTTTGCGGGATTTAGCCGAAACTGCTCTCCCTGTTGTACAATTGTTACAGTACATCTTCGAGCTGAGTTGCTAATTGAAAAACTGTAAATTGTATCTCAGTCTGACGAAGGTCCGACTTGGAAAGATATATCTAATCCACTAGCGAAATCCTGCGTCTATTTATGGTAGTAGTTGTTACCTAGTTTTCAATATCGACGCAAACTTATTAAATGCAGTACCAACCTTGGGATGCACTGTCTAGTAGAGGTTCTCAGGAAGCTTGGGCTTTGACTTTTGACAATACTCAGCAGAGTCCTTTAAAGTTACAATAATGGAATTTTTCAATGTGAGTGATTTGATCGATTATCGATGGACGTTTAATCAAGTCTGCCTGCCCTGAAGTGTTACTGATTATCAAAATTTGCTGCCTCGACACTTACACAGTGTTGTCCTTTTCTCTCGCATCTACCTCTCAAAATGTCTGTTGGTACTCTTTACACCTCTCCTGGAAAAGAAACAGGCAAACTCGTAAGCCTTTCCCATCCATCTGTAAACCGATCGCTTCAAGAGGCCTGTCATTTAGATTAAGGCTACCGCTGCCTTTGGGGGCGTATCTATCGATGTAGATGCTGAATACAAACATATGGAAACCAACAAAACTGCAGAATTTCTGGCCAAATTCTCCCATGGAAAAATTCCAACCTTTGAAGGAAAGGATGGTTTCAAGCTTTTCGAGGGTGTCGTTATTGCAAAATACAGTAAGTGAATATATCTTCGACCCAACGGCACCAAGTCTGTTCTCCATGTTCAGCGTTATGAAACTCAATCTTCAGTTATCCTTGTCTTAATATCTTCATATCCGAAATTTCTCTTCTTGCAGACGTCAGAATACTGATAAAATTTTTTGATCTTTCTTAGTCGCTTCTTTGGCTCCCAATTCTGGTCTTCTCGGATCAAGCCAGACAGATGCTGCCTTGGTCGACCAATGGACACACTTGATTGAACTCGAATTTGGTTTACCAACTGATATCATTAACCAACTGGTTAGCGGTAGAATCCCCTATACAAAACCCGTGCGTTCTTGCTACTACTGTATAGCTTACGAACTCACTCGACTTATAGTTTCACAATGCCCTCCTTGAGCGACAAGAGCGAACACTCACTACCCTCAATACACATTTGACAGAAAACACATTCCTCGTTGGAGAACGCATCACAGTTGCCGATCTGGCAGCCGCCGCCTACCTACAACGCGGCGCATCGATCTCCTTCGATGCTCCTCTTCGTGCGAAATTCCCCGCAGTTGTCAGGCTTCTTGAGACAATTGTCAACCAACCCAAACTCAAGGATATATACGGAGAGACTAAATATGTCGAGAAAGGTCTTCAGTTCACTCCTCCAGCCAAGGACAAGAAGGAAAAAGAGCCAAAAGCCGCTGTTCCTCCAAAGGAGAAGAAGCCCAAGGCAAAGGAAGCTGATGATGATGATGAGGATGAACCTCTGGTTCCTGCTGAACCCAAAGAGAAAAATCCTCTCGACGACCTTCCCAAATCCTCCTTCAATCTTGAGGACTGGAAACGTGCGTATTCCAATAAGGAAACTCGTGGAAAAGACGGTGCTCTTGAGTGGTTGTATGAACAGTATGTACCGTCTCACTTGTTTTCCTGTCCATCCTAATTTTCATGTCAGCTTTGACAAGGACGGTTTCTCTCTGTGGCGGGTGGACTTCAAGTACAATGACGAGCTGACCCAGACGTTCATGTCTGCCAATCAGATCGGTGGTTTCTTCAACCGTCTTGAGGCTTCTCGCAAGTACCTCTTCGGTTCAATGGGTGTCCTTGGTCAGGCCAACGACTCTTTGATCTCTGGCGCCCTGATTGCTCGGGGGCAAGATATCGCACCTGTTATCACTGTCGCTCCTGACTGGGAGTCCTACTCTTATTCCAAGATCGACCTTTCTGATCCTGCTCAGAAAGAATTCTTTGAGGCTGCACTCGCCTGGGACCTGAAGATTGACGGTAAGGAATGGGTCGATGGAAAGAACGTGGGTGTTCTCATCATCCTCATATGACTCCTATCACTAATCAAGCCCCTTCACAGTTCAAGTAAATGTACTGCATACCCTTCTCAGTTGTGTACTTTACTGTAGATCATCTTACTTATATCTCGTTTCGCTCTATCTAGTTGTAGCATCTCACAAAATCATGAAACGCTTGTAGAAGCTTAAAGGCGAAAGACGAGGTTCCGCTAAAGGGGACCCATGAGTGTTCCAACTAGTGTGGAGCGGAAGCATGTAAGGTTTTCCGTCAATACTATGTATATCAACGATTTTAACTTTAGCGATGCGGTCCTCCGCCGCGTTTTGCTATCCCTGCAATATTTCTTGTATATATACGACAAGTGACTCACAGTATCTTGCGTGTTCAGAATGCATTATGCTGCCCTCATCATCATCTCACTTCTTACAACAGTTAGCGCGTCATATCAAAACCCTCTCATTTACGAGTATCCATTCGCTGGTACCAAAGAAGACAAACGAGAATCCTCGTCATACAAGTTCAAATGGCCAATACACAAAGTTGCAATAATCGGCGCTGGGGGAGGGTATGGTGGTGTTTTCTATTTCCTCTATCTGACCGCACGCTAACGTTTTGTCTCGAAAGAGGTCTCGTCGCCTACCGCGAATTCAAACGTATGGGGTACCAAGTCCGCATCTTCGAAAGGGATTCTGTTCCGGGTGGGAATTGGCATTATACAGACGAAGTTCCGCAGAATGCGCCTGTACCGAACCTGGACCCATCTGAAGCTGACTTTCGACCGCACATTCCCCCAAGTGACGTGCTCCTACCATATGAAGAGAATTTCGTCGGTATTGAGCCCGGCAAAATGCTAAATGCCAGGCGGGAACACAGGGCACCAAAGCCGATTTGGCATTCCCTGACGTCGACTGCTCCCAAGGTATGTACATTGATACTTAAATGATAAATGTACCCAACCGTTTTTCTTCCTTATCAATATTAGCAAAACCAAGAGGTAAGAATTTTGTCCATCTTCTGTTTGATCCAGTTTTACTTTTTGCGTTTGAAACCCCAGCTCAGAGAACTGCCTTGGCCAGACCATACCCCGTTGAGTACGTTATCGTTCTCTTTGACCTACCGTCACTACCCTTTCATATTAAATCTTACCGTCCAGCATTAACTCAAAACCATTTACAACGTTACGTCCGCACGTTTGCTTCCCTTCATGAGATCAACAGTAATGACAATAGCCCCAACACATCATACAACACCCGTGTGGAACGCGTCGACAAGCGTTTTGACGCAGATGGAAGAAAAGTTGGATGGACCCTTACACTGCGCAAGTTCATTGAGACTGGACCAACTTCTTACAAAATACAATGGTGGACAGAGGTTGGTACTAGCTGTATACTTCTTGATGTCTCCGCTGCTAGTACTTAAAATTTATTACGACCTTAAACAGGATTTCGATGCAATCGTGGTCGCGTCAGGCCGCTTCTCCGCTCCCAATCTCCCTCGTATACCTGGTCTTTCACAATGGGCACAACTCTACCCGGAACTCATCTCCCACTCCCGTCAATATCGTCGTCCGGAAGAGTTTGCTAACCAGACTGTTTTGGTTGTAGGTGGTTCTGTCAGCGGGACAGAGATCGCTGAAGATATAAGCGGGAAGGCAAAGAAGGTATTTTTAAGTGTCAGGCCGCATGAAGGTTAGTACCGTATTGTTGATCAGGCAGTCATTGAGCTCTTCACCCGACGATCTGTATGATCTAATCGCTTTGTTCCAGATTCTGTTTTCCGCGAAACAAGAAATATGTACCTATCACGAGTGCCCAACAATGTGTCCATCGTGCCAGAAATCAAGTTCTTCCACCCGTTGCCAATTCGACCGACAGATTCTAGCTCTGGAATTCAATCAGGAGAAATCGAATTGATCAATGGCACTGTACGTGGTGAATTGCAACTAAGACGTCTAACTGAGTGCGTTTCTGTTCCTAGCTGCTACGAGGATTTGATAAGGTCATATTTGCCACTGGTAAATTTCGTTTGGATCAGTCTCTGGCGTTCCCATCTGTAATTCTGATACACCCCAAGGATTCCGATATGCGTTTCCTTTTCTGCCACAATACCACGATGCTTCTCTACGTCCTAATGAAACAATTCCGTCTGCAAGCGGACGACCCCAACCACTCGTTACGGATGGAACGCACATTCGGAGTCTTCATTTAGATCTGTTCTACATCGAGGAACCGACGATAGGATTTATCAACAGTGAGCAATCTACCTACCACTATAACTTAGTCAAAATGAGACAGACCTTGATTTTTTTGGACTTACAGTGAACCTAGGCATCGAGTCATTCATGTACTCTGAGTTCGCCGCTTCCGCTATTGCTAAGGTCTGGGCAGGTCAAGCAAAGCTACCATCCACAAAGCAAATGTGGGAGCTACATTGGAAGCGCGTAAGGGATGCTGGAGGGGCATACGGGGGACAATTCATGTATCTGGGAAGTGCAAAGGAAGCAGGTAAACCTTACCAGAGATCGACCTGCGTTGATGGACTTTGATGATCTTTCGTAGCTATGGTTCGATACATTGTTGGTTGGCTGAACGAAGACGCCGTGAAATACGGTGGACATCAGGTTCGATTTGTTTCGAATGTTCTTGGCAAAATCTACTAACACAATATCCATTCTCACTCTGTTCTCGGAACGTATAGATTGACGGTCCGTCAGAAAAGTGCGTTACTTGGATTCATTTCCTGCACATATTACTTAGCAAAATTCCTCATCTTTTTCAAACCATACATATATCTCGTGCGCGCGCTAGTCGTCATCAAGTATTCCTGGTCTGGGTCGTAGCTCAATTTCCTGATTACAACGTCAAGTCCAATCAGTCAGCTTTTAGTGTTAGCGGTGGAAGCTTCGGATTAGATGTTGAAGAGCAACGAAGGCTCGTCGAAACATGGACTGCTGGGAGGGATGATTGGTGAAACGTACATAGACGTTGGGAGTTTGAACTGCATTAGAAAATCGCATTTCGCGGTAGATGAATGTACAATTTTCAGTTTTCTAGTTTTCCTTACTTTCTCTGTTAACTAGAACATAAGCGTGGGTTGGTATGTATAAGTACTCTATCCGATACAAAATCTGCAACAAAAAAAACTAAAACAACCAATCAACGACGCCAGCAGGATTTGAACCTGCGCCCTCAAAGAGGAACAGATAAGGAAATTCGAATCTGTCGCCGTAACCACTTGGCTATAGCGCCGATGTGGAGTGTATTCATCTGTGCCCATTGATCCACATTTGATAGGCTGCATAGTTAATTCTGGTTGTAAAATACGTTCCTCATATCCCTACAAACTTCTCTATATTCCCCCTCAATCGATAAATCCCATTGAAATTTCGGACTAGCATGTTTATCCCAGCCGTGGGTGGCCTTCTCTATAACCTTGATACCAACCCCTTGCCTACCAACTTCTTCAGATATCAACCTTTCGCAAAACCTCTCCGCTTCTGCTCTCAATTCGTCCCACTCACATACCCGTATGGTGATGTCATGCGGGATGTATTTTTTCAGCATTTCCGCAGGGGCTAGACCTGGACTAAGCCAAGGCAATTTTTTGTCCGCTTGTTCAATTCCGAGGAGGAAGCAATTATCGACGAGATTGGTGAACCATGCTGGGAGATTTTTATCTTGTCGAATATTTGTTGCCCTGCGTTGCGCTCGACTGTGACAGTAATTAACACTAGGATACCATGCGGCAATGAAGACAATGCGATATTCCGGGTCAACGTATGGACCCGGAGTTTCCTTCCAGTCGTTATTCACTGCTGACAATTGTCTCCTGCTTCGCATTTCCTCTCCTAGCCTCATTGGAACCCCAAACGTTAAACTCCCACCGGCGGAAAACCCACTCATAGCAATACGATATGGGTCAACGCCCAATTCTTCGGCATGAGATATTATCCAGAGCACGGCTTCTACGCCGTCTTCTACAGCGGCAGGGAACGGATTTTCGGGTGCCAAACGATATTCCACAGAAATTACGACTGCGTCAACATACTCGGTGACGGAGCGGGCCCATCGAGCGTCGTCAGTTGCGTGACCGAGCATGAACCCGCTCCCGTGAAAGTTGACCACCACAGGTCTAGAACGTTTGGGCTGTGATAATGAGTTTCGTTGATCACCATTTCCAGGGTAATAGACTTGAAGAACGAGTTCTTCATTTTTCGCCTTTCGTTCTCTTTTTCCATTCAAACTTTCATCATCCAATATGCTCCTAGGAATCCTGATGGTCTTCGACGGTTTAGGTGGTCGTGGTTTGGCCAATCGTTCAATCAAAAATCCTAAGTTTGTGAAGAATCGAATTGGAAGAACTTTGAGGCGAAGACGCCATTGTGGTGAGTTCGTTGCCGACATATCTTTCTTATCCGCCCCCTTGAGCTTCAAACTCAATTATATCCTGACAGAAAAGTCTTGATTACAAACTCCACCTACGTCACGTACATAGATTGGGATAGGCACTCAGGCACCGAGACCGGTCAAAGCTAGAAATACGAGACATTGCTTACATAAGTTGAGGAACAGTGAATGATCATTAACATTTTCAAGACTAAGATAGGCCATTACTGAGGCTTGATGCCTTACAAGGGCTCTTCCTAGTTGCAGCTAGGAAGCTTCCCTACGGAACCACTCCACCGTACGTAACCATACTACTTTCGAAGCTTCAACCCCTTCCAGAGGATGGCCTTCACCAGGAAATACCATGATCCCAATGTCATCCGGAGAATCTGTCCTAAGAGCCTTCAAAGCATGATAATATCCAATACCTTGAGTTGGCGCAACACGTTGGTCAGAATCACCTATCAGCAATAGTACAGATGCAGTAACTTTGTGGACGTGTGCAATGGGCGATGCGTAATACAGTTTTGAGTATACTTCCGGCGTCATGATGCGAGGAGGGACAACGGCCTTGAGGGATGTAGAGGAGCCTGTATAACCAAGGGGAAGGGACGAAAGTGCGTAGTCAATGCCGAATTCGGAGAAATACCAGTCCTGTATGTCAGAGGTCGATATTTCTCCTGCGGATATGACTGGGTTTCGTAGGACAGCTGAAGTAAAAACGTGTGGGTACTGGCCAATCACTGTATATCAAATTTAAGCAGCTTTCTAGGATTTGAATGTGAGGATACGAACAGTGTCCCAAAAGGAAGCCTCCATGGCTACCACCACCAAGGAACATTTTACCGCGTCCCTCGTTTGCCACACCGATCTTCACGAGGTGGCGGACAGATTCAATGCAATCGCCAACATCCAATGTACCACATTGACCAATAAGAGCCTGTATGTATTTCTCTCCATATCCAGTGGAACCCGTGTAATTTGGAAGAGATATGGTATCTGCGCAAGAAAAATGAGACCGCCTAAAGAATGCTGGAGCATAACTTACAGCCTTCGAGAGCAAGGAAGCACACTGAAGCTGTATACGTCACTGTGCTAGCTCCGTGTGGACCACCATGAGGTATGGTGATACAGGGATGGATCTTCTCGTTGTCTTTCGTCGAACTGGAACTTTGTTGAACTACTATAGTTTCTGTCGGAAAACGGTTAGGGATAGGCACGATTTTGACTGTCAGAGAATTCAAGCGTGTGCGAACTAAGGATGGGAATCAGAAAGCGTTATGCAGTGAAATTCAGAATGGGCATACGTTCCGCAGAGATCGATGTTTTGTGTATCGTAGAAAAGCTGCAAGTGCCATCTGTGTCGAACTTGACTAATACCAGCTCAAATGGACTTGTGAGCGAGCTTCGGACGCACACAAACTGATCTCCTTTTGCCCCCAAAACTGTAGACCAGCTCAAGAGTTTCTCATCGGGTGGCGTGAGGTCTTTGACCGCCCCATCAAGCAAAGAAATGAGAACGATCGTGAAACGAGAGCCCCAGTTGGTTGAAGTAACGATATAGTCTCCTGCACCCCAATTTACATGTGTAGTCCGAGGTAATCCAGAGTCTGATAGATATAAGCCCGGAAACTCGTCTTTAGCAGGTTCCCATACCGTATCGACGATCGTCTGAGTTTTGGAAGGATCTATATCACTGGTGATCTCAAGAGAATGGAGCGCCGACGTGGCGCCATGTGCACCGCCTGTGGGTTGTGAAATCCACAAGAGGGTGTCTTTCCCGTTGGATTTCACCACACGGGGTGACCTGCATGATAAATGAGAGGCAGTCAACTTTATCACATTGCATTTCCAGGAGTCTGCATCGTTTTGAATCTCTTGGGCGGGGGTGATTGATAGCTGCCAGATTCCTGTTGGACGGTTGTAACAACTTCTAATCCCGAGAAGCCTCTCATCCGAGGCAGTCTCGTATCCAGTTGCATATATCTTGAACTCAGAGGAACGTCCGAACAGCGCTTGACCAAAAAACACCGGCGCGTCGTGTTCCAGCGAAACTAATTTGGTAGCCCGCCAGTCGAAGAGAAACAAGACGGGAGTATGTTTGCCTGCGAGACCTTCTCCAAACGGTTGCCTGTAATTAAACTTTTCGAACGAATTTTTCTCTGTCGGTTTCTTTTTTTCGGCAGTATAGATGATGAAGTTTTCCGAAGGCGAGAAGCATAGTGAATTGAAGAAATCTAGAAACAATCAATAGTTATAACTAGGACAGTGAGCAGTATCAAATCAGCTCGCCATCGGCGTAAAATATCCCATGAACATCTGTCACGTCCTTACACGCCAACATAGCTGGATTGTTATTCCAAACTTCGACGAATCTCTTCTTATCCTTTTCATCTCCCGTCTCTCTCAGAATGACCTTGAGATTGCCAGACGGAGAGTAGGCCGTACTGACGACGCCAATGATCTCCTCAGTCACGGTCACGGACATAGTATTCAAAGTATATGCATCTAGAGGGATCGATTTTGATACGATTCGTTTCACGTTTCGAGTATTATCAGTGATAGAAAACTGAACCTGGACGACTTTGGATACGAAGATTTAGGCACATCTCTATTGGGGCAGGAAAGCTCACCATGATTGTGCAAGAAAGCCGCAATGGGAACAGGAACAGAGGTTAATTCATCATAGGTTTGTATCGACATCTTGAAGGATACGGTTCTTGTTCAAAACAATAAATTTCCACAGTGATGGAAGGATGAGAAGTCCGGCAGGATGTTCCCTGAGCGGCCGGCATAGTTGCCATTCGAACTCTTTTCAGTTTTCTCAACCCCGTCTCAACCCAACATGCATTCGGAAAACTTGAAAACTTTGAGGAGAGAAGAATTCGGATATACGCTGTCATACAGAACGCGATGGTAAGAACTCGTCCATAACCCATTCTTTTCCTCCAGTCAGATTTTCAACATCTGAAAGTTTCACGGTCTTAAGTAAATCTTCAGATTGTTGACCGTGTCGATTTGAAGGAGCGACAATGACCAGTACCACCATATAAACAATTCCATCTATTACCACCTTTTCGACTCAATAGTCAACACGTATCTCCTAGAATCCTGTGGACAGAATTCTCAAGAGTCGCACTCAATCGGGCTTGTCGTTTCATCCTGGTGTCAGGTACACGTTTCTTGTTACATTGCCCCTTTTTTGACCTCAAGCTAACTTATGCGCAGTTTTTTGCTCCGTTGTCGTTCCCAGATATCCTCGATCTCTGTCTCCGAGTCAAGAAGCTTGGCGACAGCTCCGTGACGTATGAAATAGGTGTATTCAAACAAGGATCAAATTCACCTACGGTTGTCGGAGGGTATATTCATGTCTTTGTAGACCGCAAGAGTGGAAAGAGAACTGCTATACCCCTTGCTGTTCGAAATGGCCTGGAAGCGTTGACATCAAGCGCAAGTAAATTGTAGTTTAGGTAGGTTATTTTAACTGGGGGATTCAAAGGCCAATACCGAGTTTGCAGATGTAAATTCATTCTTGCACTACCGAGTCGAAATCAAATGAAATCCATGCTTCCATACAAAGAACGAAGATCCAGTGTTTAACCCACAACTGATTACCAACATACGGTGAAAGCTACATTCTTTCACTCATTCCTTCTTTCCTTTGGCTTTAAACAGTAAACCAGGTCATTTTGTCAGACAGCACGACAAAAGCTTGACGACAGTTGCGCCGACGACCGGTCACGGAGTGTCACGGCGGCCGCGGGATGTAAGCAATCTTTGAAATCTAACAGGCAGTTCGGTATTAACAAGCTATCAGTATCGACCTATGTCGAAGCAGCACCACATCACTGACCCCGACAGTTGACGCGTCAGAGCTGAACTGATTCCTTCCTGATCCAGAATCTTTGCGCATTTTGCGGTTTGTTCAGGGACAAGTTTAAGCCTAGGTCCTTCGAGACCATGTTCTGATATGTTTATCAGGGTCGTCTCATTAGACTTTGTTCCTATTTGTAACCTCCCGCAACCTACCGTGACCCTTTAGGATTCATTTTCTTCGTGTAACTACTTGATTTTGTTTCAATATCATCAAGATTGTCTTCCTGGTCCCACTCCTTTTCCTTATCAGCCTCTTGCTCTTTTCGTCCTTTCTCCTCTCCTTCCAATTCTTACAAATGAAATCTTCAAGTTCCGTAACCAGCAGCCACACTATGTATGAATCCGACAATGACCAAGATTATCCCTTGTACACCATGTCTTCCGCGAAGACCACGCACAATTTGCACCAGTCTGTTCTGGTCATAGGTTCTGGAGCAGCCGGACTGGTCACTGCGCAGACTCTCATCACGGACGGGTTTACAAACGTCCATATTTTCTCGAAAGATAGTCACCCTGGCGGGGTATGGGAACACAACAAAGTCTATTCGGGTGTTTTTATAAACAAGTGCGTTCAGCAAATTTCAATTGGGTATGTCATGTTGATGATATTCTTAGCCTATATGGCGACTATCGGTTCTCTTCCATGGAAATGCCTCGTCACCCCTCTCGGGATCCCAAGAACAACAGGCTTAGTGCAGAGGACATGCAATTCTATTTCGAGAAATTCACAGAGACGTACCTTCGAGATCGCATAAGCTACGAAACGGAGGTTCTGAACATCAGGCGCCCCAAGCCTCCGTTTGACTCTGATCCCCCCAATTGGATAGTGAAATATCGGAAGAAGGGGAAGAAAGGAATGCGAGAAATGGGCTTCCATAGGATCATACTATGCACAGGGGTACGTGCTGCTTTGTTTGCGTGACCATTTTTCTTCAATTTACAGCCTTCAATTTCAGGGATGCCACAAACCACGTATCCCTTCTGCTTTCTCCCCTTCTGCTGTGAAAGCCTCTGGATTCCTCGGACCCGTCATTCATTCTTCAGACTTCCGGGCCAAACTCGATACGATTTTTGCTGCCGTGCAACCATCTGATCATCATCGTTCCATGCAACCAAACTCTCGTCCTGATCCATATCTACCAGACCCGCCGAGCGCCGAAGATCATGGAGCGGGTTCCAACTCTGATGAAAATGACGGTGGCGGGGTAGTCGTTGTAATCGGCGGAGGCAAGTCTGCCCAAGACATTGCCGGTTTCCTTGCAAATGAGGGTCACCATAGGAATGTGTGCATGATCTACGAGAAGACTGATGCTTTCGTAGCATCCACGACGCAACTTTCGAGTCGAATTCGGAGGAGTCGGTGAATAAAATAACTGAAAGTGTAGATGCGTTGCACTAAGGTTCTCCTTCCTATAGTATCTTGGGTGTCTTGAGCCCACATTCCGAGTTAAGGACGCCTCTTGAGTGCGTGTTCTTGTTTTCATATTGCACCTCATCTGATTAGGTTCACAGACGTTTCTTACATAAGACTTGGTTAGGGAGTAGAACCGTCCGAGGTATATTTGATATGGCTTCGAGTTACTCGGTGAGTCTCCTAGTCCTTCACCTTCCATTGATCTGCTACTAATGAAATGTCCTTATCATCAAACTTCATCCTCCTTATCCAATTGTAAAACAGTTCAAATCATTTCAAATCCCACCCAACTCTCCTCTGCGCCTGAGTCAAGAACCTTTCTGGAGCTTACGAGTAAACGACGAGGTCTGTCGTAGAGGGAATAGTTTTCACGTGCTGGTCAATGAAGGCAAAATACACATTGAAGCGCCAGCGAAAGCTGTGGAATTCGGTGAAGATGGGAGGTCGATTGTGTTGAATGATGGAAGAGTGATCAGAGCGGACGCGATCGTGCTGGCTACGGGTTACGAGTCTTCGTGGACTGATCTGTTTGATGGTATGTGTATCTACTATGATAGTGTCTTGTACGTAGTTTACTCATGCCGATCCGTGGACTTCGCTTTCCAGTTCAAACGATCAATCAAGTTGGCCTCGGGAAATATCCTCCCCAATACGTCTCACTTGATGCTTATGACCAAGAATGGAAAGGATACATGTCGTTGAAGAATCCCCCTCCTGCACCTGCGTGAGTTTCCTTTTACCCTCATCCCATCTCCGGCCATTGGAAAGGTTTACCATTTGTCACTTATACAGCGTCAACCAGCAATGGATGAGCTGTATTTATAGAGGGATCGTCCCCGCAAAGAACATCCTGAAGCGGGATTTAGCCATTAATGGAGCTGTGGTACGCGCGTATCTCTAATTTTCGCCCTCCCCCATTTGAGCACTCTACACCGTTACCTGCCTTTCATGCCTATGCTCATCATCCTTCTTCATGCCTCTACCCACCTTCCAGTTCTCGACAAACAACGGCTACGTATTCGAAACCACCGCACACTGGATATCGTCATATTTCCTCGAGGATTCCTTTTTGCAACTACCGGCTGGTATCAAGGAGGCCGTTCAAAGCACGGAGCGTACGTCCGCGTGGCTAAGGAGAAGGTATCCGGACATGTTGCATTGGACAAATGAAAGTCACAGTAGTGATATTCAATTTTGGAGGTGAGCACTTTGTTCACGTTCGCTTTCTTCCTATTTCTCTTATAACGTTTTCGCACATCTCTTGTAGCTGGCCCCAGTACACCGACGATCTCCTTCGGGATATGGGTTTACGCCATGGTAAAGCTCGGACAGGAGGAAATGCGCTGACTTGGTTGTTTAAACCCATTGAGGTTGAGGTCATAAAGGATCTAACGAAGGAGAGAGCTGCATTGAGGATGCAGAGTGCTTGAGTCCCGACCTTCCCACCACTGTGACACCTATCTGCATGGTAAGTACTGCTTAAGGTAATGTGAATGCAGACGGTCGCATTTTAAGCCTTATCCTGGCTGTACTCAAGAGGGCACGGCAGCACGCCGAGGAAGAGGAGCCTGGAGGGAAAATCGACACAAGTCTTACGGATATACTCGTAGTGTGCAAGAAACAACAATATGTAATAAATGCTCGAGATTGCACGAGACAAGTTGAGCGTGTCAAGCCAGGTCCCTGTCTTGGCAACCGCGGCAGAAGTTTAGTGGAGGACATTGCTGGTCCTTGGAGAACTTTCACACCTCGCTTCCTAGGAGGCATAAATGTTATTCAAATGTTTCCCGCAGATTATATCACAGCAGTTGTGTTTCAACAACTTCAATAATGTATCATTGCGCAGCTCCGGCCCACTCAGTGCTGGTTTATTGTTTTCTGAAAATCATGAGCTCGGTACCTGCAAGCTTAAGACTCACTGCGACTTACTAACTACCTAGGTATCTTCGGCTCTTCGGATAAATGTTTGAGGGTAAGCATCTTTGGTGCCACATCTACACATGTACTGTATGTTTCCCCGACTTCAACTGCTTCGACACCGAATTTGGGACAAGCATACGCATATCTTTTGGGAATAAGAATCTGTTTGAACGAATAAGAACCTCGGAAAGACTACCCTTGACAGACTGGAGTAAGCTTCTCCGCGTTATGCGTATCCTGAAGCCGGAGATAAACTGCTTTTGGCTGAAGCCGGCGTTGCAGAGGAAATCTTGACACTTGTGTTTCATGCCGGTTTCATGTTATTGGAATTTTCTAATAGGGAGTTGGCCAGTTTTGGGTTTAAGCGCCATTTCGGTTTTACACGGAAGGTGGATGAAGCCTCAAGGCCTCAACATTCAATTACTGGAGAAGGCAGAAACTTACAAGATATTGTCCAACGACACAGAATTGAAGGACTCCTCACTTTGAGTCAAATAGCGAGGTTGCGAGTTGCTCAGACTTGCGCTAACCGACGGAGTCGGAGAAAGCCGAATCTGACGCCGTGGAGGACGTATATATTCAAAGACTTTCGGCATCAATACATATTGAACGGTACCTCCTCTTTCAACAAAGCCCATCTTACCATCTTGTCTTCATCTTGTTAGAGCTCCTTGGTCAACATCTATTACTGATCTTCGTTTGCTGAAGAGCAGTAATGCTATCATCTATCACGTCTTTTCTTCCTTCTGCGTTACAGAACATCAACTCAAATTCCCATGCGAGCCCACCACCAGTTGTTGATGATGACGATGAAGACGACGAGCACGATGTGAAGCCGGGCGGAGCGGCTCCAACGAGGAAGAAAGAGAAGAAGGAAAAAGGTGCCAATGAAGTCCGTTTCTTTGATAACTTCAAACTTCATGTATGTGTGATCTAAAGGGTGTTCGTACAGACTTTTATATTCGTACGACCACCACCAGCCAAGTCAAATCACCCTTTGAACCTTCAAGTTCAATTAGTTCCTCCCAACTCTCAAACTCCTGGGGTGACAGGTTCCTCGACATCCACGCCTCGGCAGTCTCTTGATGATGCAGAGCTTGCTCCGCCTCCTAGTCTTCTGACGCATAATCAAGCCGGTGCAGACACTGTTGGAGAACCTCTGGCTCGAACTTCAACAACTCAGTCTTCTCGCTCTGAAGTATCCACGTATTCATCATCAGGATATACATCCACAGCGTCCTTTTCTTCTGTGGGGTCTACTGCCTCAGGGCGGCGGCTGATCATACCGCTGTATAATCTTCAGGCCCATAATGTCATGACCAACACCATAGTAGATGCTGGTACAGACGCGAAGATTGCCAGATTCACGCGAAAAGGCTTAGAGATGATCGATCTAGCTGTAATGGAAGTTGTCGAGGTCTGGCCTACTCCTTCCGGTGCCGCTACTTCAACAAACACGAACACTACCGGTGCTCGAGGAAGCATAGATGAAGGTCGTACACTCCAAAATCGTCCTTCGACGATAGGAACTGTCCCTCTTCGATCACGTCCGACAACACCAGATCCAGAGCGTTTGACTCCAGGTTCGTCTGTCGTATCCGTATCTTCCGCTGGTCTTTCTGCAACAGATGAACACCATTTGCCTCAAAACCCTACTGCGGTACCTATTCGCGTCGCACCGCAGAAGCGAAACATCTTTGGAAAGTTGTTCAAGAAAAAAGATACTTCCTCGTCTCCTGAAAAGACACCGACATTACCTCCTAAATCTATCATTCCTCCATCCCCCACGAGTTTGATAAAGACACCTGTCCAAACCCCTACACATTCAGTCATCCCACCCTCCCCTACAAACTCATCGCGTCATGGCCGAAATCTATCCTCATCCATGACCAACTTTGGCAAGCGTGGTGCTTCGGCCTCACCTAGTCGGCCAATGACATCTACCGGTGGTGAAGGCACTGGCCTTGGACTCAGAAGTCTCATTAAGAACGCCCGGCCCTCTAGTATGCACCTAGACCCGAACGACGTTCAACCCCGTGATTTCGCCTACGATAATAACGATTTCGGTCCCAAATCGCAGGCGGCAACGGCAGCCCTTAGTACAACATCTTCACGCATCAGCACGGCTTCGAAGATGAGTAACAACAATACTCTTGAACCTCCCTCCATGTTTGTCGCCGCTACTGGTGGTTCTTCCACTTCCAACGCCGTAATTTTACCTGCCACATTAGGAATCCAACCCACTCTCTCATCACCAGGTGGCCCAATAGCCTTATCTGCATTTGTCAACTTCACTTCTTCTGGCTATCCTCCGCCAAAGAGCATGGGGTTTGGCCGAGGCCCTGCGCTATATGTTTGGGTTATCCGGAAATGGATTAAGACCCCAGAAGGTACAAGCGGTGCCGGGTTGTTTGGAGGAATGAAAGATGCAATAGGTAGCATGGGCGCTAACAATAATGGCAGTAGCATGCAGTCTGGACGTGGAATGCAGATGAGGATAGCCGGATTGTCCGAAATCGAAGTACGTGTGGAATGGAAACGCGGTAAAAAGTCGAAGTCAAAGAAAAAGGTCAAAGACAGTGCGCAAGATGGAGATGCGGAGGGTAGTACCTCCCGCGGTGCTTCTCATTCGCGGAGACAGAGCATTATCACTAACGAAACGAGTCCAATGGGGTCGGTTTCGTCGTTACCTGCAGCCACCTCAGAATCTTCCGAAGCACGCAAGAAACGACATCGTCTGAGCACTGCGTCAAAAGCGTCTACCAATGAGGATCCCGACACTACTTTGACCTCGTTCAGATTAGGACGAGGACGAGCAAAGGCGCAAATAACTGATGAAGATGATGACGGCAATGATAGTGATCCTGAGGACTCTGAGACGCCATGGACGTGTACGCTCAAAGCCCGGCACCTGGGTGTGGCAGGTTTACCACGTTCCTCGCCCTCACCCTCTACATCCACACCCATTAAAGTCAAAATAGCAACCCTCTCACCTATGCCACATCACCCCAAAGTCGTCGCGATGCTGAAAGTCCCCTATCCTCTCCCTGATCTTGAAGTTCAGACAATGTCTATCCGGAAACGGCCTATTGGACTACCTGGTGCTCCCCTCAACCAGAGATCGGACCCGGGCTCGCCAGCAATGGGGCTTGTGTTCAGGGCGGAGGAGATTAAGGATGTGGTATGCAGTACTGGGATATGGGTTGTCGTGCGGGAAGGGTTTGGTGGAGTTGGCAAAGTTTCTAGGAAGGGTGACGGATGGAGAATTCGGGCTTGATTTCTTCAGAAATATAGGCGGTACCGGGCTAACCGAACTGCTCTCTCAGCTTTGTTACAAAACATCATCAAGCCATATCGAGACCACGAGAATATATTTAAAGATGTACATATGTATGCAGCGTGCCTCATCGTACCTCCTCCAAACCATTACTTCTCAATAATATAATTAATTCATCATCGTTGAATATGACAAAAATGCTAGGATGCCGTGCACAAGAGAAATATATATTTCATTGCAATTGTAAATGGCAGAGGATGAGTACTGATGAGTATGAGTATCAATCTCGATTGTAGTGGATTGACACACCACAAATATATCTTCTAGATGTACACCAATGCGCACAGAATCAAAGATTTTGGGAACTCAAGGAAATTGAGCACAACAATACACGGATTGTATCACAATAATCGTCCGAGATCGTTAGAATTGTTACAAAATCATATCTCGAGCTAACAGTGATGGAAGAAAAGGTGATTCCTTCACGAGCTGGAATTTTGGAGAAGACCAAGAGGTTGCTGCAGCCAAAACCTTTCTCGCGTCTCTAGAGTGTGAGGACATAAGAAAAGAAGTATTTTTTTTAGAAATCAAGAAGCTTACCGTGAATCTACTCGAACAACGGTCTCTAGTCCATCATCTGATACCCACAGGATATCGAGATGAATCGAGCCCCCAGTTATGCCGAATGAATCCAGAAGCGCCTGATGAATATTTTGTCGAATGCTGATCTCTGAAGTGACTTTAGGTTGCAACTCAAAGCGGAGATTCCCGCTACCTTTAGGGTAGAGGGTCTTAGTGGACCCAACTTTTCAATTCTGAGGAAATTGGACCGATGCTGTCAAAAACCACGTTTTATCTGTCAGAATCACGTTTCTCATGCGACATCCCGCGTCAAGATTGTGCCTCCCGTGACGCCGACGGGTTTTTCAACATTCCTTAACAATTCACCTACATGTCGTTAATTATCTGTGGGCACAACGCTTCCGCTGCTTTCGACCCGAGCATATTTTACTCTGCAATATCTCGCTCTTTTCTCACTGCTGACTGTGGAACCCCTTGCAATAACAGCACCTTTCAATCATTGGTTACATTTAGGACGCCGTACACAGCATACACGATACTCGCCGACTTTATCGTATTCGATGAATTGCAAGGGTTCAATACTGTCCTGGGTCTACAAATTTGGCAGTCTTGCGAAAGACTTAGTTGCACAAACTTTGTTTTGGCCATACCCCGTATTCAATCCGCCCTTTGCATACCGTTACCCCTTTTTCCGTCTCGGGCTTCGTTGGGTATGTTGCTGTGGACTCTTATTCGTCATGGTTTTAATTAGTTGATAGGCTCGGTTTCGTCACCTTCTGTTCCCTCTGGAGGCCCATTCGGTAAGTAACTGTGGGTTTGTCCTGTCCTGTTTTTCATTAGCTGTCAGGTTCGACCTTGTCTACACATGTTACGACTCAAGCTGCATTGACCGATGGTCTCATAATAGCTGCACCCCAGTTGGCACACCGTCCTTCTGATAATATATCTGGGTCTTTTACACCCACTGCCTCGTCGTCTACGTTGACTGATCAGCCCTGTGCGAGCACGTTCTGCAAACATGATGGTATTTCTTCCGCGGAGTCATTGACTGGTTCCTGTGCAACTGTAGCTTCGTCGTCGTCGTTGCCTGATGAGCTCACTGTCAGCTTGTCGTCCATGCAGTTGCTCCGCGCCTCGTTACTCTGTAATTCAATTACTGGTATCCGGTGTTCTGCTTTTGTACAAGACATTTCTTGTTTAACAAGGTATGCTGCATTACATGGTATCAATTTACAAGGGATCGTTGATATCCGCGCCTGTCGACTGGCGGTTCTGCATCACATTCTCACAGGTCACTGCTTTGCTTACAATGATAATAATCCTCATGCTTGTCGGGCCTTTGCCGCTGATTTTACTTCCAAATCCGATTATTATAGGTCAATTGCCGATCTCGTTCGTTCTTCTAAAGCTTCAGATCTTCCGGTGGACAAGCTTAAAATTATGCTGGAATCTGTATGCATTAAAGATAATTATCAGACCCGCGACACCCGTCGTCAAATGTTACGCAGTTTACAGAGATATTTGTCTCGTGTGCAGATTATGAACGTTGATGAGAGTAAAGTGTTACCGTCCCGCGCGACTGATATACTCACAGGCCTCGATAAATTCCCAATATCTGTTCTTCTGCTATATTGTCGGCAGCATGGTGTCGAAGTTTCAATTGCCACTGCTACGGTTACTCGCGTCCGTGATCTGTTAGGCCGTCATTTAGTGACGGGCACTTGTTATGGCAAGCATGATCTGGTTGGATGTCGTTCAGTTGTTGAATCATTTTTCCCTAGTGGTACACACACCACCAATAATCAAGCTGACGAGTTCAAGATTTTACTACTGGACCTCCTAAGGAAAAATATGAATCTTACTTCATTAAGAACTATTTTGGATATATTAGAAGTTAAACGCGGCAAGACTGACAACAAGAAGGAATTGCAGCGGCGCTTGAGATTATATGTCGACCAAATCGCGTCTGTCTCCGATTCCAAACGTGATATTGCTAGAACAAAATTAGAACAAATTAAAAATTTGTGGCCGGCATTAGTGCCTATGACTGTCAAAGAGCAATGCGTTCGAAACTTCATTCAACTTACATCCACTGAAAACTTGAAAATGTTTACATGCGCATCTTGCTCTGTTGAAGATCTCAAAACACACGTTTGCGAAGTTGATCATGGGTCAATCGATATGACATTGCTGAATGCACCCAATGTGAGATCATCTTCTAAATTCCCATCTGTGGTTGTGGATTCAAATTGGTTGGACGAGCAGTGTATTCCTCCTGAGTTACCTACCCCTCTGGCTGAACACCCGGAGGCGATTCTGGATAACAATGGCATCAAAATCTTGGAAGACGGTAGAAAGATGCTGCTTCTGTGTCGGTCGTGTCATTCAGCGTTGAAAAATAATAAGACACCAGCCCTTTCGTTAGCCAACCACCTCTTTGTCGGCGAAGTTCCACCGGAACTAAAAGAACTAACTGTCGTTGAAGAGGCTATGATATCGCGGTGTCGTGCTAAGAGCTGGATCATCCAACTCAAAGAAGAAAATGGGTTTGTCACTCCGACCAATCAACGAGGTTTGAAAGGGAATATCATAATATTTCCTCAGAAGGTATCTTCAGTAATCAAAACGCTTCCGCCCTCGTTAGAGGAACTATCTCAGCCCATTTGTGTAATCTTTGTTGGTTCTTCGCGCCCCAGTGATGAATGGCTTAGAAAACAAGCACGACCGTTGACCGTTCGGCCTGCCAAAGTACGGGCGGCTTTGATGTGGCTAAAAATGCACAACAAATGGTACAAGGACATCGAAATAAATGATGACCTGTTACATTCACTCCCAGATGAATTTTCGCTACCTGTTCATGTTGAGCATGTCGTACCCGACGATACGAACGAAGCTCTAACTTCCGGTTACGATCGAACTTCGATAAATCCTGATGAGTTACAGGGAACCGGTCCATCGTTTGAAAGCGTCGTGATTGCAGATGTCGACGGAAATGCTACTGTCAATGAACTTCGCGCGGCCGCTATGCGTCACATTAAAAAAGGCGGTTCTTATGCTGAAATCCCGCATGAAGTGAATCCTGTTAACGAATTTTTCAATCCATCAATGTTCCCGATGATATACCCTACTTTGTTTCCTTTTGGTATCGGAGGGTTTGAAGACCATCATCGGGCGTGCCCGTTGTCAATGAAAAGGCACGTCAAGCATTTGTTGTCGTGTAGAGATCGCCGCTTTCAAGAGCATTACTCTTTCCCATTCACGGTATTCAATATTTTGCAGCGGCGCGAAATGCTATTGTCGACTGCTTTAAAGACAAAAAGATCAAATTTTCCTTTCCTTGCTAAACAGTTGGCTACTGTTTCGGCTACCGCTGTATCTGCCGTTGCACGCCGTCTTGCTTTGGGTGAACCGGTGTCGTTCAGGAATTCTGAGGAGCAGTTAGTGTCTAAACTGATGGAGCAGGTCAACTTGGTTACTTCCAATGTACCTGGTTCGTCGTCCTCACTAGTAAATATGAGAAATCAAATTCGAGCATTAATGACTGACCAAGGCTTGCCCAGTTTTTATGTGACTATAAATCCCGCTGATGTATATAATCCAGTGGTTAAACTTTTGGCGGGAAACGAAATTGATATAGACAACATGCTAGACTCCGAAGTTCCTCGCTACTGGGATCAAGCGACTCTTATTGCAAAGAATCCTGTTGTTGCTGCGAAATTTTTCAATATTTATCTTCGATCTTTCTTGTCTGCATTACTGGGTTATGACCCCAGCCAAGAAAATCTGACGGGTGGTATATTAGGTGTTGTTAAGGCCCATTATGGGTGTATTGAGGCCCAAGGCAGAGGCAGTCTGCATTGCCATATGATGATATGGCTTGAGGGTGGTTTAAATCCCAATGAAATAAAGCAGCGTGCTATAGAGGACCCAGAGTCTGACTTTTGTGCAAGGTTAATCCAATTCCTTGATGAATCTATCTCTAACAGTGTTCCTCCGCTCCCTAACGAGCCAGTCCATGTGCCGTCTGATGATAAACATCCCTGTTCTGTCAGAGGTACGACGATGGAAGGTTTTGATCGTTCTATAATGACAAGTGAGACCGCTAAACAGAAGGATGTCCACAATCTAGTCATGAAATGTCAAGTACATACGCACAGCGGGACTTGTTATAAGTACTGTAAAGGCAATACTCATCCAAAACAATGTCGATTTGGATTGGATGCTTCGAATACTGAACCTATTACTCATTTCGATCCTGCAACTGGTGAACTGACATTGCGGTGTCTGGACGGATTAGTGAACAACTTTAATGAGTTTATTATTCGCGCTATTCGCTGCAATATGGATATTAAATTCATCGGGTCTGGTGCATCCGCTAAAGCTGTCTTGTATTATATCACAAATTACATTACAAAGTCGCAATTGAAAGCACACGTTGCATTTGCCGCACTCGAGAGAGCTGTGAGGCGTTTACATGAGCAGGATGTTGATGACGATCCGTTAACCGTTCGTGCTAAAAAATTACTGCAAAAATGTGCCTATATGATGATCAGTCAGCAGGAGTTGTCTGCGCAACAAGTGTGCACTCACTTGCTCGGACTCGAGGATCACTTTACTTCTCACTCATACCGTAATTTCTATTGGATTTCCATCGAACGCTTTCTCGATTCCCAGGTGCCTTCGCCTGAATGCGTTGTACCTAAAAAACCCCAAGAACTCCTTGGATCGATATTAGACGATGAGAGTGAAAGGACAACAATATCGACAACTGTTGACGCTCCTATCGAAAGAGATGTCGCCGACTGTGAGATTGAAGAACAATCCGACGACGAAGATGATGAAGTCACATTGACGGTGGATAACGATGGCGGTCTTGTTGCGAAAGCGACCCCTCTTGACGATTATCGGTTTAGACCTCCCGAGGTCGAAGGCCTTTGTTTGTGGGAAGCAGTGGCGCGATGCAAAAAGATCCGCATACCAGTGAAAAAATTTCGTGCCGATTCAACGTCTGAGCTTCAAGACCTCGTGAACATTGAGGAATGTGAGGAAAACACAGAATATGCAGACCATGATACCACAAATGATGAAACTTCTAATTCATTAGATGAAATTTTGGACAGCGATGCTCGTATGCGTCCCAAGTTCCGATTCGTCGCACAACATCCTGAGTATGAGAGCCATTTATATGTAGTGGAAGACAGCAAAACTCGGAAAGTCCCTGTTCCAATTGGTCCCACTATTCCCCGAAGAGATCGCGAAAACGTACGACCTCGATACTGTCGTTTGATGTTGATGTTTTTCAAACCATGGCGAAACGGGATAGATCTTCGTGAAAATCATGAAAGTTGGGAAGATGCATTCGACGTTTTCATTGAATCGTGTTCAATCAGAACAAAAGCTATAATGGATAACATGCAAATACTGCATGAGTGTAGGGATAGCCGTGACGACCACTTTGCGAACAGAGCTAACGCTCGCCGGCTGCGTTCGTCTTTTGCGGAAAACGAAGCACAGAATCCGCGTGAGGAACACGAAGATGACTTCCTAGCTGATATTGACCAAGAGACGGATATCATAAACCATTTGCTCTCCATAGAGATGACACATTCAGATGCCGCTGCAAATGCTAATGGTGAAGCTTTAGATTGCGTTAATCATATGGACGCGTCCGGTGCGTTTTGCCGTGATGTGCTTGCTATATCTCCGTCGGCTGAACACGAGAACGTCAGTCTAGTAGTAAAAATTACAGATGAGAATCCTGCTCACGAACAAGCGTGGAAGGACGCGTACGACCAACGGAAGCAGGATTGGAAACGCAAAGCCACTGCAGATCTTTCGGTTCCAGCATTAGCCGAGGGTACAACCTACGACGGGTCTATACGCCGTATCGAGGGTGTAACTTCAGTTAATGAAGATGCAGTTATTCAAGGCGGATTGTATAAACAGTATGAGGCGGATAAAGTAGACGTTGACGAATTCGTATTACAATATACCCCCCGAATGAATACAGAGCAAGAGAGGGCATTCAGGATCGTCGCATCGCATTCACAAGAGAAAAAACCGGCACCTCTCCGTATGTATCTCGGTGGGCCAGGTGGAACAGGCAAATCCCACGTAATCTCAGCCCTAAAGAATTTCTTTGATCAGCAGCAACAAACAAGACGATTTAGACTTGCGTCTTACACAGGTGTGGCTGCTAAAAATATCGCCGGAATGACCCTTCATGCCGCATTGTCTTTGGTTTCAAACTCTAACATGAAAAGAAATAGCAAATCACACAAGGACCTCATAGCGATGTGGCAAGGTGTTGACTATTTGTTTGTGGATGAAGTGTCTATGCTGGGGTGCCGTTTTATGCTGAAAATTAGTCGTGCGCTGAGTAAAGCAAAGCAAAATGATTTGCCTTTCGGTGGGATCAATGTGATCTTCGCAGGCGACTTCGCCCAATTAGGGCCAGTACGCGACCCTCGTTTATTTTCTTTTGTTGATACATCGAGAGTAGGCACTGTAAGTGGGCAGGAAGCTGTGTTTGGAAAGCTGTTATGGTTTGCTGTCACCACTGTTGTGATACTAACAGTTGTAATGCGTCAAGGGGGGGATGCAAATAGCTTATTCGTAGGCCTTTTGCAGCGCCTACGGACTGGCTCGTGTACTGTGGATGACTATGCCGTCTTGAATAATCGCCTTTTGTCAGTCGTAGCGCCTGACTGGAATTCCAAAAAATGGGAACACACACCTACAATCGTCTCTAACAATCGCATAAAAGATTTGCTCAATGAACGCGCAACTGAGGCCTATGCACGACGGACTGGTCAAAAGCTGCATTGGTACTACTCCGTCGATACTCACCTGGGTCACCCAGTGGAAAATCATGTCTTACAGGGTTATCTGAATGGCTTAGATTCTGGCAAAACAAACCAACGTCTCGGTCGACTCCCTCTTGTTATTGGTATGCCTGTGATGATAACACAGAACTTCGACGTCGAGTCTGGTGTTGTAAACGGTTGTCAAGGGATTTTGAAAAGTGTACGGTATAGAGTCGATGATCAGGGGTTTCGTCATGCGATTTCTTGCGTGGTGGAAGCCAAAGATACGAACGCGAGAGAATCTTTGCCTTTCTTGAGCAGCAATCAACACGTTGCAGTGATTGAAGACAAAATTAGTATGTCTTTCACTCATGAGTATACAAAGAAACGCTGTAATTTTCAACGAACACAACTTCCGTTGGCTCCTGCCTTTGCCATGACAGCGCATAAAGCACAAGGACAGACTCTTGAGACTGCGGTGGTTGACTTCGAATCGTGCCGTGGGACCGAGGCGCCCTATGTTATGGCATCACGCGTGAAATCGCTCGACGGTCTTTTAATTCTTCGACCTTTTCAGCTTAAGAAAATTCAATGTCGCCAGTCCGAAGATAGCCGGAAAGAACATACTCGTCTCAACATTCTAGCTGTGCATACCACGATGAGCCATGGTTCAGTCGGAGAACAGGCGGAAGCTAGAGTCAAGGTCGCTTCTTATAAATGGCAACCATGCTCCGTGCCCGACGAAGATCTGACTTCTGCTAGTCGACTAGCTGAAATTCAGAATGGGCTGAAGCATTTCGCGGAGATTTGTGATGGAGAAGATCCTGGGCTTAAGGTTTGTTCTTTTAGTTTTCGTTTATATCATTGGACTGACGGAAATGTCATATCCAAAAATGTAGACTGGGATACGTATCGCGAAAAGACGGGTTTCGAATGGTGACTGTCATGATTGCCCAACTGCTGGGTCGTCTCCAAAGAAGCAAAAGCGAGTTGTCTTCCCGGATTCAAAATAATGTCAACATGAGTGCAACACAGGGTACGTCTGTTCTTTGTACGAAGAACGCCTCCACTTTTCGCTAATTAATTCGTAGCAGGTGAAGATCATGACGTACGGTTGTCTATCGTTTGTAGCTCGGTCTGGTGGTTGCACCCGCTGCCCGCTTCTTAATTATTCCCTTTCGTCGCGAGTAGAATTTCCTGATTCTCCGTTTGCCTGACACTCACTGTCCTTCCTCAGTAACCGCATCTGATATATTTTCTTCTTCTCACTGTCGATCGATCTTGTTCGCCAAACGTAATTCATTGTGTTAGATGATCGACGAGACAAACGGCGGCCATATTGGCTGGTGGGAGATACTCGCCGAAATTAGGGTAGCTAAGCTTTGTGTTATGCACTGTGTCTCAACCGGCCCTGGTGGGTAAGTCGATGGCTCCTATTGGTACTATGCTTAAAGTCCCTTTTTTTTACAGTTATTGCTCAATTACCTTCTGCATGGCTTTCAACTATAAGTCCAACAGTTACCGATGCGCTTTGTTCGATGATCGTCTAGAGCCTGGGGGTATCTACGATGAGCTCGTCGACTCTTTTACCACTATGGGTCCCTCTGCTATCGCTAACGCCGAGTACGGTGAACACTTCTTCCGACGAAACTTCGGCGATACCTGGTCAGGTCATTACAGCTATCATGACGCACAATCACTTGAATTTTCCGCAAATCTTTTTGGAGAAATCCTCGGCGAAGTTCACGGTACTTTCATCGGTGCTCAAGGCAATCACTTTCCCGGATTTAACAGTAACAGAGTATGTTTTACTCTTCAACTATCTTTTGCAATGTTCACTCGATATTCAGCCCAACCAACTCACGGACCACTCCAAAGCACGCAGAACGATCGTTCTGGGATGCCCGTCTTTTGCTCCGCCCGCGTTAAAAAATCTATGGTACAATCAACTCTGCACCTTTGCAGGTATACGAGATGCGGACATTAAAGAAGAGAAGCGTTCTTTGGATGTTCGTCTTTGTCACTTGGACCTCGGCTGCTGCTAACTCACTCACAGACGGTTGAAGTCAAAGAAATCACCAAAGGACTTGATTCTAGTCCCCATCTCGATGCAATCACCTTGTCAGGAGGCCTAATCTACGAAGTTAGTCATCACCTTTCTTTGTTAATCGTTGTTAATTGGTTTTAGCTTCCAACTAAACCCAAAAATGATTCACGCAAACTGAATGAAGTTGAACACGGGAGAAAGATGTACAAAAAACGCGGTTACAACGAGCACAATAACGACGCACCGATCGATATCGAATCTTCTCGGTTGCTTGAGCCTTACAAATGGCCATTAGGTTACTTCTTTACCGCATCTTTTTTCTTCGGCGTTAATCGTTTGCGTAGCTTCAGAAATTTACTGCGGAGCTCTGTACGACCATAGATTGATGCCAGATTTTGGCGGACCCCTCTTTGCCTTGAAAAAAGCGAAACTTGTTCAACCCGATTGGAGAGACGTCGACGGTACACTTATCGTCCCTTGGAAAAATTTTTCGCTGTTGCGTCCAGGCACTCTCGTCGTCGCCAATATCAGTATTCGGGTTCATGTGCTTATTGCCAAGAATCCCAAGTTACCGAAACGCAAGGTAAGATTTGTATCCTGGCAGTTTTTCGGCTACTGAGTCAACATACCACAGGTGTATCAGGCTATCATTAATTCGTTGAAAGTCGTCGCCAAATCCGATATCCCTGTCGCTACTCCCGTGGCGGCCCTAATGGGCACTGAGAGTTCTTTCAGTCCACGCCCTACTAGTGCAGCTTTGAAAGCATTTGATGCTATCGGAAGTTCTTCCAAAAGTTCTTCGACGATGAACAAGTCAACGAATGAAGCTAACGCTTTCGATTTTCCGTCTTCTGATGAAGACATGGTCGATGATAATAACACCATCGCCCACAAAAAATCCAAAACAATTTAACTCTTTTTGTTGCATTAATTTGTTGCATTTATTATAATACATATAGCCAAGTCTGTACCAATCTTTTTCCAGACCGACTGAGTCTGCTTACGTAGTGCCGCTTCGTACCCCTCTATAATGACTTAATATTATCTTATCTATCAATTTGTTGAACCGGCTATTAAAAGATCAAAGCTCGGCCCGTGTTGAATAAACTTTCTCTTTTCATTACACGTTCACTGTAAAACCGAAACTGATGTTCGAAATTTCAGTTCATCTGCAACGTCGCGTTCCGTTCACAATGACTGACATCCTATGCTCCGCGGTTCGGTTGTCGCACTCCTGTACCTGATTCTCTGACGGCGGACTGCGAGCACCTCGATCACACACTGAGACTTCGACAGAAGGTACACGGCACCGACGGCGCGCTCCACTCACGATCCCAGACACCTTGTACGGTCTTTTTCATTGTTTTGCGCTCCAGTGCGTGGGCGCCGATCGGTGACTTGTCTGTGTTTCCTTTCGTCACAATAATGATTCTCTTTGTAGTTGTTTTAACTTGTCAAACTGCTAAATCGTTGTGTGGCCACAGGTCGAGTATCTTCTCCGATGGTCCGTTCACTGAAGACGACCAAAATGGTCGCTCAGAAATCGAAAATCACCACTTATTTTCATCGCCGTGTTATCTCGCGAAAAAGTGAGTATATCTGCACCACTTTCATGGCATTCACGCTGAAAACAACCAGAGCGTACGATGAAAAAGGTCGAAATATTTTTAGAAGACAGGTTGGGAGCTGAGACTTCATCGAGTCATGCCCATTCTCCTTGCGTTGATTTGGAGCAGACAGTGACTGTCGCCGATGAAGGCAGTTCGTTCGGTAAATTGGTTCTGGATGAACTACTCGCGTTTGACAAGTGAGTCTCTCTGCATTGGTGTACCTGGGCGCTTTGAACTGAACCGTCTTACAGCGATCTCTCGTATGGACCAGCAGTCGGTGCACCTCGAATGTTACGTTGGGAACGGGCTAAAGCATTGGAGTTGAATCCTCCCGAATATGTCAACGCATTTTTTTCAATGTTTTTACTTCACCTGAACCTACATCACAGTTGTTGCCGATACTCCAAATAATTGGACGCGTACCGAATCATCCATGGTATTACTCAAGGATCACGCACTTACTGAACTCGGTGAATGCAAGGCAGGATTAACCGTGGTTCGTTGCCTTAGACTCCTTGGATCGTTGGCAAATGGTTCCATACGTCAATGACTATTTAGTTCCACCGTTACCCCTTGTTTGATTACTTTGCTGTTTTTTTTTTTTTTGTCTCGGAATATGAACGGGTTTTTGCCTCGGGTGAAATGCAACGCCAAGCGGATTTTGGCTACAGATATATAAGCCACTTTTTTTTTTTGGTTTGAAGCTTCCTTACAGGAATCATTATGGGCAAAGAACTGTATGTATCATTTTCACCATTTAGTTGAATATGTATCTAACTGAGGCGCGCAGTCCATTGGATCTGTTGCACAACATCCTTAGCAATCTGTCCCCTGTCGAATTGGAGACTTTCGGGTGTGGCAGTTGGGCATTCAAGCGTTACGTTGATGATTACAAAAAGCTCGTTTTCGCTTTCAATAGGCCCTACGCAGGTTTTTTCGACAAGCAAATCGATCTTGCTGGATTTCAAGATCTACAGGTACTTCGCCTGTTCTTTTTACATGCAGACACATTGATTTTCGTTCGCTATAAGGCTACTACTGGGTTAATCGTATCGGGCTCGACCGCGCTCAGTTTTTTCACCCGTGTTGCCTATGGAGGCGATCTCGATACTTATTGCCAGTTATCACAAGCTAAGATAGTTGGTCAATGGTACGAGAGTCGTGGTTTTATCTTCGCGCCCACCGACAAACAAGACGTACTCTTTCATACTGACTATGAACGTGCAACGTTCAAAGCCGCCACTACTGCTGCCAATGTCATTACTGAAGTGGATGATGACATCCGAGAGTACAGGCTTAACAACATCGAATCGGTGTGGAACTTTATACGAGATAAACACCGGGTCCAGCTCATTGCTACGAGGGGTTCCCCTCTGGAAACTATTCTGTCTTTTCATTCCAGTTAAGTTATATCGCTCTAAGGTTTCTCCTCTTGCTGATCATGCGATGGGAATTAGCATGCGTCATGAATATACTCACGCATAGGGCGGCTTACTGTCTCTTCCCTCAACTTACTTTGGAGGAAAAGACGACATTGCTGATTGATCTGGTTTCTCCTCTAACGGAAATCCAGATGGCTGCTGTTCGCAAATATGCCTTGAGGGGTTTTACCATCCTTCACCAAGCCCCAACCGCTATGGCATGTAACGCAAATTCTGCTCTGACCTTTTTGCGACCACGTCGCGTGGGCGATAAACATTGTTTCAAGATTAATTTCGATCATTTAGGAAAAGGAGCGCCAAAGCCTGATTATATCGAAGCGAATACGTGGGGTCTTGCTTATCTTCGGAAATTCAACACTATGGACACATCCCAAATTGATATTCCTTCGCCTATACCTTTTTTGGCCTTCACTCAGGATCTGCTCAACATTGAGAGAGGTATCGAAAAGCTCAATGATTCCGATAGGAACCTTAAGTCAGCTTTCTTTTGACTTCATTGTATCACCCGATCCTCACTCTGTCGATTTAGCATTGAATCAGCGCTTTGGACCGTCCAATGTACACTAAACGAACGTAGTCGTCGCCCTCATCCGAGATGTGTAGCGTGGTTGGGATTGAAACAGATTATGGAAACTATCAGGGTTTCCACCACGCCCGATATGCTCACCGCTGCTACCGCACAGCTACTGTACGAACAAATCCTCATTCTTGAAAGAATCGCTTCTGGTAATATCGAGGTGTGTGTCGTCGAGCTCTTCTCCTTTGTTACCAACTAACTTCAAACAAGGTACAATCGTACATGACCCATGTAGAAGAACGGAACCCCATCTTAGTTGTGTGTCTTACCATTTCCCAAACCAGGGGTCACGTTGATTGGGATTCAATGCGTGCTTTCGCGCGTTCTTTTTCTGACGTTAATATTTGCCTTCGTCTCGTTTGTGATTTTGTATAAAGCTACTACTCTTTCCCGTGATGTGTGCCGAGTCATATGAGTACGCTGTTGTATATAGTAGCAACCTGTTCTCCCCGCTCAAAAAGTGCTATTAACAATACTTGCTTTTTCTGCTTTACTACCACTTGTGTCTGCAACCTGAGATGAATGGCGCTTTGGACCTTGTTTATGTAATCATTGTTACTTTTCCGTTTGACCACCTAGCATACCTCATCACAGTATGCTTGACTCTGTCTGCCAAGTCCAACGCCTGCGTTTATGCAGTGTACCGATGTAGTCCCAAGGGTTGAAGTGGCAGTCTCGAGGCTCTTGTCGCTAAACTGTGGAATGTGCGTGTCCAATCGGCGGATTATTTGGATACAGGTGCCTGTACCTCGACTTACCGATAGATCGTGATGTATAGTTTCACTGATCAGCACTCCGTGGCTTTCCATGTCTATCAAACTGGGTCTGGATTTTATGATCAAGGTAAAACTTAGACAGTAAAATCCCGGCTGCAATGCTTCTCGGCGGCCTGCCCTTGACAAGTGCGAGTTCAATCGGCGTACACAACGGCTGTATGGAACCTGTGCCTTCTGAAAGGTTTCACTGATCAGCGATTCTTACAAACTACCTTCTGAAATTTTAGCCTCGCAGTTTCGGCAGGGATTACATGGATATCTGGAAAAAATACAGTTGGGTGCCTGGTGAATTCTTTGAAGTCAGTTAGGAGTATAAATTGTTTGCCTCGAATACGTTCTTCGGTAACAATGTCTCAATTCAATTATCTCCCTAACTCACTTCCTTCGGCTACCTTCAAGATGCGCGCGAATCCTGGTGGCATCTATGACCGCCTTGCAAAATCGTTCACGGAAATGGGCCCTATTGCACTTGCGAACGCTGAAATTAACCAGGATTTCTTTCCTCACAACTTTGGTGAAAGTTGGTCGATGAATTACTCTTACAGGGACTGCGACTCCGCCTTGTTCAGTGCCAACGTTTTTGGTGAAATCGTGGGACAAGCTCACGGTACGTTTGTCGGCGCACAGGGTAATCACTACGCTGGGAAAGATCCTTCTAATGTGAGTGTTATGTGGCGTTGTGTACTGTGTCTTATATCACTTGGTATATTAGCCTACGGTATTGGATGATTACACAAAAACGAAATGCACCATCGTCTTAGCTTGTCCTAGTTTTGCAACACCTCCCATTACAAACCTATTTTATAACCAACTGTGCACATTGGATAGCGTCCGCGATGAGGACAAGAAGGGTGAAATTCGTTCCGGGCTTGTACGTATACTATTGTTTGTATTTTCGCAGATATCTGACAGCTATCTAAGTCTGTGGATGCTAAGGAAATTGCTAAATCTATTCGTACTGGAGGCGATTTGGACGCGATCATTCTTACTGGACCGGCTCTCTATACTGTACGTGGTTTGTCGCCGTGTTCGTTTAATACTCATGGATCTTTACCTAGGTTTTGAAGAAGGGCAAATCTAGTGGCAAAGACAACAATATCTCTGCCACCTCACCGCCCCGTCGGGCATTAAAAAAACGATCACTCGCTGCAGCTTCGAACGATGATATGCCTCTCTTGCAGGATACGTCCGAGACGCCTCTACCTACGGCGGAAAAACATATAGTATGGCCCACTGGTTCGTTCATCCCTACTCCCCCTACTCGTTAATTAACCTTAGTTGTTCCCCAGCGGAAGAAATTTTTGTTGGCGCCGAATATGATCACCGATTGATGCCTGACTTTGGTGGTCCTGTTTTCGCGTTCGAGAAAGCAAGGCTCATTCAACCAGATTGGAGGGATGTGAATGGTGATTTGATACCACCGTGGCTTAATCACAAGCTTCTGCGCCCCGGAACATTGGTTGTTGCAAATATGAGCATCCAAGTGTATGTGATGATTTCGAAAAGTGGAGATGGGATGGTTCGGAAGGTTCTGCCTGTATTTTTCGTTATGCTGCTCGGATTTGATCGAACATTTGACTTTGTTTAGATTTATCACGCCATACTCAATAGTCTCCGGGTTGTGGCGGTCTCTGATGTCCTGATCACGCCGCCTGTTCCGTTACTACACCGAACATCCTTGCCTAGGCAAAACACGAGTCAAACGGCTGCCGCGCTCGCATTGGCCGCCCTCAACTTCAACGTAGAACAGTCCATGGGCGCAAGCTCATCACTTGCATCTTCCAATACTCCGGGATCCGACTCTACCGTTGACAGTGACAATTTGGACACTGCTTGTGATCGCGAAGTACTCAGGTCTGTGAAGGACGGCGGGTCGGAATCGTTGAATGTGGAAGAAAGACCATCGCCTAAGAAAAAGTTGAGGAAATAGTCCTCTCAAGCTGTATATACAGGTCCGACTGGAACCTTTCCTTCTCATTGTTCTTCTTCAAACTTGTTCATAATTTACCTCGTTTGGATAATTGTCATTTTTACTATAATGTGTGGCGCGTAATGATTTTTTAATCACGTGTTGTTAGATACACGTTCTCCGTTTGACTTTTGTCACTCAAGATCTGTTTTTCATGGCAGCAGCGTGTACGTGCCGCCCACTTTTGCAAGAACTACCTTCTTCGGTTTTGCTTCGTGTGGCGACATTCATAGACGGTATGACCACTGTTAGATGTTTCGCATCTTTATCAACATACCTTTATCGATCCCTACAACACTCTTTGTATGTGTCCGTTGACGAAACCGATATCAGCATTTTGGCTTCCAGTACTTGGATTGGAGAAAATTTCGGCCTGAAACACCCCGCTTCGTGTGTCGACCGTCTCAGTCTAACGTATCGGAAAATCGTTCTACCAAACCACCTTCTTACTTTGAAACGCTCTTTGCACAATATCTCCGTTTTTCACGCTCAGTGGAACCTGTCTGCCCTTCGGTTTGCAAGCGTCAACCTCACCTTAGCTGATTTGTTTCCTGGGGAAATTCCTGCATCATTTCAAAAGCTCACGAAACTTTATCTGACTTGTCAAGCAAATCCAACATGTCAGAGATTGTGTACTAGGTTAACGGTGCATGTTTATACTTCTGCCATGCTGAACATATTCTGATTCGATTTCTTAGTGTCAACTCTTCTCTTCGGCTCTAAAATCTGTCACTTTCGATTTGCAAGTGCCCGTCAATCCAGGTATGGATTGATTACACTCCTCTTCTGCATTGATTATTCAGTTTGCGACAGTGGACTTCTCCACCTTGGCAAAATTCATGATCAACATCCATTCGACGGCAACGAATCTTCATACTCTAAACCTGACCCTGGACAATAGGCGGAGCCGTAGATCATATCAGATATTGCAAGATCTGTTAAATTGCCCAACTTTCATATTTCTGCAACTTCAAAGGTTCTCCTTTCACGACACACGCTCCGTTTTCGATGTTCGGGACTTCGTCAATCGTCACCACACGTTATTGTGGCTATCGTTCGTGGCTACTGTATATCATTTCGAAAACCTTGTAATGGGTGCGACCGTACCTGATTTGGTTGGTTTCGAGGGAGGTGTTGTGCACGCGACGCAATTGCTGCAACATCCTGGTTGTCGTATCAAGTCATTGCATATTGTCGGTCCTAGTCCTACTGCAATAACCTGGTACGACTTCACATCAAGGCTTCATCTTAGCGAAATTCGTTCTGTCACCGACATCCATCTTCGAGGCCAAGGAGGCTATTTGTTCCGCCATATTAACGATCTGACGGCTGCTTCGCCAGACATTGAGGTTCTTTCGTTTGCTTTGTCCGACCTTTGGTCGGTGTGGCGTGTTTGTGTATTGCGTATTTTATATGATTGGTTGGTCTGACGTATTGTCTATAGGTTGACCGTTTCGAGAATATTTTTAAGATTATCTTGTCAAGACTGCAAAAACTACGTTCACTAGTTGTCATGGTCAGGCATGGTTTGGGCGACGTCGGATTGTCCTTGACCAAGGCTGTCGCTGAGTTACCTCAATGTACACAGTTGAACTCAATACGTTTGTATGTATTATCCCGAGACCATCGTTCTTTTGGTCCTTTGTTTAACTGGGGCGGCACCTGTTTGGGTTTCAAAGAAGTAGACTATGAAAAGGAATATCGATCATTGGCTGACAGTTTTGAATTCTGATGTTACACATTCTGTATTACGTTTCCTCAATATTACTTACCGTTCTCCTCTATCTTTCCCTTGATGGATGGTCCTTACGACGCGATGCGAAACACGGCTAACGAAACGGTTGGAGAGGTAATGGACTACCTCCTGGGTGATAGTCCATCACTTTATGCTTTAGCACGATGCTCCAAGCGTCTGTGTACTTTCGCAATTCCTGTTTTATACACCAACACGCAAACACTCTCGCTGTCCACCTTGTCCTCTGAAGAATCTTTTACGAAAACAATCACTGGTATTCATCCCGCAACATATGTGACGTCACTGTCCATTAACGATGAATCGGAAAGTGATAAAGAGTGCATCGTCTTGCATCTCAGCAATGCTATGAAAAACATCAGTAACACTCACTCGTCCCGGGCGTTGCAATCGTTTTCTTTCATGTCTCGATCTTTACCTCTACATGAGGCTTGGAAGATTCAGCAGTCATTGTCTTTCAACATCGTTCATGTTGTGTTACAATGTCCTCTTACAGCCGGGGTTGGACTATCGATTATGGTAAGTTGACGTGGCTCCAATGACGGCTTTACCTTCACATTAATTTTTTTCAGAACACTTTATTGTCCACAAAGACGCGTACTGTATGCGTGGACTGGTCGCGTGTTCAACGACCTGGTGCGAAATTGTGGTGATTTTTTGGATCAACTGCTGACGTTTTGTCTCTCTAGTTACCTACACTACTTGCAGTATGATCTTGAAGTTCATTAATAGCCTGGCATACGACGTTACAAAAATCACCATAAAGATTCCAGCCGTAGAAACCAGGAACGATTGCACCGCGTTACAAACAGTTCTCGACGAAGGCATACTCATTTTTCCATCCCTCACGCATTTCATCTTCGATGAAATACACGGCGAATTGTGCTTGGCCAATTTTTTCGCTCGTCATCCAAGCCTCATCTATTTTGGCTACAGTGGAATCCAATCAAATAGTTCCGTCATCGATAAGATTGCAGAAGGATCGATTCTAAACAATGTCCACGCTTTTTATGGAAATGCTTTTTGTGCAAGTATTGTTGCTGGACTACTACCATGGCAGTTGACGGAATTGGCACTTGTCAGTCCTTCTTCGAATGTTTTCCACCCAGATCTTGGCTGCCGAGCTTTACGACAGTGTCGTGCACTACGTGTCCTGAAGTTACTGCATGTGGGCGGCATATCAGCTTCTCAACTGCAGGTCTTGAGTGACTATGTCCCTGACGTTAACGTTCTGCACGTTGTTTACACGGATCTCTTACAAACGACATCAGTGAGTAGAAAAACCACTCTCACTGAGCTGTATGATGTCTAACGAGGTACTCAGTATACTAATGTTGGTAATTCCAACTTGGTCGAATTTTACGCTACCATATTTATTTGCTTTTCTTCTCTGGTTGACCTGACTGTGTCTGTGGATGTTACTAATAAAGTTTCGGCCGCTGGTGATCACCGTTCTGCGGCTTTACATTCTTTATTGACATACGGCTGCTACACGATGCTGTCTGTTTTGGTGAATGATTTGCGCACACATTCTGACATCTTCTGTTTGTTTCTGGATAAACACGGTACGCGCTCGTTTTCTTAGGCCTTTTTGTCTCTGTGCTGTATTACCGAGACTTACCCCTGTGTCTCGGACTTTTTCAAATAAAAGACTACTACCAATTCCTACCAGAATACTCTCATGATGTTTCTGCTCGATGTCGATGCTGACGTGCTGATTGAGATCGCCTCTTATCTTCTGCGACACGATTTAGCCTCACTAGCGAAGACAACGAAATCCTTTGCGAGACTGATGTTGCCTCTTGTATATCGGTCTGTGAACATCGCGGGTTTACACACGTTACTGCTTAAAGATTCTGCAACTTCGCAGTTGTGTGGTTCACTCCTAGCTTCCTACGTCAAGGTGGTCACTTTGCAGTCTGGATCCCATCTAACCAACGTCACGATGGTAAGATCCGCGATGCGGCTCTTGGATCGCCAGCGGAAGACTCATCAACTGCGTTCGTTGTCCGTCATTTCGAACACCTGGTGCCTTTCGGATGTTTTCGCAGTCCCACCGAGAAACATCGCTCCTCTTGTTCTTCATTTCGCCTGTCCTTTGCTACAAACCCCAAGATGTCTTTTGTTATTGGTACGAGTTTGATATTTCCTTTGTGTGTGAGATTTCACTCAGTCTTGGCCAGCGATCGCTGGTGTCATCGAATTTAGTGTCTTTGACTTTGGTTTTTCCTCCATTCGTTAATCAGCGTACGTCGGTCCGCACTCTCACTTCGATTCCATGCTTATATTGCTGTTGGCGCAGCTGATGAATTCATGATTTGCAAGGGACTGAAACAGATTGTTCCTTGCCTGCGAAATGTCGTTACTTTCGCTTTATCATTGAATACACCAGTGGAAAAAGTCAGGCAGATTCAAAGGGATGGTACACCATATCCTAATACGCTCGCAGCTGGCTTTGCAAGTGATTGGATGTTGTTACCATCCCTGCGCAATTTTCAGTTGTCGGAACTCAGTTATCATCTACCCCTAACAAAGTTCTTTAATCGACACCCCCTTCTGACGACTTTGCACCTGGAATGCAACTCGTTCGATCGTTTGCCCATTCCCGATATCGCCCAAGGGGGTTTCCTGCCTGAACTGGTTTCGTTCAGTGGGTCACTTGCCAACGTGAACTGTATAATGCGTAGATGGTCTGCACAGCTAAAGTCGTTGACTATTGTCGGTGGTCCTGCTAATTGGGACGACATGGAAAATTTCTTGGCCTTGGTTCCCACTCAAACCGACCTACGGTCCCTTCGACTTCGAGAACAAGGGGGTTATCTTGATATGGCCTTGACGACTTACTTATCTGTGTGCGACAATGTCCATCACCTGGCAGTCGATTTGAGATGTTCAGTGACGCTACAGGCGAGTCGTTTTTACACATGATGTTTCACCACATTGACTTGTTCATCTAGGAACTTTGGGAGGACACGATCTTTGCCTGCATGAACTTGCCTAATCTGAATGAGTTGGTCATTCGGATACAAAGGTCGGATGACAATTTGGATTGGTCTGTTTTCCAAATCGCTTTGCAAAACATCGTTTCCGCCAATGATCGTCGGATTCGTTTGTCTGACTTGGTGGTCTATATCATCACACATCAGACAGAGCAAACAATATGCCGTGCGTGCTTCAGAAAAACTTGGTAATTCCTTTCGCTTTTTTTCGACCTTGGGCCTGATCACGATTTAGATCACTTACTGCGGCAGGTACTCTTCTTTTTAATAATAATTTGACGATCGCTGGTGACTTCGGGCCATTGAATTCCGTCCTGCGATGCAGCCGATAGCGTACTTTTGTGATACTTAAACTGCTTAATGTATCGACTACATTTTTTTATTTCAATGCCCCATACCGTTCTAGCAGTTCGTCCTTTGCATTTCCCGGGTTATCTGGGATTCAGACCCTTGATCATGTCACGGAGCCGGTTGAAAACTGCCAACGCCGTAATTACTGTCTGGCTTGATCGGCTAGGTGAACCTCCCTCATACGATATTTTGCCACGAAGTTTGATACTTGACTTTCTTGCCACACTGGTACGTATTCCAATTCTGCTCGTATGTGGTATTGACAGTCGGATAGCCGCTCCCGTTGGCACGTTCTGCTTACATCGGCAAAGGCAATGGCATCGAGATGAAAGCCTTGCTGATTTTCGAATGTGTGCAGAGTATCGAGCGACGCACCAAGGATAATTGCACTTCTTGCCGTGGTATTCCTAGCCATGCTGACCTGGTCGTGTATTTTAGAGTCTTTGGAGGCTCTGTTGGGGGTGTGTACGATACGGCGTTTTTATTGTGCAACTTGTTCTGTAGCTTGAGAGCAGATGGAGAGCCTGCCGTCGAGATTGCCTCCATTGCTTTCACTTCGACCGACATCTACTCAGTGGGGTTTATAACTTTTACCGGCGTATCAAGCGCATGGATGCAACGTGCGGAAACGACTCCGATGTTTGATACGATGCCTATTCATCCGGGGTTGTATTTCATGTCGTGGCCCCTGTGCAGAGAAGACATTGTGTGTAAAGATTTAATTGAAAGCACGCTCGCTGAGGCTAGGTACCGCATGTTCTCTGATGAGCTTCAAGTTGCTGATTTGTGCGTAGATTTTTGGCTTCACTGTAGACTGGTGTCCTATGTTTATCAATGGAGGGGATTTATAAACTACGATGTTTTAATTATCGGTGGAATTTGACTTCGGGAGGGGTGATGAATAAATGTTGTCGACTGTGGTTCATATTTGATTTTGTCCGGGCCGGTATTACTGTAGCGGGCTTTGCCGCTCGCCGGCGCTACTTGGTTATAGTGATTGTTGGAGGTCAACATTTGCCGGAATAGCCGACGGTCATCGGTCATGGAGCGTCTATATAATATTATTAGACATTACATCCGCGCCTGTTTGGGCATTTCGTTGTTTTCACTTCCTTCCATACCAGCTTATTCTTAACTTCCATCGTCGCTTTCGAAAAACCCAATTGCTATTCCAACTTGCATGCCGGAAATATGCCGAGTCATTGAAGAGGCCAAGTTTACTGCTCGAGAGCAGCGAGCGGCCAAAAACAAACCCCAACCATGGATCGTTCTCAAGCTCATGGTGTTTATTACGACTGGCATAATGGGCTACGCTGGATATGTTTATATTGGGAGGTTTTGTGTTGAGATAATCAAAGGAAGGAGGAATGGTGCTTCGAAAGGGACCGGGAGTGAGTATTCAAGACATCAGCACTCGCCGAAACTGATTGTTAAATGATTCATCCTGCACAGTTGCGCTTCTGACAGTGTTCTGTTTGCTACTCCTCTGGATGCTTTGGGCTTATGCGATGGTAGGTATATATTATGAAATTCTTTGAACTTGGACATAACTGCTTTTCAGGTCGTTCTTACAGCTCCAGGTTTCGCCAGAGATGTAGGTCTTCTAACATCTCCCTTGAACTTTTAGCTCATTCAGACTAGCACGTACCTCAATGTCCACCACCAGTCCCACCGCCGCCTATTCGACCATCTTACACTCATCCTCCCGAAAACGGAGTTCATGATCAAGACGATCACAGTTTTCGCGGTCACCCTTATGAACAAATGTACCTTGTCAATGATGCTCACGACCCTCATAATGCCGGCGTCACAGACGCCTTTCCGCGACTGGATCCCGAAGTATCCTTGCCAACTAATAACTCTTTTGGCCCCTCTGCAAAAGACGCCAGAGCGTATAACGATTTACAGCGAGCAGCGAGTAAAAGAGTGACGAGGCGACCTCCTACAACACCTGTGCTCGCTCCGGAATATCGGTACTGCTCGAGATGTTTGCTGCTCAAACCTTATAGGGCGCATCATTGCCGTGTGTGTGGGACGGTATGTTCTTTCTATTCATTCGTTAATAATGTATCCATAATGCAATATATTTTCCAGTGCGTTCTCAAATACGATCATCATTGTCCATGGATCGGTCAATGTGTAGGAGCCCGAAATCAAAAAGTACGTATTCTCCTTGCGTGTTAATCTTACCGTTCTCCTTCATGCATTGCTCGTTATCGCAGTATTTCGTTAACTTCAACCTCGCTACCGCGATGTTCACGTCATACACGCTCTCAACTTTCGTTGTATACACCGTACGGTCTTCTAACAATAATGAAGATCTCGACCCTCAACAAATTCTCGTCACCGCCCTCTCCGGGCTGTTTTTCATATTCACGATCACCCTTTTCCTTTCCCACATACGCATGCTTGCACTCTCACTCACTACCGTCGAATCGCTGAAACAAGAATCGATGAAAGATCGGGAAGACCATATGCTTGCAGATGTGTTCGGATTTTGGGAAGTGAGGAGTAAACGGAGAGTGAAGGCTGAATGGGATAAGGAATGGGGACGGATTGATAGGGAGGGAAATATGTGGTGGGCCGGGAGTAATTTGCAAGGATGGGAAGAGACAATGGGTAGTGCGAAGAGGACTCAGGAGAACCCTTTGGGATGGCTCAGCTGGATCTTACCGTTCAGGATCAATAGGAGGAACTACGCAGAGACAGGAATGAGTTATCAACTCAATCCAAGATTTGATAAAGAAGGAAGGTGGAGGAGAAGGAGTGAGTGGCCGGAGGATTTACGGTAACACCTGGACTTTTTTTGGATTATTTTCTTTTTCAGCTTCGAGATGTAGCAAGTAACGTGTAACGTTGTACTGTCCGCATAAGTTATCTACTGTTGATGCGTTGGTATTCTTCTTGTTCGGTTTGGATACCCATCTGGACCAATTAAGGACATGTGCCAATTCATGTCGGAGGCAGCACACAATCATACAGTTCAGCTGTGATCAATGTAGAAGGCATGTATGATCTTCGCAAGAGTACTACAGGTATTTTCTTTCTACTTTCGAGGGTATTCATGTGTGTCATCTCAGCCAATCAGTCCATAATATTCAAAGCTGAGAAGATGCAAGTGCAATAACAACATACACTGAAAGAAGTATCAACCCTTTAAGATAATTTGACCTGCCATCCCTAGTACCAGCAAGAATAATCTTTTCAACAGTGTTAAAAGAGGGTAGCAAGTTAAGTGACGCACTTAAGAAGGTCGCTGGTGAGGAGCACTGAGACAAAGATGGTGATTATTTCGAAGATGCCAAAGAGGAGCGGGAATTGATGTCCTGAACTACTCGGACAAATGTTCAGTATCTTGATATGTGGTACAAGGTCTGCAAAATTGAGAGAAAGTCTTACATCCACCCAATAAGGACCAGCAATGGTATAACAAATGCAATAATTTGCTGTGGACATTCGACAGTCAATAGTTTATACAAATACTAGAGAATGTATTCATGGCGACGCACAATTGAGCTGCCGATACAGATATCGATTGTTGTTTTCATTTGACCTCTCATGGCCATCCTCAATGCAGAGGTGCCATCCACATTTACCTAACATCAGAATCAGAGATGGTAAATGTAAATAGGTTGGAGTAGATATATGCTCGAAAGAGAGGTACCAAAGGTAACAAAATCAGACCGATAAAAGTCCTTGGGATGAAATATTGCTCCGCAAATTCTTCCATTAAAGATATCACTACAAAATAAGTCCTCAGGTTTTGGTTTATGAGCAGGAAAAATCAACTCACCATAAAGGGTGGCCAATGCAGTAATGATAGCAAGACTAATATTGAAGCCAAATTGGTCAAGTGCACCCACCGCCAGAATGAGAACTGGAGATTTACGTTGCCCATAATGCGACAAGATATGTCATAGTCGAGGTCTCTTGACTCTCTTTATTCTGTGTATCATCGTCTTCTTCTTGAAATGAGTCCACATTTTCGAAGAGGTAACCGTGAGTTTTGAGCTTGCAGAATATTAATGATGCCTGATCACATTAGAAGACATGCCTCTTACCTGGAAGAACAAATATGCAAGATACACAACTATCAACAGAATTGAAGCTGCTCTTGAAATGATCAGTACGTTTTCCCACTTTTCGGGATCTGTGTGGAATTTAATGGATAAATGTTAGGAATTCACTAATTCAATTACCACTCAAAGTGAGACTCTGATAAGTACAGAAACCACAATATGTAGGAGGAATAGTGAATGCTAAAAGAAATTCAATAAAAAATATCTGAAAAATAGTCTAGTCACAAACTGATACAAGCCAGTATCATAAACTTGGCATGAGGGTGTGAGCTTCCGAGACTGGGAACAATAATAAGCAAGCTTACTGAGCTTGAGCTGTATAGGACATCAACTCGAGAGAACAGAGTAAATTTCAACAAAACAAAAACCAGTACTCACACTTGAGCAGATGTGATTGAAAAACCGCAATCACGGAATTTCATTCCAGCTTGAGATTTCAGATTTAACATCATGTAAGTAGATTCAGGCATACGATAACAAACCTGCAAGGAAGGACCAGCCTAAGATTAATAGCATGTTTGCCAAGATAGATCCAAGCATCTATAAGAGTAATGTCAAGCTCTGGGCATTTGTACAAAACAGGGGAAATTACATCCCATATTTTGGACAATGACAATTTTGCCTATAAAGGCAGAGATGCTGCAGATTAGAAGTATTCTTCATACTAATCAATGGAAAATCATAAAATACCTTGAAATAGGACAGCTATCCCCACAAAAAATTTCACAATGTTTCCAAAGGATGCATTCAATATCCCAGTGTGTTTCTGGTCAAGCCCAGTAGCTATATACTCCATGGTGTCATTGAGGAACTAGAAACATTTATATTTAGATGAACAACATAAGGCTGGAATCACATGCTCACCTCCGTTAAATTCATGGCAGCTAGGAAGCTGAATGAGAACCGCAAGGCTGTGCTCCAATGCAGAAACTGAGAAATTATGCCCAAAGGAATGAATCCTAATAGCAGAGTATTCAACAAGGGGGTGAATATAAACATGGATAGAAGAAGGACATTTGATGACCGGGATATTATGAATGGCATGTAGTCACGATGTGGCTCAAAATCATTGACTAACACAGACATTCGCCTGGGCTCGGTGACTATTATTTTGACACCGGAGAAACTGAGAAACAGATGGGCAACGAAGGTCGAATCACGGATATAAAATTGACCTGATCGTGACTTGTGGCAAAGGTAATCTCTGAAGGATGCGTGAAGAATCCGGATATGGGTCCCATCAATATTCAGGACGGAATGCATGCCACGCAACACAAGCAAGACCTCGCCAGTATGAAGCCCGAGTAGAGCTTCAATAACTTCAATGGCAGGGCCACATGGATGGTTGTTCCAGCGCCTCAAGCCACTCAAGCTGCTCAAGTGTATCAGAGCACCCAATATCATGGTCACTTTGTTGTGATCAGGATATGAAAAAAGGATATGGTGATAAAGTACATCCAGCTCCTTGAAAGGTGAATTGCCTCGAGCAGCTGTCTTCAGACCAAGGACAATCGAAAGCTGCTCCATGGGATGAGAATGCTCCTCACCCACAAACTTAAGAACAGTTGTAGCATAGACAAACTGCCCACAGGCCTTTTCAATAAGCTCATCTATAACTTCACGACCAGGCCAGAGGGGTGGAAAATGAATATGAGAAGTTCGAGCTTGTGTTCGAATGTTGGAAAAACCACTTTCCAGGAACCTCTTCATATCTTGTCGTGCATCCCAGGAATCTTTGTCAAGACTCGTTTGCCTCAGAAGTGACTGCGGAACATGCGCTTGGAATGCTTCACGTATCTGAGGCTCTGGTCGACTGAAGATGAGGAATCGGAACGGAAGTTTATCCTTCAGTACAGATGCGAAGAGGAGAATAATGTGCTTTTGAAAGACAGTCTCCGTGCATTCATCAAGGCCATCGATAATAATGACCCTTGGTCGATGCATCCATTTTCCACCAAGTTTCATTGCCGATCCGCAGGTATTTAGGAACAACTCTTCAAATTGTATATCCAAGGAGGAGCGCAAGACACCTGGATCCTTTCGCAAAGTCTGAGTGACAACTTTATTAAACTCGCCTATCCTGACTGCAAGTTGATATGCGATTGTCGGGAAAAGATATTCTGCACGACCTCTTTCTCCGTGACTGCGTGAAAAGAAGAACGAGGCTCCGAGGGACCCCCTGATTTCGGCCAGTTCTGCAATGGTCTGCGCTACGGCAGACTTGCCTACACCAGCGGGACCATGAATCCAAAAGACAGGACGTCCATTCTGTTGACTATGGATCCATTCAAGGATCGCAGTTTGAATTCCTTTACGGGTTTCTGGATGACATTTGGGAGGGGGATATCGCTGCGCTGAATCATGCACCGCGCCTACATCTTTTATGAACTCCGAAAGAATATCAAGGGCTAAAAGAAAAGGCAAAAATGGCTTGGTTTACATCGGGCGCCGAGTCATATCATCAACACACGTACCACTGTTACCACTTACAGTCTGAGGGCTCTCATATAGATTTATCTGATCCCTTGCAACATTATTGTAAGTCCCACCGCGTATAGAGAATTGGTGAGCATTTGTGAACATTGACATCCCAATACTTGGATGTGAGAAGAGATGAGGCGAATTAGGCGCCTATTTCGGTGTTATCGAGAAAGTATGTCATATCAGTAAGTGATACCAGTACAGGATACAGATATACAAGACACTTCGCAAATCCATAGGATATACTGGATATAGAAGTCCATACATGAGAGAAACTTTAAATCAAGATACGACTAGATATAATCATTCTCAGTCTCGACTAGCAAGAAAAGCTCCTCCTCGTGCTACTCCGTTCCGTGGTGCCCCATTAAATCCAAGCCCAGGACTCGGGAAGCTACGCTCAATCCCGAATCCGGATCTCGGAAATCCAGAGCCTTCAAGTTCCAAGGTAGGTTTGTCCACCGCTACCGACGGCAGGGTGGTAGTCTGAGGACTCGCGGGACTCATCGAGGATATAGGTGAGGCTAGCGACTCGGTCTGTTCTGAGGACGTAGCTGAAGCTGAGGAACGAGAGTTACTGGATTTAGTTTTGGAAGAGGAAGACGTTGAAGCTGAAGATTTCTTGGACTTCTTCTTCTTTGGCCGAGAGGGGACAGAGTCTTCCGCGAAAGAACGAGGATTAGAAAAATCTGAATGAGAAGCCGACGTTCCCCTAGGTGATCGACGGGAGTCAGAACCTCCGCCAGATACTGAACTACCTCCGTCATTGAGCTTTCTGGCAGCGTAAAGACTGCCATCTAGGTCTGCTGCTTCATCTTCATCCCTGTTGTCGGCATGAGTTTGAGCTTGGTGGAAAGCCCCAAAATCATCAGAATTTGGACTGGGAAGAAACCCTTGTTGGAAGGGAGAAGGAATATGAGGGTATGAGCCTCCACTGCCTTGGAATCCCTCGAAGTCACCTTGGCCTCCATTTTGCATCAAGACCCGTGCTAGTTTTTTCATCTCCTTCCTTTCCTTCCTCTTTTTCCTCCTTTCGTCCTTCTCTCGTGCCTTTGCAGCCCGTAATTCCTCTTCCTCTATGACCCGCTCATCGATAGCCGCGGAGTCCAACGGCGCGGCGTCAGATACGTTACCGTCAAACGTAATTGTTGAAGGAGAAGACGAGGATGAAATCCGAGTTGGTCGCTGACGCTGACGTCTTGACCGCCGAAGAAGCCCATCAACTTCTTCATCATCATCCTCTGGAAGGTGAATTGGACCTGTTGAGCGTTTACCGAACAAGTCGAAACCAAAGAATGTGATTTGTTTCTTCTGTTTCTGTTTTCGACTCCTCCGTCGTCGATTATCGCCAACATTGGAATGGAGAGAAACAGTCTCAGCTTCTGTATCTGTATCCAGAAGAGGCTCGGTTAACAGTGACTCGAGGTATCGTGGCGGTCTGTGAACAGATTCGCTGTCACTGTCAACGGAAGGTGCCTGGAAGCAATGAAGACATGAGTTGAAAGCTGAGTGGAAAACGTCTGCCCATGATGGTGAGTCCATCGAATGGTTTGCAGTGAGATTTAACCGTTGAAGTTAAAAGTAAGGAGGCAAGAAAAATTCGTGAAAGTCGATCGGTCCAGCAGTTTCACCTGATTCCAATCGACGCACCGGGGCCGGGTACTTAATCTTATCTCTCGCGATAAGGAAGTTGTTGCCATTTTTTTTCTAGACAAATTTCGACAATAATACGGTAATAATTGAAGCTTGAACGTTTGAACTCTCAAGGTTCTACATGCTCATTCTCACCATTCGATGAGCGGTTATGGGTCAATAACTATACCCTTGCTCCAAACCTTCTTTGGATCATACTTCGCTTTCAACTTGGACAGTCGAGGTAGATCATCTTCAAGTACATCTTTGGGAATCTCGTCTGCTTGAGCGAAGGCAAGGAAGCAGGCCAAATCCTGACCAAAGAAACCAGCGTTATTCGAGCGAACAAGTGAAGCGATGGAAGCTGTAGATTCCCGAGCAGCTTGAACATATGTTTCGGTTGTTGAGCTTCAGAATAGCTCGGATCAGGACCAACAGCGATATCATGAAGGATCTTGGTACTCACCAGCCCTGTTCAGCCATTCAATAATGCGGGCCACGAATGCGAAGTGCCGTGTCAGTGGGACCCGTCATTGTGAGGCTTCCCGGGTGTGTCAAATCACACAGGACTACAAAAGCGACTGACAGTTTAGGGTTCTGGTATAGGCGTCACCGGCTGAGAAGTGAGGACTTCGCCTTGAATCGCAAGAGTCTTCATGTCAAACTTTCTGACAGAGGTAGAGGGCTATACTTAAGGAAGAAACTATGTATTGGAGTTCGGACAGATGCGCTCAGATGCGGTGATATTTACTCATCGACACTCTACTAAATTCTGCTGCAAAAGGCGAAATGATCAATATTCATTGTAACGGGGACAATCTTGGTGAGTATGGAACTCAATAGGGTCGTTCAAAGTTCTATTGGCTGGTTACTTACTGCGAGGCGTGCTTGACGCTGTAGCAACATCCTGAACTTCTAGGTAATGACTTGTAATGGCGTTGCTTCATTCCTCTACACCCCACACGTCCTCGATGCTGTATAACGAGATAACTACGTTAACGAGATCAAGCGCGTGACGAAAACATTCGCGAAATCAAGGCCCTAAACTTCCAAGAAGTGAGTTGCTTGGGGGTAGCAAAGTACAAAGTGGGGCTCGCAGTAAGTTCGATTTACATAATCTGCCGTTTGCGAAAGTTCGCACGGGCCGCCAACGTCTCTGTTCAATTTCATTTTCAATGTCTTCTTTGCGTTTCCTTCTTATCCCAGGGTAGTTTTTAACAAAGTGCGAGCCCAGGTTTACTTCGCTCGCGGAAGCTGTTACACTTGTACTAGGTGTGCTGCTAATCTAACTATCGTTTCATACTGAATAATCAGCTTTCTCTTAACGCAATCAGCTGTGTATCACTCTGTATCTTTTCGGAAAATGTGTATTTTCTCCTCCCAATCGTCTTTTGACAAAATTCGAGAGCATCCCCAAGCTTATATGTCGCATCTCAACTACATACTGCCAACTCTGACTCAGCCCTCTCACCTTGCAAAACAATTTACAAACAAATCAAAATAAGTCTCAGAATCACTCAACCCCAATCCGAGCCTGGAGCTCTCTAACCTCTTCGCCTAGAACTGCCTAGAAATGCAAAGGCCGTGGCCGTTGAACGAGTCTTTTCAACAAATGACACTTTTTTGAACCGAGCCGACACGCTAACAGAGCGGAAAAGCCATTCTCTTGCAGTGAAATCTGGTACTGTACATATTTTCGTCGTAATTTCAGGACCCTCAACAACTTCATCTTGACAGGTAGATGGGTAGGTGTGGACAGAGATTCCAATTTGACGATACGACAATACACCGATGCACAAGACCTCTTGTGCTTTCTGTACCTTATGGTTCGAAGATCTTCTGATCCATTCAGTCTCTTGTCCTTGGAAAGGTGGGTCATCACCTATCTTTGACTTAGATCCCACTCTTTTGATATTCTGAATTTTTTTCGATTCGGTCGCGCTGGTAGAAGTGGCACATGCCCCATTCGCCACTGGTCCACTCCGACTGACTTGCTTATCTTCTCCCAAAATCAATTTACGTGTGTGTAAGTAAGCCTACGTAGCTCTCCCTTCGAATTCCATCGTTTTATTCCATGATAAGGCCTTTTCCTTCTTATCATTTCCAGTTTCCGCCTTTATAAAGTCTCCTGGTAATGCAGAAAGATTCTGAGCTCCAACCGCCTGCCTTCCTCTGCTTCGCTCAAATCCCAAGCCTCTTCATTTCGTTGTTCACCTTCGACGACCGTAACAGCATGGCTTCCGGTGCTCTACCGTCCCTCCCGGTATTGACTTTCAGGAAGAATCTGACAGTCAATGACATGGCGAAGGACCCATCCAAGGATGAGGAGACATCCATCAAGGCGGTTCCCACTGAAGAACCTTACTCAGGGAATGACGAGAAAATCAATTTGAGTTATGTCGATAGCGAGACCTTCGTGGGCGATGTCTACGAAGATCTCCGTGCGATTGACTTGGGTGACGACGGAAAAGAGAGACCCATCGGTAATTATTCTATGCTTTTTTTCAAGCGTCTCGCTGATCATCTTATCGTGTATAGTAACTGCCAACGACTGGAGCCTTCGGCTGATTTCTCTCGAAGTAAGCTTATCTCTCTGCACCGAATATGGACTTGGGTAATCTTTATTTCTATTTACAAGGACGATCCCACACTTCCCGTGTGGACTTTACGCCTATGGTTTCTATCTATTGGTCTATCCTGCTTCGGTGCCGTTCTCAGTGAGATTTTCGTACGTCCTTCCTTGTAGCTTACATGTGCCCGAATAAAGAGCTTCTATCAATTTCTAAATCAGGCCTTTCGCCCGCAAACTGTCTACGTCAGTCAACTCTTCCTCCAGACCGCCGCGTTCATCCTCGGTAAAATTATGGAAGAACTTCTGCCAGGACCTCTGAATCCTAGATTCCCCACCCAAAATAACGCTTTTTGGAGGTTCATCAATCCCGGAAGATTCAATATCAAAGAACACGTCGGAATCGTCATCATGTCTGCAGCTGCTACTCACGGCGCACTCGCAATCAATATTTTCGCCGCTGATGATTTGTTCTACAATGTCACAATGAATCCGGCTATTGCGATTTTTACGTTGCTTGGGAGTCAACTCTTGGGATATGGGTTGGGTGGTATGTTCCTTTTTTGCTTTCCTCCTCCTTTCTATACTAACGTTTTTAGGCATGATGCGTGGATTTTTGGTCTACCCCACAAGCATGGTGTTCCCAAACTTGATTCCTACGATTCAGATGTTCGATGTTTTGCACCGAGGTCATGATAACCAGTTGCAGAAGAAGCGAGTGAAGTTTTTCTGGACCCTTTTCATCATCATCTGTATGTTCTTTCCCTCTCTGCCTCTTGTGGGCCGCTCATGAATGCGATTCGTTTCATTATAGTCTTCTGGCAATGGATCCCAGAGTGCGTGAATGCTGTAATATTTGAACAGGATAAGACTTCACCTGCGTTTTTTGCTGTGAAGGTATTTCGCTCCGCTACTCACAGGACTCTCCGTCTTTTGCCTGGCACGTAAGAACAGCGCCTGGGTCACGCGTATCTTTGGAGGTGCAGCTGGGAACGAAGGTGATTCTGGTCTGAACCCCTTATCTTTGAACTAAAATTTCTCTGGGAATTATCTAGGTCTTGGTCTCTTTTCACTCTGCTTCGGTCAGCATCGCTAGCTCCTTCCATAAGTCATGTGTTTTAATTCTGATGGAATCTCCTTCGATTCAAGATTGGAACTACGTCGGTAGCGGAGGCTCGGCTTACGGTGCTTTATTCCAACCTATACAAACCCAGCTTTCTCTGTACACCGGGGTTCTGATTTGCATGTGAGATTGTCGTCTCCATAGTCATTAGAACACTATCTCTAACTGATACTTTGATAGTATAAGTTTCTGTGCAGTGTATGCAAATAATGTCTGGAAGTACGAATCAGCGTCTTCGGTTTGCCTAGGTGATTTGCTAACCATATGGTATCCTGCCTATACAGCGCCAAGAACTTCCCTTTCTTATCTCAAGTATGGCCGTCTATCACTATCTCTTGTCTGTTCTAGTACCGAAGCATTTTCTTCAACGTCCAACAGCTTCTATTCTTCGAGAATGGCACGGAGTATGACCAAACGCTGATTCTCAATGACGATTTCACTCTGAACGAAGATAAACTTGCTGTTGTCGGGCTTCCCTGGTACACCGCTACCCAGACTGTATCGAAAATTGGCGCAAGTTTGTCGTTCGGTGCAACTAGTGAGCTCGCAGTTCGGTCATCTACAGGACCAGATGCTCATGTTCACATGACAGTCACTCATATCATCGTTTGGCATGGTAAAGAACTTTGGGAGGCATTGTTGGCGGCTAGGGTATGTATCTTGAAGAGCATCCTCGTTTATTAATTTTGAACTTCTTTCCAGGCTGGTACAGTGGAAGATGGTGAGCACTTCTCTTGATGGCTCGTAATGTCGAAATTAATTTCTCCTTTACTCAGCACACTATGAGAAGATGAAGGCGCGTTGTTATTTGCTTCACTTTTGGAGATGCTCATTGTTCACCAGGTATACAAAGAGGTGCCTTTCTGGTGGTACACCGCCATGTTCGTAGCATCTATGGCAATATCGATAGCTACAAACTACACCGGAGAATCAGAACTGCCTTGGTAAGTGTTTACAGGGATTTACCTGGGATTTACTTGCGCATCTTTCCTGTCCATCATCTGTGAAGTTTATGCTGATGTTCCATCCCGTAGGTGGGCGTTCTTTATTTGTAAGTTGTCTCCTATACATACCCTCCAAGGTGTAGCCAGCTCATTTCCCACCCCTCTCGACTTCGACAGCCGTTGGATTCGCTGCATTCTTTTTGCCCATCATCTCTGCGTTGTATGCTATCCTCTGGTGAGCACGCATCCCAAGTCCATGTTTTTGCCTCGTCAAATTCTCATTCGGGTCTTCCTCCAGCTTCGTTCCAGGTACCGAGGATGTAGCTCGAGTGCGTGGTCCATCCTCTTGAAATTTCACCCACAAAATCATTAAACTGTTCCACTACTCCTATAGATGCTCGGCGCGGCACTCGTCCCTGGAAGACCTCGTGTGAGTCTGAATCCGAGCCCGCTTTCGATTGAATTTAAATGCCCAATCTTTCAGGCAAACATGTACTTCACTCTCTACGCGTACAACTCGACCGAGCAAGGTCGCTCTATGACCCGGGACTTGAAGATGGGTGAGTGGAGTTGGACCATTGGACCAGTCATTTTACCGACCCAAACTTTGAATTGGCAGGTCAATATACAAAGCTTCCTCCCCGCGTTACCTTTACGATGTACGTCTAGTGCAACTTCTTGGCTGTGTCATAAAACTCATGCGCCAATGCCCAGGCAATGTCTTGGTGCTGTCATTGGCGGTAGGAATCAATTTCAAGGAGATATCCTGTCACTTACAGTCCATTGGTTGCGTAGCTCTTCTCAACTACCTCATTATGAAGATCGTCATTGCGAGCAACCGTGAGATCCTTCTGAGTGTGCAAGGGACCAATGTGTGGTCAGGAGCAGCGATCCAAAGCTTCAATAGGTATCTGCTCCTTTGTCTGCTTCATCCGTTTTCGAGTTAATCGTGTGATCTTCTAGTGATGCGTACGTGAAGTTTTCTTAGGATGTGCTTGGTGCATTCTCTGAACTTTGGAGAATTGTAGTATCTCGTGGGGTGCTCTTGCTAAACAACTTTATTCGCCGTCCGGACGTTATGGGGTAAGCTTTGTTCGATGGCCTCAACCTTTCTTTCTCCCACGAGTAATAACTTGTTTAACTGCAGATTGTACCGATATCTATCTTGATCGGATTGGCCGTTCCCATTCCTTTCTGGCTCCTTCACCGGAAATGGCCCAAAGCGCGTTTCGACTCGATAATCACTCCGATGATCACTGTAGAGATTGGATATCTAGCGGGTGCGTAACTCATTTACATAGTGAACTTTCAAAACGAACATTGAACGATTCCACACTGACCAATTTACACTGCACACTGCACAGGCGGCATCAACTCCTCTGTCTTCAACACCTTCCTCCTCTGTATTTTCAGTCAGTTCTTTATTAGAAAGTACCATCCTAGATGGTTTCGGAAATACAATTTCCTGTGCGTTGGTTTTGTAGTCCCAGCCCTACACCTCAGTTTGACTCATAGGATTTTGATTTGCTAGGCTCTCTGCTGCTCTTGACGGAGGTCAGTCTTTTACGAAGATACCTCAACGACTGTACTACTGTACTAACCTCAATACACTCTTACCCTAGGCACCGAAGTCATGGTCTTTGTGTACTCGTAAGTAATTTACTTTTTCACTTCCCGTATAGTCAAACACTGACCGTCAATGTTCGCGATAATATCATGAATAGCTTTGCTGTGAGCAATCTTACCTCCTCGATCTCTTGGATCACTTTTTGACTTGCATTTGCCTGGACTTGAACAGGTCGGCGGAGCAGGTGGACGCGTTGTAGACTTTCCTAACTGGGCTCTCAATCCGGTCGGGAACCCGGATTACTGTAAACGTCTGACATGAACCTGATGCAGGAGATAGTACTATGGTACTTACAGTAAGATATGATAAAGATAGGAGAGGTTGTGCCGTTGCTTTTAAAGAGGTCTAGAAGCCCAAATAGGTTTTTGACTACGTACGTATAACCACACGAGTTCTCATGCGTAAGAACAGGTAAGAACTGGGCCCCACAAAGTGCGCGCGTGGCTCTTCTTCCTACTTTCTACCTTTGAACACCTATCTTCGTGTCTCAACTGCCCTAAAAATCCATACAGTCACGAATGGTTCAAATGGCTAATCCAGCCGATATTTTGAACACTTCTGTCCTCTGTCATTTCCCAAAGCACGCCCCTTCTCAGTCTACAACCATCTGATTCAGACGATCTGAGTGACGAGCCTAGACCAGTATGAGCAAACAGGGAAATAGCTAAGCAGAATAAAGAGAAGGGGCCCTTGAAACATGCTCTGAGCGTACTCACCAATGGCACACCTGGCACAGTGGGCGAAAGAGTACCATACCTGGATGAAAACAAGACAGATGCCTCAGAGGCCAACACCCTGAACCTACTATTCGTAAACACGACTCGGACAATCTGTTCATCGAGTGAGTCTGCCATATCATAAAACTAGAGTGGGACTTGTCTCATGATCGAGGACCATATCAAGGGACCAACTCTTTAATCAGGTCTGGTCCATCTATTCAATATGGCAGTAAATCTGTGTTGCATTTATGCTGCGCAGCTATATCCGCCAACTACGAAGATTGAAGGTTTGCCCTGAGGCTGGAGTCCCACCAGGCCTAGGTCTTATCAGCATTGATGGGCCCTGCTTATGTCAATCGCCGGTTTTTGTACTGCTGCGTTGGCCCGAACGAGGACCTTTGCTTCCTACGCGGGACTTTCTACTTTCTTCAATGAAAGAGTGAAAGGCGTGTATGGAATTCATGACCTCCCGGACAACCACCCATGGAGGCAACAGCAGTTTAACGATTCTGAGGCACTGGTGCTTACACACCAGGATATCAACCTTGGTATATCATAGCTGGCAAGGATGGCTGAATATGGATGATTGACTGGGGATGGGTGGAGCACCATAGCTCAAGTACTAGTATATTTCAATGAAAGTATAGTTGCGAAATGAGCACTTCGTTGGCTCACACTACCAGGATTGGGATTTATTCATTCCTTATATTTGTCGACCATATTTCGAGTGGGAAGAGTGGTTATCCAACATGGGCATTGGGGGTAGCCTTGGACCGTAGATAGTTTCAAGTACTATAGTTTTGAGTACCACGAAGAGAATTCAAGCCTACGTCTGGGCCCCAAGTTGTTAAATGGACACTGTCAGTAAATAAAGCACAGCGCCAACAAGTTATATTTCTCGATGTCGACTCAGGCTTTGCTAGAAACCAGAGGGAGGACCGAATTTACTCGTAGGTCTAAAATTTTGAAATGTGTGGCGCACACGTTCGTCCCTTGTTGACCCACATCCGACACCATCTGGTTCTTCATCTAACGATTCCTGATACATGCCAGGGCCCGTTATCATGATATCAATCCAGAGTCTAGACAGTTTATGTACACACACCGCTTCCCGGATATTACATGTGCAGTTCTTCCAGTTTTACCTCCATCTCAGTGCTTTATAAATCATAGACTTGAGTGTTCACACTCTCCAACTAACATCCTCAATGGACGATAATTCTGCAGATTCTGCCAACTCTACATCAGCGGTTCGGCCTCGAAGCGTTCTAGTTGTAGGAGGTGGTCCAGCTGGACTTGTAACGCTACGAAATCTTGTTGAACGATCCAAAGGACGATTTGAGCGAGTATTATTGGTGGAACGACGAGACGATATTGGTGGTGTTTGGTACGTTTCTGATCTTATCGTGGTTCGACACACTTCGAACTAAAGAATCTAACTAAGGTACCAAGACGAACCAATAATTCCATCAGCAAATCCTACGACCGCAATGAACAAGCCGCAATGGCCCTCTCCTGCTTATCCTGGTCTTGTCGGGAACGTCCTCCCTCGATTTCTTGCATTCTCCGAGGCTCCTTTTCCTGAATCTCCTAACCACCCTCACCAGCCGTTCCCTACACTAGCTGAAACCTATCAATACCTGCGGTCTTTTGCGGAGCCATACATAGAGCAAGGTAATATCCAGCTAAACACCGAAGTCATGAGGATCGAGGAGTTGCCAGATAAGCAAGGATGGAAGGTCCGAGTCAGGGATTGGTCAATGTGCGACGATAATGATGGTATGCCGCTGGAGACGGAGGAGATATGGGATGCTGTAGCTGTTTGTGCGGGGTACTACGATAAGCCGAATTGGCCTGACACGGAAGGGTTGAATCAAGTTAGGAAACGAGGCTTGGCGCTCCACGCAAAATGGTGGAACGGGCCTGATGGATATGAAGGCAAGGTATCTAAATTCCATCTACACCGCCTTGAGAAATCTTTCTTATCGATCTCGTGGGTTATGCAGAAAGCAATCATCATTGGCAATGCTAATTCTTCCAACGATATCGCAAGTCAATTAGCCCCTGTCGCTCAAACGCCTGTGTATCGTTCCATGCGTCGTCCTGCAGCCCCTTGGTTCCCTAGTCTCGCTGACTCCCGTATCAAAAACGTCAGCGCGATCAAGAAATACATCTTGCAGCCAGCAGAAGAGACAGACGACGGTATGATGCTCGAGAAAGTCACAGTCATCCTCCAAGATGGATCGGAAATTAAGGATATTGACGTGGTCATTCTCGGAACGGGATACTGTCCTCATCCAGAATTCGTGCACGTTCTACCCGTTCCCGCCGACAGCACTACTAACGCGTCGGAAATTAATAACAAAACCGTATCATCAACTGTACCAATAATGTCATACACTACTCCTGTCTTGCCCCAATTCCGACGTATACCTTTCCTCCACCGACACATACTCTACGCGTACAACCCTTCCTTAGCCTTCATCGGCGCCATCCTCGCTATGACACCCTTCATCGTAGCCGACGTAGCAAGTACATGGCTAACCCTCGCTTGGCTTGGCGAAGTCTCGTATCCTGATTCTGTCGATGAACGAATGGCGTTTGATCGAGAACGGATAGCGCAAGTCGTGAAGCTGCTCAAAGTGCCCGATACTGTTCCAGAGAATGAGGGGGCTGGTGATAGTAAGGAGTCGAGCCCCGACCCTCCCTCGTCATTCGTCACATATGGGTTCCTCGGGCCAGGCGATACCGAAAACGGTGGTAAAGGAGGAGAAGCAGAGTATGCCAATAATTTGAGGGATGATATCGTTCGTGCGAGGCCAGATTTAGACGCGGTGCTACCTACGTGGGATGAAGAGACTATCAAAGCGAGGACGGAGATGTACCCAACAAAGTACGAGGCGTTGAAGTGGGCGCAAATGCACTGTGTTTGAACTGGGGAAGATATTAGAGTAGATTGAAATCTTGGGAATTGAAGTAAACGGGAAGGGAAGATCACATTTTGTTGTACTGGACTCATATTTTAAGCAGCCTTGTTTGTTAATTTAATGTAATCGAGACGGATTTGTATGTTTATTTTTGGCGCAGTTACTAATACTAAAAGTTGCTTGAACATAGCTTGGTGACCAAGCCCTCTAGGAGGAATGATCTAAGATCAAATTTTGCTCGGCAATATCGAGGTTTTCCCTCATACTAATAGAGGGACGGTCACCGGTCTAGTTTGAACACTACTCAAGTTCATAAGTGCAAATAATTCTTTTCTTTTCAGGACCAAATCTTTTTCCTTCGAGATCCACCTTCAATGACATTCGTAGATCTTACTACTTGATCATACACTTTTGGAGTTCTAGTTCGATCGAGAAATACCTCGTAGTGCCCGCCAAGCTTGTAGTCCATTCAATTTGAGGAATTTGTTTCCACCCTGACAGCCCCAGGGCATTTGATGCTCCAGAAAGGCCTCCTGCTCTATTCAGTGCCGTAGACTAAGTTGTCAAAAATAACTTAAGAACCTGAGACAAGTTCTTATGTGCCCGGACACTCATACCCCCTTCACTTGAACCCTGGGGGCCAGCCAGAGCTCTTGATCGGAAGGTATTTGTGACGCAAGGCGGGTATATGGCACGGACTTGTATACCCCTGCGCATCAGCTCAGAGGGTGTACAAGACATTGGCAATGAGTATAGAACCAAGGACTTTAGTGATGCATCCCGCACGTCTGCGTGGATAAGTACATCTCGTCACTTGGCGGGTAAAGCAGTGTTCTAAGGCCAAGGGGTCCAAGCTGGTCCAAGTTGCTGTATCCAAGGGTCGCAAATCTTCAGTGTCCAGGTCCATCGTCCAATTTTCTAATTCCCGGGTCGCGATTCGTGAAGAACCTGCAAATTCAAAGCAGGTTAGTACGGGGGGCGCCCCGGGACAGTGGGTGGTCGACTCCACCCACTGTCCATGACTGTAATAGGACAAGTAATCTACTGATCGATAGAGTTATAGATACATTTGAGCTACAGACCGACTCACACTGAAAAATGAGACATGGTATCTTGAGCCTTGAGCCTGAGGTTTCAGATCTTCAAGATAACATTTCTAAGACATGGTGTACACACGCGCTCGTCCTTTGGCAAGAACATGGAGCACAATGGCGGGGCTTCGAGGGCTAGATGGTATTTGAATTTTTGTTGCAGCGATTTGTCTTGCTGACCTTCTTCAATTGAGGTTTCGACAAAATTTTCAAGATCCACACAACGCGTGTAATTATATAGCTTTCAACCCTGCACTATGCTCTTGACTTCAATGGTTCTTCCTCCTTCGCAACGACCTGCTGCACCGCACTCAACAACTTTCCATGCGCGTCCTTTACCGTCGCAATGATCCCGTAGTTTTCTCCCAGCGTCCTGCCCAATCCGAAATCCAGCGGAAGGCCGCGCGAGTCGGTGATAATTCCACCAGATTCAGTGACCAGAAGGGAACCAGTTGCATGATCCTACGGAATATAAACGGCGAGGAAAGAAGAGTATGAAGAGAAGTAAGCTTTTCCCCAAACGCGATCGACCCAAAACGCGAATGTTATACTCACCCAGATCTTTTCCTTATACCCGGCCCCAGTAGGCATCCTCACATACGCTCCACCATCTGCTCGCGCGAGGCACCCATATTTTGCTTGACTATCCATTCGAATCGGGGATGCAGTTAATCCCATTATAGCGGAGATACGGGATATGGTAGAGTGAGATGAGTGTGCGGCTTCGACTGATTCGAGGAAGTTAAATGTGGATGGTGTGTATGGAGGCATTGTAAGAGGTGTTGATTCTGCGCCGGAAAGCGTTATCTGGAAGGAATAATGCTTATAGAAATCACCTAAATTCGAAAACGTAAGATAAAAACACACCTGCTGAGCTCCTTGTCCTCTGACCGCAACGAATAAGCACCCCTTCTCGCCGTCCGGTTTCAACCAGTCTATAGGCAAATTCGGGCACCCCAGAACACCAAGTTGAACTTGAGCGTCGACGATTAGAGCTAGGCAAACGGCATATTGTTCCCCTCGTAAAAAACCTTTGGTCCCGTCAATTGGGTCGATTGTCCACATTCCTACAGATTCATTGAGTCCATTACTTAGATTATTTGGAACGTGAAGACAGAAAGATTAGACGTACTCCCAGTTCCACCACCCTCATATCGTCCCCTATCAATCGCATCCAATAACTCGTCAGCATTCTGCTCTGATCCAGGTCCGATTCCCCAATTCGCATCGTCCCCGATGCCAAGCTCGGCTGTCAATGCTTCGTTTGCAAGCTCGACAATACGATTTCTGAGCGAAGCACCACTTTCTGCTCGTATATCCGATGCATCTTCTTCGCCAACGATTGGATCGTTAGGATATGCGTGGTGAAGCATTGAGCTTATCACTGCTTGGGCGGAATAGTCTGCGACTGCAAATGTCATATACATAAATGAAAACGAAGAGAAGAAAGAGCGAATCACTATACCTGTAACAGGAGACTTGTCTCCCTTTACTAACGTCTCATTCTTAACCAGTTTGTTGAATACAGAAGATGTCAATAAGCAGGCTCTTCGCACAGCAGATATCGCTAGCTGTTTTTCGATTGCATATGCGATTGACATTGTCGTTTAAATGGATGTAGGAAGGGAGAAGGAGAGTTGGGAAAAGGAAGGTAGTAGGAATGGAAGACAATAAATCGATAAATCATTCGTCGGACGTGGTGGATCTCAATAAAGAAATCATATTCGTCACGATTGCTCATTTTTATAAGCGGCCCGTTCGGAATGCCGACGACGGGTCTTGACGCGACAATCAAGCTCTACCTTCATGGACTATGCGTTTTACCTCTCCTTCGAGTGAAAAGTAAGAATGCTTGAGTAATGAAGTGAACTCCAATAGATAGATACATGGATGTACAAGTTACAAAACTTATACTGACAGGTGCAAAATTGAATAGCCATAATATCCATCTTTATTTCATTGCTCCGAGACCCAGCTTTGTATTTTTGATGACAGCAGTGAGAGGGTTCTGCAATCCACCACTCCGCCCGATAGAATCACCCTCTGCCCATCCCATTGAAGCCAACATCTTGAATCCGATGTTCGTCTCGTTAATTTTCGGAGCAGCCTATCAACATCCAGAGTTAACGATGAAGACTTCACGTGAAACGATTCTCTTACTTTGCCAACTTCATCACCTTCCCTATGTTTCGGCATCGACTTACCAGCTTTACCTCGCTCCGCATGTTTCTTCGATATGTCTGCCCCTCCCACAAACTCTGCATTATCAGCAAGCCCTCCCCTTCTCCTTACAATCTTCGCAACCACTTTCTGGTTCACCCTGATCCCAGACATTGTCGTCTTGGTGAGCGTCGTATACCTCGCGTCACCATCTCCTTTACTCAAGCTCTTCAAATTGAACGCAGCAGCCAGCTCGTGTATGTCTTTCCTCGTTTGCTTGTTCGCTGGAGGCAACGACATTGAACTCGGTCCTCCAATGTTATCGATGAATCGACGGATTTGTTGTACGAGTGTTGTCATGTCTATGACTCTATTTGGTAAGACGACTATGGTAGGATCGAGTTTAGCGGCCGCGAGCATGGCTTTTCGACCTTTTTTGCCACCTTGCTTTTCGGTGAGGGGATCAGCTGCGGCAGCGAGTCGAGCAAGGTTGCGTTCTTGTTTACGAATATCCTTCTTGGCCCTGTCTTTCTTCCAGAGATCGATGAGGTCGGGGGGAATGTCTTTGTGTTTATCTTTAGCTTTTCCTGATAGTAGAATCAATTTATCTGATCAAATGGGGGTGGTTGGTGGAAACATACGCGCGGGCTTCCACATATCCACATCCTCAAAGTCACCATTATAGACTGCTTGAAAGACTTGTTTCTTGGACTTCTTGTCTCGACCAACGAGATTGTCTTTGTTTCCATCAAGGATGTCCTGAGTTTCGGATAGGTAAGTATCAAGACTGGGGACCCAGTAGGATTGCCCTGAACACATACTTGTATATGAGCACTGAAATCATCATCTTCCTCCGCCCAAGTACGATTACGATCCCAGTCATCTTCGTCATCAGAATCAGAATCATCATACAAGGTAGCCTTGGCCTTGGCCTTCCCCTTGCTTTTCGCACTAGTAGCACCTGTCTGACTCGATGCTTTCTTCCGGAGATGTTCGAGTCTTGCTTGGAAGCTGGACCTGGGACTCTGATCATCGTCGTTGTCTTCATCTTCATCTTCATCTTCCCCATCATCATCATCCTCGACATCCTCATCATCCTCACTGTCAATCTCAATCTCATTGCCCTCTGATTCCGCAATCAACAATCTCTCCTCAAGATCTAATACTTGCTCGACTTCATCGTCATCCTGATCATCTCGATCCTTGTCCTCATCATCACGAATCTGCACTAGTAGCTGATCATCCTTGTGCACATCTACCGGCGACTCCACGTCCGAAATTTGCACTTGCAGCTGCACCTGCCCATCTTCGAGCACTTGCACCTGCGAAGGGACATCCTCGGAAACTTGCGCCTGCTCCAGTGACAACACATCCTCAGGCACTTGTTCATCTCTGAAGATTTGCACCTCTTGCACCTGGGACTCTTGAATCTGCGCTTCCACATTCTGATGCACCTGCGCCTCCACATGAATACGCTCATTCTCGACCTGAACATTACCATGATCAGTAGAAGGATTTCTTTCTTCTTCTTCTTCGTCGTCATCCTCCTCACTCTCTCCATCTCCCTCATTCAGTTTCTCTTCATCCTCCTCCCTCATCCTCTTTTCGTCTTCCAAATCATCCATCGTCACATGTCTACTTCCACTTGGACCCATCCCTTCTACGAACCGCTTCATCGTTTCCATGTCAATATCCAGCTCCGGATCGATTTCCATTCCTTCTGCGGCGCCTAACGAAGCACCTATCGGATGCCAGAGACCTTCGGATTGTTCAGCACCACCACCTTCCTCTTCTTTGGTTCGCCCTGCTCTTTGGGATCCTTCTGCTTCACTTGGTCCTGCACCATTATCCCCTTCATCCTTTCCTTCACCTCCTTCAGGTGATAGCTCGTCACCAGAGCGGGTCTGAACACGAGCTTGAGCGCTAGCTAACACACCCAAGAGTCCAGTCGAATCCACTTTAGGAGACTGTGTATTGTCTTCCTCGTATCCCCAGTAAGTGGACGGGCTCCAGTTCATATACGGATTCGCATTCGCATACGTGTGAGAGGGGCTATATAGATTCGTGTTTGCATACGGGTTTGCGGGGCTATACGGATTCGTGTTCGCATACGGGTTTGCAGGGCTATACAAGTTCGTGTTGGCATAGGGAGTTGTGTTCGCATTCACATACGGGTTCCCATTCGAATACAAGTTCGTGTTCGCGTTGTTCGCATACGGGTTCCAATTCCTCTGCTGTTCCTGACTATTCTGTCTCCAATTAGTCAACTGTGCTTCAGAGACATCCGCCCCTCGAGAAGCGAACGAAGAAGACGAGTGATGCCGAGAGTACGAAAAAGCCCCTCCTCCGCGCTGACCCTGCTTGGCTGCCCATTGACCTCGCTGACGAGATTTAATTTTGGCGGGTGTAGGGCTGTTGGATGTGAACACAGGAGGTCTCGTGTGGTTGGAGTTGTTGGTTTGATCTCTATCTATATGACTAGGATCATTTGCATGAGCGATAGAAAGTCTAGGAAGACCAGAACGATCAGCAGATAGAGATTCAACACCCGAACCAAAAGATGTGAAAGTTATTGAATCAAGTGTAGGCGCTGGTCCGACAGCGGGAGGAGCTGTTCCAATAGGTAACCCTGTCAAGATGGAGGTGGTTCTAATCTCCGGCCGAAATCCTGGAGTAGGCGTCGGAGCTGTAGATCTGCCTTGACGGGGATGAGGAGCAACGTAGACAACGATGTCGCCGTCATCATCAGAGATGGAAGGAGCGCCCAGTCCAAGACCATCTACGCGGTTGGTGATGATTGGAGTCTGGATTGGGTTTGAAGACGACGGACTCACGTCGACGAAGAAGGTAGGATTCTCTTGTTGTGTTGGCTCCTGGGACTGCATATCTTCATCCTTTCTCGGTCGCGGTTCATCTTGGATCGCAATAGATTGGATAGATGAAGAAACTTGAGCGAGCTCTGGGTCCGCATCTCCAGTGGAAATAGAGAGGGAGGTAGATGCTAACATTTCTACATTACGAGGGAATTGATTCGAGCCGTCGGGTTCAGTCGTGACTGTATCCAAGGATTCCTTCACTGAGCTGGCAGTTTCTTCCTGGAGCAGCAACTCTGCTTCCTCAAAAACGTCGGTCGGCCTAGGAGAACCTTCCTCCATTTCGACAATCTCTTCCACATCGCCTTTGCCAACCGCGGCGGCGGCACCAGAAGCAAAACCATCCATCACCTGTTGGAATCTTCCCACGTCGGAGAAATCGATTTCCTCTAAGCCTTCCGTGTCGTTTGAATCGTCAACTTCCTGATGCTGATAGGTACCACTAAACAACCGCGCAACGCGGTCTGCAGTAGGAAGATGGCTTTGTTCTTCATCTCCTAAGAGCGCTTCAGGGTCAATAGCTGCTCATTGGAAAAACGGGGCACAGAAAGAACGTACCGGCATCCTCCACGATTGGCTGAATGAGTTCCTCTTCAGCCTGGAATAGAAATCGGTTCTGGGTAGCGGGAACAAAAACAACTGGCCGTAGCAGCGGTCTTAATGACAATGAAAGCGGTGCATCTGAGTTATTTGATCCTCTATCATTTCTGGGGTTATCATATCCATCACGACCTCGACCTCGACCTCTATTGCGTTTTGCTTGGTAGTTATTAATGCTTTGGGGTGAATTATTGGAGCCTAGCCCTCTTCCCCGACCTCTTCCTCGACTCTGAGGTGTCGAAGGAGCACTGAAGTAACGTCCTGTGTCGTAGTTGTCTGTTAATGTAGGAGAAGCTATAATGAGTTCAACGAGTGGAAAATATAAGCCATACTGTTATATGTCTGCAAGACGAAGTCTGTGTCATCTGAAGGGTTATATCCAATGTAGCCACCTCGGCCTCCACCTCCACCTCGTCCACCCCTGGCTCTGCCTCTGTATCCTCGACCACGAGGACTATTTCCTCCAGTTGACCCACCGCGGGTGGATGCTCCTCCTCTAGAGGAATTGTACTTATTATAGCCCCTTCCTCGAGCCATAAGCCGATGATACGGCAAAAACAGAGTAGATTTTTTGTCCAAAAGAGTGATTGGTATAGATGGACAAGGACTAGATGGACGCTTCAACTTTTGATCACAATTCTCACAGCTGACTCATAAGCGCCGTAGATAAGATTACAACTTGTACTGTATCAAGAGGTGAGGGAGATTCAGATCGGGGGTACTTATGTTGCCACGCGAAAGGCCCTGACCAAGCCCAAGCCGAGCTGCACGGCATCCTATGACGGTTCGAGAGGCCATAAAACTTGTTCGAAATCTTCGAATACCTGTGTTTGTGTCACTTATTGATGATATCCAACTACTTAGGTACAGTCTGGAAGGTATATGTGAGCTTGAAGGGCGTTTGAGACAGTTCTACAAATAGACCCTGCCTGGACTCTCTATTCATTGGGGGGACACAACGACATGCAACAAAAAGAGTTCACCTCCCTTCCCCCACGGCCCAAGCTCAACTCTTCTGCAGAAGAAGCCTATCCTTGGTATTCTGTTGGATCGGGAATCTGGGAGTATCCTCTCAACTTAAGTAATTCTTTGGACTCTCCCACTGGCACTACTTCTATCACTTCAGGCGAAAGATCAGTCATACAGTGGTGTGAGCCCAACGTTCAATGGCCCTTGGATAAGTCAGGCTGAGGTTCAGTTCGAATTAAATGAATAAGTAAAAGTGGTGATAGATAATACTTGCGAGGAGGTTTGGCTGGGCTTTAGCCCCGCGCGGGTGGGCAGAAGATGAATATGTGAGATAAAAGTACACGCGGGGATTAAAGCAGTAGCATACAACTGGGAGAACTAAATCGGTGCGGGTGGGTGGGTAGCGAAAATTATGTGAAAACTCCAATTGGCGGTGGGTGTCGGATGTGAGAAGATAGGCGCCAAACCAGCGCTGACCGACTCACACCACCTGGCTGACTTATCCTCTGATAAGCCTCCTCTAGCGACTTATCTCGGAATAACTCCGTCATCACACACGACTACATCGAGGAAGTAATTTTTCTCGAAGGCGGGTTGAAGGACTTGACTCTTCAGCAGGAGTGGGGTCCAGGAGCGTATGCGTATCGGTTACCGGGTATGAAGCATGGACCGTATCGGGCTGGCGAGAATGGTTGTCTGGAGTTTGTGAGGTGCATCAGTGTGACAAAGGGAAATTGACAGTAATTGATTCAAATGAACCACGAGCTCCGAGTCAAGGTTCAAACCTGAGGTACTCGGAAACGTTAAATCAGACACTCCATATCACTGCTGATCGTTAGCAGGATCCTTTCTATGACTCATGATATCTTCCTGATATACCAAGTAACAGACTCGGAAGATATTGGATTCTCTAGAACACGGCATTATTTGGGTGCCTATCCAACGACTTTTTATACGGCATACAAGGTTCAACGCATTTATTTGTCATTTAACGGGCCTCTATGTATATTATGCAAGCTGTCTGTCACTGAAATATCAGCCAGGTGGTCCAAAATTGTTTGCGAGTCTATAACTGCAGTCCCACTGTCTCAGTGACTCACAATCTGATTCCGATGGTATACTTCTTATGTTTCCACAGGTAAGAACGACAATAGTAGAGAGTCGCGTTCCTCAATATTCATCTTGCATTTGGATAGCAGATATCTTTGTAGCGGTGTATACACCTCCAAAAACCAGTACAATGGGAAGACATCTCGCTGATACAACGAAAGCGCTCTTAAATCTCTGCAGTACGAGGAGCCATTCAAAGCCATTCCGCTAAGGACAGAGATGTAGAGAGATGTGCATTTACTCTTGGCCTCTATATATATGCACATGCCAGCTGCCGTTCACTGAAATCATGCCCAGATTGGTCTAGATATATTCATTGCTGCAGTTCTACTGTCTTAGTGACTCATAAAACGATTCTAATGCTTTGCTTCCTGCGCCTTTGTAGGTGAGAACGACAATGGGAGTTCGTTCGGGAGAATCAAAATCTTCAATATCCATTTTTGCATTCGGATGACAGGTATCTTTGTGGAAGTATATTCATCTTCAAATCCCAGCTCTCATGATTAATACAAGGGGAAGACAACTCGAAGAGATCGCGAGTGTACAATTTCCAAGTTCAGCTACGTCAACAGAATAGAACTTGAACTTGAATTACACAATTAGACGATATCGGATTGTATTTCCAGAACTGGCCGCTGCGTTTTTGTCAGTATATAGAGTCGGAATGGTTCACTCATAGTCTCTCCACTTCACGATTATGCTCCACCAACTCAACTATCGCAAGGTGAATATGTTTTCTCTTGAATTTCCTCCTCTGATTATCCGATCTCGTAGCAAAACATTGTGGCATCGTCTCTCATACTGACCGCCGCTTCTGCTGTTGGACAAAATTTAAGCTTTAGCTGCTTCAGTTCTGGCACGCAAGGTAACTGTGGCAATTTTGTCGACACCTTTTGTCCTTCGGTCAGTACGGTGAGCAAAATCAATATTAGCTGACTGCATTTTATATAGTACTCACTACCTTGTCTCTTCATAGGTCCGACCTCAAGATAGCTCTTCGCACTGTTATAATTCCGATGGGTTTGGTTTCAAGTGTATGCATTGACTGCCGTGACTTTCATCTTGCTCGAAAGCTCACCATCGTACGGTACTACAACAGGTGACTTTACCGCCTTCTACGCCGTTGGCACAGTCGATAGCCCGCCAGACACAACTAACTGTGAATTGGTCCTTGGTTCCATTATCAAGGCCTGCCCTGCGGTTAGTATTGATTCGTCAATACTACGGTCATACTTTCTAACTTGGGTTTATCCTTGTTCAGGGTGGTCAAGGAAGCGTCGAAGGGGGATCCTTTGTCTTCACTGTTGACCCCAACGAAGGAAGCTGTGGCTCTGATTCTTCCTCTTCCTGCAGCGGCGATTGAGTTGATATTGTCATCACGAGTGATGGTGTCCGAAGGCTGAGTAGACTCAAAGTATAAGGCAGCGATGTAAAGTAGTCAGCGTGCTTGATATGGTTTGTACTCAGGATAGCTCCCCCGGGTTTCAGATCGTGACAGGTCTACTTGAAATGTAGTTCACGTTCCCAATCGAATTATGAAGTAACTTCGCATTCTGGAAGAGTAAAGAGGTCGTACAAAAACAAAACATAGAGTAATACGCTAAACGGGTAACAAAGAAGTCCACATAATTGTAACAAGTACTTCCTCAACCCAAAGATCAATACCAAGCTTGACGTACTTAGATGGATTCTAAAAGGGACAAAATAGTAGATGCAAAAGGAACGTCTTCGGAAAGTGATGCTGCGCTGGTACAAGTAACAACGGAAGATGAATCACAATCAGTTGGTAATTCTACGATGACAGATTCAACTCCTCCTGTAGAGGAGCTTTCTCGTCAACGATATAAACAGGAGGGGGGACGAAAACCTCTTCGGGATCGTATCGGTTGGGAAGAGCAATGTATGATGATTCTTGGTTACTGTTACCGCCCCTGACAGTGCGGTAGGCGACGACAGTGAGAACCCAAAACATCCTGAGCAGGACACCGAGGCCACAACCTGTAGTTGTTGAAAAGATTTAGTAAGATTGCGTAATCAGGGTAAGGTTGTCCAACAAACTTACCCAGCACAAAGGCAACAGCACGGCCTTCCCAAGGACCTAGGGTCATGAGAGAGAAATGGAGACGCCTGATGAAGGAACACCTGCTGGGGAAACGGCCAGTCCTTGTTTTGAAGTGGTGGCGGTGGTGTCTATGGCGATAGATAGGACCTTCCTCGCCCTCACGCTCCTCCATCGGGTTAAACTTGTCATGATGATGGTGGTGTTTGTGATGAACGTGACCCTCTTCGCCTTCTTCTTCAGTTTGTATCTCCTGATGATGATGGTGCTTGCGATGAACATGTTCCTTTTCTTCTTCACCCTGCATCTCCTGATGATGATGATGTTTGTGATGAGCGCGGTTTTCGTCGTCGTCCTGGTTGTCGTGCTCCAAAACTGGCCCACCAAACGCAAAAGGCACAAAATGAAGAGCGCCTTTGAGCTTGCCACCTTCATGGTGTGTGTGAACGGACTCGGTCTCGATCAGAGGCAGTCCAAGAGCTTGTCGAAGTGTGTTGGAAATCAACAATGAACGAGAGCCAGCGCAACCACGACGAGCGCCGTTCTCTGCGTTATTCCAAGGCTTTGCGTCATGAACTTTGGTGGGAGAGACGATTTGCGCCACACTCTCGTTGTTGGAATTCGCCTGAGGGATTACAGAAGCCCCATGGCTCACGAATGCAACGCGCAGAGGACTGGCGTTTGCCTGGACTGTTAGATTGGGGAGAAAGTAAGATATAAGGCTTTTATCTCTTCATCACACAATCAGGGAACACGTACGGAGGCCAGCACCAGCGACTAGAAAAGAGACAGCAGAAAGTTTCATGGATATGGATTCTGCTACGATTGTGAATTAGGATCTGAGGAGGACTGGGAAGAGAGGTAAAACGAACTCGCTAAGAGGATTGAGGAATTTGAAAGGTAATAATAAAACTGCTGCGGACACACCGCGAAAAATGGAGTGTTTTTAAACTCCGATTTAGATAGGCGCTAATTTTAGCGCAGTGCGGGCGCCATCGGCTTCTTTAACCATTTTCGATTAGTCCGCAGCTTCAGGCTTCTGCGCTTCAGCAACGGATGAATATTGTCGAAAACTGGTAAGCTCTCTTTCAAAAAATTCCAAGTCTTGGGGCTCAGAATCCACCTTCGAGCAGCACAAAATATTCAGCGAGGGCTCCTAGATTTTGCATTCACTGCAGTGGTTGAGTGGGTTGGGCTTTTTTATCGTTGTTGTTCTCGCGCGACGTATCGCACAACCGCTGCGGGGAATCGGAGCTGCTTGGTCATAAATTTACCGCGCATTGTCTGGACCGATCGCCTTGGTCAGAAAACGTCTTGCGAGATATTGATTCAGCGGAGTGCAACAACGACAGCGCAAACTCCATGGAACTACTTCCCCTCGAGGTCTTGATTGTTCAAAGTCAAGGTTTGGCTGTTAATGTTATGTTCTGCTTTGTGCTGGTGCGTGCTCATCACTTCCTTTCATCCCTTGCGTATATCGTCTTCTAGAATCCGATCTGAGGGTTAAGAGCATGATTTCACAGTAGCTCAACCTTGGACAGCTTACTTCGATACACATGCGGCTTCAAAATTTGATCCTCATTCACAAAGCCGCTCCGCGGTGAACAACGAGTCCCTTCAGTCCATCACTTCATTCGAAACGCATACCCGCTGTATACTGACACGTACATGCATCATACGGGGCCGGGCCTCAGGCTCCAGACATCAATTTTGAGGAAATCTTGTTTCTTGTTTCTAGTAAGTTCGCTATTGATTCTACATGTACGACGATGGTACCACTGTATCTATTTTTGGGTCTGGGCTCTTGAGGAAAATGTATTGAACAAACAAATATGTGAAGACAAAATGTTGGCAACAATCGACATGCTCTGCAGAGCACTGACTGTACTGTATCACACATGTATGTCGTACTTAGAGCACCTCCTCTCTGCTCAGTCTTGATTTCTGAAGGAAGAATAGACAAAAAAATCATTCCGACACGGGGAATCGAACCCCGGGCTATCGCGTTCAAGATGAGAGGCGATAATGTTAGCCACTACACCATATCGGATACCAACTATATTTGGAATCAGCTCCCAATTCCATTTACGTACCTTTTGGCGCTTATGTACACAATTGTTCCCTAAGCCTTTTTTTTCACGAATCACAGCGCTCGTAGAGCAAGCGTCAAGGTATGTATAACTGATTGTACTGCTCTAATCCGTTCGGAACCATCTTCGACCAAGGCCTGCTTTTCCGGGCAACTAATGCGCAAACCAAGGGGTTTACTTACTCGGCTTCGTCATCGGGCGGAGCTTGATCCATAGTAATACGGGCGAAGCGGAAAGGCGTTGTCAGTTCTTACTTCTTTATTCTCCACCATCATCATCAAGTCGAACAACAAATTTCAAACAACGATTCAACCATGGCCCCTTCTGTAACAACTTCTCCATCTAATGGACATGTATCGGTGAATGTTGCAGGCTTGAAGGCCACGAACGGCAAGAATGGCAACACCAAGTCGGGCGCGCGGCATGCGAGTTCTGCCGAAGTCATCCAAATGGAACACCAGTTTGGTGCTCATAAGTAAGTTCTTAGAAGAAGGATGCAGAGGATGCCAATTCGTATTATCACCTTTGCCTTTAAATACATCTGCTGATGCGAGTCATTTTTGCCGTTAGTTACCATCCCCTGCCAGTCGTATTTGAGCGTGCTCAAGGAGCCAAGTGAGTGGTTTTTGCCACTAGACTACTCATGTACTATAGCGGTTTTTCAACTTTAGGGTATGGGACCCGGAAGGCAGAGAATACATTGATATGCTATCTGCGTATTCGTAAGTGTCGTACTATTCATCTATCTAAATTAATTTCATTAACGAAATCATTTAGAGCTGTGAATCAGGTCAGTATCCTCTTTGCTGGTCCGCCGCTACTACCCGACGATGCCATTTGACATGAAACTGTGCCCACTGCAAGTTGAAGAGGTCAATGTCGTCGTCGTCCTTCTGTTCCGATATCACGGGTGAGGCCTCAATAAGGGCCTATCAGGCTTTCAGAAATCGGCTCAGCAAGATCCCCAAAGATTTCGAGTTCATTTTATGCTCTTATCTCGCCTTTCGTACCACAGCTAATACGAGTTTTATAGGGCCATTGTCACCCACGGATCGCAGCGACTCTCATAGAGCAATGCCAGAAGCTCACATTGTCTTCCAGAGCGTTTTATAACAGCGTGTTTGGCCAATTCGCTCAACAGATCACCGAAATGTTTGGGTACGACATGGTTCTGCCTATGAACACGGGTGCAGAAGCCGTTGAAACGTCACTGAAGCTTGCAAGAAAATGGGCGTATGCAAAGAAAGGTGTTCCAGAGGGCAAAGCGATGGTTCTATGCGTAGAGAACAACTTTCATGGACGAACTCTTGGTATCATCAGGTATGTTTATGAAAATTCCGAGTCCGTGGGTCTCACACACCCATCTACATGTAGTATGAGCACGGATCCGGAAAGCCGGACAGGATTTGGGCCTTACCTTGAAGGTGTTGGACCCACCTTTGTTGACGGAAGTCAGGAACGCACTATCCGATATGGCATCGTAGAGGATCTAGAGCGGGCGCTCGAACTTCATGGAAAGTATGTAGCTGCGTTCCTCATCGAACCGATTCAGGGCGAGGCAGGGTGAGACAACCGTTTTTAAGTATCCTCAGTTTACCCAATTTCTGACCTTCAATAGGATCGTCGTACCGGAACTCGGCTATCTTGCTCAAGTACATGCTGTTTGCAAGAAACACAATGTTCTTCTTATATGTGATGAGATTCAAACGGTACGTCTAATGCACTTGGCGGTTGTGTACTACAATTAAACGTCATCTTATCTTCTATAGGGTTTGTGTCGTACCGGAAAAATGCTCGATTGCGAATATGACAACGTTAGACCTGACGTTGTACTTCTTGGAAAGGCTTTGTCAGGTGGAAGTACGTCTCTCCTTTTCGCTTCGGGTACCAATTTTCACCTTTACACCCCGTTTTACTCGCTTGGTAGTGTATCCCGTTTCAGCAGTCCTTGCAGACCGGGACATCATGCTCTGCATTAAGCCTGGCGAGCACGGGAGTACTTATGGGGGGTAAGTAGTATTCATTCTTTCTACGTTACCCGAAATCCCCGTATTCCGTTTTTAGTTTCTGATTTCTTGCTTGTTCTTATTCCTCTGCTCTAATCCGGTAGGAACCCACTTGGATGCGCAGTCGCAATGACCGCACTTCAAGTTCTCCAAGATGAAAAGCTAGCTGAACGAGCAATGGCTTTGGGTAGACTCTTTCGATCTTCAGTCTCTGCCCTAAATTCTCCTCTAGTACAAATTGTTCGAGGGAGAGGTTTACTTAACGCTGTAGTCATTGATGAAAGCAAGAGTACGAAAGGAAGGACGGCATGGCAGCTCTGTTTATTGCTGAAGAGTCGCGGGGTGTTGGCCAAGCCTACGCATGTTAATATGTAAGTCCCGAAAATCTTGGGTTCTTGGCAACGTTACCATTGTGCCACAACAGAATTCGGTTTGCTCCACCGCTGGTAATCTCGGAAGAGGATTTATTGAAAAGTGTCAAAGTCCTTGGAGAATGTTTGAACGACCTTGATAAAGTGATTGTCCCTGTTGTAGTTCCTCTTTTCTTGCCATTACTGACATCTCCCACCTAGTTGGATGTCATTCCAGGTGAAGATGATCTTTAAGCACAAGCAATCGAACTTTCGTTTCGTAGTCATTTGTGCCCATGACAGGATAGAGTGTTACATACCTGTACTCAATGTAAACCATTCACGTACAATTTCTGATTTAGCTGTTCAATGCAATACGATCGTCCTTTATGATTGTAGATTAGATCTTGCTTGCCACGCGTCTTGAAATTTTGAAGAAATCATGGCGGATAATGGCCTATAATGGCGCTGACCTTCCTTCCCGCGAAGCTAACGTATTCGACCCTTCGTACTTAGTCTCCAAAGTTAAGTCCTCACCTATCTTGTTTGTGTGTTCCTTCCAAAGGTTGCTACCAAGGCTGCTACCTGGTGGCTACTACCTGGTGGCTATCTGTGGCTACTTACTAGTACTTACTGATGACCTCTGATGAGAATCACTGGGTCTACTTCAAGTTATTTTATGCACAATTTATGCAAGGCCAGTTCATTCATCTCCTTGGTTACAAAAGAGTCCTAACAAACTTGGCCAGAGGAACTCCGCGTGTGGAAAGGTGTGGAATGTGAACCGTAGCATTAACTTGGCCTTCCTGCGCGCTGGTCGGGCGTCGGTTGTACTCCGATTTTTATGTGAAGGATTCTAATGCTAAGTATCGGATTAACATTGAGTGTTGAAACTGCGTCGTCTAGTACTAATCTGGAACCGATAAATAGATTGTACAGAATACATGGCGCTAAGTACCAGCGAGCTGACAGTGGTCCCAAATGGAAACTGCCGGTCTCGGACGTCGATCCAAGGACGATGTGGTCATATCTCACTACGCTTGGATTATTGCTTGTGTCAAAGTGTCAGTTTCTTTCTTAGATCCTTAGTACACTTATCGGCTTTGTCAGTAATAGTATCCACCTGTCTCCACGCTGGAATGCTGGTCGGATGCACCACATCTTATCAAGTGTCCACAAAGACGAAAAAAATAGTCTGGACGAGACAGCTCTTGAATATTGTGCGCCAACTCTAGACCTCGGATTCTAATTTCTATCTTTTACATCGACCCTTTCCTGACTATCAACATATTCTTGACCGATTAATTACTACAAGCTAAAGTACATCGGTAACGATAATCGTCGCTGATAGCAATGAATTACTCACGTCTCCAAGAATTAGCAGGCTAGCCCGGTCTTTGAGATGATTCGCCCGTGATTCCGAGCCCTCGACCGCCTCGTAACAGCCTGTGCCTATATGCATCACAATATGTATAGAAGATATTTTGGCCAAGTTAGGGTTGACTAGAGCGTGGCTACGCCGCCATTCATGTACCTGCCGTCTATCAAAGACTTCAGTCTCTTCTGTGAAAAGTAGGAGTTGTAGTCACTCCTCTCAGGTTTGCGTTGGCCAACAATCGCGGTTCGGAATTGTGGCGACCGAGACTAGTCTGCTCAAGGACCTCAAAGTATGCCCGCTACTCGTTCTGATTCACTAGATTGATAAAGAAGACAGACATACTTATCCGGATCCGGGGTGTATCCACGGAATATTGCCTCATATTGCTGCCCTTCAAGTGAGACCCTACAGGGACGTCGCCGGCTCCTTTAGTGACTAGGATTCCCTAGGGCTACTTCAGGATACCAACAATGAGCATGCGCTACATTAGTGACCATCGCAGTCATCGTAGTTCATCATTCAGAGAATCTGGTCTTTGGTTTCCCGAGGGCAAATTATTTTAGAATCTGACTTCAAACTTCAGGCCTCAAGGACCTCTAGCCGTAATCTGTTGTCTGTCCCTCGATTTTCATCCCTCTCGACGGTGGATCATGGAGGGCCCGAGTTTCCAATGAGCGGGAAGTCCGAGGTATGTATAATACTTTAGCTCATCTGTAAAACCGATCCGATAGTAGCATGTTTCACTTGAGTAGTCTCAGAGTAGACCTTTATAAGTGCAGTTGGCACCATCCAATTAAGATATGTATGTATCTCATCATTCACAGTCGACATAACTGTGGTTTCTTGTGCACAAGTCGATTATTCGTCAAAATAAATGAGCGAAAAATAGCCGAAAGCAGCAAAGAAATGATTAGAACTTCACTAACATATCTTTGTCCATCAAAGAAAAAGAGAATACCAACGCACTGCGGTTGGAACCAGGCAGGGCCAGTTTGGAATACATGTATATTGGGAAAGGAAATTACACGGCATGGTCCAAGAACTGAAGTACTGAACACCGGTCTCTTGAGGAAGTTTATTGCGCGGCCAGTCCCCAAAGCTCGGTAGAACTTACAACAGGAATCCAGGCAGCTCTTGTACTTCTACTGTCCCTAGATTATCATATATATATACATACACATAACTATAATATTGTCTCTTTTAGACAACCCTCTGGCCATGCACAGGCCGAAAAACAAAATACTATATCATTATCTTAGACACGATCCATCTTTATCGGATGAACGCAAACGCACTACACGCGAAATTAAATAAGTAGACAGTATGCAGCGTGCGTATAAGCTCAAAGAGAATGAAAAAATACAAAACTTTCAATGTTTACTTTGGTCAGATAATCTCGAAGCATTCAATCAAGCCTTACAGGCGAGGTTCGGCATTTTGTCAAAACCACTCAGGGTTTATCTTCGAGGGCGCATTCTCGAATCTCGGGACAATTTTCGCGTTCGATATGAGAGGCAACCGGCTTTCCTACTTCGATTGAGTGTATGAAATAATGTTTCATCCTTTTTGTCAATGTCATTCTTCCCCGTTGCTAGATTGAGGGTCATTGAGTCTAAGGCTTATGGACTTGAGAGTATGCAGTGGATGGGTATAAAAGACCAGTTGAACCCGGAACAAAGCAGTAACCCGATAACCCCCACCAAACAGTATTCCCCTTCTCGATTTCGAATCACTTTCATGTCGTCGCAACAGGTTTGTCTGTTTCTGTATAACTTAGATTCCAGTTAGACGAGGTTGAGATAGGACAACAACACTCAGCAGCAAATGGAATCCCCTAGAGTTCCTCGACGAACACCAATGGCTTGTCAATTTTGTCGAGGTACTGCGGTTGTCATTATATCGGGCGCAGAAATTTGCTTGTCAATGCTCCTTACTACTAGGTCGTAAGTTGAAATGCGATGGAAATCGTCCATCTTGCGCAAACTGCAATCGTCGGGGCTATCCTTGCGTATATACACCTGTGTAAGTAAGTTCCCTTATGAACGGTTAAGATACTTACTTTTGAATTTTAGTTCCGCTGAGCAGAAATGAAACAATACAAGCCTCACTGGCCACATAGAACTCATATCAGTATAAGATTGTACCTTCTCTTGGCCCCCGTACAGCGTACAATCCGAATTTTGAACTGTAGTCATCTTGTACTTGTTAAATTATCCTTGTTGCCTTGCATCCGAAGTTGAATCAGTCTAAACCGATTACAATCAACTCCGTGTTAGCCTAGCATGCTGGACGCTGTACTTTTGACTTCTTGATTGATATAATCGGAAAGGAATTGTCATAACTGGCGACTCCAAAACTTGAGATATTGGAGTCATTGGTATGAACGATGCTCGAATAATCGTCCATCCTTTGAACTCTTTTCGAGGAATTAGAGTGTTTCTGAATGCTGGTTTCTGAATGCTGGTCACTGTCAAATGATGGAGGCGTGAGAAATAGTTCACCAGAACGTGATTTACTAAAAGCTTACAATTCGGACATTTTCGAGTGTTCGAGTGTTCGATGCCGATCAACCTTCAAGCGCAAGCTGTGGATGAAAATCGCGAGGTTTTCTACATCCCAAATTTTGTGACGGTTAGCGGCATTGATGGCAATAGGTTTCTGCGGTATTACTCACGGCATCAACAAAAATAGGAAGAAGAAGAGGGTTATCTCATTCGTAAAGTATGTTCGTTTTTCAAGGGAGCTGCAAGCTTTATGTTATCACTTTCCTCAATGCGGATTTAGATCAAGGACACTCCTCAACAAAGCTGGAAAGGGCTTGCAAATCGAAGGTGATATTCTACAAAAAAAAACATCAACAAGATACAGGGGAATGACGGTCAAGAGTCCCTTAGGCTGCAGATATGGGGCAAGTTCTACTGCTCAAGCTCATAATCTTCTATTGCATCCCTCAAACCACGTTGCGACAGGAGGACAATTGACAGGCAAAAATGTTTTGTTGTCGCAGCCCCTTCCCCCATTTGTTGAAGTATAGTGCGTGAGGGCCTTTTCTTGTTCTTCCATGTTAAAGGATTCAACATTACAGCCCTAACATTGTAAATCGCTTACAATCTACTGGTGTATTCCGTGCTTCCACTCATGGAGCGCCCAGTAAGATAACACAGCTCCCTCAATAGACTTCCACTTAACACGGTCTCTGTAGATCATATCATCGTCAACGAAGTGGATTTCTCTTCTGTCGTTAAATATAGGCTTTGTTGCGAAATTAATATTCCCTTAGTATCTACCAGGGCAAGGAATTATGGTATAACACCCTCAGGCTATTCTATTCTCTGCAAGTTTCATTATTGATCATTGTCTTCATACAGCCTCACCAGGATGGTCCGGCATACCACCCAGTTGTCGCTACTATATCTCTAGGAACCCACACGGCATTTCATTACTACAAGTATATGACGGGAAGTCAAGGTCAAAACGCTACCGAACCTAGGTCTGAGGACGTGGCACGAATTATAGATCCCACTCCGGTTATGTCCGTTCTTTTAGAACCCCGCAGTGTCGTTATAACTTCTGGATCACTGTATACATCACATCTTCATGGGCAAGTTTATTTGACTGTATTTTATTGTTGTGCTGAATCATGTGTGTATAGTATCGGAAATCAGATTGTTGATCATTTTACTGCTGGGTTTGACGATTTACATCCCCCGAAATTCGCTGACTTTGATGTTACTGTTGCAAATTGGAGGCTTCTGGGTGGAAGGGATGCGAAAGATGCTGTAATCAATGGTGGTCATCTTGAGCGGGGTATAAGATATAGCCTGACCTGCCGTGATGTCGAAAAGGTGGCGAACAGTGCGTTACTGGGACGGTGATATGGGTGCTCAGGAAGCTTTCGGTGGGATCCGGAATGGGTGCAGTGCCATCAATTTCCCTCACGAATAATAGGGAATTCTCCAACTTGCATGGGTGAATTTTGCTCAATGAACACTTGTACCTCACTATTGCAGCGCCGTCGAAAGATATACAATTTCATCATTCCGAATTTGCCACAATATGTCGCCATTGTGTATGAGTCAAATGTAAAGCGTGCCAACGTTTACAATTTGATTCTCAGAAAACCAAAGGGCACATTCCATGAACCCGCTGCCTGGAGGGAGGAGTCCTGCCAACGGTAAGATTGTAGATAGCGTTCATTTCGGCATGCATCGATAGTGGCGCTCCATGGGAATTGATTGGGGAGTAGGCTTCATCAGGCTTCATCATACCGAGGTCGCTGGTGGTTATATTCAGAATATAGGTCCTTGCCCCCTTTGACAATGATAGAACCCAAGGTGAAGAGCATTGGAGACCATTCAACAAAACAAGCATTCCATAAAAGAGGCTTACGACTTATCTTCGATGCAGACTAGGCACCGAGTTAGATAGAACTCAGAACTGCGAATTGCTCATTTTTGCGAGGTTGAGAATAATACATAGGCAAAGCTTGAATCAACTTGTGGTTATGTGTTAATGGTTGAATTTTAAGGAGATGTCGGGCCGGCAACAATGTTTACTGGCTACATAGATATGCCTTAAGAGCCGGTAAGGTATGTTCCATTCAACCCAAGTGATTGTAATAGTAAGGTCGTGTTCATCCAGTCATTACCAAGGTCTTTATATATAGTCATGAGTATAGATCCCTGGATGGATCGATGTTCTATGTCGGATGTCCACATCCTCGAGAATACTACATCTGCTTGGACAGTAGTATACGATTAGCCAGTGCGGACAAGTTGGCGTCACCTAGCACCACTTCTGGCGCATATTCCACACCAAATGCCTCCTTGATAGCGGAACATATTCGTTTCGCTTGAAGCTCTGACCAGAAACTGAAATCGTCTGGGTCTGGTCCTCGTTCTTCCACGTCCGATTGGGAATAAGAATCAGCGGCGCGCTCAGGAGGATCCAGTTCTACTCGTGAGATTGAAGGGCCTTGTTCGAGAGTGGGGGTCTTGTCATCTTTGCAAGAGAGCGGGATTAACGACGGGTCCGAGTCAAGACATAGAGGAACTATCCGCATAAGAGTCTGGCGGACTGCGCTGAAATTGAGCTCTGCTGGTGTTTCAACTGGGCACAGTTTATCAGTCCATAGATATATTACCAGACAGAGAAAAAAGAGCCCACCATAGATTTCGATAGGACCATCCATACACATAACGTTATATTTTCCATCATGATGGTATCGAATCTGAAGACGGTCCCGTCAAGATTGTTTTCTGAATTTCTTGAAAAGCATATGCTCACCTCGTAGCGCCCAGTGATCCAAGGCAAATTGTTGTCTTTGAAAGTCACAACACCGCTCTCAGAATCTTTCACCGGAACATCCGGACGATCACGTCCCAAGGGTATATCACCATCCCATTCCTCGTCGTGCACTGGTACCCACATACCCATGGAGGAAGTTTTCGTTATAAGACTAGATTTATTAGCTCCAACCTACAACAGGTGCACCACAGATATCAGTACGCCGAGGGATATTTATTTGTCCGATAAAGAACAATACTTACTCTGTAAAGACCGATCCAATCCTTCCGAGAATGCATATGAGGCGCCTGCCATCTGATCTTGATAGGTTCGCCGAGATGGAAGCGAAGTGTCCCATCAGAACTAGGCAAAATGGTGGCTCTGTACTTGGAGGTATCATAGGATGACATGTCACTGACAACTCGACTAGAAAAAAAGGTTGTCAAGATGAAAAGGTAGAACGAAAGGGTCCACATACGTGATGACTAATTTTTCTCGGGACTGTTGCAAAAGGACCTTTGTGTCGAAGACGACTCCTGAAATTTTAGGGCGAGCTGAAGGAACAGCATGAATTCATCAAATCTGTTCGAGCAAAATCGACCATAACTTACATTTCGCCAAGAACTCTTCGACAGCGTCCGCAGTCTCTTCAAATACCTTGTCAAATGTACCCTTTACTTCTTTAGCGACACGCTTCAACTCGGGCGCATGTTTTCCAGCACGAGACTCCAAAAGTCTAGCATTCTTGCTTGCAACATTCTTTATGACCTTGATGAAGCCAGCCTCCTTGCGCAAAGAATCACCATAGAACTTCGTCATGTGCGGGCTGTGTGAAGACGAGTTGGTGAGTTATACATTCCTACCTAGCCAAACAAGCGACGTACTTTTCGACACTGCTAACGAACCACCAATGTCCCAAATGCTTGATCACAGCAAGTGAGAAGACAAGTTTACTACCGCTGATCAGTCCAAGCCCAAACCAAGCCGCACCACCCATCATTTCTGGATTGTTGAGGTACCTACATATACCATATTAGGGCACAGACAAGGAAAAAAGAAAATTATTGCACCGATAAATCCCAGAATACTCTAAATGAGAGGGGAACTCTTCCATGAAGAAATCACCGAAGAACCACCCTGTGTTCTGGTCAGTCATTTTCCCGTTCCAGGACAAAGACTAAATTTACCAAAGACGCCCAGAACTTCGTATGATTCAATGGTCGCCCATACATGCAAACCGACTAATAACTGAGCGTAATTTCAGTATTCATGGGCAAGAAATGGAGGAAAAGGGCTAACTGCTCCCAATGTGTGGCGCAACAATTCAACTCCGACTGTCCAGTTAGAGGGAATTGAGTAGGTACGCCATACAAGTCCAATGAAAGACACTGCAAAGTCAAAAATGAGCGAACAAGTGCTCAAAGCAGAGTCACCGAAATCGCACATACCATATGTCATACAAAGAGAAGCATTATAGATCGCCTTAAAATTGGCGAACGCTTCAACAATCGCACCCTTGGCACCTTCTTCATTTCCAAAAGTATAGTGATAGTTCTTCATGTAATGCTTGACCAAGAACTTGCTCTCGCTTTGGGCTCGCAAAAGGAATCCGAGTCCAAAGACGTGGAATAAACACCAACTAAGTGCGTGTATGAAGTGCACCGCAACGAGGGATGAATGAGATGCAAAGACAGATGAAGGTAAAAGGGTGAAAAGGGCGACGTAGGCAACTAAGATAATAAGTAGAGCGTCTGGGGCACTGTATGATGGAAAATACGCATGAGGCACAAATACCACAAATTTAAATGTGGATACGAACCGTAAAACATCTACGTTTCGGAAAATCACCATATCACGTCTGAAGTACTTGTTCAACAGATCATGTTGGGAAACTGATTTCCGGGTCTTGGATGTTAAGTCCCCGGTGCAGGAAGTAGACAAAGAGCTAGCGGCAGACCCCTGTTGCCGGTGGTTGGAAGACTTCCTGGCTCGCGGACTCTTCGGGCTTATACGTCCACTGCCATTTCTCACTGGGGACCTTAATTTTGAATTGGTCTTGAGTAAAATGCCGACGTGGTTCTCCTTTTCCTCGATTTCAGTTTCCGTCTCGGTTTCTAAGTCGGTGTCGGTAGCAGTCTCTCCTTCGGTAGCGGACGGGGTAGTCAACTCAGTATCACTTTCCTCGACTTCCGAAATTTCAGCCCCACTGGTACTAGGAATTGACTTATTGGTAGACTTCAGTGACGACACCAAGGGAGTGCGTTTTGCAATCGCTTTACGCTGTCCGTATAGGCGTTCGATATGAGGATTCTCAAAGAACACCAAGAACGCGAATTGCGCGGCATGAGCCGCAAGACTAACAAAAAGGACCCCGTAGCTGCCGGAGATGAGCGAGAGGCCGTAATAACCCGCGTAACCTTTCAAACAGAAGAATTTTGGGATTAAAGAGAACGCAACGGGAATGTGACATTCTTGCTTACCAACAGAGTACATAGGATGAGGAGCCAATTCGAAAACGCCATCGAAGACCAATGCGCCACGTTGAAAGAAACAATCACCCCAGTACCAACCATAATCTTTGACGACAGCATGAGCTTCTGTCTTGACCCAAAGATTGAACCCAATGAGTGCTAAGCCTCCGATCCATCTGGAGGAAATGAACACTCGTATGTCAACATGAGTGTGGAAGAAAGAAAAGCGATATGTACCTCATTACGTGGACAAAATTGGAGAGGCCCTCAGGGACGCGGAAACTCGCGAATGCAAACATACAATAGGCTACGAAGTCACTAGTAGGACGAAGAAGAATAGAAAAGGCTTTAGCGGAAACCTTCGGCGACATGAAGGGATGAAGCCATACTTCAACAAAATGATGTCTACAGCTTGGCGGAAAAGCAGCCAGGTGTTATACTCCATGGGAAGTTCCTAAGTGAAAAGTTACGAGCAACAGAGTAAGGGGAATGTGTAACCATGAGCGAAGCGCATAAGGACATACATCAAAGGAATAATCCTTCCCCATCTTGCCTGCTAACTGAGCACGTACCCAGTTCCTCACCTCCGGACGCCGTTTTTCATCCATCCAACCAAACTTTTGGACTTGTTTTTCGATCCATTTTCGTTTGCTTTGTTTGGTGAGGACCCAGCCAAGTCCAGCATCATACGCAGCTCGCCAGAATGCAAAGTAGAGGAAGAAAAAGATCTGGGAGACGTGTCGGGGGAAAATGAAGTACAACACAATTTGAGAACCAAGAAGAGTCAAGCTGAGGATGTCGAAATGACTCTTTGGGTAAGCCGGATTAAACAGCGTCAGGACATCGTGTGTAGTCGGAACGCGAAAAACTATGCTGTGAATTAATGATTGTTACCGAGAGCTGCTGGCAGTATGAATGCACCTTCGCCACTGGGCGTTTTCCCCCAAACAACTTCGCGTTTGGTTCTGTTGTCAGCTGAGGGCTCCTCAATTTCATTGCGGACATGGACGTCGTTAGTAGCAGGAGGAGCGCGCTGTCTCAAGAGACTCTGAGAGTTGGACGTCGCCATTGGGGACGGAGGAGGTATTTTAGCCCAGGCGTGCTTTTGTTCGGAATTGACATATCGGACCGGATGTCCGAAGGAGCTGAGAAATTATTGCCAAAAGAGGATCAATCTGCACACGACCACACACTGTGTCTCGAGTTGGCAACTCGAGACTAGTAGACACCCAGCGATACCTTTAATTGTGGTAAGGACATTGTATACACGGTACTTCGGTAGATCGTAATAAATGCATGTAAGACCATCCTCGTAAGGGGAACTTTCGTCCAACAAATCCACCATGATAATTGCCTATGTATAATCGTCCCCTCCATTGAGTAGCAACTTGGAATAGAAATCAGGCCGCGCTCCCTTTCAATATGAGGGGGAATTTCGAAGAAGGAGGGAATAAAGGAATGCTCAGAATAGATCGAAGTAGGGAGGTAAGGACATGAGAATGTTATGCAAAGAAGTTGGGAACGTGTGCAGAAGCAAACCTGGAAGCAGATGGCTGAGAAGTTCAATCCAGAATAGATGCTGGGATTTTTATTTTTGTATCTCATAATAATCTTTGCATCGGACAGATCGCAGAAATCAGAACACGATTAGCATGCTGTGCCTACGTATTGAACGTAGCCTACAGGTGGGAAGTGAGCTTTGTGAAATGTCGTCGTTGAGAAGTCGGAGCTAAGATTCCCCTAAGGAGGGAAGAATTGGGCAGAATGAAAAGAATCGGGAGCGGTTTTGAGGAACAGCCTTTGTGAGTTGAGGACATGTTAGATCGCATGGAATTATTAGCCACCCCGGATTGGTCTAGGAACTCCGTTTAGTAGTCTTCTCTTCTCCTCTTCTCTCCTCTCCTTATCTGTTTGGTTAGCATCCATTTACTTGCACACCCCATATTCCCCACTTCCACTTTCTGACCTTCTCCTACAACTGCAGTCTTAACCTACAGAAGATATACATTTTTTCGCAAATCGAGGTTTTTTTCCACATAAATATCTATGGAATATTGTTACAAGATAACACTTTTCTACTGGAACCATCATAGATCCTGAGGGCTCAACAAGGCTGATTCGTATCACTACGTAGTACCAGAGTAGGCCAGTTAGCGCCACCAACATTTTTACTATGCAGGCGCCTCCTCCATTCCCAGAACTTGCGCGACTTTATCATGACGAGGGATGAGGTTGATCCTGAAGGGTACAGGTGATCGTCCTGAGAGACCGTCATACTCTTTGAGATCTATAGGCTCGTCCGGAAGCGACTCCATAGTGAAGGCCCACAGCATGCGAGAGATGGTTAACCAGATCTCGCGTTCTGCTACAATCATGCCCGGACAGATACGACGCCTATACAGACCGTAATTTCGTCAACGGCGGAAGCATGGAGAAATAGTTGTTAATACTACGTACCCAGCACCGAACATCCAGTGGTCACGCTGATACGGATCTGTCAAATTTGCGCTATCAGCAGAGGTAAGACTATCATCGAGATAACGCTCGGGGTTGAATCTGTCTGGCTCGGGATGGCGCGACGGATCATGGTGCATCGTCCAGGTGTTTAATACGACAACCGTGTCTTTCGGGATAAACTGGCCTCTATATGTGAAATCTTCACTGGCAACATGGGGAGTGCCCAACCAGAAAGGATTGTGGCATCGTTCGACCTATGATCACAGGTAAAAAAAAAAGAGAATGTACTGCTTTTGTAATCAGAAGCACATACCTCTTTAATTATAGCATGGCAGTAGGGGAGGTTCTAGTAAAAAGTCGTAAGTTTTGACTTCAATAGTAGATTATTTTATGAAACTTACCTTCTCATCCTCCACAGTTGGTAGGCGGTCTCGTCCAACAACTTTGTCTAACTCTTCGTGTGCCTTGCGTTGAATTTCCGGGTAAGCAGGTATGAGCGCCGAAAACCATTGCATGATCGCCGCAGTCTACAAGAAACAAACGCTGAGTGCACTGTACACATAATGAAGGATTCTTGAGGTACCGTTTCAACACCACCAATCATGAACGCTGAAGCGAGAATTGCCATATCTAGGTGTCCCATTTGTTCCTCCTCCTTGGTGTCGATCATAGTCTTTGCTAAACAGTCCGGAACATTGACACCCATCTGCATTTTATGTTCGATGTCCTTGATGAAGCCCCCATACGTTTCTACGAGACCCTGATGGAGTTTCTCCCCACGTACGCGCATTGGCGTGCGGAAATTTTGTAAGAATGGTATGAAGTCGACGAGGTTTGACATAGGACCAGTGCTGTTCCTGGATCACACGAAAAATTCACAAGCATTTGCACGGGGGATCACTGCGTCAAGTAGAGAAGGAGGTACCCACATGAATTCGCGACTGAGTTTCAGTGCTCGACCGACTAATGGATGATAAATACTGTCAGTGCGGAAACCGAACACAATGGATAACATGTTGTTCAACGAGGCACGACCTGCGTGAGGCTATGATATGTGTAAGTACCCAAAAGGGACATCTTTCTCGAAGTAGTTCACCTGCGGGTTGATAGGAACTTGACCAGCTTTACTCTCTTGATACATAGCCTTGACGAGGACAGTGGCTTCTCGATCTAGAATAGGGGTGTAACTATCAACTGCCCGTTGATTTAACCATCCCGTTGCGATACGACGATGTTTGCGCCTGCATTATATATCAGTTTTTAACTTTCGGGTTTTGAACCATTGTACCACACACTCACCATCTGTCATTGTATGGGGTTGCAGTTATTCCCCGGCCAGCAAAGACTGTCTGGCTTTTGATAAACATTTCTTTCCTTGAGGAGAATACGGCGCCGTTAGTAACCTAGACGTCGGCAGTAGTAGAAAGGTCAACGTTCACGAGGAGAGGCTTGGTTCCACGCTTACAATGAGGTCTTTAACGATGGCCGGGCTTGATATTATCACAAAAAGCTGGTTTCCGAGCCAGATAGAGTACATGTCGCCAAATTTCTTTGCCCAATAGTCGAGCGTGAGCTCTGGGTACTGGGTTAGAAAGGGGAAGGATCCTGATATGGTGTAGTCAGATGTCTGTCTCGAGCCCCCGAGTTGAAAAAAGACTTACCGAGAAGCGGGAGGCCTGGCGGATCAAGTAAAATAAGTAGAAGAGCAGTCAGTCAGTCTCCCCGACTTTAATTCGAACGGCGGGGGATCACGAACCTCTTGGGCCAGCGGGGATGCCATTTCCATTTTTATCTCGCAACGAAGATTCGAAGAAAGAAAAGAGGTAGTACACAGCAGTCGCGATCGCTGCTGTAGCAATTACTAGAGATGTGGATTTTGACTGGAACACAAAGTCTTCGACAACAACAAGGTTGAAAACTGCAGCTTGCTGAATGGTGGTGTTGGTTGAGGAATCCATGAGTATGATGAAGAGGATGGAACTATTACTCCCTCTTCCTTATATACGTCCTAGTGAGCGTATCCTAGGGCATAACATCTTTGCAGGATTTTTTTACCGCAAGGTCCGGAAGAGGAGGTCAGACGCATAGAAAACCAAGATGTAAATTTCATGTCTGAAAACGTCTGTTCACAAGAGATTAGCCGTTGCACATTTCAGGTCATGTCTGATGCTATCGGACAGCTTGGAACACCTTAAACGTTGGAAGTCATAAGTATGTATGTCCCGCAAATATGTGCACTCTTGACAACTGTTGATGGTCGATGATTTTCAGGCCCGTAGGCTTTAATTTACCTTCCCGCAACACCCTCGCCCAGAATTTACCGCAGCGTCTTCCAGGTTTTCTTGTAGGTCAATGACTATCTTGAGCGAAAACTTGCCAGCGGAAGTCTAACGAGGTTGAAGACGAGACATGTAAACTGAGGATACTGAGTGCTAAGGTCCTGACCAGGAGCGCCCACAACACAAATGGGAGAGGGAACTTCAAGTGGAAGAAAATGATCACCACACGATTTACTAGTGACTCGTGACAAGCCGCTTCTCGGCCTTGAGTCAGAACCACCGATGATGCGATTATATTATTAGACCGTCCTTCGTCAGCAATTCGTCGTCCCGTCTGCACATTGGAATTGCATTATTAAAACTGTCCCAGTGTCCTCTGGAGTCTGGACATCTGCCCTGCCAAACGTCCCAAATCTGGATGATCTCATCAAAATAAAAATCGGTTAATCAGCTTTCGGGGGATTGAGGGAAGGGAAGGGGAGAACTGTGGAGATCCGGTGACAGCTTACATGACATCGAAGCTCTGTCTGAGAGGTTCGGCAAGAGGAGTGAGTCACTGACCTTGGTCCCCTCAAAGTCTTTCAAGTGCTGCTGTTGTTACCTCCCCGTACCCAATGCACAAAGGGCCTGGCGGCCCTGGCTAAAATGCTTTGCCGTCGGGCTCCCCAAGCGCTACTGTCGGGACAACTTTGAATATATTGTCGGGAAAGGTTGCAGGAGGTACCCGCGCTGCAGTGTTTCCGGAGTCCCCGGAATGATTGACAAGTAAGGACATTGCTGCCGCGCTGTGGCAATCGCACACACAAAACGATCCTTTGCAGTGTGCACGAATGTCACGTCGCATGACTGATCTATTTTGTTCCATCAACCTTTGGAAATTCTGAACATAAAGCGCCTTGCTTCCTTAATTTTTCCGTCAGGTTTCCGTTGACATTTTTTTTTTCAAGAAGATGGTCTCTACCTCCCTACGCCCAAGTAATCTTGCACGTCTCCCTAGGTGGATTTCACATTGGCTTGGTTACCGCGCTTCACCTGCTCCAAAACGACCCGACTATATCATTTGGATTTGGTCGTTCATTGGTGCTTTTGGCGGTCTTTCGATTCTTCAAGCCATCTTCGGACAATCGCACTATTTTATACAACGCAATGTCCCCTCCATAGTTGCCAGTTATGTATGTACTCTTTTTTTACCTTCCTGCTTGATTCCGGTTTGATTATTCATGTTCATTCATCTTTTTCTTCGAACAGGGTGCATCCGCTGTCCTTTGTTACGGTGCCATAGAAGCACCATTAGCCCAACCGCGTGCTCTTTTGGGTGGACATTTCATCAGCGCTCTCACAGGCGTCTGTATAACCAAACTGTTCGGTCTCCTTCCCACAGAGCAACGTCTCGACCAACTCCGCTGGCTAGCAGGTTCCCTTTCTTCCGCCACCGCCATTGTCTTGATGCAAATGACCTCGACGACACATCCTCCCGCCGGTGCGACCGCTCTTATCGCTGCCGTCGACCCAGAGATCTATGTCATGGGATGGTATTATCTCCCCGTCGTATTGCTTTCGTCCACGATCGTGTTAGTCTCGGCGTTGATTGTGAATAACATCCAGAGGAGGTATCCAGTGTTTTGGTTTGCTCCTTCGCCGCCTGCGGTTGCACCCACTGTAGTAAAGTCAGAGCCTCCAACACTGGCCGGGGAAAGAGATGCCAGTATCAACGATGTGGAGAAGGGGATTGTTGGCACCCTTGCAAGTGCTGATTAGGCTCCCACTCTGCAGCCGATTTGGATGATTATTGCTTACGCACTGGGCAAGATACTGTTTATACGAAGACGAAGAACACTTTCATTATGCTTGCATGTACTTTCACCAGGGAGATTCCATTATGTCGAATAATAATCGGGGGATACAAGGAGATACAATGCGGCACAGGGTACATACGGGGCGTTGTAAATTGATATTAACTTGATATCATTAGTACAGGGTTCTGTGAACAGATTTCAGGGAAAACGCAATCCAGGTAGCAAATAAAATGTCGGTTATACAGAGATGCAGAGAGAGAACAACATCCACAGATGAAGTATTGAGCGAGGGCAACCTCGAAGACTGGCCTAGGAGTAAGTGATATTAGAATGGTGCCCCAACGGTGGAGCTAAGCGTCAGAATCTAATTTTGAAGAGGATCCTCCCGCGTAATGTGTCTCGTTGTCCACAGCTACACGTTCTGTGCCTTCAAGGTGCTGATCTTTCGCTCTACGCTTCTCAAATTCAGCCGCAATTCTGAAATGCTGTTGATATAGATGTTGTGCATATATAACAACAGGTCTTTCTTCAGGGTTGATCATATTCAGGGCTTCGTCAAAGGAGAAGAGGTATGATTCGAAGGCTTGTTCGTCAGGCATCCCAACACCTTTGTGTTGAACCTATTGATATTATGAGTATCGAAAATTAGAATGTCCACCAAACATAGCCGGGGAAAAGCTTCATGGACGACAACTTTGCAGCTTTGGAACGGTATGTACTCACCGCGTTCTCTGCTATCTGACCAACGAACCATGAAACGAAGTACTCCCCTCCAGAATTAACTAGTTTGCCTTGTCGAACTTTCGGTCCCCACTTCCGTACAGTCATATAGATTGGTTCAGTATCTGGCTTCCACCCATCTGCACGATCGGCCGGTGGGATGGGTTGACGAGAGTGTTTGTACAGAGGAAGGAGGTCGACTTCAAATCCAGACTACATTGAGCGCACAGTTCATATATACGAAGATTACAGTAGTAAAAGCGATATCCGATACACACCTCCTCATATGCTTCCCTCAACGCTGCTTGCTGCAACGTCTCCCCTAGATCTTTCCTTCCTTTCGGAAGAAAATAACACCCTCCCTTCAAACCGGAATGGTCATAAAGCAAAACCATCTTGTTCGTCGTAGGTTGAATCACTACCATGCCGACTCCAACCATGAAGTCTTCACATGCCCAGCCACCGTCAGGAATACTTGTGGAGCTCCATCTGGAGAAGTTTAAAGGTGGCTGAGGGCGCGGTGAACGGTGTCTGGGAAATAAAGTTGGAAGGAAGGAAGAACCTGAGATAATTGTATTAGGGTGAGAGCTAGAGCTAGCTCTAGCCACAGATGATGCCGGCAAAGAGTTGTGATTATTTGTGTTTCGATGTTGGGATCGGGATCCGAATATCGACATGGTGGTTCTGAAGAAAGGAAGAGAAGACACAAGTTGCTCGATTAATTTGAACGGAACATCATGGGCGCTGACGTTGACGTTGATTACAGTGCTTTCATATCCGTTGTAACCTCAAATTTTACAGTATCGAGTTGAGTGTATCAGCAGTGTTCGACGTAAAAAAAATCGTCGTGTTGGGCTCGTGTGCTGGCGCTGAACAACAGTACCTTACGTCATGCTATAAAACTGCTATCGGATAGATCACCTGACCCCGTACCGTGTTCCGCCTGATGGCAGTGAAATTCCGAACCCGAATTTGCTCAACTTTTTCCACCATCAACACCATCCACAACCAGAATTTGCTACTGACGGTCCTTGACGACCTCAGGGCATCTTTTACTGCTTACTCTAACTCTACATTCACTGATTTGACGCGTAAACAACGTTACGCGACGGTTTTTCACCATGGCCGACCTCGACGCGGAAAGCTCTACTGCTTGCTCGTCTACTAGTGCAGGTGGTGGTGGGAGTCGAAAACGACGACTGTCAGATGCTAGTGACACAACAGAACATTATTCTGCTGTAATACCACAGCGCAAGCGTTTGCGCCGGACTAGCTCTCTGTCTAGTGCTTTACTCGGACATCCCTTGCCTATCATTAACCCTGAAGTGAGTTTATTTGTATATTGTTTTTAGCTATCCTTATCTTTATGCTCTCATCTCTCATCTAGCCTCATTTGGATCGGCTGCCAAAGCCCACTAGGAGTATCCTGGAAGAGAAATTCCAGGCTCTGACTTCCGCACCTCTGAGCGCTGGCAGCTCTTCATCGTTCACTGAAAACGGAAGACACGCGAGTCCCAGTCCTTTCGTTGTTCCATCGAGTTACAGTAGACCAGAACTCGTAAGAAGCGCGTCATCATCATCGCTGAGGTCGAATAACACGACAAACCACCCGGACATGTCAAGCAAGTACAACCTTCGCGACACCAAAATCAGCATCGATTTTTCCGTTCCTCCTCCTCCTCCTAATCCGGTCACAACTACAACCGAGACCGCCGCGGAGAGCTCGCTCCCAGCTTCGCTCCCTCTCACATGCTCATCAAAAAGTGTCGTGTATTTTACGCGTGGAAACCGCGTCCATTTCAAGAACATGCAGACCAACGAAGACATTGGTCAGCTGTTCAAGCTCGCAGATAAAGATGGGAACCTCCATCTTCTACAGTGTGGTGGACCGCAGAACAGTGACAGTCTTGCTATCGCTACCACTAAGGGCATTATCCAGCTCTGGGATGTGCGCTCGAAGAAGATGACGGTTAGTTGGTCGACGAAAGGTGTCGGAGCAATGCAATTCAATGGGTCAGTGCTTACTGTCGGAGGGCTCAAAGGGACTCTAAGGTTCTATGATACCCGGATTGCGATGTCAACGACAGCAACTTCTAATACTGCGACTGCTAAAGCTACGTTGAAGATGAAGAGCGATCCGCGGAAGTTGAATCGCCATCAGTCCCGGATCACGGCTCTGGCGTGGAACGAGCCAGGGAAGCTTCTCGCGAGTGGGGATGAGAGTGGGGCGGTGTATTGCTGGGATAATAGAGAGAAGGTTCCCTTGGATGTTGGAGAGTTCGTCCAAAGGAGGAAGAAAATTCAACATTCGGCCCCTGTCACGGTAAGTTCCTGAATTTCCAATTAATCGTGTCTCTAGGCACTCATCCATTTTTTTCTTTTTCTAAAAAAAAACCTAGGTCGTCAACTGGTGCCCCTGGCAGCCCAAATTACTAGGAACAGGCGACGCAGATGGGATTCTTCGACTATGGGACATTGACACGTCCGATTCGCGTTCCAACGCGCTTAACCCGGGAAAACTCGAACTCGGGTCACGAATCAACGGCTTACACTTCTCTCCTCATTGCAAGGAGATGATAACTGTCCACGGTGCGAAACCTGGAAGCCCGAGTCCTCCCGACGTGGACTCGGATTCGGAGACAGCGTCGACTCTAAGTCTGAGTCTTTCTGCCCAGATACATAACAGTAGCAGGGGATACGACACCTCCAACTCCATCGTCGCGCATTCTTTTCCTACCCTCCGTCATATCCACACCCTACACGCTGCGAACAAAGTCATCGGAGGAAGTGTCATGAATGCTAATTTTACGAAAGCCATTGTTGCGGTGCCGGAGGAGAACAAGCTGAAGGTTTATGATGTGTGGGGGAAACTTAGTCTGAGAAGGACCGAGAGCTTCATGGGAAATATTCGTTAATTTTTAATTTATTTTTTGGTTTTTCGACGACTAGACGATCATCTTTGTACTTTATCTTTTATCTATCTTTCGATGCTCAGATCTATACTACCATATATCCTGTTCTCGAATCACCAAGGGAGGCGTTAATATGTCCTCTCCCGGGCATCCACATCCTTTTTTGTTGATTTTGGCTTGCCTTGTATATTTTCCTTTGGACATCTAGAGTTATGAATCAACGGGATGGAGTTCCAGTACAGATCTCGGCTGTCTCGAGTCTCATGTTCATGCACTACTGATCTAAGTACTCTAAACGGTTTCTGGTGGTCGCCTTTAAATCACCGCTTTTCTCGAATTAGGCGCCGGTGGCGCAATCACTGCAATTGCTCTCAAGTACTTACCTTACTAGCAAGTTAAGACTTTACGTTGATCATGGTTGTTGTACCTCCTGGAGGTGAATGGAATTTTAATATTCTTTGTCTTCTTGTATTCCGAACTCTGTTCGCAGAGCCCAAAACTGCCCCAAAACCACAACCGATTGGGAACATCGCATTGATCATTCTCTTGACGACGTGTACATGTTGTGCTTTGTTCATACTATGGAGAAGAGCGGAGGCTTTTAGAGCTATCATATCACACCAGTGCGTTCAGATGTGGCTCTTCTGAGCTTTAGTTCCCTAAAGATGCCTTCTTTCTCCAGGTTGAAGACGATTACGCGAAGCGAGGGTCAAATACGGCTTAGTCAGGACGATGGACCCCCGGCTCATGAATTCCTTGAAGACGATGAAAGCACGGAAGATGCCCTCGAATTGGATGCTGGTGATGTTGGGAGGCTTCCTGAGCGGCGTCCAACACCTCCAGCACAAACCACACAACCAATACCGGAAACCTCGTGATCCTAATTCTATCTCCTTGCTTCAGTTGCTTCAGTCTACTCTTTAATCAAATATCGATGGCTATTTCAGCCCCAATCACGCGAAATTTTCGAGTTCGTTATCTTGGCCTTCATCATTCAGTAGAAGAGCGACGGTGCAAAATATTTCCGGACTATATACCCTCTGTGTTGCCTCTTGTGCTCGCATGATCTCCGTGGTCACTGGTGCCAATATCATCGACCGACCGTTATAGCGCATTACGTAGACGACATCCTCCTCCTCGCCGTATCAACGCTCTTCCATGACTTCCTTTGAATTAATCTATTTTTTCTCTATCGCTCAATGCTGCACAATCGCCACCTCCGTTTATTCTTGACAAGGGTTTCAATTCCTGATCCTCTCTCAAAGATCTTCTGACTTTTCGGAACATACTTCTCATTCTTCTATTGTGATGACATCTCGTCTGGAACGCGGTCCCGAAGTTTTCCCTTCCCATGAACTCATTCGAGGAGCTTCGAAGTTACGGTCCGGGCGCGTCACGCGGTGTAGCCAGCTGTCTTTTGTCGCGGTATTCATGGAATACCATGTAGTATGCAGGGGTATTAGAGATCACCTATAAGGATAGTATATATCTTGCAAATGTTCGCGCTGAAAGGAGTCAGGATTACGACCGTTAGTCATGTATGACTTTCTCTTTCCTCTGTTTCCTCTACTACTATGTTTGTTCAATTCCTTCATGATATACGATGTTAGAGCCATAGGCCAAACAACGTGTGTCTCCTTCTCCTCCAACGAAACAACCTTTCCGGTCGTCCAAAACGGTGTCGCCACCCCAGTCTTTATCTCATCCGATGAATGGCCCGGTGTTCAACGCGCAGCGTCAGACTTTGTTTCCGACATAGAACTCGTTACTCAGATAAAGCCTACGCTGTCGAACCTTTCCGCTTCCGAAACAACAAACACTACTTCTGCAAATGCCATCATCGTTGGCACACTTGGAAGATCGTCTCTCATCGACCAGGTGATTAATAATACGCAACTGGATGTTTCCTCAATCCATGGTCTTTGGGAGGCATTTATGGGTCAGGAAGTTGCAAATCCACTTCCTGGAGTGGATAGCGCATATGTAATCATTGGGTCAGATAGACGAGGGACGATGTTCGGGATGTATGATTTGTCCGAACAATTCGGTGGGTGCTAAAATCGATACTATTTACTCAGAAACGTCTTGAGATTATTTTATCTGCAGGTGTCTCGCCTTGGTATTGGTAGGTCGTGGTTCTTACATTACGTCGGACTTGCTCATTTACCTATGCATCATTTTGAAAAAAGGTGGGCCGACGTGGTCCCAACTAATCACTCAGGACTTTTCATTACCTCTCCAGGCTGCTCTCATGGACCTCCTACTGTTCAATACCGCGGCATCTTCCTCAATGATGAACAGCCGGCCCTAACGAACTGGGCTTTAGAGAAATTTACCAATGGCCCTGGGGGTTTGGGCACCGCTACACCAGCTAATGGGACTGGATCGCCCTTTCAGAGTGAATTTTACTCGAAGCTGTACGTCCCTTACTCTGTACTACTATAGGTACATTGAACTGTATTCAAGGTTCGAGCTCATTCTTCGCCTTAAAGGAAACTACCTGTGGCCGGGTCTGTATTTTCGATCATTCTGTAGGAAAGTGGCTGATTTTGTGTTGTGTTTACAGCTCAGTGGTCTAGGTTAGTTACCCTTCTCGTTGCATCCGGAAAATAGTTCATGATTAATACATTCTATAGTGCATTTTGTGTTGACGACCCAATAAACCAGCCTCTCGCAGACATGTTTGGAATCGTAATGGGTACAAGGTTGGTGACTATTATCTCGTTAAACGCTATACTACACTGTATCTTACTCTCAATCAGTCACGAAGAACCAATGATGCGCTCCATCCCCGTCGAATGGAGTCTGTTCGGAGATGGACCATGGGACTACAATGTCAATGCTCAAAACATTTATAATTTCTGGGTTCAGGGTATTCAAAGGGCAAAACCCTATGAAGGGCTGTATACCATTGGGATGAGGGGAGACGGAGATTGTTCGTCCATTACATCTTTTCGCAATACTACATTTCTAATATTTTCCATTGTATCTTAGTACCCTTGATAGGTGGCATTCAGCTACTAGAGCAAATCATCAAGGATCAAAGAGGCATATTTTCCAATATCTTCAACACGAGTGACGTTACCACCATTCCTCAAGTTTGGACGCTATGTAATTCTTCTGTCAAACCTGTTTACACTGGTCCATTCGTTGATATGTCCGACTGTAGATTCGGAAGTCGAAGGCTACTATGAAGAGGGCTTGCCTGTGCCGGATGACGTTGCCCTCATGTGGACGGACGATGAGTGCGCTCCATTCCTGCCTATGAAGAGTTTGTCATTTCACTGATTTCGTTTTCAGCTACGGTAACATGCGGAGATATCCTGTCGCATCTGAGCGAAATCGGTCGGGCGGTGCTGGTGTTTATTATCACGTATGTTTGTTCGTATCTTTTACACCGTATCAGTGTCTCAAGAGATGATAGGTTGATATGGTACGCCGGATATTTCGACTTGACATTTTCAACCCGTTAAACCTGGGTCATTCTCCAACTTATTATTAGGTTGCGTCTCCAAGAGATTACAAGTGGATCACAGTTAGTTTTCACCTTTCAGATGCTGCAAAATTCATTGATTTTCTGTACTGTAGAGTACGCAGCTTTCAAAGGTGCGTTTGAAGTTTGATATGCCGATGTCCCAATATTGACTGTGATATCTAGATGTATGAACAGTTATCACTCGCTGTCATCCGTAATGCAACCCGCGTCTGGGTCTTAAACGTCGGCGATTTGAAACCTTACGAACGAGAGATCGAGTACTGGCTGAGTCTCTCGTGGGATTCTTCATTGTGGACGCCCGATAACGTGGACGACTTCGTGCAAGCTTGGGCTCAACGGGAATTCAAGCTTGCTTCTCCTGATGCCGCAATAGTGGCGGAAGTTGTAGCGAATCTAACTCGATACAATGCGCGGAGAAAACCGGAGCTCCTGAATACTACTACATATAGTTTGGTCAACTATCGAGAGTACGTTGTTGCTTTAAGCTAAGTGCTAACTGGCTCCAAACCTTTACCTTGTTAGGACAGATCGGGTCGTCGAACAATGGGACACTCTTGCTAATGCATCAACAGCGATCTACAACAAACTCTCATTTGATTTACAGCCCTCGTTCTTCCAGATGGTCCAACATCCTGTACTTGCAAGTCAAACTTTAGGCAAAATGCTCATCTTTGCCGGTCAGAATAATCTGCGTGCATCCCAAGCGAGGCTCAGCACGAATGATTTAGCTGACCAGGTTCAGCAGTTGTTCGAGAAGGACTATGATCTTGAAGTGGAGTATCACAGCATTCTGAATGGTTTGTCTGTCCATTTTGATCTCCTCCCTCTCCGATTCGGAATTTTACTGAAATGTATCCATAGGTAAATGGGATCAGTGAGCCTCGGCATCTTCGGAAAGTGATATATGATCACTGACAACTTCAACAACATAGTATGATGGATCAGACCCGTCAGTGAAAGCCCAATGAACCTCGGCTGACGGTCGCTGATTATCCTTGTAGATGTTGGATATTATTATTGGCAGCAGCCAATGGCGAACACGTGAATTTTATCCCTCGGCCTTAAAATTGAAAAAGCTAACATCGACCCCGTAGCATGCCTGCTATAAATCGGGTTCAGAGTAGAAAGCAAGCTTTGCCAGGTGTGATGCGGATCGTTCCTGAAGGCAGCTATGGAGCTTGGTGAGTTTTAGATTACCCTTGAGAGGATGAACAAAGATATGGAATAATGCGCTTGATAGGCCAGGGGACGATCAGTTTGACTGTGCGGCAGGATACAACTGTCCCTCACCCACGGTTATCCTGGATTCTTTCAACCCATTCGGAAATGTTTTCGTCGACATCGGTTCCGGTGGTCCCGTCCCATTCACTTGGAGCGCGAACGTCAATGCCACCTGGCTCGCAATGTCTGCTACGAATGGTTCGATATCACCAGACTCACCAGAACAAAGAGTATTTTTGTCAATTCCTGATTGGGCTCAGGTACCTTTCAACGCTTTGGCTCAGGTCAACTTCATTGCTGCTGCCCCGAATCAGTCCGATTTAGTTGTCCCTGTAATGGTGCAAACTCAAAATACCAAACAGCAAGTCCCTTCGAATTTCACTGGTGCGGTTTTGACACCATTTATATCTCGATATTCCTCTCACCTTGTCAATAGGATTTGTCGAAAGCATGGGAGTGGTATCATTTGAGGCTGCCCATGCTATCCGAAACTCTTCAGTAGCTGATATTTTCTGGAAGGAGCTCCCCGGTTTGGGACGGACGTTGTCTGGTGTCACCCCTTGGCCTCGCGACGGTAATAATGGTGCCAACTTCAGCGCTGGAGCAGGGCCTTCTCTGTGAGAAACCATTTGTTTGATACTAAGTATCTTTAGTTGACAGGTAGTCGACAGAGAATACGACTTCTTCGTGGTTAGTAATCGAACCAACATCACAGTGGTTACTCGTTTATCGCCTTCGCTCAATGCCAATGGCGCAGACCGTCCGCTCGCTTTTGCACTGCAAGTCGGGTCCGAACCCATCCAAACTTCGTATTTTATTCCTCCGGATGTAGCCCCTGGAGCAGAGCCCGCACCGTGGAGTGGCTTGGATGGTTTTGCTGCCAACGTCATTGTCAGCGTGAATATGACTTTTGATATTACACCCGGCGCCCAAACTTTAAAGGTGCAGATACAGTGTAACTTTTTGTCAAAAGCGTTTCCAAAGTAATATCATTGACATTTAGCTCTTCATGATTGAACCCGCAGTGGTGGTGCAGAAGTTCGATATTGGTAGAGATTTTTTGCTTTCGCTGTCGTTGTTCTAAAATCCCCTCTTACAGATACTGGTAATCTTCAGCCGAGCTATCTAGGGCCTACAGAAAGCGTTTTCGTGTGATTCCGAGCCTGGACCTGTGTCGGAAACGTTATGTATTACGATTGCTCCGAGTGACTATGTACCCAGTTCCGTTGATGTACATAGAAATTGATGTAATACGTAGGTAACCTTGTCAAAATACATAATTTAATATTTTCGAATTCAACGTACAGGCTTACTTGCTGCTCAGTAACCTTCAGTAACCCGTCCCAAAGTTAAGCCAACGATGTATGTCCGCCAGGCTCCAGCTCGTTTTAGCCCCTGCTATATTCGGATCCTCTTTCTTGACGGATGAGCATGAACTCGGTCTCGCCTCTCAGGGCACGACTCGGAATGGTTCTGAAATTCCACGTCGTGGATCTTCGTGGATGCGATATTTTGGATGAATGAATCTGAATGAATGTGTTCGGCACTCATGACAGGCGCCCGATGACCATTTTAATTTAGAATGCTCACGGAGGGAACTCTATTCTATGTAAGAATATGTAAGGAGGACATGTATCATGAATATGTGTATCGAGGATTGAACGATAATGCTCAGCAGCTATCAACAGTTGTCACATATGATATCTTATGTGATTGTGATGTATTGTGGCCAGAGCTTGTCACGGATACAGGGAGGTGATGTCTTACTTACTTAGGGCCTTTACATGTTGTATGGAAGGTACCATGTTTTATTTCGAGCGGTTTGACTGAACCAATTCGCAATGGTTCTAAAAGTCGATTCTCGGTCGAACTACCGTCACAGGGCCTCGCGCGGCTCTTGTGGGTTCATCATGTCATTCTGATAATTATCCTCGAAATTAATCTGTCTTATCCTGGCCATCCAGCCTATTCCAACCTGGCCGTACAGCTGTATTAAACACAACAGGTCCATGCCATACGCCATACGGTTCATGCATCTGATAAATTACACTCCACTAAGGACCGAGTCTCCGAAAAGAATCGATACCTCAATACCGTTGGCAGTTGATATCTTGTACAACGACATTGTAAGTGAACTATACGTACAGCTTCCTGCAGCATCCTGTTTAATGCATAATGTCCGAGCCGTTCAATAGATTCTAGCGTCATTTGTGTTGTATCTATATCTATAACCCTTGTACTATCATGATCTATCATGAAATCTCTGGCACAATAGTCTCCCCGTACCTATCAAGCCACATTCTCACCACGATACACCAGGCTGGCCTATGGAGAGTGTATTGTACTGCGAATGTGTACATGGCTTTAGAGGGTAAAACATATAACAAGAAAGCAATTATCATAAAGTAGTAGACTATAATGTAGTGGATAGGAACGGCAGAAATATTTTCATAAATGTTACAGTATAATATGATGAACAAGAAAAGTAACGATCATTACGAGCAAAGGCAAGCAAGGGGTTGCACATACAAAAGAGTCTGGATGCAAGAAAGGGTGGGTTCAAGGCACGTTAAGGAATAAAACAATGGCGAGCGATTCGACAAAGAGTGGGGAAACGAAGTGCAAGGAAGAAGTCACAGGAACGCATCAATGAAAATCGTGGACGAAGGCTTGGGACCGTGGCAAACGGGGGTGATTCAAAGAACATTGCTGGGGTCAGCAGTCATCAAGCTGACGGAGGATACGAAGCCCCATTCAAGAAACCCACTAGATACTAGAAGCGGAGAAGAGTAGTGCGGAAATTACACAAATGGTGATAGTAAGTCATGATGCATGATAATACTTTGGTGATAGAACAGACATTGACAGCTTCTGGGGAACATGATGCAGCGTTGAGTGCAGGGAAAGATACAGAGCGCTCTAGAGATTTACAGTTCGTCAGTTCAAGTCCACGTCACTTTGATGAGAACAACATGTCAGATCATGTCAACGCTGAAAGATCTGTCCGGAAGGAGCAGACAGATAGCAATGTCGGATGCTCTAATCCATCTACAGTCTTCCGCAGGACCAAGGTGAAAGAAGACAAGGACAATTGACGTATTGACGTCGACAGATCCCCGGGAAGATCCACAGTATCAACAAGAGAGCAAATAACGATGGATGTAACGCAAGGAAATTTTATGAACATAAGAATTGATTTGTAGATCGCGGTGGGAAGAAGAATAATAAATGTAAATGTTGACTTGAGACTCACGGTGGAAGAAAATGAATCAATTTTTGACGACGACCCTTCGAGTATGTTTACCAGCTCTTCTCCTTTCCGCGTACGGCATGGGTCGGCGCCAAGCTTCATCTGACTCGTCAGGTTGAGGATACACCGAGTTAGGGTTCATGTACTCAGGCGGTGCGAGTCTGAGATCTCGGTGATCATGTTCGTTTTCAGGTGAGAACGCATATCTCGAGTTCGGGGGAGAGTGTGAGAGTGGGCTGTCAATAGACATACGACGATGAGTGGGAGCCGAGTGCTTTGAGTGTATGTCTCTCGGGGAGGCGTGTTCTATGTCCTCACGATGATCTCTCGGGCTGCGCATAGTCGCCAAGTGCGGCGATACTTGAGACTGTAGTGGTATGCTGGGCCCAGGCAAGCGCACTTCCTCGTCTCTCCTGCGGGCTGCCATATCCATATCTACATCCAATCCTCGACTCCGCCGCTTGTCTGTATTAGGTCGCTCATCCACATCCATAGCCATGTCTCGCATGTCAACATCCACTCTGACACGGATGATTTCCTTTCCTGCCTGAGCAAAATACGCTCGTTCTTGCAGCTGGAAATATCCCGACGTTGCCTCCGTCCTCCGGTTTGGAGGCATAGAAGCTAAAGAAGGCGCAGGTGGAGGGAACATCGCCATCAGGTCATGGCCTGTGGGCGGAGCTGGAAGATTTGGAAATTTGCCCCGCAAGGTGTTGTCTAGATCGAGATCTAAAAATTCCGAATAAAAATGTACTATATGACAATAAAAAAGCAAATGACATACCTCTCAGCACGACGGGGTTGTTATTCTCTCGAAAAGTCACCGCGTTACCCTTCTCCGCCGCCGGTGAGGAACTATCGGAGCTCGCTGTCGGAGAGTTTGAAGCAGACGAATGTCGCTTCTCTGACACCGGGCGAAGGTGAAATGCGTTGGAAGGGGAGGTCATAGTCGTTTGTACGTTGAAGCTGGGATGTCTGTGTATCCGATGATATCGATGATGAGCCAAGAAGAAGCGGAAAAATGTAGTGCTTGATGGCACAAAAGCGATATTACAAGCGATGGTAGCGGATGCGTATGCGAGTCAAATTCTCTTTTATAAAGCCTGGAAGCACGATTCTATCTCTCCTGGGATCTTGAATGAGAAAAAATCAAAGAAGAAAGAAGGTGATTTCCGAGGTGAACTGCAAATTGTGAACGTGTGGAAAGAAGAAACGGGCCAAATCATCTGAGTTGGTTCATTTATCAGGGCCGCGTAATGATCTGTTTGGTTGCCGGTTGTCGAGCAACCATCCTTTAACTCGCGCCTCTTCCCCTCATGCTCATCTGCCGCGGGTCGTGTTTGAGGATATAAACTTTACGGTAATCTCTTTTGTACTTGAGAACTTAAGGCTTCTACTAAGGAGGGTTTTTGTGGCGGCGAATGAATGATTATTGCTTCAGGTTATTCAAAGCTAGGTGATAGGCGTAAATTGATAGTCCGTAACGAGTTTATAGTCACTATATACATACGCTTATACAACAGACATCATCTTCAATTCGGTTCTGGTTGGTTCTAGAAGTAGAAGAGCAAGAAGTATTCATCTTTCGATCGACTCAAGCAATATCGATGATTCTGAGAACAACCGCCTCGAGCTCCTCAAAGCCAATGGCGGTAAGACTGAAAAATGCTTAGCTAGGCTTAGCTTCTACTCTACCCAGCATAATAAATAGTAAATTGAATGGGCACTTGCATCACCACGTGCTTTACACGTGCTCAAAACGTAGATTTGACGCGTCGTTCCAACTCGGACAGGGTACACTCTGGAGTAAGCTCTAATATACATGCATACACAAAATGCCTCGTCATAGAGGAGGTGCTTGACTCAAAGTATTGGAGCACTGGCACGGATTGTCTTTTCACCGCATCGAAGACAAGACAGTGACACTCGCGTGAACGTCCGAGTACCCTCCTTTCGCCGCCGCGCATTCTACATGGTATACAAGTTCCCAATCATCCCAATGGGCCCATTCACACTTATAGTAGACACTGAACGTGTGTTGTACACCGTAGCCTCATTTAATACCAGATTCCGCTGAGATAGTAGTCCGAGTTGTGAGCTTCGTTGCTTCTCTTCGAAAGTCTGCACATTCTCGGATATTAAAAACAGCCAGGGCCCCGGGATCTTTTCTACTTCGCGACGTTTATAGTAAACTCATGGTAACAGTGCCAGCCAAACGCTAACACCAGAAATGTAGTCCTAGCCAGTCCCACAGTATATATATATATATATATGCTACGAGCTACCAAGTCGGTAGCATAATAAAGCTTGTACGATCGTTTAAGTGTAATAACGATGGGATCCCCTCGAGCGACTGGAACTGGGAGAAGGCTTCCAAGTTCAGGCTAATCCGAGGAACGCTAATGCGCATGTGTATTTTCAGGAGCGACATAATAACAGCTGTCTTATCATGTAGCCAATGTTTAAGCAACATCGGATTGTCAAGGAAATTGTATTTTGAGCATGAGTTCATGAAATCTGTCATAGTAAAATCGTACTAGAAGCTAGAAAGACCTCGGAATCGGAACAAGGACAAAATCCGACCTCTTGAGCCTGAGAGTGGATTCAGATCGTCAGTGTGGCAGGAGCTCTACTTGACTGGTAGATGAGAACACAAAGATACATATCGGACTCTAAAATTGGTTCTCAGAATCAAAATCGTTCCCGGGCCCCAATTGGACTGGAAAAAATTCAGAAGCGGGTCAGGCCTCAAGGTGAAAAGTATCGCACCTGATTTTTCTCTGCCGACTGTATTGTGACTGTATTATGAGCCTCATACAAGTAATTTATTGTACCATGTCGCGTTTCATAGAGGTAGGGTCTTCAATAGTCCTGTACCCCTGCAATGAAGAAAGGGGGTGGGGCACACGTACGCAACGAAGTCGCATTTGTCAGTTCATAGTTCATTCAAAGACGGTCCTGAGTTATTTGAGCAATGGATCCGTATCAACATTCACCAATTTTTTTCGAATGCTACGCTGAGCAGATTACAAAATGTATAACATTAACTATACAGGTTTATGGCATTTATTTTTAAGCGACTTCGAGCTTCCTGACCTCGGATATCACGACTTCAGATGGATTCTTCACGAACCGAAAAGGTCGTGTGGGTAGCTTTATAGAACTATACTGAGCATACTGAATCCTTTATGGGCCTCACGTTCCCGTGGTCCGGGGAAACCTAGATGGCACCCTGTTTAGAACCATGTCATACTTGACGAAGATTCACTGTAAGTCCCGAAAGAAGATCGAGGGTGGGAGAGGATCAAAGTTCAATATTGCTTTGTGTAAAATCTTCGGCTTACCTACAATTAATACCCCATCTTCCATTGCTTCGCGCGAGGCACGGAAGTAGTCATTCGTATGAACGTACCACTAGATTAGCATAGCGTTCCGAAGTTAGAAAGAGGCTCGCATGCTTACAACCATCAACGCTGTTCGAGAGGTAAAGTGGAGCGTAAATAGCACTTCGTGAGCTCCAGACCCCTCCAGGAATCAGGAATTCAAGTTTCCTCAAAAAAGCCCACATGCCATTATCTCTAACGTGGGTGGCAGTCTATGCGCAAATAGTGAATTGAGCGAGGGTGAGAGAATTCAGGGACTCGGGATGTTGGGCTTGGTATATTCTTTCTCGTACCGTATCGGCGTCGGATGGATCCGTAAAACATGATTACACTATCCACATGTTTATCATTACCGCGAAATGGGGGAAGTAGGCATCAAATGGAACTCCGTTGAAGAGGCATACCAATTGTTAAGAAGCAGTCATTGACTATGCAAAAACAATATGACTGTGAGACTTCCAGCTCGAGATTTTGAGAGAGCGTACTAATGCTTGACCAGCTTGATTGAATGTGGTCCTGTCGAACCATCACTTGGATCAACGATATCACTGCGGCGCTTGTGATTGTCATACTATGACCTGTGCTTTTCTCAGCTTCCTGTATACTTCGGGCTCTCTAGGGATTATTCTGCTGCCATACATATACAGCTTGCGGGTGGTGCGATGACATACGACAGATGCGGGAGTAGCACCAGTGCAGAACAACATGATATATGAAGATGCCAAGATCCAAAAATGGAATGGCAGGAGACTGCGTTTGGACACCTTCATACATATCCCGAGAAAAAGTAATTTGGTGTCATCAGTGTCAGTCTAAGCTGGTTGTAGATATGGAGTAGCTGCTGGAAGCGCAGCTGCCAACGATGTTCTATTTTTTCACCTCGAAACGAGGATTGTCGACCTTCAAACATGATGACAGATACCGAGAATCATCAAAACGCAGCTGAAGATGCGCGCAAAAACCAGTCAGAGCTGATTTCCATCAAGTGATAGAAAACAAATTAGTCCATGTTCGGCATTAGAAGGAGTTAAGGGCCGTGCGGGATTGGCCAGAGGATTCCTATGTAGAACTGAGTAAGATGGTCCCAAAATCATTGGAGTTGCTGAATTCGCGAAGAACATCCAGCGGGATATTTTCTGTCAATCAGACAACGTACACCATCAGTTTCATCCGTTGAGACCTGCATGAGAGCTCATGAGGGAACAGCAAGTCATACAAGTCTTCATATACATCCAATATTGTCGCCAGGGCCCCCCATTCGAGTGATTAATGAACCACCGGTAGTAATACGTTGCTAGTACGTGGCCTTGGTTCGGTTTGCAAGCTCGTGAAGAGCGAGAACCACGAACTTGTTCAAATTCGTATATCGCCACCAACAAGAGAACGATTCAGAGCAGAGTAAACCTGCTAAGCTGTGGACAAACTACCTGCCGAGGTTTTAAGCTCCGCTTCGGCCATGGCCGCCGGCTAAATCTAGACTTTACAGATGACGTTCCGCGAACAACAGCCTAAAGATTATCTTGGTCCATCCAAAATCCCGTTTTCCATCTCAGCTTTGGCTTTAGTTGTCTTTGCCCTACTTGGAGTTTTCACATTATTATCACAGAAGCACAGATTAAAAGAGATGGTGTGTAATAAATCTGAGTCAATGCGCTTTACCGATAAGCTGTTACCTTGTCATATAAGTCTTCAAAATCGAAAGCAAGCGACGTGGACATAGCCTCATTCTGTAGTGTAACAGGGGCCAGGTGAGTTTTCCTACAAATCGTTCCTCGATACCTGATCAGGAGCTTGAGATAGTTACAAGGATGCTAAGAAATTTCTTGAAAAACATAAACGCCTAGATGCTGCTGTCGATGCATACTACTCCAACCCAAATTCCTTCGCCACATCGACGAAACCACAGACTAGCGCTCCATCGACCAGCAAGCTAAATGCTTCATTCGACGAATACAAAGGTCGGACGATTATCGATGTTGCTTTATCATGCTATAACATCGCTTAGACCCAGATAGTGAAGACATCACGATCAACGGCACGATCAAGCTTTGCGAAGATTTGGAAAAAGATCCTGAAGATGTTGTCCTTCTTGCTGTTGCATACGAGCTTAAAGCCCCGGAGATTGGTCGCTGGACGAGGAAAGGATGGGTAGACGGATGGAAAGCTAACGGGTACGTCTCCAAAATCCTTTAAGCATCGGAAATCATTAATGCTTGGAACCAGATGCGACTCCTTACTTGCAATGAAGAATGCCGTGGCCCGGTTCGGCCACCAACTCAGTACCGATTCTGCCTACTTTCGGAAAGTATACCTCTACACATTTGACCTCGGCCGAACGGATGGAGCAAGGAGCTTAGGTAGGTTTTTCCTATCCATGTCACATATCAAGGTCGATGGACTTCATATTTGCAGCGATGGAAACCGCCCAAGCGTTTTGGTCACTTCTCATACCACATGGTCTAAAGGGTGGCGCCCTTTCGCACATTTCGTCAACAGATAGTGATGATGACGTGGACATGAATGGTGCAGAAGGATGGAGGCCCGAATATACAGACTGGTGGTTCGAATTCTTGAATGAGAAGGGTGGAAAGGGTGTCAGTAAGGATACATGGAGCATGGTTTGTTTCAATAATATTCATTGATTACCCACTCCACTTACATTCGTCCCCTAGTTCCTTGATTTTATGCGGAGTATCGATACCAAGTTTGAGAAGTATGATATGGAAGGTTGGTAAATACCCTAATTAATTTACTCCTACTGACACTCTGTTCAGCTGCATGGCCTTCTACGATCGATTATTTCGTTGAGTTTGCCAAAGGACGTTTAGCTTCGTCACGGGCATGATACTTATCGTATGATCTCGCTGCAAATTATTTTGCTTTTGGTGTTGAAATTTGTATTCTCAAGTAGAAGCACACTAGCTATCACCCATAAAGGAAAGGAAAGCCCTGTCACGTTTAAGCATCATCTTTTGGTATTGGCTGACTGTGTACTTGTCCACGAACTGACGTCCGCGCGAAGGACTTCTTCAACTACGGATCCTGTCATTGGCATGATTGTCTCCTTCATTCTCTTCGCGGTAGAGAAGTAGTTTTGGTCATTGGGCTCAAGTTCCTGAGAACAGTGGATTGTATCATCTATGTACGTTGCAATTTGGCTGTGTATACCCAATGAGGCACGCTTCTCTGCATGTGGAGGACACGATCACTGTAATTCCTAAATAAACTACATGATATTGGATCTTGAACAAACCGTGTTGGAGAAATTGGGTTTATCCTGAGCTGAAAACCGTTTTGAACAATGAACTCACACAAATTCAATGTGTTTGGCCGGCTTTTGGGAGCTTTGGGCATTTAATCTTCGTATTTCCTATCAAATGGGCAAAGCAAGGATCCAAATATGTGCGAACATAGTCCGTAACTTCTATGATGACTCTAGTAGTACAGTGATTTTACACTTATAGGCGGACATTAGTCTGAGGAGAATTCGAGGAGTCCGTGTATCGTGTCCAGTAGTCAGTATAATCAGAGAAGAAGCCTAAAATCGAATAAATAGATGAATAAGTAGATTGACAACAACAGAGATGAATTTGACTTCAACGAAGTTCAAAGAGATGAGGAATGCCCCGACGTGGGGGAAGAAGGGGACTGTTCCGAGCTTGGCGTAAGCGGAACCGGGGAATCGGAGGTCCTTCCAATGCTAGGTGCTGTATAATACGAGAATGTACTTCGACTAGCAGACTGCGCTCCCGACCCTGTCCCCATACTATTATTTTCTTTATCAATCTTATCCAATAACTCCCCCATTTCTGTAGATGTAAGTCCATGTCCGCCGATAGCAGCCGTCAAGCTCAAACTGTTTGCCCGACTCGGAGGTTCACTTCCTGTGAATTCGGTCACGGAGCGTGTGGGCGGTCGACTAAGAGAGTGCAGCTGGTCTCTAGATGACGCAAGACTGGTCAACTCGCGACTGCCCAGACTTTCAATCGTGGGCATCCGCCTAACGAAACCGTTGAGAATACGGACATGATCGTCCGGAGGATATTCTCCACCAACGAATTCGTCATAAGCGTGACGAGGAAGATCCGTGTACGTGTTTCCTGGTAGAAGTGCAGGCTCTAATTCACCTGTGTCGTCTGATTGAGCGAACCGTAGAGCTTCATCCGCCTCATGGGATATCTGTGAGACGAGGGCCCGGAAACGCTCCGCAAAATTGTTGAGTTCGCGATCATTCTGTGTGCTAGGGGTTGAAGTCGAAGAAAGTGTTGAACGGGGTTGCATGTGTACAGGATCGAAACGGGTCGAGTCGGAAATCTCATCGTCCTCAGAGGAAGAAGAGTTGAAGATTGAGGAGGTCCCGGAACTTCGGAAGGCAGTCCGATTATATCCCTCTGAGTAAGAGACAGCGGGAGAATGCGGCGATTGACGGCTTGGTTGAGCGGGGTTCAGAGGAACTTCGGACGACGCGGAGATTGGGGGAGATTTGTGCAAAGATTGGTCGGATCGCATGCGACGTCGTTGGCGTTTGCGACGCTGTGAAGATTGAGATGGTCGGCGAGTACCATCGTAGGCAGAAGATACTAATAAGAATAAGATCTTCTCTATCATTAGCGGCAGAGGACTTGATAGATTATAAGTAGTCAACTTACGACAACAATCAGAGTAAATATGAGACGAAAGATTGAAAGCCCCAACCACCCGGCTAGCGTCGTACGATTACAAATCCCTGTATTGATTGACCATACGACGTCAACATCTAGTCTGCAGCGTAACTCTGGAATGAGTTCGGAGACTGAAGAGCTTCTCCAGACCACGGTCAACGCCAGGTTTACAATGGCAGGAGACACCAAAAAGAAAGCCGCGAGATAGCGGAATACTGCGCGCATGACAAGGAGTGAATGAATGGGAAAGTGAGCGCGAATAAGATGTGGTTGGAATGCGGACACGGCTGCTGCGCAAATGAGAAAAGCAAAACACACAGCGGTGCTGGTCCCTAGCACGATTGCGGTTGTCTGGCCTTGTAATGAGTCGTAGATGGTATAAGCAATGAAATAGCGAACAGTGTTATAGACCGCCCATAACGCTGTATGGAACAACGAAATTAGTGGCCCAGTAGTAGAGAGTTTTCTGAACAACGCACCCAGAACAGCTTTGAGCACTAAACGAGAACGCTTGAGAATTCGAAGTCTTCTCCGTACCGAATGCTCCCGATAGTCCTGCCCTTCCTTGTACGTAGGGGGGAGGTTGTCTGGAGAGAGTTCAGCAGTCCACTGTTCGCTTTCTTCATCTTGATATCCAGGTTGTCTGGATAATAGATCCTGATAGGCCAGAGAGCCAGAATTAGTCGATTGCAGTAGAGGTTCAGTTGGATGTGAGTAGTCCGTAGTTGTTGTTCGAAGTGTAGTAGAGGAGATAGTTCGACTATGTGCAAAGGATCTTTGGGAGTTACTGTCCGAAGGTTCTGGGGTAAATATCGCATTATGAAGATATAATGCAGCCATTAGAATGTGAACGTTGTGTGGTAAGCATCCAGTTGGATTTTTGAAGGGGAGAAAGCAAGCAAGAGACCTGAACTACTTCGCCAATTGAATCAGAAGAATACCTTTCTCCGGATGGTCTGAGTCTCAGGCTGCCCTAAGCTGTAACAGGTGTAAGTGACAGTTTCAACTTTTAAGATTCCAACCACCCAAATTTAGTAAAGACCAAATGTTAAGCGTCTCGGCTAGTCACCTGATCGCTATTGTCTTCTCTTGGACGACGAGGGAGACAGCTCTGAGGCCAATGACTCCGGTGAAGAATACTCAAGTTCCCAACTTAACCTCTGGTATAAGAGCAAGAGGAGGAAGAAATGTAGCTACGAACAATATGACGTTTTCATATAGGTGCTGAAAATCCTGTGAAAATCAGATAGATCTTGTCGGGAATCCCGTCTTGAATCTGATTTAATCAAGTCATTCGATATCGATCTGTCTGTTCATTGAACGCGTTTGAACGGGTACTGTCGGGTCCCGACGTCCGGTATCACTATGTAGCACTTAGGAGTTCTGTCTAGTATGGAGAAGGAGGCCCCCTCGTTTTGTTCGATCGTCGAAAACAGCTCGGAATGAGGTCCAACTGAACTTACATTCGAGAGGCTCTTCATCTCAAGTTTAAAGTGTACATGCATCGTTTCCCTATATCCAATTCAAGCATGCCCATTCCCCACTTTTTCTTTCGCATTAATTCGTTGATCAATCATCTTTTGACAGTCTCCATCACTCATTCCACGTTCGGCTTGTTTGAATCGATAAATCAAACTCCAAGTACTAAGGGGTCTCAAGGCATGAAATTGTTTATTTCAAGGACTAGGCAGTGTGGACAGTGGCAATGGTCCGGAGGAAACATGCCCATATCTCTCGCACTCAGTCCGCTCAACCCAAACGTTAGAGTCAAATTCACAGATTTCGACGAATTTAACATTCACCGTATAGTCAAGCAAGGTCTGGCGGCGCAAAAAGCTGTATGCAAGACAAGTTGAGAGAGAAAACCACATGTGGACATCCTAGTAGGTTCAGGAATCATTCCAAGTGGTTCAAGATCTTCCGCGGTCGACTCTTCAATTGGAAAACTTCATACCTTACCTGAAAATAAGAATACAATAAAATCCTTGGATATCGTGACCGGTTGATTGTTTTGAGTGGGTCCCCATACGCTGTTTGTTTTCTGTTTTACTGCCGTCCTGAGTAACAAGAGTCCCAAATGTCCAAGTTGGTATAGGAAGTCTGTAGGGCTTAGCTGTTGACGGCGACGATTTGAAGGGATAACCAGGTGTCACCATCTTTCTCCCGAATCCGATAGACGGTCCAAGCAAGGTGTACATCCCATCCCATATAGCGAGTATGTTATCTTCGATACAATTTTCCCTCGGCGCCCAGCTCTGAATAAAATGTCAACATGTCAACCCTTCCTACAGCGTGAACAACAGCATTGATATTGGCCCATATTGAAGCTAGTAGATTTGGGGTCCCAAACGTTGTAGACTGGGTGACGGAGGGGGTTTAACAGCTATACAACTCAGACTGTGAAAATTAAGTCAGTGGATCCGCGAGGCTAGTAGACAGAATTAAGGACATGTGTTGAGCGCAACCCCTGAATTCGGAAGGTCAACGCTTAGGTGGGGGACTCTGTTGGCACTTGAGAGGACGAAGGACGAAGAAGACATTCGGAAGGATTGATCCGTCGAATGCCGGCTGGATCCGCCATCATGGATCAAGCTGAGCCCATTATTTTTGCTTCATCATACTAATTGACTCGAATGGGATCTTCCAACGCGAATGAACAAAGTCATGCATCGCTGGCGTTCGAATCAATGTAACAACCTCAGGAGACTCAGCACCAGCAGCAATGGCAAATTCGAGACAATAATCAACATCCGCAATGCTAACGTGTATCGTTTCGGCGATGGAAAGTATGCGCAACCATTGTTTCGAGATTTAACGTGGACGGTTGAGGACGGAGAAAGCTGGGCTGTAATAGGCAGTGGCGGAGGCGGGGAAAAGACTGCTTTATTAAGTGTTAGTGCTCTATACGATACATCTATACGATGTCTTTTCTAACGGGATATGCAGATGCTCCTTGGGCGTTATCGAATTGCTCCTTATCCTCCTCCTCCAGGCGGCCTATTTCCTTTTCTTTCTTCAACAGGACTTGACCCTTACTCAGGTGTCTCTATTGTCGCATTCGGGCATCGGCAGCAGGCTGGCGGGGCATTCTATGACTACTCTGCAAGATATGGTGCAGTCCATGAAGAAGATCGTTTGACTCTGCGACAAAATATGTTTCCAGAAACTATACCTCCCCTGCGTATGCCCTACGAGGATCCACACGACACACCGGAGCCTAAACAGGCCATTTCAGGGGAAGAGCTTGCGAGCTTCAACAACTTAGTTACGCAGTTGGGCTTGGATCAGTTCCTCGACCTTCCGCTTATTGCGTTAAGCAACGGGCAGACACGTCGCGCGAGGATCCTCAAAGCTATCCTGAATAGGCCGCAGTTGTTACTGCTCGACGAACCGTTGACAGGGCTTGACGTCAAGGCGCGTCCGTTGCTTTCGAGCACATTACACGACCTTCACTCCAAAAAAGCGCCGAGAATGATTTTGGGCCTGAGAGCACAGGATTCGTTACCTGATTGGATTGATCATGTCGCATACGTTAAAGGTTCGACGGTCATAGCAGGAGAGAGGGATCATGTCCTGGGGAGTGTTGAGCGGAGTTTGGGAGGTTGGCACGGGAAGCCGAAGACAAACGGAGTCGCCGAAAAATCAAGGGCTCAGATTGGTGGAGTCTTAATTGACTTGAAGAGCATTAAAGTCCAATATGGCGATCGGAAAGTGCTCGACCAACTTTCGTGGAAGATCAGGCAAGGCGAACGATGGCATCTTATTGGAGAAAATGGTATTTGAATTTTTAAGCCTCCAAGCTCATTGATCAATCATCTTCGTACCTAGGCTCGGGAAAAACAACGCTATTATCACTTATCACTGGCGACCATCCACAGTCCTATACTCAAACCCGCTACCTTACTTCTGATTCAGTTTCGAATACACCATCCGAAAATCCTTGCGAAACTTCCTCTCATCTCGAGCTCTTTTCTCAGCCCCGTTCACGTCTACCTACCACTCTGTTACGTTCCGCCATAGCCATTATGTCACCAGAGCTTTTCGATGCCTTCCCACGACGTTCGAATATGACCGTCTGGGATGTAATCGGGACAGGTTTCGACGGCGATTTCGTACCCAAAGGTAAGAAAGGCGTAGGGAGTGGAATAGGCATGAAAGTCGCTTCGGACTCGCACCTGATGAGGACTGGACGTGGGGGTCACGAAGGTGCAATGGAAGGTCAAGCTGAATGGGATGAAGAAGAAAATTGGAGAGTAGGACGAGTATGGGAAGTTTTACATGCACTCGGTCCGGAAGCTTGGGAACGGGCAAACGTCGGAGGCACGAGGACACAACCAGATTCTTCTTCACAAAGCTATCCTTCCGATGTAACGCGCGATTTCGCCAAGACCTCCTTCCCATCTCTACCCCTTCCGCAACAGCGTGTTGTTCTCCTCATGCGCGCTCTTGTCGGACGCGCTCCGTTAATTCTATTGGACGAGGTTTGGAGTGGAATGGATGAAATAATGGTGAGAGTTGCGAGGGAGTATCTTCGTGGTGATTCTTCGTCTACCTCCACATCACCAGGCGGAGGAGGAATCGGCTCTGATCAAGCGGTTGTAGTGATAACACATTGGGAAGAAGAGGTTCCTTGGAGTCTGGATGAGGACCCAGGAGTTTTCAAACGGTTTAGATTGGGTGGAGGGAAAGGTTTGGTGGAAGAATGAGCTTCTCATTCTACATGGAATGTTAGAAATGTTAGAACTATCATTAGCGTTTCCCCGCTCGATTTTCTGGTATCAAGTGTAAAGCCAAACGACTCATGACAGAGACTCGTTCGACGTTGTGTTGTAAGGAAAGCTGATAAGATTGAGATCTACTTTAGATAAGCAGATTTCACCTGTAAATAAGTGTGAGAGCTTTGATGAGCAGCGACCCATTTTGTCCACCAACGTCGACAGTGCGCGAGAGATCTTTTCTTGAGTCTTCCTTAAGCTCCGTATGCTCATACTTGTGTTTGTTCCTTATGCTTTACGACTCTATGATCTTCCACGCAATTCTTTCGCTTCTGTTCGGCGCTCTTGTGCGGGCGTCTCCGTTTGACCTTCCTCGGGAGACTCCCGGATTAGTGATACCCAGTTCGATTTTCCTGCGACAACGGGACGTCGATCCTACATTCCCTTCTTCTCCTGCGTCCTGTCCAATTTGCGAAGCGGTACGTATCTATCTGAGGAGGGGGGGGGGGAATAACATCTTGTGAACAGTGAGTTTACCTCTTCCCAAATTCTTGCAATGAGCTCACCTTTTGAAGGACTGTTGACATACACATCCTAGAACTACTCCTCAATACAGAACTGTGCCGAAGCTTCTCCCGTCTTGGCCAATTTTACAACTGTCAGCTCCTGTCGTTTAAATTAGGATTTCCATCTGAGTTCTAGTTGGATTATACAGATCATTTTCAATCCTGGAGCGTTCATCGCTGTCATTCAATGCTCCTGCACGGAAACTTTCCAATCTGTTTTTCCCCAATGCGTTGACTGGTGAGTTTGTCAACCCCCTGTGGTGTTCTCTCAATTTGAGAAGTGATATCCAGCTTTGAGCAAACGAATCAGACGGATGTTCTTGGCGCACCGGATCTTCCTAGTGTTCTTCAAGGAATGAGGAACATCTGTGCTTTGGAGAGCACGCTCCTAGGATCAGCAGCAGCTACTGACGGTGAATTACCATCTAGTACGGGCGCTTCAGCTATTCCTACAACCACAGCTGCTTCCAATTCCGAAACCAGAAGTCAAGCGCTGCCTAGCATACGGAGGTCTTTTGCGATAATCATAGTGACAATTGCTGGACTCGGATTTGCTCAGGTATCGCTGTAGTCTAGTGGAAATTTCGTTCCGTTCTCCTGGGTTCGGTTTGGGGATTACTTCTATTGTATCCTATTGTATCTGTTTCGACGACAACTAACGATCTGTTATGAAGCATTAATGCACGATTTCATGAAGTAGTATCAAGATTGAAATGTCACTGTTTATTGATTTACATCGCCTGTCCGTGTTTGTACCTCGAGCTTATGGTGTTCCATGGTCAACAAGGGGTTCACGAGAATTGTGTTAATTTAATGCCTCGGTAAGTCGGTGTTATCGGTTGACGATCCATCTTCTTTGGGACATTTGTTTTCGGTGAGTCCTTTCCCCCTCAATTGGTTATATGCATTCAAAAGCGACAGATATGGTAAAGCCCAGCTTACCTTGTATATTCGGACGGGTTTGAGAATATTAGAAAAAAAACAACACACAAAAATGCTAGGTCTTCTGTGTCGACTGCTCCTTTTCGGCAGTTACTGAGTGAACACCGGAGCGAAATCAAGTCAAGATGACTGGAGATGCTTAGGGCACTGAGCTAATAACTCCAAATCACAACGTGCACAACGCTACTTAGTGATTTATCTTGGTAAGAGGTCTCGTGCTGGTGGGCGTCGGGCAATTATATGCTGATGAATACTAATGATAATGATAGGAGTGAGGACATCGATATGTCCATCGGTGGTCGATGACTAGTATCTGAGTGAAAAGACCATCGGCTGCGCCAGCTCCGATAGTTTTTTTAACCTAACGAAGACGAGAAAATACGATTGGGAGTACTAGTCATTATGCATTATTGCCAATCTGGCCTGGGCGATAATCTACTATTGATGGCGCTTACTTCTGGTTGTGCAACCTGACGACCTCCGAGAGGTACAAGCCCCCACAAGTTAAGGACATCAGCTGTCAGTCATTGCAGTGCGAGCGCAGTGAAGCCCAGTTGGTAAGTGAACAAACTGACCCTCTCTGTATGGATATTCGAATGTAGCGGCGATGACCAATACCATAGTACCCAAAAAATACTGATATGTTGGTCAGATAGTGGCGCTGTTACTTCGAGTCTTGTTTTCTTCCCTGAAACACGCCTTAAGTCCAGAATGGGGCTTTTGACAGCTTTGGTGACGATGCTTGAATTTGAGGGTGTTGGAATCCTCAGTACTAGTAGGTAGCTTGAAAAAACTCGGCGAAGGCCTTCTCAACTGCTCATACCATACTAAGATCCATCATAGGCTACGTCTATGCTTGATGGTGTATATGGGTGTATGTTGTAGGCCCGTTGAAACGTTGGGCTACGCGGAATGGGTGATCTTCCAATGACTGGATCAGCCGCTATTGATCCCGATGATGTTCCTTCTCGAGACTTTCATCGTTGGCAACAAAGTTGGCCTCTAATCTTTTGAGTGAATTTCTTGATGAAATCCACTCTTACCGTCTCTCCCAACAATCAGTACTATCAGGATCTGTCGGTGAAAGCCAAGGAGTGGTGATTAGCGATGATACTGTGGCTGGCACTGCTGGTGGCTTACAGCAGTGGTGTCAAGTTTGACGGGTCCTGTCAGTGGAGGATGACCACCTCTTGGGTGATTGAAGAGATTCTACCGTCTCGTCAATGGTAGTATCGATTTGTAACGTATAGAAAGAAAGACTTCATTTTGTAGATCGAGAACGAATGTGCATATATCTATCCAGGATACAGGTCCAAAAGGCAAAGGTTGATCATCGAACTTCGATGGCAATACTGAGGGCATTCGAGCAACGGACACCGCCAGTATAATTTATATCCTCATCCTTGTATCTTATCCTGAGGTCCGAAAGCTTAATAATTGACCAAAAACGAGCCGTCGTCCCAGATAACCTACGGGCTCCTGCGATTGTCATGCATCCCCTTGATAGGATTGTCAATATATATAGAGCGAAGTATGTACATACTACACCTCCACGCCATGTAATGCATAATAATCTAACCCTTCCGTTAGTCAAGACACCCGAATCATTTGTCAGGATATCCATCTCTCATCACCGATTACAGTGGTATCATCATCCACATCTACAAGTGTATAGTCACTTGCCATGGAAACACCTCGAACAACAACTCTCGAGGCCCTTCTCCGATTGTGCTTGTCTGAAGTACGACGAGCAATCTCGGGTTGGCTGGAGATTAGAAGGGTATACTTGTCTGTACCATAAGGATGATAAGCGGGCTTCCATAGAGAATTGGCCGTTTTGTGTCTCATAAAGCTATTGGTGTCTGACTTGAGGTGAGGTTTCGTAGAGTGCCTGTCCTTCTTTTTCCTCTCGGCGTTTTGGTATTTCTCGGCAGAGGTATTGGTCCAATAGATAATGCGAAAAATCAAAGGCTCTGGATTGGGAACATAATTGAGCAGAGTCGGCTTACGCCAGCACCTGTTCATGTCCACGACCAGCGACCTATCTACTTGAGGGAGATCATCGAAGAGCTTGTCCAACGCTCGCCAAGACCTGGCTTCGAGTCGGTCTCTCTCTCTGTCCCCAGGTTCGTACTGAACCAAGCAATGAACACATTGAGTGAGACAAAGATTTCCCTTGTGAACCAATAAACAGTCCATAAAAGGTTCGATCTCGAACATGATATTTGATTCGTGAAGCTGGGTAAAGGTACTGTACACCTGTTCAAGATGATGAGATAGAAAAACTCTGAATCGATGCAAAGAACTTTCCAGAGAACGGTCTCGCATTTCGAGTAACCTCCCTTCAACCCTGGCCATAATGAGGCCGGACACTTCAGCACCCCGTAGAACGATAGCAAGTGGTTCGTAAGTGATATGAATTTTCGATTTTTCAAGGAGATGTGTTATTGTGATCATCTGTTGTAACCTCCATCGATTCGGAATAGCAAAGGTTGTAAAGAAATCTCAATGAAAATTATATAGGAACAAGTGGATTGACGTATAAGTATACTCACCAACCTGCTGGTCGTTCCATATACAATGTACCCTATCGTCCAGCCATTGAACGACGAGTAAGTCTGATTCTTGCACTCGGGGAAGCCATCCTAATGGAGCTATAAGTGGGGGTATATCGTCCAAAGGTTGTGCTACTAGACGACTCTGCTGGGCATCGGATACTAAGATCGCAAATTGTGACTTTTCGAATTCGATCGTGTCAAGAAGAGACGCCTGATAAATTGAAAATTTAGGCAATTAAAGGCCAGATCTTGATGAAAAATACGCACAACAACTGACAGTCGTTGTGAGAGGAGCGCTTCGTAAGCTCGACAATCCGCCATTACATCGTCGTATGACATTGTACGCCATTCGTCCGAAGATGGGATGTCCTCAGTTTGCACGATAAGCAAGCGACCATTTTTCACCAAAACAACAATCGTGTAGTTTGAACGTTCCGCAACGGGCAATCGAGCTCCTGGAGGACCTCGTTCAACGACGGCAGTAATGTCTGGTCCACAAAAGTAAATATTGGAACCAGGGATAGACTCTTATTACTCACCAGTTGCCGCAACTACATTCTGGGGAATAGAACAGAGCCTTGGATCCATTTTCGATGACACCAGTGGGTCCCAAAAGATCAAGGCTGTACACGTTTGTTGACCCACAACTGGCCGCGTCCGGAAGTGGCAGCCGGTTGAATCCCTCCCATCATTTACTTTACAAGTCTAAACAGACTATTTCGGAGAAAGAGCTTGTGAACTTCAACGACTTAGTTACGGCGAACACGCTTTTGGGAAGTCAAATCAAGAAATAGTAATGATCAATAGGTACACAATCATAAGAACAGCCATAGATGATAGCAGAACGCAGATCGATAACAAAAGCAAGCAAGCATACTAGGGGATATGGAAAGGAATACAACTGAATTATTGTCAGACTTTCCACCTCTCATCATCACCGATTACAGTGGTGGCATCATCATCTACATCCACAAGTGTGTGATCACTCGCCACGGAAACAGCTCGAACAACAATACTCGAGGCCTTTCTCCGGTTGTGCTTATCAGAAGTATGACGACCAATCTCGGGTTCGTTGGAAATGAGAAGAGTAAAGTTGTTCGTACCATCACTATAAGGATGGTAATTTGACTTTGATGGAGAATTGGTGGGTCTGTGTTTCATAGAGCCACTTATGGCATTCAACTTGAGGAGAGAATTCAAAGAGTGGACACTTTTCTTTTTTTTCGCAGCGTGCTGTGGATATGGATAGGAATACAACAGAATTATGGTCAGGATTTCCATCTCTCATCGTCACCAATCACAGTGGCATCATCATCCACTGCAACAAGTGTATAGTCGCTTGCCAGGGAAACAGCTCGAACGACGACTCTCGAGGCCCTTCTCTGATTGTGCTTGTCAGAAGTATGGCGACCAATCTCAGGCTGGTTAGAAATGAGAAGGGTATAGTTTTTTGCACCATCACTATAAGGATGATAAACTGGCTTCCATAGAGAATTGGCCGTTTTGTGCCTCATACTGCCACTAGTAGTTAACTGGAGTAGAGGTTTCGTGGAATGTGTTTTCTTCTTTTTCCTCTCGGAGTTTTGGTATCTCTCGGCAGAGAGATCGGTCCACTGGGGAATGCGATAAATCAAAGGTTCTGGAGCGGGAACATAATTGAGAAGAGTGGGCTTGTACCAGTGTTGATTTATGTTAAGGACTGATGATTTGTTCAGTTGAGGGAGTTCATCGAAAATTACATCCAACATCTGCCAAGCCCGGGCCTCGAGTCGGTCTCTCTCTTTGTCCCCTGGATCGTATTGAACCAGGGTATACACGCACCGGATGAGACATATTTTGCCTTTGTAAACTAAAAAATCATCCATACAGAGTCCGCTTTCAAACATAATGTTTGCTTCATGAAGTTTGGCCAAAGTATTGTGCGCCTAACCAAGATAGCCAATGAGATGGAGGAACTTTAGATTAATGCACACAGGCTCACCAACGAGCGGTCTCGCATTTCAAGCAATCTACCTTCGACCCTAGCCATGACGAGGCCTAAAACTTCGGCACCCCGTACAACGATAGCAAGTGGTTCGTAAGTAATATTGATCTTCAATCTTTCAAGGAGATGTGTTATTGTAATCATCTGCTGTACCCTCCACCGATTGGCAACAGAAAAAGACATAAAAACATCTCGACGGGAATGAGATAGACACAAGCTGATGGATGCCAAAGTGTACTCACCAACCTGTTGATCATTCCATATACAATAGACCCTATCGCCTGACCACTGACAAACATATAAGTCTGATTCTTGCACTCGGGGAAGCCATCCTGACGGGGCTGTAAGTGGCGGAATAGTGTCGGAACATTGCGTTACAAGACGAGTCTGTTGGGCATCGGATACTAAAACCACAAATTGCGACTTGTTAAAGTCGATTGTGTCAATGAGAGATGCCTAATTCATTAAAATTTGGGCATTGAACGGGCTTATAATTTTAAAATGAACGCACAACAACCGACAATCTTTGTGAAATGCGAGCTTCGCGAGCTTGAAAATCCGCTACCGCGTCTTCGTATGCCATCGTACGCCAGGCTTCCGAAGAGGGGATGTCCTCACTTTGTACGATAAGCAAGTGACCATTTTTCACCAGAATAAAGTTGGTATATCTTGAACAATCCGCAAAGGGCAATCGAGCTCCTGGAGGACCTCGTTCAATTACGCCGGAGATGTCTGATCCTCAAAAGTAAATAGCTGAACTGGGAATAGACGCTGATTACTTACTTACTGCCGCCACTACATTTGGGGGTATAGAACAGTGCCTTGGATCCATTTTCGATAACACCAGTGGGTCCCAAGGGATCAAGCTGTACACGTTTGTTGACCCACAACCATGACCGAGGCCGGAAGTAGCGGCCGGAGCACTTCCAATCCGGGTTGAATTCCTACCACCATCTACTTTACCAGGATCCACGCAATTCACCGGAGCCTAAACAGATTATTTCGGGAAAGAGCTTGCGAACTTCATGCTTTTAAGCACATTACACGATCTTCACTCCAAGAAAGCACCGAGAATAATTTTGGGCCTGAGATCACAGTATTCATTGCCTGACTAGGTCGACCATGTTGCGTATGTTACCTTACCTGATTCAGTCTCAAATATACCTTCCGATTCCCCCGCCAAAGCCTCCTCTTATCTCCAACTCTTTTCCCAGCCCCACTCCGTCTACCTCTGTCTACCTGCCACTCTTCTACGTTCCGCCATAGCTATCGTGTCATGAGAGCTTTTCGATTCCTTCCTACGACGTTCCACTATGACTGTCTGGGATGTAGTCTGGACAAAATTCGATGACAATGTTGTACTCAAAGCCAAGAAAGGCGTAGGGAGTACTAGTGGAATGATGAGAGTTGCTTCCGACTCTCACGTGATGAGGCGTGGAGGCCGCGAAAGTGCGATAGAAGGTGGATAGGAGGAAAAAGAAAAGTAGAGAGTGGAACGAGTATGGGAAGTATTACATGCACTTGGTCCAAAAGCTTGGGAACAGGCCGAGGTCGAAAACACAATCAGATTCTGCTTCTTTACGAAGCTATCCTTCCGATGTGATTTTGTCAGGACATCCTTCCCATCTCCACCCCTTCTGCAACGACGTATTGTTCTCCTCATGAACGCTCCGTTGATTTTACTGAACAAAGTTCGAAGTGGAACGGACGAAATGTTCTTGAGAGTTGCGAAAGAGTATCTTTGTGGTGATTTTTCGTCTACCTCCACATCACCAGGTGGAGGAGATATGGGCTATGATTAGGTGGTTGCAGTGACAACACACTGGGAGGAAGAGGTCCCTTGGAGTCTAGATGAGGACCTAGGGGTATTCAAATGGTTCAAATCGGGTGGAGGGAAAGGTTTAGTAGAAGAGTAAACTCTTGTTTCTCTCCAAATGTCATCTGAAAATTTCATCAGCGTGCTCAGCCATCGCTGTAGCCGAGTCGAACTTTCGTTCTGTTCCCCTGGGTTTGGTTTGAAACGATTATGTCTATCATATTGTTTCGACAATAACTAACGACCTATAATGAAGCTTTAATGCACCAGTCACAATCTAGCATCAAACTTGAAGTGCCACTGTTTATTGATTTACATCGTCTACCACTGCCCATCATTATACCTCGATCCTAGGTTGTCTCCATAGTCAACAAGGAGTTCGCGAGAGATGCCTCGGTAAGTCGGTGTTATCGGTTGACAATCCATCTTCTTTGGGACATTTGCTTTCGGTGAGTCCCTTCCCCCTCAATTGGTTGTATGCATTCAAAAGCGACAGACATGGTAAAGTTCAACTTACCTTGTGTATCTAGATGGGTCCGAGAATAATGGAGAACTGAAAAAATGCGCCACATTACTGCTAGGTCTTCTGTGTCGCGACGGCTCCTCCCCTTTTGGCAGTCAATGAGTGAGCACTGGAGATACTGAGCTAATGACTCCATAATCCCAATGTCTTAAATATACTTTAAGTGATTGATCTTGGTAAGAGGTCTCATGCTGGTGGACGTCGGGCAATTGAATGCTGATGAATATTAATGATAATGATAGGAGTGAGGACACCAATATGTCCATCGATGGTCGATGACTATACATCGGCTGCGCCAGCTCCAATATCTTTTTGACCTAATGAAGACGAGAAAATATGATTAGGAGTACTAGTCATTATGCATTATTGTCAATCCGACTTGGGTGATAATTTACTATTGATGGCGCTTACTTCTGGTTGTGCAACCTGGCGACCTCCGACAGGTACGAGCCCCCACAAGTTGAGGACATCTGCTGTCAGTCATTTTCTTCCCTGAATCATTCCTTACACCCAGAATGGGGCTTTAACAGCTTTGGTGACAATGCTTGTGACAGATCTGAATTCAAGCCTTTCCCGTGTCCTCAGCAAGTATTTTGAGAGAACTGGGTGAAGACCTTCTCAACTGCTCATACATAGCTCCCTCATAGGCTACATCTACGCCCAATGGTGTATATGGGTATATGCTGTAGGCCCGTTGAAACGTAGGGCTACGGGGATGAGTGAGTGATTATTTAGTGACTGGATCAGAGGCTGTTGATCCCGGTGTTCCTTCTCGGAATTTGAGCTACAGACGTTGAACGGCGAGAGTTTCATCGCTCATTTCGACGTTCCGATTTTGGTATTTATAATATCTTTCACCTGGCAACAAAGTTTGGTCTAATTTTTCTTTGAATGAATTTCTCAATGGAATCCACTCTTACAGTCTCTTTCGAGTCTCAACAATCAAAATTTTCTAGATTTGTCGGTGAAAGCAAGGTGTGATGAAGGGCGATGATAACGCGCGCTATCACTGGGCCGCCAGTGTGAAGCCTGAGGATGACCTGTTGAGGTCATTCCAGCAACGGACATCGTCAGTATAATTTTTACCCTATTCCTATGTATCTTATTCTGAGGTCCGTAAGCTTGATAATTGACCGAAGTCAAGTCGCCGTCCCAGATAACCTTGTTCCCGATCATACTCAATCCTACATACGTACGGGCTCCTACAATTGTCGTGAATCCTCTTGATACAACTGTAAATATAAACAGAACAAAGTATGTAAATACTATAACTCCATCACCATGCAATGCAAAATAATCTAACCCTTCTGTTGAAGTAAAATCAAGCAATAATAATGATCAATAGGTACACAAGCATAAGAACAGCCATAGATGATAGTAGGATGCAAATTGATAACAAAAGCAAGCATACTAAGGGATATGGAAATTATTCTCAGGATTTCCACCTCTCATCATCACCGATTACAGTGGTGGCATCATCATCTACATCCACAAGAGTGTGATCACTCGCCACGGAAACAGCTCGAACAAGAACCCCCGAGGGCTTTCTCCGGTTGTGCTTGTCAGAACTATGACGACCAATCTCGGGTTCGCTGGATATGAGAAGAGTAAAGTTGTTCATACCATCACTATAAGGATGGTAAGTTGACTTTGATAGAGGATTGGTGCGTCTGTATTTCGTAGAGCCACTGGTGGTGTCCGACTTGAGGAGAGAATTCAAAGAGTATGTATTCTTCTTTTTTCTCGCTGCATACTTTTCGAATTTTGCCACAAGAAGGAAGAAACCATATGTATTTCGAAATATCAAAGGCTCTGGACTGGGGACGTAATTGAGCAGAGTCGGTTTATACCAATATTGATTCACGTCGAAGACCGACGATTTATCCAGTTGATGAAGTTCATCAAAGATTTTACTCATCCCTTGCCAAGCCCGGGCTTCGAGTCTATCTCTCTCTTTGTCCCCAGGATCGTATTGAACCAACCAGGAAACATTCGATGTGATGCACAGTTTTCCTTTGTGGATCAGAAAATCATCAATAAAAGGTTGACTTTCGAACATGATATTCGCTTCATGAAGCTGGGCAAGAGTACTGTATGCCTGACCAAGGTAGTCAATCAAATGAAAGAACTGGCGAATGTATCCAGCCACTCACCAGCGAGCGGTCTCGCATTTCAAGCAATCTACCTTCAACCCTAGCCATGACGAGGCCCAAAATTTCAGCACCCCGTACAACAATAGCAAGTGGTTCGTAAGTGATATCTATCTTCAATCTCTCAAGGAGATGTGTTATCGTGATCATTTGTTGCACCCTCCATCGATTGGCAAGGGAAAAGGATAGGAAGAAATCTCGATTGAAATGAGATAAAAACAGGATGATTAGTGTCATAGTGTACTCACCAACCTGCCGACCATTCCATATGCAATGTACCCTATCGTGCAACCACTGGCAGGCATATAAGTCTGATTCTTGTACTCTAGGAAGCCATCCTAATGGAGCTGTAAGTGGCGGTATATCGTGCAAAGGCTGCGTTATAAAACGGGTCTGAGAGGTATCGGACATTAAAACTACAAAATGTGACTTTTCAAAATCAATCGTGTCAATGAGAGACGCCTGGATTATTGAAAGTTTAGGCATTGAGAAGGCAGAGTATTAGTACAAAAGACGCACGACAATTGACACTCGTTGTGAGATACGGGATTCGTAAGCTTCAAGGCTCGCCGTCTGTTCATCGTATGGCATTGTAAGCAAGGCGTCCGGAGTTGAAATGTCTTCACTTTGCACAAGAATCAAGCGACCATTTTTCACCAGAATAACAATGGTATATCTTGAACATTCCGCGGGAGGTAATCGAGCTCCTGGAGGACCTCTTTCGAGCACGCTACTTACGTCTAATCCTCGAAAAGTAAATAGCTGAACCATGGAAAGACGCCGATGACTTACTCATTACCGCAACTACATTTTTGGGAATAGAACAGTGCCTTGTATCCATTTTTGACAACGCCAGTGGGTCCCAAGGGATCAAGCTGTATGTACACGTCTGTTGACCCACAACAGCCCACAACCTAACATGGTCCGGAAGTGGCGGCCGGCACATTTCCAATCCGAGTTGAATCGCTCCCACTATTCCCTTTTTTTTCTTCTAAAGCCCAATCTCAAGTTTCAACGCCTCAAATGCCTTGGAACCTGATATATGATATCCTGTATTACGAAAGGATCCACGCGATTCACCGGAACCTGAACAGAGCTAAGCAGGCTATTTCGGAAGAAGGAGCTTTGGGAAGGCTTGCGAGCTTCAACGACTCGTTACGCAGCTGGATTTATTGCGTTGAGCCATGCGCAAACATGTCGCGCGAGGTATCCTGGATAGTTTACAGCTATTACTGTAAATAAGTGTGTGAGCTTTGATGAGCAACGACCCATTTCGTCCACCAACGTCGACAGTGCCCGAGAGATCTTTTTTAAGTCGAAGCTACGTGAGCTTGTGAACGGCTAGCGTAAAGGCTAAACATTGTAATGGTATTTTTTATATATCCGATAAGATAACAACTTACCTATCTGGGCGTATACGCGTTAACAAGTCTCTTGCTTGTCGCCCTCATTCTTATTTTTTTTTTACCTCGAGACTCTAACATTCTGGGTCCCACTCGCTATTCTCTTTGCATTGGCTCATACTTGGTGCGTTTGGGTTCGTGTGATTTCTTTCCTTCAAAGCCTTACATTCCTTCAAACCCTTACATTCCTTGTAGCTCCTTGTGTACTCCAGTGGCCCCGCTTCGCAGAATGTTGTCTCCCCCGCTATCACACGAGACTAATTATTGAACAAGGTACAATTCATTTGTTGATTTCTAGAACATATCCCATTCCTCAAGCGCATTTATTTCCAAGTCATGCCTTATTCGGGAGAATCCCGGATTAGTGCTACCCAGTTCGATTTCTCTGCGACAACGGGCTGTCGATCTTACATTCCTTTCTTCTCCTGCGTACTGTCCAATTCATGAAGCAGTCCGTATTCATCTGATAGGGGATCACATGTTGTGTATAGTGAGTTTATCTCCTCTCAAATTCGCGCAACGAGCTCACCTTTTGAACGCCGCTCAAGGAATCTCAAAAGTGATATATCTATCATATCTGTTTCAACAACTAACAACCTGATGAAGTAGTATCAAACTTAAGATGCCATTGTTTGATTTACGTCGTCCTTAATAGCCCTGTCCGGGTCTGTATCTTGAGCCTATGTTGTCTCCATGGTCAACACAAGGGTTTCACGAGAATTGCGTTATTCTAATGCCTCGGTAAGTCGGTGTTATCGGTTGACTTTCCGTCTTTTTTGGGACATTTGCTTTCGGTGAGTCCCTCCCCCTCAATTGGTTGTATACATTCAAAAAGGACAGATATGGTAAAGTCCAGCTTACCTTGTGTATCTGGATGAGTTCGAGGATAAAGGAGAACTGAAAAAAGACGCACACAAAACTGTTAGTTCTTCCATGTCGACTGCTCCTCCCCTTTCAGCAGTTACCGAGCGAACAACGGAGCGAAGCTAAGTCAAGACGGCGAGCGGGCACTGAGCTAATGACTCCATAATCACAATGCTCGAGTAAGTGATTTATCTTGGTAAGAAGCCTCGTGCTGGTGGGCGTCGGGCAATTATATGCTGATGAATATTAATGATAATGATAGGAGTGAGGACACCAATATGTCCATCGATGGTTGATGACTGCTATCTTAGTAGACACTCCAGCGGCTGCGCCAGGTCCGATAACTTTTTGACCTAATGAAGACGAGAAAATATGATTGGGAGTAAGTACATACTAGTCATTATTGTTGAGCGATAATTTACTATTGATGGCGCTTACTTCTAGTTGTGCAACCTGGCGACCTCCGACAGGTACAAGCCCCCACAAGTTGAGGACATCGGCTGTCAATCATTGCAGTGCAAGCGTAGTGAAGCACGGTTAGTATCTGAGCAAACTGACCCTCTCTGTATGGGTGTTTGAATGTAGCGGTGATGAGTGATAGCATTCCCAAAAAAATATTGATATTCCGGTCAGATAGTGGCCCTGTTACTTCGAGTATTCTTTTCTTCCCTGAACCATGCCTTACACCCAGAACTTACACCCAGAATGGGGCTTTGACAGCTTTGGTGACAATAATTGTGACAGATCTGAATTCAAGTGTCTTCGAGTGTCCTCAGTAAGTATTTTGGAAGAACTCGGTGAAGACCTTCTCAACTGCTCATACATAGCTCCCTCATAGGCTACATCTATGCCCAATGGTGTATATGGGTGTATGCTGTAGGCCCGTTGAAACGTAGGGCTACGGGGATGAGTGAGTGATTATTCAGTGACTGGATCAGACGCTGTTGATCCCGGTGTTCCTTCTCGGAATTTGAGCTACAGTAGTTAAACGGCGAGAGTTTCGTCGCTTATTTCGATATTCCGACCTGGCAACAAAGTTTGGTTTAATTTTTTCGAATGAATTTCTCGATGAAATCCACTCTTACCGTCTCTTTCGAGTCTCGACAATCAATATTTTCAGGATACTGTATGTTGGAGAAAGCAAAGGGCGATGATAACGCGCGCTATGGCTGGGCTGTCAATTTCGAGTGGTCTTTCTGTCGGGCCAGTGTGAAGCCTGAGGATGACCTGGAAGTTGAGGTCATTGCAACGGACATCGTCAGTATAATTTTGACCCTATTCCTATGTATCTTATTGTGAGGTCCGTAAGCTTGATAATTGACCGAAGTCAAGTCGCCGTCCCAGATAACCTTGTTCTCTATTGTACTCGATCCTACATACATACGGGCTCCTACAATTGTCGTGAATCTTCTTGATACAACTGTTGGTATAAACAAAACGAAGTATGTAAATACTACAACTCTAACACCATGCAATGCAAAATAATCTAACCCTTCTGTTGAAGTAAATCAAGAAATAGTAATGAACAATAGGTACACAAGTATAAGAACAGCCATAGATGATAGTAGGATGCAGATCGATAACAAAAGCAAGCAAGCATACTAGGGGATATGGATAGAAATACAACTGAATTCTTGTCAGAATTTCCACCTCTCATCATCACCGATTACAGTGGTGGCATCATCATCTACATCCACAAGTGTGTGATCACTCGCCACGGAAACTGCTCGAACGAAAATGCTCGAGGCCCTTCTCCGGTTGTGCTTGTCAGAAGTATGACGACCAATCTCGGGTTGGCTGGAAATGAGAAGAGTAAAGTTGTTCGTACCATCACAATAAGGATGGTAATTTGACTTTGATGAATTGGTGGGTCTGTATTTCGTAGAGCCACTGATGGTGTTCGACTTGAGGAGAGAATTCGAAGAGTGGACACTTTTCTTTTTTTTCGCAGCGTGCTGTGGGTTTTTGTTGGCAAAAAGGGCGGGACCGTAAATGATGCGAAAAATCAAAGGTTCTGGAGTGGAAATATAATTCAGCAGAGTCGGTTTATACAAGCTCCTGTTGACATCCACGATCAGTGACGTATCCAGTTGAGGAAGTTCATCGAAGAGGTTGCCCAACTGCTGCCAAGACCTGGCTTCGAGGCGGTCTCTCTCTTTGTCACCTGGGAGGTATTGAACCAGAGATTCAACGCGCCGAGTAAGACGTAGTTTGCTTTTGTGAACTAGAAAATCGCCCATTCCGATTCCACTTTCGAACATGATATTTGCTCCATGAAGCTTGGCTAGAGTACCGTGCACCTAATCAACGATCGAGACTTTGATGAGAAAATAATTTTCAATCGATGTATGCCGCAGACACTCACCAACGACCGGTCTCGCATTTCAAGTAATCTGCCTTCAACCCTAGACATGACGAGACCTAATATTTCAGTGCCCCGTAGAACGATAGCAAGTGGTTCGTAGGTGATATCAATCTTCAGTTTCTCCATGAGATGTATTATTGTGATCATCTGCTGTACCCTCCACCGATTGGCAATGGAAAAAGGTGTGAAGAAATCTCGATGAAACTGAGATTTAAAAAAAACAGGAGGATTGGTGTTACGACGTAGTGTACTCACCAACCTGCCGACCATTCCATATGCAATGTACCCTATCATGCAACCACTGACAAACATATAAGTCTGATTCTTGTATTCGGGGAAGCCATCCTAGCGGAGCTGCAAGTGGCGGTATATTTTCCGCAGGTTGCGTTACAAGACGAGTTTGCTGGGCATCGGATACTAAAACCGCAAATTGCGACTTCTCAAATTCGATCGTGTCAATAACAGACGCCTAACACATCAGTGAGAATTTAGGCATTGAAAAAGCAGACCATTATTGAGGACATACAACAATCGACAGTCGTTGCGAAAGGCGAGCTTCATGAGCTCGATGATCCGCTAGCGCATCGTCGTATGACATTGTACGCCATGCATCCGAGGCTGGGATGTCCTCACTTTGTACGAGAAGCAAGCGACCATTTTTGACAAGTACAATAACAGTATAACTTGGGCATTTTGTGTCGGGCAATCGAGCTCCTGGAGGACCTCGGTCAATTACACCAGTGATGTCTAATCCTCAAAAGTGAACAGCTGAACCACGGATAGGCGCCGATTACTTACTCACTGCCGCGACTACGTTTTGAGGAATAGAACAGTGCCTTGGATCCATTTTCGATAACACCAGTGGGTCCCAAAAGATCAAGGCTGTACACGTTTTTTGACCCACAACCATGACCGAGGTCCGGAAGTGGCGGCCGGAGCACTTCCAATCTGAGTTGATTGCTCCCACCATTTACTTTTTTTTCTTCCGAGCTTCAACATTTAACGTTCAAACTTCAGGTTTTGATTCTTTGGTTGAACGTAACTCGATATCCTGTCCTCTCCAACAATCTTTCACCAAAATGCCTGAACTCGATTGGGCTCTTCATTTGTTTCGCTGCCTTTTGTAGTCCGTTTCTGATTGAGGACTCAAGAGCGACGCCTCTTCAATCTCATGCAGGTGATCCCCTGGTTGACTCACAAAGCGAACACAGTATACATGCCAACTGGGTGCACTGTCAACATTTTGCCTTATCCGCGACTCGACATCAATTATCTCCAAGGTCGCAAACTTTAGTATTTTGATAGAGCTGTACGAGGAGATTATCTGCGCGCTTTTTTACGCCCACTCGTAGATTTCGGTCTTGTCTCAAAATGGACCTCGCCACATATGACACGGCTACGTTAGGAACTCAGCGGTGACTCAAAGGCTCCTAGGACTAATCATTATTTTTCTTTCTGTGTGCGCTCTTGGGTCCCTGCTCGTCTCGGTGTTGCCACCCACATACTCTGAACAAAATGCACTGGATCGTTTCTTCGTTTAAAAATCTCCATATCCTCTCCATGTCTTTCCACCAAGCTAAGGTCACATCCCTATCCCTGAAGCGCAAATGTGCAATCTGATCGTTACCTTTTGTCGAAAGTGCAATACCACAACGTCAACAATTGCATATTGCGTTCGCGGTAATTGTCCATCAAAGCCGGAAGTCATCCGCGAGATGCAAGGGTGCTCTAAATGTGGTGGTGGCTAAGAAGCTTGTGAGACTGATACTTCACTCTGATTTAGCAGCTAATGTAGCACTCTTCCAAGTTCCCCCCAAAGCCCGCCACAACAGTTATTTAACCCACTCATCCCTTATCTCCATAATAATCTCTGGTCACGGATCACTCGTTGAATCATTCATTTCAACCCCAGTTTGTAGTATCTGCATCACCATCACCTTCAGGACATCGTTTTGTGCAATTGCATTCTGTATTTTTAACATCATCCGATTATCTTTCTCTTATGGACCCGCTCCCGAATCTAGCTGTGATACTTAATTTTACCACTCCTTTTATCATAGATCTAGAATTAGTCCCTTATATTCTATAATATAGCTCTTACCTATAGCCTTATAATACTTACTCCAAGACATAATATAATACTTACTCCAAGACATAATATAATATTTTGAGACATAATAATGTTCAGATGCTATAGTGAAATTTCGGTCAAAGGATGATCAGAGGTTGTACTTATGCAACATCTGCAAAACCTGGATGTTCACAAGAGCAAGGGTACTAGCTGGAGAGCACTGTCAGCTGCTCTCGAGCTCTTAGCCGAAAATACAGGTTTTACAGATGAAGCAGGTTCTTCTGAAGAACAAAGAGTTTATCATTGAATGGCCATATTTCTGAACATCCCAAAAACCTGTATGTTCACCAGAGCAAGGGTACTACTGGCTGGAGGATGCTCTATAGCACTCTCAGCTGCTCTCGGATGAATAGCCCAAAATACATTTTGCAGATGAAGTTCAAGTGTCAAAGCTGGCTATATCAACCACGTGCGCTTGTATGCAGTCGCAGCTTGGTACTCATTAGAATAGTTGAACTTTCACACGAAGTCATGATATATTCAAAGTTACTTTGACTGGTGAACATGTTCGACAGGCCCTACCTTATCGACTTCAAGTTCTCACCATTTTTCGAGGCGTAAATTTTACTTGCTTACCTTGGATGTTTTGATTCATGATTAGACTGTAACAATTCTCGACGCTGCTGTGCAGCCTTTTTCTCCTTTGATTCATTCCTGAGATGGAATTAAGTATATTTGCGTTTATCATGTCCTACTACATTTGTCACCAATGATGAGAGCTTCAGAATGTCCCACGCGCCTTTTACTAGAAACAACCTTGCTTCTTAACCCGGGCCGCCTAATTCGCCGACGATGCATAAATTTGTATCATTATGTACATGGAGCAGAAGGATTGTTCTCACTTGCCTGCACTGTGGAGGCTCTTACTTAACTGAACTTGGACTCGGGTGGTGTCAATACTTTCAACTTGTGTCCCAGTGAGATCCCCTACAAGATGCAAACAGATTCATATTGTCCAAGCCCTTCCAAACTAAGGATAATGTTTCCAAGAGAGTGAATGATGCCTCCAACTTGAGGACCGTTAGAATGTAAATGGATTTGTGAATACTTGGTTCAAAAAAACCTGGAAGCTGATCAGAATATTTGCAACTTCGTGTATCTCTCCCAGAAAATGCATCACACACTTGCACTATCAAGGCGTAGGTATGTGAGGCTCCGTATCAACCGCAAGACCATCTCCATTTTCGATGTCTTCAGGTGTGAGTTTGCTGCAATTGCATCGGAGGAAGACTGTATGTAGATAACTTAAGGAGCATGTGCCTTGGCTTTCCCCAGACAAACACAGCGAATGAATTACGATCCAAGACAATGGCCTGCTTACTAGCCTCTTCATCACTTTCAATCGTAGCAAGGCCCGGGTGACTTTGTCCCACTTTTTTTTCGGAGATTCCACCTACCATACATGTACCGTGATTTATTACCTCCTAGACGGGAAAAGCTTGGTCTATGTGCTAGTAGAGTCTCAACATGAGCAGGGTATAGTGTACGTACCATGTATACCCTTGACATATAATTCTTGTATACTAAGTCTGCGGGAAGCAGACTGCGTGATTTTTTTTGGTGGCACCTTGCATGAAACATTTCCGAATGAGTTGACTATTGGAGTATACTCGGCCCTCTTGAACTGCAATAAATTGAGTGCTTAAAGTTATAGTGCCTGGCAAATGCGTTACTATTGAAAGTTCATTACGAATTTGTCAATACATAGAAATCATTGACAAAGATTGGCATTAAGAAAATTTCGTGTGTTTTAACATTTGTTCGGGGGGAAGGGTAAGTTGATTGTGAATTTCCTCCAAACGAGCGTCAGGTCGTGCCTCCAGCGACATTATCTTCCATTCCAACGAAACAAATGGTTGCTTGTCTTTTGATCTTGAAGTCTAGATGAAAGGGGGATTTTTGCTTCGCAGCCCAAAATAATCCCATACTTCGGAGTTTGCTAGACCAGCAATGAGATGCTCTAAAGTATTGCAGAGGACCCTTTCCTGCCAGAATATGCATCAGATAGAAGGAGGAAGATAAGTAAGGCATCTTCGAGTTAGGTCAGTGGAAAAAGTAAAAGCTTGGGCTGATATAATGACAGGAAGGGACAGGAATCAGGATGGAGACTGGAATGTATGTAGAGACAATGATAAGACACTAACCATATTAAGCATCAAACACTAGAGTGTACTACTAAAAACATACCAATCAAGAAACACAAATGTAAGCCCGAAAGGGAATGATGGGAGGGAGGCAAACAAAAAGATTAGGATTGAGACCAGTAGAGATATACCCAACCTACTACCAATTGGAAACAACACCAAACAAATTAGATGCCCTCTCCATTGGAGGAATTGAAAGAAAAAATCAGGAGATAGCAGAAAAGAGGCAAACAAGAGTACAAACTATGAGAAAATTAGAAATAGTGGGGGGATATGTAAAGGCACAAACCAACGGAAGACACCAAAAAGAGAGCAAGGAAGCAAAAAATGGTGCTAGTGTCCGCGCGCGCGCTTGGAATTACGGGTAGTAAAGGACCTTAGCAAAGCAAGGTGAAGTAGGCTGGCATGTTAACTTCCTACAACTGCAAACAAATGTGAACTGATCTCAAAGCCATCGAAGGCTATCTTCTATATGACCATACCGTTCCGAGGTGAGTGTATGATCCTTACAAGCGAGAACTTGGAACCTTTAAAATTTTTAGGTTTTCACTGAAGTCAAAGTCACCCAAGCGGGAGAAGTCGAATCTACTTCATCCGAACATCAGTAAGATTAGTTTTATGAGATGGTAGGCCACCACCTTGACCGCAAGTTCTCGTCCCTCGACACCAGTTTTATGTTATATAGAGTGTGTATATTGCGAGCTCCAATCCCGTTACTGTCAGCCAGCCACCGGCAAGCACTAAACAGAACATAGAACCTTACCCGTGCATCTATAGCAAACCCCCAAACAAAGATTGTAAATGAAAATCAAACCCTGAATATTCTAGCTACGCCTAGAGGATTAATAAGACATGTGCATGAGAGCTATAATGAAGCGAAGAAGCGCACTGCTCAAGGGACCCAAGCTGAAAGCCCAGTCTATCCAAATTTCGGGCTGGATCAAGGCTACAACATGTGAAGGAGTAAACGTGTACACTGTACATACCAGTTACAAATTTAATATGATGTTTCTCGATGTTCTTCCGGGAACATGAATCAAGATAAGGAGGATCAGCGTAATGCACGATTTAGGAACTGAGTACCAAAGTAGAAATATCAGAAGACAGAGGTGTATTCCATGGCAAACATCCGAGATGCCTTACTTGCCGATGTCAGCTGATCCTTGTAGCATAAATGAAATCAGTTACATGACATCATCATTAAAAACACTGTAACGAAATTGCCAGACTGAAGTGCATATACTGAAGGTACGCTGTGAGCGATTGCAGGGATTCAGGTTCTTACCAATGATTAATGAAAAGCCATATGTCATATCTGGCATCAGTGGAACGCCCCGCGGGTACCAAAGATGAAAAAACACAAAGCCATATACTCTTTCCATGCGATTCCGCTCTTCCGAATTCTTGCTGATGTACCTCGTATTTCTTTCCTCACTAAAAGCACTTTCCAACTAAAATGTCCTCAGCGATACACATACCCCAGTCAGTCCTGAGATGTCTCCTTGGTCGACAAGTGCAGTTTGAATCCAGGCTTTTTGGTGAATAACAAGTCCTGATATGTTTGATTGATTTCATGTACTGTATGTATGTAGACAGAGATGTTCGGAAACTCACTGATGAAGTGGGCATCTTCTGTGACATATGCAACATTCACCACGAACCACGCCAGGTTATGTTGCTTATTACAAGTGACTAAAAAAAAGCAAGGAAGTCGACGCAGTTCTATCGAGGGTATGAAGGAGCTATAGCGGATTACCATGGAAAGAGCATTCCTGAAAAGAAAATAGACCTTGTATCCTCATAGGAATGGAGACTCTTTACAGAGCCTGAGTGCTATGCTGAGCTCTGCTGAGTGAAGTTGACATGCTTTATTGAAGACCGGTTCGGTCTCGAATTTGTCCTTGACTTCGAAGTAAAGATTAAAGGCAGGTAAAGGCTCAGGTTGCACTGAACGACTAGTAGCTATAGCTGATTGAATTTATAGTTCAAGTCTGTTGTCGCGCTTCCTCGTGTGCCAGTGGCAGTGTAATACTAGTTTCAGAAGTCACGTGGCCGACTTCATCGATTAGGATTAGAAAATTTCTTTCAGATTCTTGCCGCCGTATAGAACGTTCTACTTCTCCCTCAATTACACTCTCAGATGTCTGTTGATCTCTCAAAACTCGACCAGCACCTTGCAACTAGGACCTACGTCGAAGGGTCAGTATCCGCTCTTCTCTTATCTCATGATGCCAATCTTGCTATGGTCCGTGTTTCCAAGAAGCGACTAGACATCGCTGCCTAAGCATGCCGAGTTTCATAGTTTTCTGAACTTCTGGCCACCCATCGTCCATATCCTTGGCTCATTGCTTCTTTCATGCTCTAGATATACTCCTTCACAGGCCGATGTTCACGTTTTCAAGGCGTTACCCTCTGCTCCTGATCCTTCCCTCGTCAACGTAACCAGATGGTACAAGCACATTGCGTCTTATGCTCCTGAGCATGCTTCTCTCTCTGGTTCTAGCAAGGCAGGAGAAGCTTTTATCAGTTCTGCTGCACCTGCTCCAGCCGAGGAAGATGATGAGATTGATCTCTTTGGTGAAGACGAAGAAGAAGATGAAGAAGCCGAACGCGTTAAGGCTGAACGGGTGGCCGCGTACAACGCTAAGAAAGCTAACAAGCCCAAAACCATCGCGAAGGTAAACACCTTTTCTACGTCATTGCAATATGTACTTAACTTTGATTCAGTCTGTTGTTACTCTTGAAGTCAAGCCTTGGGATGACGAAACGGATATGGAAGCTTTAGAAAAATCTGTGCGTAGCATTGAGAAGGATGGACTGGTTTGGGGCTCCAGTACACTTGTTGCTATTGGTTATGGTACGTTTTTAATGGTGTTACATGCTTTCTGGCGACTGACCAGGCTATAAACCATCAGGTATCAAGAAACTGCAGGTTTGTACTTACCTTATACCATTTGAACAAACGCTGAAAGGAAGATTCTGTAGATCACGCTCGTCATTGGTGAGTTGTTATCAACTCTAGTCTGATATTCCTCCCTTATACTTGTCGCAGAGGACGAGAAAATTTCCACCGATGAACTTCAAGAGGAGATTGCAGAATTCGAAGATTACGTCCAGAGCACTGATATCGCAGCCATGCAAAGTTCGTCATTTCACTGTTGCTTCGAGATTTCCATTGTGTCTGACTGGAAACCACCAGAGCTCTAATCTAATTGGAAATGTGTATATCACTTATTGACTACCGGAATATGGTTGTACATTGTGGATATGTTTGCATTCAATGGTGATAATTGTTTGTGCTCTCAAGCTGTCCTCGAAGGTCAAATGCCTGTTAGGTATCGTGGAGCTCGGAAATGAATTTCAACGATAGCTCGCGATTTAATACCTTCCATTGCTTGCTCACATCAAGGTAAGTATGTATGTACGAAGGAACCGTAAGCCACGTTGACCCATTCGATTTGGCATCTTCTGTCCGCGATGACGGTACACAGGTGCAGGGCTTCAATTCATTCTTTAGCTATCAACACGTCAAGTGGCAATACATGATTCTGCGAAATGAGATTCTGAGATTCAACTACACTTTTCCGCGAGAGGCGGTCCCCCCTGGGCTTCATCCTGAACAGTGGCGTACGTATCTTTGCTGAATCGTCGAACTTTAAAGTACCCACAGGTTCACGTGTCCGTCTGTTTATTGGCATCTTCATACTCCCTTATTCGGGGATAAGGAAACCAGCAACGGGAACACTGGACGGGGAACTCGAAAGACTGGTAGAGGGTTTTTCCGAACTGGGAATTGCTTGAGACACCCGCTTGCCCCTCGACGGCGACTGTATATCCTTTCGAATCTCTCAATCCAGCGATCGCAGCAGCATGAAAAGACAGATGAATCTCAAAAAGCAGATCCCGTGCCCAGCGTTCAAATGGTCTTTAAAAGCATCCCTCGTTGGTAAGTAGCAGTACAACTAAGATGCTTCCGTATCTCGAGCTCATTCCTCGCGATATCTTGGAGTACATTGCATTCCTTGTCGTCTTAACGCCGGATCCCGTCTTCAGGCCCCCTCAGGAACTCCTGAACTTGTTGCTAACGAGTTCTACTCTCTACACTTCTCTATGCACCTCTTCCGCTCCGCACCTCTATGCACGCATTTTCCGTAGCACGTTCGACTTGGATATAAATGGACCATCAAATGATGCTAGTAAATTCACCGACTCCCAGCTGACTTTTGACTTGGTCTCCCGTTATCGCTTGTTAAGGCGAGTTCGGCGTATGGAATTCTCGAACAAAATGATGCCTGAGGATCTACGTGTGGCCATGCAAACTGTCATTGAGAGTAAAAGGGTCAACGAAGCACACCTGAAGTCGGCGGGGTTCTCAGAATTCACCTTTTCCTACGCAGAACAGTGTTTGACCAAGCATCAAATTGCTCAAACCCACGCAGCCTTTGATTATGAAACGAACTTGATTCTTTGGTTGCTTGCTCTTACTTGGTCTCGGGGTATGTTGTACATGGTGTTGGTAGTCCCTAAACTGACCCTGAACCGAGCAGACGACGTCACAAAAATAGCTCAAGAAACTCGAGAAAATTTTCTTATCTTATTACGACCTTTAGTGCTCGGGGTAAGCCAGATTGACTGTTGGTCTTAGCCATTGTGTCCTAGTTCAATCTGACTTCTAGGATGCGCGAGATTATACCATCGTACAGCCGATTCACGAAGAGAGCAGCAGAAGCGAGCTCTGTGTACGTGATGGACATTCACCGAAAGCCAATTGCCAGCGTGACACGACAATCCCGAGTGCCTCTTCTGCAGCAATCATCCTGTATTTTGTCCTACAAGAAGCGGGATGTACCAAGGTCTCGCCAAGGTTACTTTTCGGTCGTGTTGTTGACTTTGGTGATGGGCGTGAGGTACCGACAATGGAAGACTACTATAGCATGACAAATTATCGGACACCTCTTCCCGGCGACGAGCACCCTGATACCGGGACTGTATGCAATCCAAGAATCTCGAATCCAACTCGGATTACGCACGACCCTCAGTTCTTCAATCTCAGGCAATCCGGTTCTAACGCGTATTGCAGCCTCCCCGACGTTATCACAGGTCTTTGGGAAGGGGTTTACATGGTCTGTTTCGAAATTCAGCTCCGATTGCAGCATGGCAGATTGCTCAACTGTAACTCAGGTCTCTTGTGTTCATATGAACAAAGAAGCGTCGTCTTCACCCAGCACACCGGATTTCATTTGCAAGAAATTCATGCAATGTTCACTTGTGTTGTTCTTTCATTTCGGGACACCCGACAACGAGCACCTTATCCCAGGGTCTATTGGAGGAGAAGTAGACCAATGGACCGCGAATCCAAGGGACTTTTCGACAGAGATGGTGAGTGATTCACTTCCAGCTTGAATTGTGAATAAGCTTCGAAATTTCGACTCCAGGACTGCCTTACGGTATGTGGATGGGAAACTCCTTACGAGAAATTTGTATCTCCTGCCAGTGGCGAATGTCAAGTGTCTCGAAATTACTCACAAGCCTTGGATTGTCTGGTCATTGGGCGGGTAAGTCCTTGAAACCATCAACGATGCTCCACAAGATAATAAAAGGGAGCCCAGACCACGCAGGATCACGACTCAGCCTGGGGAGGCTTCAACTTTGCGGGGAAGTTGAAGCGAGATGGGACTATCGTAATGAAACGAGAATCGGTAAGGTCTCTTCTTCTTCACTGCCTTAAGAATTCCATCTATATCTATGAACATGTAGAAGGATTCCACCGATGCTGGGCTCGGTACGTGGATTTTCGAAGGGAATGTACGATATGGATCCGTATTTGCTGGAACGTGGAGGTCAAGTAATTCACCCGGTAGCGGCATTCACGGGATATTCAGTTTAGGAAAGAAGGTCTATCCCTCTCAGAGCGAGCACTAACCAGTGCTCAATTATGGGGATGATAATTTTACGATACACTCACAACGCGGACCTATTGGGACTACAGCCTCGTACCTGGACAATTCTCTACACGTCCGATACTTATTAATCCACATCGAGGTATAGACCTATAATACTTTTCCACACGTACTAGAAACACGATATAATTTTTAAGCCATCCTGGAAGGGATATCTACCCAGCCTTTGGGAGAGCGCTACATATACTTATTCACAAGTACAAGGGCTGTGTAGAATTTACATGTTATTCGACATTCAATCAAAGGGCTTCATCACACTATTTCCTCTAACATCCCTAGCGAAGTTACTTTCCACGCCTTCTCTCCAGTTGGGAACTTCAAACGTGGAAGTATGGCACCAGGGCTTGAGCCTGAGCTCCGATTCGACGACGCGAGCGAAGTGCTCCGACCAGCCTTTTCGTGGAAAGGCAGCAGCGGTCGTTTCGATCAAGCGGGAATGTATAAGATTGGCGCGTCTGTTATGTAGAGGAATGGGAAGCTGTTCGTAAATGATCCTGGATTCACTTACAATCCTACGTTGTCTGTATAGAAACGAAAAGGGGATAGTTCTTATAAGTCTTCGAAGCTTTATTTAATTCATAGCAGCATGGAATAGTCCTTGCCAGATATAATATAATCAAATATGTAGCCTCACCTAGAATCGTGGCAAGCTGTAAAATTTGTCCAATCATCGTGATATTCCCACTATTCAGATATTTAGTGTTGACACCTGAGCAGTTTTATTCACATTTAGTGGTACTCACCCTTTGACAAAAATATCCTGATGTCGCACGATCGCGTCGCATACGGAGTCCGCTTGATCCTCGACACCTCCCAATTGAAGTAGTAGATCACGGGCGACGATAGCGCCTTTAAATTCAAACGACAGCTTTGTGGTCGACAGATACCTTTCTGCAGTACCTATGTCATGCAAAAGACAGGCGAGATAGTACGTTTCGAGGTCGTATGACCAATGCGGGAAGTGGGTTTTTGTCAGAGCAACACCTATGTCAATCATTGAAGATGTGAGAAATCGGGTTTGATCAAACGGAAGAGGACAATATTCCACCGTAGATATAGACCCTATTGCTGTGGTTGAACGTTTGCTCGTCAAGCTCTTTCTATGCATACAAAAGAATCAAGATCAGAATGAGAAGACTCATAACAAACTAATAGAGCGTGGAAGAATCAGAGTACTTATCGGCAGTACATAAACCAAAAGTCTAGAGACACTGAGAATTTCGCTTATTCCACTTACTTTGACGAACGTTGTAACATCATTCACAAGCACTGACTCGGGAATGGGAAAATCTTCCGCCTGGAAATAATCTTGCTTAGGGCAGTCACCGCTCGCTGTTGGATGATTAGCGAAAAGGACTCCGGGATCTCTTGGTACGGGAGTGAAGCCATAGAAAGCGATATTAGGATCTGACATGATGGGTAAATCTTTCGAGTGGTGCGTTTAATCAAAGAGCAAAAGGAACTAGGGAGCTGGGTCAAGCCGCGCCTTAAGTACGAAACGTGCGAAAGCTTTAGCTATCGAGTATATTCAGTCCGATTCCGAAGTCATATGTTGTGGAGGATGAATATCAAGAAAAATTACAGTTCACAGGGCATAGAGTATACCAGGAGTATACACTCGTACAGGCCGAACCAAGGCCGAACCAAACTAAGAAAATTTGCGTCTTTGGCACACAGAAACCGGGCAGAAAACAATTCCAATAACCCCTCAGCGGGAATGATTTGCAGACTAAGTGAATTTATACAGAATGAGTTGGGACTTGTGAGCGAAACGCGGGTCTTAACGCAGGTGAGTAACATACCATTAACCAAGCAACTGGATCCTGACTGAATTAGAAATTTTTGGAAATTGATTCTTGAAACTTGCTTGAGTCATATCATGGATCTCATTTTCTTTTTGTCCGACGTGTGAGATCAAGAAGAGCTAGTTAATTTCAGGAAAGAAAAGATAACTTATGTAGAGAAGGTTGACCGGCACGGTTCCATTGAAACCAGCCAGCGAATCATGTCCTTCCTAAGCTTCCGGGGGATCCTGCAAACATATGCAGTATACTCTTGGAAAAAAACCTAAAGTGGAGCTGAGTTTGAGCCCTAATCTTGAAATGCTGCGATACGGCGGTGTCCAGCGATCCCCTGAAGATAGTCGTACTCATTAGAGCTATAATCCTAATGTGAGAGGCAATGCTTTGGGGGCTTGGGGTGAGATGGGCGCAATTTGCGAATCACGTCGGATAGGACACATTGAAACATAGAGTACTACATGCATACAGCCAGGATTTAATACATCAGAAAGACACGGAGGAGCAATGAAAAGACGGGAATCAGGCTCTACCGAATGCAAGAAGTGCCAATACTTGATCGTCATGCGGAAGAGACGAATCGGAATTGAAGAAGAGCGACAACGATGCAGAATTCGAGTAAAACGCGAAACATCCGAGCGTCATTTACACGAACTTAACGGCATATACATATACAGGACATTTTCATAATCAGGACAAGGAGGAAGCAATTTGAGAAAGAAAGGAACTCAAGAGGAGGTAAAATCTGCACTCTTGATCACAATTCAAGGATCAAGACGAGCAACCCGATTTCCACAGCCAACACGACACAAGCTACTGAGATAACAATCCACCCTGCAGTGACGAACGGCCTTCCAAAAATGCGCGTACCCTTTTGACCTACGGTTCGAATAATGTCTCCGGGAACATGCGAGTCGGGATAAATGTAGGAGATATGAGAGGGTTCAGGGCTTATTTTTGTCCCTTGTGTATCAGCAAAGTCATGCCGTGAATGACGATCGCGGAGGAATGAGAGTACAAAGAGAAGAGCCCCTAGAATTGTGAATAGCAGACCAACTATTGAGTAGTTAGACACCCGGTGCAGCAGAAACAACGGTGAAAAAAATGATAGATGAAACGGAGGCCTGAAGCAGTTTGTGTGAAAATTTGAGTTGAGAGTGATACTAGATTGGACACGGATCCGGGCGGAACAAGAAATCTGAGCGTCAGGGACTTACTTCGATAAAATCTGGAATCAAAGAGACGCAATATTGTTAAAGCATAGCCCAGGTTCCCAATAGCGGTACGAAAGTACGCTCCATAGAATGTACGCTGGCGAGCACGGATTTCGACTAGTTCGTTGAGGTCTGAAGCAAAGAAAGATTCAGCTCTGTGGCCTCTATAGAGGGAGCAATGTATGGGCCTATTCAGCGAATAATTTTGAATAGTTTCTGCAAGAAACCTCCTCACCGATACCTATGCCCAATCCTATCGTCATTGCTCATCGTGGTCCAGAACAACGCACGCGGCCCGTTACGTACCGTGGGCCAATTTTTTTCCCCAAGGACTTCGCGAAAACGCGTTTCGACTCCAGTTGTCTCCAGGCGTTCTTCAAGGTATCCTGCTACTGAAATTCTCAGCCTCTTGGCCTTCTCTTATTATTCTAGAGCTTCTGGACTCTCAAGATTGGAAGGCCTGAAATGTCTTCTTTGGTGGGCCTGAGGATACATTGCTCAAAACTTCCAACACGAAGGTATGTTCAATAACCGATAATTAAGTACTCTGCGTGTTCTGAGTTTTGCTAGATTCAATGCTCTAATCAACGTGTCATTCCACCAACCTAGCAGAACCAGGAGCTTCTCTCATCTGCTTGTGAGCTATAATGATGTATACACTATGGTGCAAACCATTAACAGATCTTCTAGTACCCCCATAACACACGCCCTCGGAATCTACCATATCTTAGTGCAGCTACAATCCCATCCAGGTCGTTCTCACTTTGGCCTTTTTCGAAATCTCTTCCTTCTACATCCTTACCAGGTTCTGGTGCGCCCCCACCGACATTAGCACAATCATCTCCAGAAGCAATCTTAGAGACAGAACCAGCAGAAGCTGCTGTCTCAGCAATATCTGGATCTTCCAATATACCAACACACAAAGAAGCCATATTGTCTGAGCCTGTATCGTCGGAACTTTCAAACTCTCTTCCTGAGGGTGTAGATCTCGCTCCTCCAGTGGAACTACTATCTCCAGATGTCGTTGACGCTACTATCAACGTCGCTAATGCCTCCAACTCCCTTGTTCCCCCTGCACTACAATTGGGTGACCTTGCCTCCCTCGACCTCATTTCGTACACTCCCGCTGGCCTCATTCGTTGGTCCTTCGAGCTAATAAATGTAGGCACTGGTTTATCGTGGTTCTGGACCATCATACTCGGAACACTCTTCTGGCGTCTGGCGCTCTTCCCAGTGGTTGTGAAAACCCTTCAATTTTCATCTCGAATGCACCTCATCCAACCTCAAACACAAGCTATCGTGCAACAAACTCTGCAAGCTCGACAAAAAGGGGACATGCTAGCGATGCAAAAGCTGCAGAAGGATCAGGTGGCGCTGTATAAGAGCGTTGGGTTGTCGCCGTTGCAAGGATTGGTGGGACCGGTCTTTCAGCTACCAGTTGCGCTGGGGATGTTTATAGGCTTGAAGAAGATGTGCGAGCTTCCTGTTCCACAGCTGACCGTCAGTGGCATGGATTGGCTTCCTGATTTAACTGCGGTGGATCCGACTGGTATCATGGCTCCTGCGTTTGCGGTAACGTTGTTCTGGCAGATGACAGTGAGCACCTTTTCATTTCTCGACTTTAGTGGGCTTGGCCTTGTATTTGTATCTTCAACTTACGGGTGCTACGTATAGGTCAGCGCTCGTGATATGAATGTTCAAGCTCAACCAGGAATGGCCCATGTTATGAACCTGATGCGATTTCCTGGGGCCCCGCTCTTTTCATTTTTCATGACCACTTTACCTTCGGTAAGCACTTTCAGCCATAAATTTCATTCCAGGAGTAAACCTAACTCATACTTTTCTTATGATCAGGGCCTCGTCTTATCAATAATAGTTGCAGCCATCGCTACCGGTGTACAATCCCTCGTTTTCCGTATTCCCGCTGTACGAAGTTTCTTGGGTATCCTTCCACCTCCACAGGTAGAGGGACGCCAAGGGCTCCCGTCCTTCAAGGAAACATTCGCGTACGTGATAAATTGGTGGAAGAACAAATGGACGGAGGCCAAGAATGATGCCCGAAACCGAGCGGAGCAACAAAGATTGAAGGGTGGCCCCCCGAGGAGGAGATTATGAAGATCAACTGGTGTAAGTTAAAACCCTACATAATAGACAGGAGAGCCGTCGAAAAGTGATACGTTCACCTTATGATCTCCCTAAGTCGGCGTCGTCAACGTGCCCCCGTGATGTCTGGCAGTAATTTTATGCTTTAGACCTGCGCTAAAGGTTATACATGAATAAATAAAAACAATCAACTTGCGCGTACGCTGAAAGTTAGGCTTTTTACGATGAGTCTGAACATAACCTAATTCGACCGAGTATGTAATCCAAAGATATAGCGAGGAAACAGCATCGTAAACTACCTGTACTGCTGAGCAGACTTCCTTGGGTATCTAGAACGAGAAGAAAAGATGCAGACACGATAGAAGAAAATTGTAAAGATATGCCACTCTGTGCTAGATTACCCCGGTGAAAATCAAGCGCTTTGATATAGACCCATGATCTCATAGCATGAAAGCCATAGTCATGCCAACGATAACAGCGGCAATGGTCCTGATATCAAGGGCAGAAGACCTGAGCGATCCGTTGTCACTCGAACCCGTGCTGATCCCACCAGCAGCCTGAACGACACCACTCAGGAAGTTAGAACCACAGACGCTAGTGATGGCATTGTACACGCTAGTTTGCTGGCTGAGCAGCGAGCTGGAAGCGATACCGGGAGCGTAGGGAGCGTTCGATTCAAAGTTGATGTACGAGGTCATGATGTTCCTTGTGCAAGTGGTGCACTGAGCGGACGTAAGAGTTGACTGAAGGAACATGAACGCAAGGTTGGTAGTAGAGAACGTGGTGCTATTGATCGTTCCAGAAGAAGTGGAAATGTATTGTTGTGCCTGCGAGGCCAACATAGCAGCCGAGGCTCCTGAGGCAGACGCAGCGGCCGAGGAGCTGGTGGAGGTGGCAGAAAGGGCACAGTAACTTCCACTATCGCTTTTGGAGCACAAAGCAGTCTTCATCGGCGAGATGATGTACAAGACATCATAGAGCCCAACCACATCCGAGTTGGAAGTGAGTTCGCTAGAGCATGCCGAGGCGAAGCTGGAGAGGGTGGACCGGAAAAGACTGTCATCGCAAATGCTAGTTGAGCAGAGGGTCGAAAGCGTGGAGGCAGAAGCAGAGGATGAACTGCTAGCCTCAATAACAGGAGAAAGGCATGATTGGATCGTTGAATTGTTGTTGACGGTCTCGAGGAACGTTGAACAATCTGAGCTGATACCAGAAGGAACTAATGAGTCCTTTGAAGGTCATAATTAGCAATGATATCAGCAATAAAATAAATAATAATGAATACCTGGGCGAAGACCGCGGCAGAGAGTAGGGAGACGATGGTGAGAGTGCTGAGCATTGTGTGTGTGTGTAGAGTTTTTAGGATATCAAGATGATAAAGGAATGGATGAGTCGTTATACGACGACGGTGATTAATAAAAGAGGTCAAGAAAACGTTGCTGGGCGCGCTGTGTGGTGGAAACGAGGTTTGTTTTTACGGCGTTGACTTGCCGCGACACAAAAAAAACAAACAATGACAAGCAGTGCTGAATTTGATGGCTTGGCATTTCGAAACTTGAACTTAAATTCCATAACAAAACTCGATCAGCAGTGACCTTTTCAGCACTTTTCAGAAGGCCAAAGCGTAAAACTCTGAATCACTCATGGACTATGTATATGAAGAAAGGGCGAACCCAGAGTACATGTACTCGGTTCGGAGATCATTGAATACATATGTGGAGACTACAGGGAATACTCAGGAATACTTCTCCAGACTTCTCCTTGAGCAGCTGTAATTATAAAGTCGGCGCTTGAAGCGTATACAAAATCAACTGAGCTATTAATTGAAAGCAAGTGTCAGTAAGTATGGAAAAAGAGGGCGAACAAAGGCAAGTAATGACAGGATTTTACCTTGAGTTGACAGCTCTGAGTTGATATGATTTCCTGCACATACATATATCAGTTCATTGTTCGCAGAAAGGCCAAAAGTAACAAAGGGAAAAACAACAAGGACTCACGTCGTCAACGTGTCCAGAAGGGTCACGGTGACGCTTCCAGCAGACGTTTCAATTTCGCCGAAATCCGCCTCGAGTCCGAAGGGTAAATTAGCAGCGTTGAGCAGGAAGAGTGTAAACTCTGTTGGATCACTCGCAGTGCTTTCCCAGGCGACTTCCATCGGGCCTCCGGCAACCAATATTCCACTCGGAGTGTCGAGGAGGAGTGCAGAGGCGATGGATGCCCCAAGGACGATGGTTGGGAAAATACTAAATGAAAGTCACAATGTAAGATTTGCGTTACTGAGGAGTTCCGAGTGAACCTACTTCTGAATAAACATGTTGCAGTATTCGGTGAAGACTTCGGAGAGCTCAGCTAGGTATAAAATATCGGATTGAGCCTCAAAAGCACCGTATTTATATGGTTGAAGTCCTCGAAGCTTGGCACTCTTGGGCCTCATGAGATGAATAAATACGGTGTCATATCACAACGAGGTCATGGTCAAATGAGCATGTAATATCAATCTTGTTCTGAGAAGCTCTCAGACTCTCTCAAGCCGGGATACGAACACCTCAAACAAGTAGTATATTCAGGTTTATTCATCGCTATTCATCGTCATCCGAGCCATATACGTCCTGGGACCTCGAGAGCGTTGCTTGAGTTTTGTTTTGTTTCTTCCCGTGATGAGCTATGCTGGCATTATTGAATGCAGTACTTGGAGCGCCGTGACCATCAACAATGGAGCAGCTTGCAGCGAGCACACGTCCGCCACTGCGAGTATAGTCTGAGCTAGTCTGAGTTGCAGAAGGAGTGCAGAAAGGTAAAGAAGTTCAAGGACCTATGTTAGGTGTTAGGTACGTAATACTTAGTCAGCAATGTCGCGTTGTGTTGACCGACGGCATGAAGTACATACGCTTCTTTTCAGTTCTTCATTTACCCAGTTCTTCAGCTTGTTCCTTTCATTCTCCTTCACGAATCACCATGGTCAAGATCTATTCGATATCAGTCCTCGTCGCTCCTCCTTCGCAGCCCTCTACTGTACTAGCTACTGCGTCTGATTTATCACAATTCTCATTCTACCAGAAGGGATCTGTAGCCGAGTTTCTGGCATTCTTTGGGAGGACGGTAGTGGACAGGACCCCGCAAGGGCAAAGGCAGAGTGTTCAGGAAAATAACTATACAGCACATGTATATAATCGGGGTGGAGCAGAGCAGTTAGCTGGTAAGTTGGTCAACTCCATTACTCACAAATACATACGTCTTTATTCCAATTTATCGACGCTTACAACATTTGGACATTCCTTATGTCTTGAATGCTGATGAATCCACGTTGTCTTTCAGCCGTCATAATAACAGACCAAGAGTATCCCGTCCGGCCTGCTTTCTCCCTCCTTACCAAGATTCTCGATGAATTCATTGCAAAATTCCCGCAATCGTCTTTCGACAACTCCTCGTCTATCAGTTTTCCCGAAATACAAATATACGTGTCCAAGTATCAGGATCCAGCACAGGCGGATAAGATCATGCAAGTGCAGCAGGAGTTGGATGAAACCAAGATTATTTTGGTGAGTGTGACTTTTGCTACGATTCGCTGGATGGTGGCTTGGATAGCAAAGGGACTCAGTATGGATATTACCCCCATACATTGTTACGGTCAAACTGTACTGTGATTCATATATTCATCCGATCTTCCCAACAGCACAAGACAATTGAATCTGTTCTCGAACGAGGCGAAAAGCTCGAAACGCTCGTCGATCGGTCGCAGGCGCTCTCTGCGCAAAGCAAGATGTTTTACAAGACCGCCAAGAAGGTGAACACACATATTCCTTCGAACTGCACTATCCTCAAGACTGACGCAGTGCCACTTTCTCATAGCAAAACGATTGTTGCGTCGTCATGTAATTTAAATCGAACGACGAAGACACATCCACAGTACACGCTAAACTAAACCACGTGTGGTGACTTGTGCTCATCTTCGTGTCCGAGTTCCTTCCGTCGTAGCCCAGATTTCCGCCTACGATTTGACTTCATCTACCTACACCGTATCTCTCTCATTTCCTGTCCCCTTCGAGAATCACCGTGGATTTCAATTTTGGCTATATCCTATCCTTCCTTTCTCAATCTTCCTATTCCCCTACATATAATTTCTTGTATCGTATCAAGTACCCCGTATCGACATCAAATTCTGATCACAATAGCACTCACGTCGAGGTTTGCTAAGAGCGTCCTAATGAAGCCTCTCAATTTTATGCTGACTACGCGCGCAATACTATGTGGTCTCTAGTACGTTGTATAATGACGGCTCTCCTGTGAAGTTATGACCTTAACCCAGTCCCTTTAATAGGCGCAGAAGCAAAATCCCGGACAATAATCCCTCTCTCCTTCAAATCTTGGCGGATCTCCTCGGGACTCAGATCAAACTCTATAATCTCCGTGGGGGTTGGTGAAGGGCTATTTCTTGTGTGCTCCGTGTCCGTGTCCCGATCGCAGTTGTAGGAGGAAAAGTCGTAGCCTGGGATCGGGCACTGTTTTCTAGGATAGCACCTTGGGACATTGCTCCAGTCTGACGCCGCTATTGGCATCGATCCTTCGTTGCTACCGGAAGTGGCAGAAACGGGGACCGGGTTTCCAGACGAACTAGCACCGGAAAAGCGTGAGTTTGCCTTTGAAAGAGTGTACAATGTCTCGTCAGGTTGCTGCGGGATTGTTCGATGAATTTTTAGTGGGCAGTCAGGATGAGTTTTTCCGCTTTACCTTATCCGCTACTTCATTCTTGTTCATATTTGTATCCTGGTACATGCCAGTGACACCGACGTCTTTCCCGGTACCCATGTCTGAATCTTGGGGGATCGATTGGTTCTTGCTCGTGTGTTCGGGAAGCATGGCGTGTTCTGTCTTAGAGTTGGAAGGAGCCGTTGTTGAGGTGGAAAGGTAATGAGGTTCTGGTCCGTCTAGTCTTCTGTGAGGGATTTTTATAGCGCCATATTGCCACTTACATAACGCTTTGGCCTTCAGCGTTTTGACCTACAATTTGCCACAAGCAACACAATGGTCCATGACTAAAGTGAGCCTTAACAAGCCACAATGGATCGGATTACCATATTTGGTGGCACGAAGGTACGTTTCCGTTCTTTACGCAGGCAGGCACGCAGCAAGTTTCGAGGCTTCCCCTTCTAATTTGGTTTCTCTCTTCGGAGGACTTTTGAGGTATGTATCGCTCAGAATTCGTGGAGAACGCGATGAGACCCACAGCCACAATGGATGTTCGAAGGAAGGTGCATGCTTGTTTCATTCACCCTCATCTACTCCTAGTTACTCCCGCGTTGCTTGATATCATCTCTTGATCATGAGATGTTAACAATCAAACGATAAGTGTTGTTCTCTTATGGTGGTCATGATAAATTATTGATTCTGGTAGCTTCCAGCGCCCCCGCGTCACACATGCCCTCTTTTAAATAATGGCCTTGTTCATCATTTCCTTTCCATTTGTTGCTTTCTCTTTTCTCTCTCCATTCCGATTTTTTGCTGGACAGAAAATGGACACCCATATGACCACTGTTTTAGTGAATTCACAGATTGTGGCGGTGAGTATCATGGCCAGATCTGCATCTATTGTATTCATCCATCAACAGTATAGCAAAGGTGTCTAATTCCGAGTCACACCTGCATACCCCTGTGTACTCATTTGTGAATCAACAAGTCGCAATGCTTATGCTTCTGGTACAGTTCCAGTTTACTGTATAGCGTTGTACTGTGTTGACAGTTAATTCGCTGCAGACTTATGATTATCTGCTTTCGTTGGCGCAGGAAGTGAGCCCCACAATACGAAGAAATTTACAACACTCATGAATACAATATCATGAAATATACTAGGTCGCCTACGTGTGGCACTCAAAATGGGGAATAGTAGATGTCCTGTATTTGTTCTCTCGTTATTCTCCTTTTATCGACACTATATTGGCTGTGGAAGGTGTGTTACAACATGACTGAAGTGCCCGAGGTGATCCCCGACTAACAAGTGTCATGTTGTAGAGAGGCTGAATTTGGCAAACAGTATTGCGGTATAGCTGGATTGTCTTCCACGTCGTCTGCGTGTGTTGCTGACCAAATTCCCAGTCATGTAACCGAACCATGACTTTCAACATCAGTAAGGCTCAAATTTGCATACGTAGCTAGGAAGCTGATATTTTTGTTATGAGTTTTTGCTGGCTGCGGAGTAGGAATATCTGATCGTATGTGGCAAGCATTTTCAGCCTTCAATGATTCTAATGGTCGCAACACTCTGCCAGTAATACTAATCATCCGTACATTTGTCATGTACCAAAACTCTCGGAAGGTCCTTGCGATCCTCGTTCTGTCATGGGTTGTGAGTCAAAAGCCTCGTCATACCATTGGGGTTGAAGTTAGTGATTTCTCATTGATGGTTTCTGGACTGAAGATTGTCGGCGTCATAAATGTGGTGTACACACTAAGTTGGGCAAAATCGTTTTCAAGTAAGTATAGCTTGTCATGCTCGAACAAATATTGTGATTAATCTTAGACTGATGTGCCAGATGCGTCGTCATTATTGTCAGAAACACCACAAGGATTATCCCCATGCTTTGTAGTAGGAGAGAACAAAACTGGCTTGGTAACCTATATATCTCTGTTGGTCGCAGAAACTGGTGGGTTGAGTAAAATTATTGTGTTATAACGGGAATGTCCAAGAGAATTTCTGCTGTTTAGTGGTGGTGGCGTTGACGATATTGCAAGGATTGAAAAATTGTAAGCCCCATCCCATTTTGTTGAAAAGAAAGATTAATTGACCTACCCTTTCGACGTATGTACAGATTCAAAATGTAAATTGTTCACGGACGATGAAAGCATAGCCACGACGTTTTATCGCGACGGTGAGCACGATTTGTTCGTAAAAGGATGAGCAGGATTACTCACCATGCAATTCAAGGTATACTGTTTTATATATTCATACTGCGTAAGTTGCGGTATCATGAAGGGTTCGTCAGTAAAGAAATACTGAACGGTGACTTGGCAGCAATGACCTTGGGGAACGTTCTAGTATTGTCATTTGCACCTGTAAGTCACACAGTCTTGGAAATAGCCTTCAGTAATTGTAACACCTCCCTCTACCTTAGCCCGAACTTCAAATCCTTGAAACGTACGTGGTTCAAGATCTATGGTTGTCACACATTCCATATTTGACGAGTATCCAGTCCATTGCGTGTCATGCATTCAATACTGTGTTGTAGGCTCGTTGTCCACGTCCGTCAAGTTGCACAGGCTGTACATAAGGTCGAGGATAGTCTTGAGGATATGAGTTTTCGGAGCAATGATAGCGACAATGACACCAGTCGTCGTATTTCGGAGGTATAAGCTTCGATAGCTGGGGCTTCTGCACACAATATACACTTCATAACTGGATAACGTGCTGCGAGTCAGTGTTAATATTAGTCCTGTGGTTATACAATGGCACACGGCGGCCTACACTGCCGCAGCGCGTCGGTCTTTCAAACCGCCGTCTGTTTGACAATTACAGCTTCCAGGGAATGGAAGGAAAAGAACTGGCGCACCCAGAATTTCAAAGCTCTTCGTGTTAATTGTTATGAATCAGTGTGCCAACAGTGTGGTGGCAGTGAGTGCGACACCCTTGTGCGACGGCTTTGTGCGGCTTGTAGTTAGTCGCGGATAAAAAGCCCTCTTGACCTTGTTTATTCATTCTCAGACTCCCTCGGTTTTCCAACGCCCATCCTGTTACAGATCTAATGTCTACATCCACCCTTTCGCAGATTCGTTCTTCAGCTTCATATCATCTTTCTCTTCTTCAAACGCTTGAATCACTACAATACGCACCTTCTGCCCTGAATCAGCAATCGAAATACTTGCGCGATTTGCAGGCCGAGCTGGCTTCTGTGAAGAAAGAAGTGAAGCAACTGGGTGAAAAGACCAAGAAGGAAAGGAAGGAACATGAGGAGCTAAGGGACTCAACTACCCGAAGGCTAGCAGCAAGATTGAAAGGAAAGTCAGGATTGGAGAAATTTGAAGCCAAGAAGGAAAAGGAAGAAAGGTTCAAGGTGTTTTTCTCTCTGGGGGAGGTTATTCTTACGCATACGGTAGGGAATACGTTGTGGCGTTGGAAAACGAAATGCGCGAACGAGGTAAACAGACGATGTTAGAGAATATGATTGAAGAGGCGAGGAAAGTGGTAAAACTATTTCTCAACGTCTTCTATCTCTTCAGATCCCTCACGGACTTGAGTAGAAATCGGATCTCGAAGAAAAATCCAATCGATTAGAGTTAACTAAGAAGGAGTTATCGAATCTCTATCATCAGGTCTTCGATGGTCCAACATTAGAATTCCCCCGTGACGATGTGCTTGAACGAGAATTGGCCTCCGCGCAAGCAACGTATGATCGAGTTCAGGCCGTTCTAAATTCACATTCCCAAGCTGTGAATCTACTTGGACAAGCAGATAAGATGCTGGGGATGTCATTAAAGAAGATGGATGAGGCTTTAGGCTATTCAACCTGGGATATCTACGGTGGCGGCAGGCGAGTCTCTTTGCTTGACATTCGCTCACTCTTTCTAAATCGCCTTCGTTCAGTATTTCCGATATGATGGAGCGCGATGCCCTCGCTAACTCTGCTGTGTACGCGGCCAAGGCAGAAATGCTCCTCAATCAAGCCCGGAGCACATCAGGCGATGTTCAGACCATTGGGCCATTGAGGGTACATGATATGTGAGACTCCTGCTACCCTTCAGTCGAGCTAATCGATAGATCTTTATTAGATCTCTCTTCGGAGATGTCTTTTTCGATAATGTGTTTTCCGATATCAGGGCGCATCGTAAGCTGACTTGGCTCTCTATACCCACTTCAACAGCTAATGCAATTCAGATAAGATACAGAGTAACAGAGATGAGTTAGCGGCTGCACATAAGAGGGTATGCTCTTGTCTTCTTCGTGGGGTCTTTGACTGACTAAACTCCCTTCAGCTGAAAGGACAACTTCGCGCCGCCCGCCAACGCGCTCAGCTTGCAGGTGCTGATGTAGTCGAAGCAAGTGAGGTGTTAACAGAATGTAACAAAGAACTGGAAAGGTATAGGAGAGAGGTGTTTCTCAGGAGTTCGGGAGGTGAAAGTTTCGACCCCGCAATATCTACAGGGCTACAACACGGACAAGGAAGTGGAGATGACGTGGACAGAGACCTACCTGCCCCACCGCCGAGTTATGGCGAGACATCGAATACCACCCACATATCATCCGACACTCTCGTTGCCCGTTCGGACAATCCACAGCTATTCGGTCCCCCGAATGCCTCGTCGAGGAACCCCGTCCTAGCATCCAATGTTGATCTCCTGCCTTCCGACTCACCTCCTGGATTCACGAGATACGCTCCACCACCTGGTCCGCCTCCATCTGGACCTCCTCCACAAAGACCTGGTAGAATGTTATCCTCTCCTTCGGCATCGACGTCGCCGACTGGGAGGACGCAATCCATGAGAATGCCGGAACCATCTTTTTCCTCGATCTCTCCACCAATCTCTTCATCAGTGTCTCTATCGGTAGCGTCACCAAATTCTCCGTACGTGCCTCGTCCCCGGAACGGACCGGTGTCGGTGTTGCCACCTTCTCATAGACGCTCAAGATCGTCTGTGTCTGCTCATTCACCGACATCTGGTCTCAACGCAGGCTCTTCTTCAACGCCTAGTACACCTGGCTTGATTGATGCAAGTGTACACAGGCGATCTAGGTCGTCCGTTTCCACCTCTCGGTCTACTCCAAATCAACACGAAGGGACTTTGTCTTCCCCTAAGCTCGAGTCTGAGTCCAGCCAGGGCTCCCCAATGCTCTCACCTCCTTGTGGTCCGCTTCCACCCTCTTCCGTTTCAATCGACAGTAGTACGTCAGTTGGGCAAGGAATAGCGGGAGGCGGCAATTCTTCTAACCTTCCCAGCCGTTCGGTGTCACCCGATACGTCTATTCCAGCGCATTGGGGAAATAGTGAGTCTTCTTGAATACTGTGATTCTATAGACCTTATTTTTTTGTCACTATTTTAGGAAATCCCTTTGCGGCTATGATGTTGGAATAATTTACCCATGATCTATTTTGTATACTACATACTACTTGTAATTTATCAACCTATACAGTAAGTATAACGACCAGTCTTGTCCTTTTTAACCTACTCTATGTACATATATACTACATATAATGCAGAGCTGATGCAGAGTGAATGAAATATCGAGAACCGAGCGCCAATGTTCCATACAACGATAGCATCTATTTCCGGACCGGGAATCTCTTAAACCACAACCTCGATGACCTTACCAACGCTGCCTTTCGACATTCTTCTCCTTATCCTGGAATACCTTCCTCTCCCTGATACTACGTTGTCCCGCCACATCCGCGACGATACCCCATATAATCATGGACAGGCACAAAACGCGCTATACTGTTGCTCTCTCGCGAATCGGGAGCTAAGCCAGGCAGCTGGGATGGTGCTTTACCGTTGTGTGAGGCTGGACATTCGGAAGAAGTCAAAATCTCAGCAGATAGCCGCAGAGTCTAGCTGGTCAAACCAGAAAGGCACACCTGAATCTCGCAATGAAGAAGCTGATGAACATGATTATGGCCTTCCTGCGGTTCGTCTTTTTAGATACATACAAATGATCTTCTGCTGATGAAATATAGGTACTTCTTTACAGGCACCTCATCCCTTGTTATCTGCTCTCAATTCAACCCTTCCAATCAACTCTTATATGTATGTCCAACACTTGCACATAACAGGATATCTGTCCACTCTTCCCCCTGGATCTTCCAGCAATCGACTTCCAATGCTACTAGCTGATGCAATACATCTCTTCACTTGCGGATCCCATGCCAAACTCCAAAGTCTGCGCTTTACGCCGCAGGATTGTCACCCCCAGACTTTTGTTCAGAGCTTGAAAATCTTGTCGGAATTCCATCGAGAGGTCGGATCGTCTCTGTGCCTCAGCGAACTACATCTGAATCAACACGCGTTTGACGACGAAAACAAGACAAGACTTTTGGCGCAGATTACAGGACTCAAGAAAATTACACTTGAAAATCCTACGCGCGTACTGTTGCAGGCGCTTGTTAGTGACAATAGAGAGAGTAACTCCTCGAATAAAGGCTGGTTGTATCATCTTCAAACGGACCTGGTCGAACTTCATCTTCTGGTATGTGTCTGACTTTGGACACTCACATCCTGATATCGTAATTATTATCCAGAACAATTGTGGCTCAATTACACCAGGAGTATTACACTCTTTTATACCCTATCTATCCAACCTCGAACGTCTTACGCTGGGGATTTCATATTCTCTCGCTGACAAGGATGTTTTCGTCGCACTATCCAAACTGAAAAGACTGAAAAGCATTGGTGTGCGATGGTACCTTCAACTTAACTCTCCTCCGCCCTCGATTTTCATTGAGGAATGGCCGCTTCCTGCACTCGAGATATTCCAGGTGGGGTATTCCTCTCGGTCACTTCGAGCTGCGCTTCCTCGCAGCAACATTTGCAATACTTCTTCAACCCATACACATATGCGTGTCTCTTCTGCGTCTTCTGAACTCGACGAGACGTCGGACGGGTCAGATGTTTCATGTCCTCTGTGCTCCTGGGTCTTGAAAGTTACTGCCGGCTCACCTGCATTGGAAGAGGTCGTATTTGTAGATGAAGATGACGGGGATGGCGAATATGAGACAGACGATGAACAAAGTGACTTTGACAGTGAAGTCGAGGATGGACAGGTTCAAGCCCAGGCAATCAAAAGGAATATGTGGATGATGCTGGGAGGTATAAACTTAGGGGAGAGCATTATCGAAGAAGAGGAAGAAGACCTAGACCACTTCCCCCAGATAGATTCTTAACGAATGTTCGGAATGGAGTGTCAGCTCGATTGGTGTATGCTATAATCGCATATACTTCATTCATTGATGCAGAGATCTAGGTGAGTCTCGCCATCTTCGCACATACAACTTCTAAATACTATCTGTCAGACCTACTTCACTGTTGTACATATATGTACATCTGAAACTGTTACAGACTGAGAGATATCTTTCCCTATGTGCACCAGGAACCCACTAGAAGAGGGATCATAGCAGTGTACGGATAAATTCAGTTATGTTCTACCATTCGACGATCTTCGAAATTTGGACTTCAACCCACACGTTCATACCACTCAGTTCGTGTATACTTACCCCAGTCTATCACTTTACTTCTTGACGCCGACACCGGGGCCAAACTACTGGCAGGCTATACATATTCGATCAAGCGAGAAAGTTTCTCGGTTAGAGTTGACTGATGCATCCTTGATCAATTAGTATTCAACTACAAAGGTGAAGGAGCAGTAAGTACAGTCAGTGACATTATTACAGCTGTGAGCCCCTTTCTCATAGGAATGATCATCACTGCTTTTCTTATAATTAGCAGGTCGTCATTCATGGGACTCCCGTTTAAAATCCATGTTCATCGTTGATTAAGATACGATAGTGGGTTTGATAAGGTTATCTCCTTAGAAGATCGTCTTCAAATACTCTATGCCTGATACTCTATGCCTGATACTTAAGTCAGTATCATAAGGCCTTTTATGTACGTGCATTGCCTATAAAAATGTCACCAGGCCCGAGGATGTGCTGAAATTTCATCGGTATGTTTTCTTGTGACCGAAGTCCAAGCATTCATTTGTCATGCATGTGATCTTCACTGATTGTGGCGTACTAGTAGCGATCCATCCCAGAAATTAAGAAAACCCACAAGACTCGAAGGGCAATCAACTGGCAATCAGCTGCAACTCTTCGAGAATGTCAGTATGTCTCCAGCCGAGGATCGCTATCCGTAGTCGGGAAACAAAACATTTTCCTAAATCTAAACCACTTTGAAATAACTAAGTACGACGAAAGGAAAAATTCCCTACCATAGACGATGATTGCTCCCGAACCCGACGTGTTTCTCACTACCACCGGAACTTAGGAATTACCTTTATGATGCGCGACCAACCTTCCATTTCATCATCCAAAATTTCAAAGTCCGAGTAAGATCTCATAGTAGCGTCGAGCGATGGTATCCAAGGTGTACCTCCTGCTCTCAGTGGCTCTCTTCTGCATTTTTCTTCCCCGGGAAGCGCTCGATTTCCGGCACGTATGTTTACAGCTTCATCATCTACCTTTATCCACCCCGGTCCTGTGAAGGGAAACAAGGTGCAACAACAAGCCGTTCTAACCTGTTCTTATCTTTTTCAGATGAGCATTTTGGTGGCGATGAATATCAAAGCCGCCACTCAGTGTGTCGTATGTACATACTACATAGTATTAGTCGATTTCTGATGATCTCTGTTCACAAGGTCCCACAATTCCGGATTGAGTGCGGACTCTTGCAACATACGATCCCGAATGACAACGAATAAGTAACCCATGGCCAGTCTGTCACTGGCCCATCGACGTCGGTAATAAGCGGGAAGACTAAGCAGTTATCATCCATTTTATGTATATGCGTAGGGCTATCCAGGCATTGATGAATTACAGAGTGTAGGAGGGGCCTTGACTAGTATCGGTAGCTTTCATTGGCTACTGCTTGCTGTGTAATTGATTTTAACGACTCGAATGTCCCGTTCCTACGTCTCTCGCAGCTTTTGAGTAAGTAACATCATAAAATAATATTCCAATGGATCATACGAGCTGTATACTTAACCTGATCCCATCCGTCCAAAACATCTGAATGGCAATATTTCGCTGATATGTAAGATTCCGAACTATTCGATGCGCTTCCTTCTCCCGCTCATTCAACACTTACTCCATTCAGGGCTTTGGGATCCTGGTCTGCTTATACCATATTCAAGGCTGCGGTGATAATTTGCGCCTCTATATTATACCTTTTTGATGCAAATTCAGAATCAGCAACAATTCTGATTGTAGCGGCCATCGATTTAAGCTGCAACAATCCGAGGTTGGAACCAAATATCTTAGGGAATACCGACGAAGATAGTGTTTAAATCGAATTTCTGTAAACTCGAGTTTTCCGTATATGTTGTACAAGCCGGATAAAGGTCCGACAAGGTACTTCCCAGTTGTGAAAATACTCAGAGCGGACTACTTCTGACTATTTTGACTGAGAAAGTGCACTCAGCCCTTAGCCGAGTTTCCAGGTTTGCAGTTTTGAGTTCTTGCCGTTTATTGAGAAATTAAGATACATCGATTCAGCATCGATTCATAGGTAACGATTCGTCGTGGCGCAATATGTAAGGGCCGATATCTTATCAACTGGAATGCCGGAACGGACGGGCAGTGCCTGAAAAAATCAATTAACTTCACTGCTTCTTATAATGAATGGAAACTTTGTGTGGACATCTTTCGACTTTCGTCCCTCCTCCTCTGATGAACGCTGCAGACTTTGACCCGTTAACGTTGGCCATAGCGCCACCGCCAAACGAAACTCCTACAGAGCGTGCAGACAGGGAGCTCGCTGAGGCAGAGGCTTTGAGGATTAGGTGTGTGACCTGTGTCTATCCATCAATCGTTTACTGAGTTCATACTTCAAGCAATGAGATAGACGAGCAGCTCAGAAAAGAAAGAGAGAATGAAAAGAAGAAGAAGCGGCCAGTGAAATTATTGCTATTAGGTGAGCATTGCTCATGGCCAATATGGATGACTCTTATTCAATGATAAATGTGTTTCATCGGTAGGACAAAGTGAAAGTGGAAAAACGGCTACTTTAAAGAAGTGCATCACTTCGTTAACCTTTTGCTGAGGCTCCTGTAATAACCCTTTTTACAGCTTCCAGCTGACTTACGCAAAACGAGAATGGATAGCTGAACGAAACAATTGGCGAGCAGTCATCTTCCTCAACCTCGTCAGAAATGTGAACAATATTCTGGACATTCTCAATCGAGAAATGGCCGCGGCCTCTTTACCTTCCCCTGATTACATCGGAAGCAGTGACGAATCTTCTGAGGACATCAATTCTTCCTCGAGGCCTCGGCTCAAATTTAAAGAGAAACATCGACTACTAAAACTCCGGTTGGGCCCTCTGCGACGGATACAGACTGATCTTGAGCGTCGCTTTGGTGCAACTGCTCTGGAGCCCCAGTCAACTTCAATCACAACTGCCGCACCTTTCGGTAGTGAAGAATCACAGTCAAGTCGCCAGTCATCGAAAGAGTTCTCTATCAACTCCAGTAACGGATGGAAATCAGCTTTTGAGAAGATCCGAGCAATGAGGGCGGCCGCACGCGCTGATGGAGATGCTCATGCTCTGCGACGACTGCAAGAAACAGACGATGAAATTGCCGAAGTTATTGCGGGCTGCCGTGATGATGTGAAGGCCATCTGGGAAGATCCAACCGTGCGAGAAATGCTGAGTCGAGGCAAGACACGCGTGGAGGACTCCGCTGGATTGTAAGCCGCGCGATGATTATGTTGTATAACTGACACGACAAATCACATCTCAGTTTCCTCAACGACGTGGACCGTATAGCTGTTAGCAATTACGAGCCAACAGATGATGATGTTATTCGAGCCCGGCTACGAACTTTGGGAGTTCAAGAATACAGGTTCATTTTCGAACATGGTAAGTTCCACACTAAACTCCCTTCTACTGTTTCAATATTGAATTAAATGTACTATTAGGTCGCACTGCTGGACAGGAGTGGAGATTGTATGATGTTGGTGGCACTCGTAGCAGCGTAGGATCACTTCTATCGCCCGTGATGACTCTTATATTGACCCTTTTCTGGTATCAGCGCGCCGCATGGTGGCCTTATTTCGACGATGGTACATCACCTTTGTTCCATTCCGCATATATGTACACTCACGCCCTCTTGCAGTAAACGCCATCATCTTTCTTGCGTGAGTGCACCTTCTTCAACACGACCACGTCTGATCCATCTTGTCATACATTGCCGTTGCCACAGTCCCAGTAAGTTATATTTATTTACGCCACAATACTCCACACTCATTTTACACCAGTATCTTGTTTCGATGAAAAGCTCGCAGAAGGTATGTATTTTTTCACAGTTGTTGTGTTGTCTATTGGAAACTAATTCGGCCGTGTATCAGATCGCCGGGTGAACCGTCTTGAAGATAGCTTCTTGTTATGGCGATCAGTCTGCGATTGTAAATTGCTCTCAAGGACGCAGGTATGTTCAAACTGGTCGCATCATCACGCAAACTAACCGCTTTTTTTTGGAACTAGCTAATATTATTCCTCAACAAATGTGATCTCCTGCAGGCAAAATTACAGCGTGGAGTAAGGATACGAGACTCTGTACCTAGTTTCGGGGATCGACGGAACGATATCTCAACTGCTACCAGATGTAGGCGTATTCGCTTGATCTAGTCCTGTCACAACTGAGCCGACTTTGTATATTTGCCTGTGTACAGACTTTCAGCAGCATTTCAAGGAGATACTGAAGCAATATTCACCTGTACAGCGCTCCTTTTTCGTTCATTTGACATCGGTCATTGTGAGTATCTTAACGAGGTCGGATCTTTGTCTTTCGTTCACCTCTTGCCTTTTCACAGGACACCCGTTCCACTGCTGTTACCTTAGGAGCAGGCAGGTTCTACCTTTGTCTTTTGATGTTGTCGTTCTTACTATGTTCCCTGCTCAGTTGAAGAATCTATTCTCAGAGATCATCTGCGTCGCGCGGATTTAATGTAGGATTGTATTTTGAATTTTGAGTGAATTCTTGTTGATTTATCGTAGGCCCTAGGCCGTCATATCTATACATCCATAGTGTATCTAATTGTTCATATATCGTTGTATTGTTATTCTTCAATAATTTATACCAGCTTCACTTCTTTGATATTTTAGTTATTCCTTGCTGGCTTTGTACCGTATTGCACTTGTCATATGGAATAATCCCAATGTATATGATGTTGATAGAAATTCGACTCGGTCATACCACTGTAACCTCACTGGCTCTCACTGGCACCAAAAGAAAAGGATATGGATGGAAAATGCATGAGGTGATTTTGAGACTGTACTTGGTATGCGAGTTGTGCGTCTGGCTCCTTAAAATGGTGCCTTCGTCAACAAGACTCCGGAGTCAACAGTCTGAACTTCTGAATCTCCCTCCTGGTACCTGGATCCTGTTCCAGGATGTTGCTGACGTAATATTATTATCGGGCGCTCTTCCGACCAGACCAATATTCTCAGTCTGAAACTCAACAACCACCTCACGTCCCCACCTGGTTTTTGTGTACTCGAGATTCTCGTTCTGGCTCAACGGCTGGCCGCCGTCTGCATCTCTCATTATGTTCTCACCTACTGCTGCTGCTGCCACGCCGTCACCATCACAAATAATACCTGAAGATGAAGAGTATTACTCTTCTTGGTCATTATTTCTGGTCTGTATGCTTCTAATTCTCTCTCTCTGGACCTCCTACTATCTACAAATCAAACGTATACGTGCTGTACACGAAACTTTGGTGTCAATATTTGCTGGAATGGCAGTAGGACTTATAGTTAGACTGGCACCGGGAACCGTAATCAGGGAAATGCTGGTAAGTTCTCATAATATCTCTAAACTGGAGATTTGGTATCATGATGGACCCTTACTCCTCTTACCATGCAGACATTCAAGCATACGCTGTTTTTCAACCTTCTCCTTCCACCGATTATCTTGAACTCGGGATATGAGCTCAAGCAGGCAAGCAGATTTGAAACATTCTCTCCCCATCGCTTCTCAACGATCTAACAGGAAAACTTCTTCCGTAATTTCGGATCCATCCTCACATTTGCATTTCTGGGGACTTTCATTTCCGCAGTTGGTGTAGGGTAAGTCTCTGTACACATTCTTCGGTCCCAGCACTCAAATGTTACAGGACAGTGTTCTCGTTTACATTTACTCTTTCCTCGGGCTTGAGTCTCTGGATATAACCCTACTCGAATGTCTAACGTTTGGCTCAACCCTCTCTGCCACCGATCCCGTCACTATTTTGGCTATTTTCAACCAGTATAAGGTCGATCCTAAGTTGTATACCGTTATATTTGGGGAAAGCTTGCTGAATGATGCTGTCAGTATCGTCATGTACGAGTGAGTATACCTTGGCAACTCCCACATGAATCAAGTTACATCTTATCTCATTGACAGAACACTTACGCGCTTTCACGGCACGGAGATATACCTGTCGTCAATCTTCCATGGTGTCGGCATCTTTTTACTTTCATTCAGCGTGTCCATGGCCTTGGGAGTAGCATTCGGTCTTGCTACGTCGCTTTTGCTCAAGCATTCGTCACTCAACCTCTTTCCACGTATCGAGTCGTGCCTAGTGGCCTTAACGGCTTACACTTGTTACTTTTTCTCCAATGGTTTGTCTATGTCAGGCATAGTATCTCTCCTATTCTGTGGCATCACACTCAAGCATTATGCCTATCATACGATGTCCCGCCGCACACAGCGTACCACGAAGTACATATTCGCCACTCTAGCCCAGTTATCGGAAAACTTTATCTTCATATATCTTGGTCTGGCACTCTTCACTAGCGCTCCGACCTCGGAGAACGTTACTAGCTATGTGAAACCCCTCTTTATCACCATCACAACCATCGCTGTTGTATTTACACGATATGCTGCCGTTTTTCCTCTGTCGGAGGCCATCAATTTCTTCCAGAAACATGCTCGAGGCCAACGAGTAGAAGAGCTGCCTCATTCTTACCAGATGATGTTGTTTTGGGCTGGATTGAGGGGCGCGGTTGGGGTTGCGTTGGCAGCTGGATTTCAAGGCAATAACGCCAACATTTTGCGCACAACGGTTCTCGCTGTCGTCGTGCTGACTGTCCTCATATTCGGTGGGACCACGGCAAGAATGTTGGAAATTCTGGGCATACGTACTGGAGTGGAAGATGAAGCTGCTAGTGATAGTGACGATGAGGATGGTGTGATGCTTGGAGGCGGTAGTAGATGGCCGAGGCGGAGTACATCCTTGAACGGTGGCCGATGGGGCGGATATTCTGATGAAGAGCCAAGTTACTTAGCCAACGCTCAAACTTTCGCGGGAAGGATAGGATCGCATTATACATCAAACTACAATCACCACACCTCCAATCCTATTCCGCCTATGTCTCCTCAACATGGCGTATTTTCCGCCGCCTCTTCAGAGTCAGACTCTGACGCTGAAGTGCTTCCCCTTGCTTCAGCATCACGGGATCCGTCTTCTTTGGGAAACCCGCCACACAGTGCTCCTCCCCATCAAACTACATTTGGCGAAGACGGGAAATGGTTCCAAGCATTAGATGAGAGATATCTTTTACCCTTGTTTTCGAACGCCACCGCTAGCCGAACATTCCACGCTCGGCGAGCTAGACGGAGTCTCGGGCCATCTGGATCCAACGGATTATTGGGTGGGAGTGCGATTGGTACTCCGGCAGATAGCGAGGATGAAGGAGAAGGAGGTCATGAGATGGATTTAGGTCATTCTGCGACGGTTGCTGGAGTGGGAGTAGGTGCGAATAGTGATAGCAGGATAGAGAGGGGCCTTGCGAGTCCGATGTTGAGAAGTTCGACATCTTCTGAAAGTCGATCGCCGTAAAGAAGTAACTTATGTATTCAAAATTAAACCCATGTAATGGTTTTTATGATTTGGTTATCTCTGCGTATTTCTTTTGTCGTGTATTCGTTGGGATTGACTGATACTGTAACTATCATTTTCTGTGACTTACAGTATACATAGAACGTGCAATAGCTTGCAATAGATTTCAACTCTCTCTATGTCAGTAACCACAGCGGGAAGACCGATGCCGGCGAACCGTGAACGTCATCGATAGATAAAATGAGTACACGTGTAAGCCTCAAGTCAGGACCCCAGATTGTCCCAGAATACTACGCTGTATGGAAGCCAGTTTTAATTGGATTGGGTTCATTGATACAGCTACATGAGCAGATAAGCAGTGAGAGCTGCTTCTACACCTACCGAGAAAGAAAGCCAAAGAACATAGAATAACTGGACTGCAGAGTGTTACCAATTTTGGGAAAATTTGAGTTTGTGGCGGTGCCAGAGGAGTCAGAGGTCCTGAATGAATCAGGTAAAAAAGGCGTGATGCGCCTGAAATTCATGTGACGGACCCCCCCAAAGTCACTGGATCCCCCATACCTCAAGTTGTGCAACGCGCCGGAAATACATCTGCTCCTCCTCGTACTTTCGCCATTTAGTCATCTATCCCCGCTCTATTACTGCTCGGTCTTTTTAAGTACCTCACAGGGCTACTAGACTTCGAATCTAGCCTTGCGAAATAATCGTCTACTTTCTCTCAACGATAGGTGAGTGCTCTGTTCTTCCAAATCACTAGCAGTGAGGACACTGTACAGAAATCTATACTGATATAATCATCATCTATTAACAGACGGAGACTTTAGTGACTGCTGGACCAGACAGCGGGCTCACTCGTTACTAGGATCTTCGAGGTGAGCGTTGATTTACTGGTCTATCATCTCGACTAACCTTTTTACTTCTTTCAGAGTCGATTCTCCATACTTTTCCGACAATGGCTCCAACCACAACAGAATCCCCCATGTCCCATCAACAACCCGCTGGCTCACCTGCTCAGGCTCCCTCGAGCTCACCTGCCAGTCTTCCTCTCGACCTTTCGACTGTTCAATTCCCTCAACTAGACAGAAACCAAATCATGCAACTTCTGACCCAGATACCTGGAGTCTTCAGTAAGGTAACAAAGATTAATTTGATCCTCCGATACTTCATCCCAGACGTCTTCCATTGAGGATCTTCTCTACTCCGTTTATCTCTTTTTCCGCCTCCCGACCATCTACTCCACACGTGATCGCGATATCGATATCACGCTCTCCCTCGCATCGTTTTCCATGTGACGTCCCCAAAGAACGTAGAACTGACCTCCCGCTTAGCCTACAGGAGAAGGCACTGAAGACGCCGCCAAGACACTTTCCAATCTATCTCAACAAGTTGCTTTCGTTAACGCAAGTAACGCCGCCGCTCAGCATGCTGCAGTTGCTGCTGCTGGTGCCCTTCCGCATGGTATTCCCCAGTCAACACCGTTTCCTGGAATGCCAGAACCGGGACCCTCTTCACATCCCCGGGGACCTCCGAATCTTGGTCAGATCAGCGGAATGTCGGGCGCTCCTGAACAATCTCAGGACGAAGAAGACGGTGACGGTGGTGATCAATCCCCTGAACCACCCAATGTTAATGCACCGTCAGGAGGTAGACGAGGTACAAGGGGTGGTGCAGCTATGGGTAGTGAGGAATGGAGCAGACAACGGAAAGATAATCATGTAACGTGTTGCTCTCTCAAAATACGTTCTCAGAATGCTCAAATATTCGTACAGAAAGAAGTCGAACGCCGTCGTCGAGGGAATATCAACGAAGGAATCAACGAGCTAGGTCGTATCGTCCCCAACGGCTCTGGTGAAAAATCTAAAGGGGCTATCCTGTCTCGCGCTGTGCAATACATACATCATCTGAAAGAGAACGAGGCCCGGAATATCGAAAAGTGGACACTGGAGAAGCTGCTTATGGATCAAGCAATGGGTGATCTTCAGGCTCAGCTTGAGGAGATGAGAAGATTATGGGAGGAAGAACGTGGTCTTCGGCAGCGGGCCGAGTCGGAGTTGGATGTCCTACGAGGTGCGAAGACGGGCACGAAGAGAGCGAATGAGGATGACAATGAGGACGAGGCAAAGAGGCAGAGGACGGAGTAGGATTAAACTGATTTCGTCTCGCTCTCACTATCCCTTTCTACATGCATGTTATTCTCTCTGAATTCCTTTTGAAGTTCTTGCTGTCTTTTTAAATTTTGTGCTTCTGTTTAAATACCATGATCAGTATCGTTGTATTATATAGTTGTCGATGTTGAATTTTCCATTTTCTCCTTGTGCCTTGCTCTAATTCTACCTCTTCCGCCACTGTTTCCCTATATATATGGTTGGCAATCTCTAAGTTCAGTGTCGATGGAATACTAATTTGAATAAGCAGTGACTCAGCCTTAAAGCAGAGAATGTAATTTAGACGCCGAAGCCATTTCCACTTCCACTAGCTAAGGCTTCCGCTCAGCTTTCACTCACATCATTTTTATTCGTAGGCAGCATTTTATATTGGCCTTAGTACTGTTGGAGAATCGTGGACTATGCACGGCTTTTCTGAATTCCTGCTCTGTGTGTTCACTATATCTGGTCTGTCATCGTACATGCCTCATCCACGATTTCCTCACAGCCTCACACCTATGATTGACTGGCAGCTGTCAGATATCGGTACATAGTGGCACACCGACCAGGGATCTATGATACTCTTAGAGTCTTACCATAAGAACAAAGTTGTGTCTTGATACCGAGGCCAATGTCAACATCAACACCCTGGTTATCGAATTCTTTCACGACCTCCAGTCAACTAGATGTTGATTCGGCAGCTCTGTCTTCACTTCTCCAAAACACTTCTTTGAGCTCGACGTCGAGCGAACTAGGTTCCTCTGGTCACTTTGCGAGCTTTGTCACCCTCGTTTCAGGTCTTGAGCAAAGCTTGCACAACGAAGATCCGCTTTTTCTAGACCTTGACGTTTCATTCAACCCGAATCGCACCCTCATCGCTTCTGGCGCGTCTTCTCGCGTGGAAAAAGCAACCTGGAATAGCAGTAACTTCAAGGGTAAATTCAACAAACGATGGGGAAACTCGGTTGCACTCAAATTTACACGATATCATACCGACACTCATCGGACCGCCACCAATTGGAAACACCTTTTATCTGAGGTTCGGGCTCTACTCCATGAGCCCATCCGATATCATCCGAACATCGTTCGACTATTAGGAATCAGTTGGGGTGCAACGGACGGAATGCGGTCCAACTTCCCAGCATTGGTTTTGGAGTTGTCGGAACTCGGGACGCTCGCACACCTTCAAATGAACGAGAGCGAGAGCCTCTCTTTCAACATCAAGAAAAAACTGTGTTGGGATGTCGCGAAGGGTATATCCATCCTCCACGCTTGTGGCGTCGTTCATGGCGATCTGAAACACGAAAACGTCCTCGTATACCCTAATCGTGATTCTGACGCTACGGTCAAGTACGTCGCCAAGATTTCCGACTTTGGCGGGTCTGTAATGGACCTGGGGGTTGATCAGTTTCGGACACTATATACTCCCACCCAGCTATGGTTAGCTCCCGAATTCTTCGTCAAAAGCCATATGTCGGAGGGTGAATTGAAACTTACCGATGTGTATGCGTTAGGTCTTCTAGTGTGGAGGACCATTATAGATGGTAAAAACCCATACCAGCAACTTGTTTCGAATGCAGAGCCTATGCTCGAATCACAGATTTATGAGCTCAAATCCTCGAACGAGCTGATAAGCATGGCAAAGGAAAGCGTACTGCATCACGAGCCTAGCATTGCTCCTGATGGCATTCAGATCCTGCACTATATATTCGACAATACTATTCAATGCGCACCGTCCTCAAGGAATCTTGTTCGTACAATTGCTGCTTTACAAGTAAACAAGTGTGTTAATCATTCATTTACACTGTTCGAACTAGTCACTGATTGAATGTGAGTAGAATTTCAGAAACGGAGGAATTATTAGAAAATGCGCGCAAGAAGAACGATGAACACAATGAGCTTCTTAAAAATAGGGTACTAGTTCCCGTAAGCTTCCCTCTGTTATCCCCAGCACTATTTTACTATATACTTATGCATGTTTCCAGGGTCAACATGGGCTGACACAGGATGGCCTAGGTGTTTACCTAGCCCAAACGAATGCGACCACTGGAGATTATGATTATCAACACGCAGGGTAACTTCCCGTTCATCATGCGCTCTATAATCACCTATCCTCATTATTGATATCTGTCATTCAGGCCAGGCTTTCGCCCCACTATCCGTCCTCCACCCCAGGGAGAGGTAACACTTTTTTTAATGCATCTTTTTGCTGTTGAAAATTCTGTAGTTTCGTTTCGAGCCCCTTCGCCTCAAAGCAGTCCTCAACTGGAAATGTCAAACCATGCTCATACATGATCTCGAAGCGGCCGCTCTCGTCGATCTGAAAGGTACGGACAAACCCTCCGCACCAACTCAAATGATTCCTGCCATCGCAGGCTTTCATACCTTCAAATGTTATTGCTACGAATTTGGAACCAAGTTCGATAGCGTGAAAGCTTGCCACTGGCTGAAATTTACTGCTTCTTGTGACGTGGAGTGTCTAGAAACCAACCTCGCCCGCGCCTGGTGTTGGAGATTTCACAAAACTTTCAACGTTGACTTGGATATGGATTCTTCCAAAACCCTTAGTTGGCTACGCTGGGCTATCGACAAGGGACATCGGAAATGCATCTTGGAAGGAAATTCGATCCTTCAAGATTTGATGCCAGGCCCCGAAGTGCGTGCTTTCCATGGAAAAGAACTCCTTGACTCGTATCGTTTGTTATCCACGTGTGGCGGTGGTGTCGGGATGCCATTCTTTGTTCCCGGAAAGCTGCGGAGGTTGTATCACATGGACGATTTTGCTGCACTAGAACAAGATATTCAAGCTGAATTGACTTTTCGTGGAGTTCAGTCCGTCGATGAGATTTACGTCAACAGTCGAGGAGATGGCTTACTTCATATGGCTGCAGCTCTTGGTCAACTAGGTACCTTGAAGTACCTTGTTGAAACCCACCACCCGAATATCAATAAGGCAAATTCGTCTCGTGAGGAAACGCCGTTAGTTTCCGCCTGCCGAGGTGGACATCTAGCCTGTGCATTATATCTCCTCGATCTCGGGGCAACACCTGAAGGAGATCGATTCAGTTTAGAAAGACCATTATGGTGGCTATCCTCATTCAAAGAAGACGAAATTCCAAGAATCGCTGCTCGGCTTGTCATGGCTGGTGCAAGTCTGACATTCCCCCAGTCGCCCTCGGAATTCTCGACTCTTGCATTAAGCAGAGGACAATTACGGTCGAAGTATGTTTGGGCCGATTATGACAACTTTTTACTTCTCCCTGCTTCCCCTTTGTCGAGAGCTGTCATGATGGAGAGCTTGCCCGCTGTTAGAGCTTTATTGACTCTCGGGGCACATCCCTTGGAAGGATATCGCGACCCGAAGCTGAAGCCTAACACTGGCCTCTCAGTGTGTCCGATGGTCGTTGCAGCAGCTTTGACGCATTCGGATATACTCCAAGTATTGCTTGATCATATTGACTCAAGGACCGCGAGACCAATTCGCCTCTTCTCTGAAATAAAGATGTTAGAAATGGCTTTGGATAGCAAAGTCACCATAGGAGATCCTATGTCCGTGGATCGTCGAGTCGCGAGGCTCGGACCAGCATATCAAGAGTCATTGACTTCTACTTTGCGGATCCTTCATGACAGGGAAATTTGTTTCCAGCAAGAGGACGATGAAGCGACAAAACAACTTGTGGCAAAAGGTTCCGCTGACATGCTATACCGTCTTGCTTCTGTCGGACAGATCGATATTCTCAGAATCTTGCTCCAGTTGGGGCATCCTGCAAGGGGATACGCAGAGGTTTTCCCTATCGTTGCCGCTGTCCAGTCGAATAATGAACCCATCTTTCAACTTTTGGTTGACTACGGAGCCGATCCTACCGTGCTCTATGATTTTCCAGCCCTCAGGAGAAAACGAACTCTTCTTCAAGTTCTCGCTGAACGGCCTCATAACACTATAACAGGCATCGGTATTGCTCAGGCTCTCCTTGAGAAAGGTGTTCCGGTCGATTTTGTCAATCCGGGTGGTCTCGACCAACAAGAATCGGATTTGATTGTGTCTCGGCCCGCTTTCAGCTCTGCAGTTCTAAGACAAGATTTCGAGCTGGCAGATCTATGTCTCAAGCATGGTGCGAATGTGGACCTGACTTATGTTCACAAGGCCAATGTTGCAAAAATCACCGTCCTCGGTGAGTTGGTTTGCAACCCTACAGAGAAAAACCAGGATTCGCTGCAATATTTGCTTGGATTGGAGGTATTTCCATCATACATCGTCAGTCCAACGGTTGGTTGGAGTGTGCTCTTCCACGCTTCGTTTTTCTGGGCAACCACAGATATGCAAAGACGAATTCTTGGACAAATGGTCCGGATGATTGTTGCTAAGGATATCTATTCGTCTGAAGAAGTCATGCGCTATGCACCACACGCACAAGTCCAGGCTATCGGGTTCCCATTTGTGTTAGCATTAATGGGAAATCTTGAAGTCTTCACAGCGTTGTTGGATTGTATCCCCCGAATATCACAGAATCCTCATTTGTATTTTGAATACGAAGGAGTGAAGCTTTCGTTGCTATTAAGGGCTATTATAGCGAAGTTTCCTCAGCTTCCAGAGCATATTTTGGCAGCCAACAGTAATTTGGGTATCGCCAATGACAAAACCATGGATAATGAGTGGATGGAGAGATATAAATTGATTTTGTATCGACTGGAAGAGCAGCAGTAGAATTTCTATGTATTTGGCCCACTTAAATGTGTTGCAGCACACAGCGCTGGAATACGAAGGTCAATGCTGAAGAGCGGTGACCTTCGAATTCCGGGAGGATAAACTACGTTTATCTATTATGTCCATATAGTAACGTTCGCTTGTGAGTCGTACGTTCGCACTCTAACAAAATGTGAGTGTTGCTGCAAAAAAAAAGTTGTATATTCACGACTCGATTTTCAAGCTGACAGTACATTATGATGTTATTCTTTCATTGGCCCAGCCGGAAAAGACAACTAGCCAATTCTGTGGAAACTTTCTCAATCATTCAGCCCAACGATGTCAGGGCTGTGTCTTACTTGCCTTCGTAGTGCAATCTCTGTTATTTTATGCCGTATTTGACACAGGGGTCAGTATATGGTGGTCTTCGCATTGAATCCTGAAGGTATAAATACAAGGGAATCATGGTACATATAAGCAGACTGTCGACAGCGTGAATTGACTGGGCATTATGGCCTCGAATGGCGTCTCCACTGATTTTGAGCTCTTCCCCGAGCCTCCGTTGCTTGCGCCACCAAAAGCGCCACCTCGAATGCCAGGTGCCAATTCGAAAACAACTGCGGTTCTTTTAGATATCCTGAAAGAAAACCATGCGAAATGGCATATTTTCTTCGACGACGATGGACGGCACAAGTAGGTTCTACCTATTGCTTAACTTCTATAACTTTTTATGTGTTTTAATTGATGGTTTCTGTTTCACCTTGAAGCCACATCACCCACCAACTATTGGCAATTTGGGCTTTTGGAGCTCACCAGGATCTACTCCGAGGAAGCTACAATAAAAACATACCTCTCCAACGCCCGAAGCCAGAAAACACACACCTAATTACATCTTCCAATTTCAATGATCATCTTGGAGACAAGACGTATGCAAAATCTATGATTTTTGTCCCGGACTGATCAGCCTGAAAATTCATTATAGATATTATTCCGCTTATCTCGCATACTTCGACAACGTCGTTCGAGAGTACAAAGGGGATGCAGCATTGTTGATGGAAAAGTACATATTTTCCCCCGAGGTCAATTTTGCGAGTACTACAGAAAGCGGGCGATCTCCCCAGATGCTTTGTCGCTTTCTTGCCTCCATTCTGCATCCCCTCATCCATTTTGGCTATGGCGTCGAATTCGGTCTACCTGGAATGATGAGTGAAGGTAGGGCAGTGGTTTAACATCACAGGAATCACTAACTCATCTGCTGTGTGTATGCAGGTTTAGCCCAGACCGCTATTCACGATGTGTATATGGCACCTCTGATCCCAGAGTCGCTGTTCAACTTCGTTTCAAATGTACCGAACAACCCAACTACTGACAGTCCACCTGTGCATGCATTTACCGTGGTAGCCCGCATTCTGAACGATCCTCAGTTCAAGATTCCCGGGACCCAGTTTTTTGAGACTTATTACCAGCTGTTGGATAAACATGCTATGGCGTTAGTCGAGTACGCGAATGAATGGACTGTGGACGCCCAGAAACTTGCTTCCGATTCAAAGGAAATCGATAGGAAAATCGAAGAACTCCAATGGACAAACACAATTTTATATGCTGTGTCAGGCTATCGAAAGGACAAGGAATTCAATGCTGATTTCATCTAGTACGTCCTGTGACGCAGATTCATTTCATTGAAGTCTTTGAACATACTTTGGCATAGCATGCACCTAGTAACCTCCGCTCTCTTCCTGCCTATCCTTGCTGCCGGTCTAAGTCCTACCTCTCAAGTCCTACTCCTTCGGACATACTTTACCATCTCTCTTGCGTGGTGGATCATTAATGGACGTTCGCATCCTGACATTGTGTCGTTTATGAGCGCGGAAGATTCTGTCAATAACAACCAATCTCATCCTATAGCCCCAGGGCCTCAACCTCCAACACACCCCCATGCTCTCTCGTTCTCCTCTCCATCTTCATCATCTGCTCATACCACCACAGCGATTGCTTCAACACCAAATCCATGGCTATACCTCATCCAACAAGCTTCGGTCCACCCAGATGATCATTTTCCAAAATTGATCCGTGCTCTGATGCATTTCGCTGTTATGTATGGCGGGAGGGAGGCTAGCAGTGACTCGCAGGTAGATTTCGCACAAACAGAGCTCCCAGGAGCGCAGATGCTTGATGGAACGTTGTTTGTCAGGGCAGCGGCGTTGACTGCGAAAAGGTTGGAAAATATTGTCCCGGACGAGTACATCGCGTACTGGGATCGGAAGGGGTATTTTTAGGTAGAATTGTCATTCAGTACCGCTTTGAACCGTGAGAACCATAATCGTCATGCCCGTGAAGTTCCTACTCGGATTCCTTTCATCATTTTCAGTCAAGCTGGCTTTACACTGTTGTTCGAAATGTCATTTATAACGCGTTTATTCTTCAAAGTGAGCCTCAATTCGACATTACAAACTTCATCTGAACTCGTGTGTAGCAAAAAGAAGAAGATTATGATACTATTCTATCCACCTTGGCGAATAATATCAGAAAACGTCAACAGCAACTGTCCGCAATTCGACTTCGTGAACGCCGAGCAACTTTGCTAGTAACGCTGTATACGCTGGCAGTGTGGGTGGCCTATGTCAGCCTGTGGTATACCGATTTTCTGCCAAACATACCTGGTAGAGGCACGCGGCAGCCTTCCAAGAAATTCGTTGGCGCTCTACCTGTCGTTTTGGGACCTATAGTGTGCGTATTGGCTTGCCGACTCTATTTCAAAAGATAATCATCGGTTTATCTAGGATTCTATTCACAAGGAGGATCGTGCAGATATGGTACAGTAGAAAGGGAGACGCTGAAGGTGCGCTATTGTTTCATTTCATATTCGTTGTATCATTATAGTTAATCCAAGTCCGAAATTTGCTCAGAACGTACTCTCCAACAACTGCTCAAGCAGCAGCGAGAAAAGGTTGAAGAAATTAAAAAGAAGACCAATTACTATTCGACTCGAGAGCTCTTACAGCGTTACGATGAATCCTCTCCTGCCGCAACTCCGCTTCAACAAAGGTCTGCTCTACCTTCGCAGCCTCCGCAACCTTCTCAGCCGCCAGTTACTCCGCAACGCAAAGTCTTTCCACCCAATAACGGCTCTGTGACCCGCTCAACAGTGAGCCCAGCTTTAATGCAGCAGCTCAACAGTCGTTAGTCATTCTGCTCTCTCTCTGCGTTGACTATCTGTTTGACTTAAAAATTTTGATGTGTAGCCATACAATCGACACCACCTGAACCCCCACGAAAACAATGGCTAGACAAAATCGTAGATGTCGTGCTCGGGGATGATGACTCCGCTCGTTTTGCACTCATATGCGAAAAGTGCTTCTCGCATAACGGCTTAGTGAAGGAAAGCGTGTGGGAGGATACTCGTCAGTCAAAAACTCCTTGCTGTTAGATTTCGACCCATCCTCACTTCATTCTATCTGCACAGAATACGTCTGCCCCAAATGCAAACATTTCAATCCGTCCAAACGTTCAAAGAAGCTCTCTGCGAGCCCCAACTCCCCGAGTTCCGTTTCCACACAATCTTCAAGGATGGGTGATTCACCGTCTTCTGCTACGTCGCGCTCACCTGTTTCGCAGCCTCTCAGGCAGCGCACCCAACCAAAATCCCCTCTCAGACAAAATCCGACTGGGGAAGAGGACGAGAGCATGATGGATGTCGAGGATTGATATCGACTGATGTATGTACTGAGTGATGGTTTTGTTGTACATAAGTATTGGTTGGTAAATGGTCGTGAAGTCAAGCTCTCTTGTAGGTTTTGTGACCTCCCGCCGTAGTTGATACGTGAGGAATTATATACATAATGTTCAACATCATGGTAAGATCGTGAAGAGGCAAGCTGGGTCCTTCGTCGAAACTCGCATGGAAAGAAAAGTATCTGGAGAGGAAAGGAATAGGGGTAACATAACGATGTAAAGAGAGCAACAACAGACAGAACTCGTAATTATTGGTAAGTACCACAAACAAAACAGATAACACGATACCACAATACCAATAACTATAGATAAAAATTATGTAGCACAGAACGAAGGAGAGAAACGAGGTTTTAGTACAGTTCGATAGATGATGCATAAATAATTGCCAACTCCGGAGTGCGGAATTAGGGAGAACCGACTACTCATTGGCAACCTGAAAGTGGGCAGATGTTAGGAGGAGCTTTGTGGGACATATAAAAAAAGTAGTTTTAACTAACCTTAAGAACCTTCCTTGGTTGTTCCTCTTCCTCCTCGCTGCCATACCCACCATACGGATCTTCCGCCCCTCCATCTGCATTCTCATCGCTTTCCAAGCGCGCTGTAAAGGGATTCGGCAGTGCAGTTTGCTGATTTTGTTGCCCAAACGCAGCGTCGTGAACCGCGGAACTAAAGTTTGCACCTGCAGCAATGAAACCAGGTTCACTTGCTTCTGGTATCGGACCCGAACCAGCGCTAGTACTTCGGTTCATCGAATCTTGTTGAGAGGGCCCTGCATACCCCGGAGTGAAATGTGATGCATAACTTTCGGGTTGGGCTGGATGAGATGAACCAGAGCTTGGAGCCGACAGAGCACCAGTGGAGTTTTGGCTTTTCATTCTGTTCAATGCTGTGGCGTTCATACTGGACCTTCTACCAATTCCGGCCATGCCTGCTGCTCCACCCGCAATCACATCATTATTGAAACCGCCGCTACGTCCCACTGTAGGGTAGCCACCTGGACCGACACCTCCGCCGGAATTCTCGTATGCATCATGTTGCAAAAACGCAGGATACGGAGAGTCGCCTATTGCCGTGGAAGACCCATTGGAACGACTATTGTCGCTCATGGCATGCTGGACCCCTGCGGCGGCAGCACCGCCAACGAAAGCACCAGTGGGATCATAAACTCCACCGACGCCAACGCCCGGGTTGTGAGACGGCCCAAAGTCGTGCATGGGGTAGCTCTCGTGTGACATTGGAGGCTGAGCATAGGTTCCGTGTGATGCAGTGTCTGAGTATCCTCCCCCTCCAGCACCCGATGAACTCCAATCCCCTTGGGCACCGTACCCACCACTAGGTCCATACCCACCTCCATACGCCGAAGCTCCGTAAGGTTTTGGCTCGTCATCATCGTCCAAGAAAGGGGGTACTTCTGTGCCTGCAGCTTCCATTGCTGCCTCGTCCATCTCGCGGTCGAACCGCTTTTGACGTCGGCGTCGGATAGTACTGGTTATGAAGATAATGGCGATGATAACAACGACGACACCGACGGCTGCGAAGGTACCAGCTACCGCGCCTGTATTGGAAAAGAATCTGTGCGTTCATCAGCCAAAGTGTAAGTCATCGCCACAAACACAACGATCATGATCATGACGGATGCAATCTCGCAAGCCGCTGCGGACCTGGTTGAAACAAACCCCGAAACTCGCCGAAAACACGGACGTTCCTTGGGAAAATCCATGACGGCAACAAAAATAGACCAAGACACGTTTTGGGCGAAAACGGACAGAGAAATATGGTACTCACGACTTGCTGCCAGTAGTAGAGGCATCCGCTGAAGAACTGGAACTAGGAGCTGTTGACGATCCCACACTTGTGACCACAATGACAGTCGAAGTTTGACCATCAGCACCAGTTGTCAAAGATGTGATAGAGGTTGGTGTAGGAGTTGCCGAAGTGGAGGGGGTTCCAACTGTAGAACCAGTCAAGCTGTTTGAAGTTTGGCTGCTGGTGCTGCTAGTTGTGGGAGGTGTTGAAGTCGATGTCGAAGTGGCACTAGTAGTGCTCGAGGTCGTAGAACTCGAAGTGCTAGTGGATGTAGTCGAAGTGCTGGTGGTGCTGGTGGAACTGGTAGTAGATGTAGTAGAGGTTGAAGTGGTTGAGGTGGACGTAGAAGTAGCCGACGTAAGACTAGTACTAGTGGTCGTGTCGGTGGTGGTTCCGGTATTTCTAAAAATGTGCCTCAGTTAAAGCAGAGTCTCTTCACACAACTAGTGAGCATACGTCGATGTAGTACCTGTTGTGATACTTGTTAATCAATTATCCATGGTATAAACGAGAGTACACACTCATTTTGACAGCACTAGCCGAGATGAAGAAACTAAATTCCTCAAGTTGTTTGTAGTCAAAGATTGAAAGAGTGTGTATATCGCAGCTGTAAACGGCTGGTAGTTGGTATCACTAATCGTCGTTGAGAAGAAAGCAGCACTGCTGAGAAATTCTTTTGAAAATCATCTTCGCGCGATTTCAGACTCGGAAACTTACGTCAGCAGCACTGTAGATGCCCGAAAAGATACAAGCAGTGAAGCGGAGTAAATTTTTTTCACGGATGGTCTGTCGTTAGAGGTAAATAGTGGAGGTAGTAAATGTCGAGCGTATAGGAAAGAGCCAGCTTGATGATCATGGCATTGATAGAAAGACTTGTCCAACATCCGAAGACCTGCCGCAGATGGAAAGTTAGTAACTACTAACACAGCCCCTACGGTGAACGATCCCTTGCTTTTTGTTCAAAGTACAAATGTCATAGTTTACCTATGAAGGAATAACATATTTTCAACTACTGGTTATGATATCAAGCTGATCTAACTGTCTTTGAGCCTCTTGGTTCGTTAAAATAAAGTGTGAGCTCATTTCCAACACCATGCCAAATTTTGGATATTTCATTCTCGACTCGAGCATCTTCACAAAAAGCAGTTGATCCATCTGTGGCGAACAAACGCCTGACAGACGCAAATGCCGCAATCGCGGGAGAAAAGGTGCTTGGTCCTCAGTCGCAATCAACGCAGACAAGAGGCTAGTCGGAAAATACTCCAAACAGAGAACCTGCATAGAGCTCTGAAGGAGGTAGAGTAGTGATCGAAAGTGGGAATCTTCCTCCATATCTGTTTCGAAACCCTTGAGACGCAATTTCACCAACGCACAATCGGAGCGTTCTAGGAGGCGGACTATGGGCTCTACGTTGGGGCGCACACGAAGTTTACTAGAAACCGATATTCGTAAAGAAGCCAAGGAAGGGAGAATTAGGGCATTGAGAAGTTGATTCAATAGGTCCAGATTGCTGTTACGAATCAAGTCGATTGTGAGGGCAGTAAGAAACTGATGTTTCAAATTTTTGAGAGCAAGGGATGGCCCATACCCTGAGCAGAACAGTGCTACGTGACGAAGCTTGACCCCTTTGGTTAGAATATCCATGTTTTGGCGATTCAGCGAATCTCGAAAGAGAACTTCGCCAGCCGGGAAATTATTCATGCAATGGGTGATCTGATCCCAAGGTAGGAGCAATTTTGAAGCGATATTTGGGATTTCGTAAGCCCGAACCATACGGAGGTTAGGTGCGTACTCGAATGCGTCTATCACAGGCATGGCATTCCAGATGTTTTCCAAACACTCTACGTTCCGAAGGTGGAGTGCCTTCAATTTCGGAAGACATCCCTTGATCGTGGATAACAGCCGGAATCCTTCAGGTGGAAGAGAAAGAAGGACGTTGGACCATCTGCTGGAGTGTGAACATATCAAGGAAACGATAGGATGCATTGGCCGCGTTGAATGGACAGCGATAGTCAAAGGACAGTCCTTCGAGCGTCGAAGGTAACGCGATAATAAAGCTATTGCATTGTATTCAAGCTCTTGAGCCTTCGCGGGATCCTTGTGTTCCATTCTCGCCAGATCAAGCGACAGCGAAGACCACAGCCGGGGACATTCAAGTACTACGAATCTCCAGTACTTGCATACCTGAGCAAGGCTCCACGGTGCCTGCTTCGTATCGAGAGAGTCGATGTTCTGACATATCCTTGGATGGTCCGTATCCACGAACTCGACGCAATACGAGAAGATCTCCAAAAGGACTTCCGGGGGCGTTCGACGTATGGGATGAAGGATACTTCTATATGTTTCTATCATGGTCATGAGCTGATTGCGTTTGACCGTAAACAAGGCGATCTCTGCCTTCATTTTCTCCAACTGGACATTGAGGTCGAGCAGCATGTTTTCGGCATCATGGAGATTAGACTGGAGCAGCTTTGAGTGCAAAGGAGCTTCGTTGGTTTTGAGAAGGTCCTTCACGGAGGATGGCAGCGGTTCAAGGATGTAGGAATCTGAGATACTGATGGATGTTTCGCTGGTGTCTTCAAGCTGTGAAAAGCTCGGGAGGTTGGAGACGATTCTAAGACAGGTAATTCAAATTACGCCTCAGCGAGATGAAAAGCAGCTCACGAAAAGTTTGAGATAGATGTTGAAGTCATCGCGGTCTTGTGAGTAGAGAAAGAGGCGCTTATATTGGCGCCACACAGACACGCATCCACCGCGAGCCATAAAACAATTATTGGCGCTATGTAGAGGTACTTTAACTGACAATTCTAGGTGTCAGGTACTATGCTCAACGAGAGTACAAGGCGCGCTGCTTCTTTATTCAATATACCTAAACTGATATACTGATCTATCCTACGATTCCTATCTATAATTTTCGTATGCATGCCATGATAACGCCATATAGTTGAGCTAAAATCCCACCTACCATTGTAGGTTTTGATTGAAGAAACATATACATTGCGTACTTGAATCAGCTTCAGTGAAAGTTAAGCTATCTATGCCTAATACTTAACAGAAGGGGACAGAGTGATCGGACTACAACGAAAAACCGGCTGTTTCGTCCTGGGACTAGACTCGAACCAGTCTGCTGCTGAGAAGTGATATGCGGACCGGAATCACTTTCGCTGACACCTTTGAGCGGGTGTTCCTGTTCATTCAGAAAAACACTTTGAGGAACTAGTGTTGGGCCTCATTTCTGCCAAAGATCTTGATGACTTCCATGCACGAGTTGAAGTAATTCAACGCGACTTTCCTCTCACTAATTCATGGCTTGGATGGTGGCTTCGCGAGAGTAATGCAAGAATGCTTTTCGAAACTCATACCCAGATGGAGCCGGATATCTGGACTTCAATACCGAATACAACGAATGCACAAGAAGCTCAACATTGGAAGCTTTATAGTGCGGTTGGACGGGACCATGGTCTCCTTGAAGGTCTTGAAGCATTACATGCTGTTGCCGAGACAACCGTCAAGCTATTCACTGCAAATCTTGGTACGTAGCTGGGTTATCCTTTTTATTTGCTCTAAATTTAATTTTGCTTCTAGAAGGGGGCCTTATCCGCTATGGGAAGGCAGAGCCTTGGAAGGCAATGATCAATCTGATTGGCCGTAGCAAACCAAGTCGAGCACCTGGTAAGCGAAGTACAAAACAGAAATCTGATGGACGACCTCCAGACACCAAGAAGGATCTTCTTTCGAGGACACCTAAAAAGTCAAAAGAGTTGCCGTCTACACATCACACAAGTTCAGCAATAGTAGGGCCAGCAAGTTACCGGTGGGACAACATGTCCTGTTGGGCTGACTCAGCTTGGGATCTTCTGTATCGCAGTATAGTCAAGGATTGGGCAAGTTTCTCAAGCCGTTTTAGCTCTGACTCACAAACTGAACGTCCTATCCGCGATTTTTACAACCTGATGCTCCTCCGGCGAAATGCTGAGCATGATTCATTCATTCTGAAGGTCCCTGACTATGATCTCTCTACAGCTCTGAGTAGTCAGCATGACCAATTCCGACGTCGCCTTGTAGAGTGGAGGATAATTAAATCAGATAATGCAGTAGGAAATGCCTTTGTAAGTTATTCATCTCATGTATCTCAGCAATCATATCTGAATCTTACCTATTGTTGGAAGGATTGGTTTCCTCAAGTACTGAAGGATAAGCTCAATGACGATCTTGATGATGACAATTGGACACAGTCCTACTTCCAAACCATGTTCGTCACTGTCAAGCACTGCTCAGGTGATGGCAACGGTCACCACTACCAGGTGTGCCAGAAACCAGAGATACGTTACCTTATTGTTCTCCGACAAGCTGCATGCCAAGAGTTCAAGGGTGATCTTCTGTCATGGCTCCAAACCTTTGCTAATGTGAACCATTCTCCCCAAGCTCTTCCTACATGCTGGCGTGCAAGGGATGGAGAATCCTGGTGCAAAGGCAATCAGACAGATGTAAAGTTTATCTTATCCCTGCCTGTTGTATTGATTTTGGAGGAGGAAGAATGTACAGCATCGACAGAGTTTTGGAATTTTCCAGCGCTACTGCAACCATACAAATCTGGGGAGCTGGCAACAGTGACTTATGATATTGTTGGTCGAATCTTCTACAGCCGCAGTAAAAATCATTATATCAGCCGATTTTTAGATGAAGATGGGAAAACAGTCTGGACTTACGATGATATGGCTCATGGCGGTTGTCCATATGTTGAGCCTGGCGCAACTGCTGGCACCCACCTGATAGGCAGCAGCTCTACTCTCAAGTTACCGTCTGATTTCATTGGGGCCTTTGCTATATATCACCTGCGAAATGGAACAAGCATGCAAGAGGCCATATACACCTCACAACTTGCAGTGGCTCGAAGAGTTCACCATATGATGGTGGAACCTGACAGCCTTCGACATCACATCCCAAAAATATGGCTATCTCGAGCGAAGTTTGCACAACTTACCCCACATGACCTAACATGGCTGAAAAACCCATTCCGTTTGGATACTCTTGACTATCAGGAAACCGCTGAGTCTAGTGGTACCATTCGCATTCCTCCTCGTTCCACCTTGTCCTATCAACCCAATCATGAATCCTCACCCTTCCTGTCATCACCAACTTCAAAGAATCTGCTTGGACCAAATTCAGTCTCTCCACAGGAACAGGATCAGATGCACTCTGTAGAGACTCTCGACCATGGTCTCAATGTGGATTTGATTGAGGAATACCTCCAAGAAGGCACATCAGACTTCCAGTTTATGTGCAGATGTGGAATCACAATGACAAACGAGACACTAGTGGTTCACAACAGCAGTACAGGTGATATCATTCAGTGCGACAACTGTGACATTTGGTCACATATTGCATGTCAGAAAGAAGGTCGAGCGGGAGGGCTGAGGCAGACAAGAGAGCCTTTCCAATGTGACGACTGTGCAGGGAACTCACGAGCAATTATTGACAGCTTCATTCCCGGCAAGAGGTAATACCCTTTTCTGGTCACGGATGTTACTCACCACAAATGTCCTTTTTAGAGCAGCAAAATTGGCTCAGAATGCGACACAAAGACTTCATACACGGCTACGGTGAGTGATATGCAAATATGTCATTTTAATTGATTCAGCATTGCTCAAGACCAGGTAAAGGAGCATTAGTCCAACATGGAAAGTTCTATTATCCAGTGCGCATAATCCATACATCAGGCGCAAAAGGTAAGAGCAGAAATGAATTCGAGTGTGTTGTCAAATTCTGGAGAGGGTGCCACTTTTCAAAAGATAGTCCACATCCACTCGCAATAGTCAGTGTCGATCAGAGCTCAATTATTGACGAGCTTTGGGGAAACCAACACCAACGCAGACAGACAAGGGTATGTGAATAGTTCTTTCATTGACAAATGCTACTGAGATCGAAGTTGGTTCAGCTTGGACGATGGGACCATCCACCATTGCGTCTCAGTGAAGAAGATATCCTCATGCAATTTGAGAATTATCCGTACACAGAGGAGGTCAATGATGCCCTGAAACCGCATCTTGAATTTTTGCAGACGTTGCACTGCTCTCCACAAGATTGTTCTGTTGAAGAAGTTCCGGCCAAGGTATATGTGTTAAGATTATGCGGAGAGGTCTTAATACATGTGGTATATATAGTCCCAACCACCTATGACAATTATCCTGTCATAGTAGCCTTTTGGCTCAGTTGGATTTTGTGTTAGTGGTTGGGCATGAATTTCACAGTATGACAGGATCCACAAGGTCACCGGTTCAAACCGGGCTGCTCTCAGTTTACCTCTTAGGCAGCTCTTTGATCAGGTGGCTTAAAGGGCCTGGGAAACCCTTGGGGCTGTGCTGTACATTAAGCATGTGACCTGTTGAAGTGGCAATTTCGGAGTTTCATCTCCATTTGGGGAAAAACAAGTCTGCCCAAATATTAAATAAGCCTTACTCATCTTAATAATTCATTACTAATTGAGCGCCTCTGCTTCTGCAAGCGCGCGCGCGCCGCAGGCGCATTCGCGCCTAATTTAGCATCTATGCGCTACTTCGATTTGAGATTCAGATCTTACATACTATCTTCTATTTACAGTTCTGTAACTCCCTGTTGGGCTTCGATTTCAAATTTGGGCTGTCTCGTTTTTGATAAAGGAATTTTTGAGGCGCTCTGAGGACTCCTGTGGCAGGTATAAGGAGCTGCGATTTTTTGCCCCCCCTTATTGGAATTTTGTGACCCTCTCTTCCCACTTCAATTTTTCACTTCGTCGGAAGCTATCTCACCCTTGAAGCCATGCCGCCATTTATCCAGCAAAAGTTCAGCCTCACAGCAGATTCTGCCTCCATTGTCACCTTTGACCACGGTCTCCTTCGCCCTGTGCACGTTGAGCTGTAAGTTTCAATTTCAAACCTGTGTTGTCCTTTCTCATCTGATTTTTGTTCGCAACAGTCCCGTCAACAAGTACAGTCAACGGGTTCCTCTGAACCAATTTTGGCGTCTTCGACGAGTTGGAGGGCTCAAGTGGGAGTACTTTTGCAGTTGTCCACCCCCTGGCAACACCCCTGGTATCCCGGCAAGGTGCTACACAGTCAATAAGCAGGGCTCCCGCTTCAATGGCCGCACGTACTTGGGCTGCGGCAAGACTAGGCAACGTTGTCTATGGAAAGGTAAGCATTCCCTCTGCATTTTACGGTCCCCCTTAAGAAATTTCAAGTGAACCTCGATGACATCTATGCTGCAGCTGATGCCCGCCCTCCTGCTGAACCTGAATTTCCTGACCCTGAGGAATTCAACGAGGAATTCAACGAAGAATTTGCCCAGCTTATGAATGACTTGCAGATTCAGGAGGCGCAAAGCAACGCCCAACTCCCTACTTCTCCAAAACTGACTGAGATTGAAGAACTAGGTAAAGATTTTGGCAAACTCCTGGGTGACGTACCTCTTGCCCCTTCCGAACGTAAATTTTTCTTAATCTTTGCTCGAACTATCTGCTAATTGCACTCTTCAGAGGCCCTCCTGCAAAGTGACACCTGCCGCGGAGTTGCGTCTCAAATTTCAGCAGAATTTAACAAGCTCATGGAGGACCTCACCATAAGCACAGCAGAATGTACGCGCTGTTTTCTTCTTGGTTCTTCCAAGTACCACCTTGATTTTTTATTCTTTTGGCTAGTGATTTCACAGGGTGTTGAGCCCATGATCTGGAATGCAATAGCTGAAGAATGGCAGCTCTCAGAAGCGGATTATAACGGTGTTGATGCTACATCTCCTCTCTGAAGCCAGGACTAATATCTTTTGAACTACGCAGGACTTGTTGCATACTTTGCGGGCCAGGACGACGTGTTTGTGTCTCGAGACGGTTGCATTCACTATATCCCTGCGCCGGAACTGGCATTTGGTCTGTCTCCAGTTAGGCTCAGTAGATTCAACTCATTTATTCCTAGAAGATTCCGCCGTTGACAATTCCATCCCCGACTTGAGCCAAAACAGCGACGATGAACTCGGGGGTAAGTACTACCCTGGTACTGTACCGTATCTGCTATCTAATAGTACTCTAGATATTACTCTAGTGGAAGCCTTGAGCCCGGAGTTGAACGGTGTGTTTCTTTTGCATATTGCTATTACGATACCAATATCTGGCCAGACAAAAACATGCATCTTGACATTGAAATGGAGAGATCGGATTCCCCGGGTGAGTGTTATGGCCTTTGTTCCCCGAACTAAATGCAGACTGTACGCAGTAAACCTTATGTATATTGACCTTACAGAGGAGGCCCTACCTTCTCAGCGTAAAAAAAAGGGTATGCACTGCTATTCACCCTTTTCTATATAACCTGATTCCATTGTTCTCAGTCGCAAGTCTTCCAAGTGACCATCCAATGTTCATCGACCTTACCCTTACCTTGGAACTCGATCGTGTGTTTCCTCCACCCCATGTTATCAGATCGTGGCCCCTCATTCTTACCTTTACAGAAATGAAGTTGTCCAACCACAAAACTTTCGAGGAAATGGAAATTTCTGGCTGTGGTACATCTGCAGAGCCCTATGAGATCAGAGGCGAGGTGTAAATGTACGTAGAGAGCAGGCGTAGTTTCTTGTTCACACCGCACAGCTAGTTCAACCTCGCGTATATTGGCGGTGGAAAAAAAGATTCAATTTAAGGGGCTTATTGAAGTAATGTCTGTGTCGACAACGGCCTAAATATAATAGTAGCCTGAAACATTCGGTTTCTTCCCTTCCGATGCTTCCGTATTTCTCCTCTCCCTGGGTGTAATAAGTCGCCGCAGAGAGCGCGCTGTCTGCAATAGACTGAGGGCCGGAAGAATTGGGGCAAAGTAGGAAGAGACCCGAAGAGGATGGGGGCGGACGTGGTTTTACCTCAACAGAGGACAATGGGCTGGGGAAGAAGCAGTACGCTGGGTGTTTGAGGTTAGAAGTGGCAAAATGAGAAGTATACAGGCACTCAGCAGAGAACCATAACCGCCTCCATTTGCTTCAACCGCTTCAAGTTCCCCGTTCAGCTTCTCATTGCAACCGCTTCCGGGAACTGCATCTTCAGGAAGTCAAAGGCCAGAGAATGTGGTGGAAATTTTGAGGGCGGATGCGGTTGGATCAGAGCGGGGTGAACCGGGCATTAGTACAGTCCGTGTCAGGCGATGGTGGAGTTGAACGGCGTGTGGTGAAAGCGAAAGCCAGGCGACGGAATTGAAGGGTGTGTGTGGCGCATATGAAAGGCGCACTGGCGGAATCGAAAAGGATCGACCACGTGATGTGAGTTTCGGGTAACGCGCACGCGTTACCTTCGTTGATTCTGCAAAACAACCACGACGCCCGCCTTTCAACCTGCACTACCCCCTCAGAGTCTACGCCTGCTTCTTTACGGCCTCACCTCCCCCCGGTAGGTCATTTCATTATATACGGCGCGCTTCTCAGCTGGCGCTTTTGCATCGGACTGGAAGCTGCAGGATTAAGGATCCTATCCCAAGGATCTAACTGCAACGACCCGTCCGGCGCATAAGCGGCCCCTGTAGCAGCTTCCTCGTCTTAACTGCATAACTAACGCGCTCTATTCTATATTTCATCGCGTCTGGTGCGTCCTCGCAAGTCGATTCCGGAGGGGTCCAAACCGAATCCAAAATGGGGTATTTTCTAAGGTCTCAACTGCTGAAAGTGCGTAGCTGGTACCTCTTAGAACTCCCGGGTGCTTATCATCTCCTGCTACAGACTGCAAGACCCTTGAATCCAAAGGCGCCGTTTGACTTCGTGGAGCTGCTGAAGCACTCCCTCTCCGTTGCCCCTGCCGCCAAAGCCTTACAAGAAGCCGAAGAAGAAGCTCCGGGGGAAGGTATAAGCCCCGAAGCTTTGGAACCAACAGATCGCGGGTGCCCTGTAGCTGCCCTCTCCTCCGGCTTAGCCTCCGCCTCTTCCACCTCGGTACCCACCCGTTCTGTTTCGTCGGTGCTTCAAGTAGTTGCACCTGAGGCCCAGGGTGCGCCTCCTGCGCTGCTGTCTCGCAAACGGAAGGCGAAATTCGCCTGCAAGCGCGCCACAAAGCGGAAGCGCGAGAAGTATTCGCAGAGGGAAGTCGGGGCTTCGAAGGACACGCGCTCCCAAGTGCTGTCGCATGGAGTCGCGGTTGAGGTAGACCTAGACGCCTCGGATTTTGATGCCGCACGAGGGGCTCACACAGGAAAGCCCGGTACAAAGGCCAAGTTGGGTTCTGAGGAGGAGCGGCAGAAGCAGTATACCCTCGAGGAGCTGTTAGCTCTGGGGTTTGAACATATTGAGTGGGACGGCAGGTACGTTTGCTCAGTCTTGCTTCCCCATCCTCCCTCTGACTTTGCCTAGGGTCCCAATCCCTATTGTCGACCGCTCAGGGCGTATTATCGCCGTCCTTGCAGGTCAACCAGGATCCGACTACGCGGCAGAGCTTCTAGAAGCTTTCCGCCTTTTCTCAGACGCGGATAAAGAGGCAGGCCTTGGCCCTACAGCTGCAGCTGGGCCTCATAAGCGGGGTACGTTCCCCGCCTTCAATAGAGGCGTGACTATGGGTATGGGAAGTCCAACGCCTGTTGCAATAAACCCAGGGTTCATGGGCGGGATCCTCAACCGTTTGGTTGGTGCTCAGGCGGTACGCCGTATGGCAGCTTATCAGAATGGTGAGTCTCGGTATCTCCTGGCTTGTACACTGGGGTGATAATGGATGCTACAGCCGCGTTCTCCCTCTGGGCTCCCCGTGTGCACAATGAGTACAAAAATGCCTCTAACACTGTGAGGGAGAGGTTGCCTCACCTCCCGGAGAACTTTCCTGGTCTCAGCGACTTCAGCGCCGCAGCGTTTAACCTCGGTGGAAGGGTATGGACCTTCAAACACCGGGACTTCCTCAATTGGCCCTTCGGGTGGTGCGCAATCACAGCTCTTGGAAGCTTTGACCCAGGCCGTACAGCTCAACTCATCCTTTGGGAGTTAAAACTTGTTGTTGACTTCCCTCACGGTGCTACAGTCCTTATCCCCTCTGCTGTCATCACTCACTCCAATACTCCAGTGGCTGAAGGCGATTGTCGTATGTCATTTACCCAGTACACCCCCGGCCCAATCTTTCGGTGGGTTGAGAACGGTTGTAGGACGGAAAGGGAATTTGAGGCGGAAGACCCTGAGAACTGGGCAGAGATGGAAGGGGGTAAAGACCTTGCATACCTTCGCCGTATTTGTAATTTCTCCACCTTAGATGAATTATTAACAATGTAGGACTAAACAATAATTCCTGTTACAGCTTCTGATAAGTATTGCATACATTGCTAACAAGATAAGTTACAAAGTTCCATTGGAAGATTTTCGGGTTTGTTTTGCTTCTGGAGAAGGAGCACGGAGTAGCTGTCGTCCAACTTTCCTGCGTTTAAAACCTACAAGTTCATTGACAGCAGTTCTAGGAGAATGGCAAACAACATGATCCACATTGTCTGATACTGTTTCCAAAGACGGTGTCACTTCGGGCAAATACGTGTTCTTAGTTCGAAGGTGCGACAGTCTCATTGATAGTTTCTCTATCACCTGTTGGAATTCAAGTAGCTCGGTAGAGTGAGGCAGGGTCAGAATATCTGCAAGCGCATTGTCGATTCCATAAAGCCGAGGTAGCAGCACTTGTGCTTCTTGGGTTAAACGGTGTGTTATTTGAGTTGCTATACCGGCTTGTTGCGATAGCATGTGCTAATTCAGGAGGTTAGTCAGTGGCTAGTATGAGGTTTGTAGTTATGGAACATACGGGGGTAATGTCATCTTCATCTTCTTCACCAGAGGACCCGTCATCTGGCAATGACTCCAACCCTCGGTCAAGTGCAACTTCCATTTCTTCATCAAAGGCAGTCCCTAATACTGTAGTATCGCCGCCAATAGCTTGAACCATCATCCAGGAGGTTGCAGGAAGGTTTCCCCTGGTGTTGAGAACTTCGCAAGCTAGAGGCGCATCGGTAGCTGCAGGTAAAGAAGGCTTGCAAGCCGTAAGTTCACGAAGTACTTGAGCATTTTCAAGCGTTGCAGGGTAGTGAAAGTGGGCGTCAAGGTAACCTTGTAACACCCAGCTATCAACAAGCATGCGCAGTGCTCGGAGATGCTTACAAGCTTTGCCATTGTGGTGAAAGTCCAGACAAGTGCATGAAGCACGACCGGAGGTATGGATCGAGATTCGGTAGGGAGCGGGGCCTCCAGATGAAGGATTACAATGAGATACCAATGCCAAACCAGTGGAGTCAGGTTGACCCGATATCGTGTGGAGGCTTTGCATCCGAAGAAGCTCGCAGGCATGTTGATTTCGTACTTCATCCGTTGGCCACCAGCATACACTACGGAGCTGGCGCGCATACTCCTTCTGGTCCTCATGATGCCTTTGCTGCACAAGCAGCAGATCTTGGCCCCCGGCACTAGAACGGAATCTAGATGTGAGCCAAGCACGGTACTCTCTTTGAGCATTGCGGCGACGGAAGATTTGTGGAAGAATTTGTGATATAAGAAGAAGAATAAGGATATCAAATCGTAACCTATGACCGGAACGTAGATATTGCTGAATGTATTTCCTTTTGAGAACAGCATTGAAGGATTCAAGATGGTTGGTAGTGGGAATGATTCCTTCAACCACTACTCCAATGCGAGCTGCTGCAGCAATCCGTCCACATTCGGACCAGCTCTCCCAAAGAGGACGGGGCATCCAGTAGCTCTGTAAATACCTGAGATGGTCCAGACCAGCTTCACATGCACGCTTAGCTTCTGGATTGGCACCAAGATTATTGAAAAATGCTTCGTGATTCTCGAGGAGAGCTGTTGCAACGGCGTGGTCAACTGTAGCAATGAGGCTGAAATGTTTAATTAATACTAATAAACAGTTATATCTATAGCACCTACTCGACTTCAAGTTTCTGGAGTACATCTCGGATATGATTCCTCCAAAAGTCAGGAGCTTTACATTTGAGTATCTTCTTCCGGTGATTGGTCCAACATTGGCGAAGGTGAAATTTGCATATGAGCAATATAATCTGTGGCCAGATGTGGGCAAGAGCCCCTCGTTCCTTTGTATCTGTGTCTGTGATTGCAGAATAAGGCTCGAACGATCCAAACTTGGTTTCGAGATGGAGCTTCCAGGTTTGTATCAACTTTTTGAGGATAGCCGTAGTGTAAGATGCATGGGTAGCCTTCGCTCCCGTTTCAGCTGAAAATAGAAAGAGAGCAATGGGAAGGCCTTTGTTATTTTCGTCTACAGCAAGGGCAATAAAAAGTAGAAGCCGTGCACTGCAAATCCCGAATGTACCGTCTAGAACTAGCTGTGATTGATGAGCGTATTTGTGTGCACATACATCCATCTCTGGAGTGGAAAGACATATTTCAAACCTGTCTCCAGCTTCTGCTCGAGCAGAATAATGAAAGACAGCTTCGGCAACTTCAGCTTTGAAATTAGGACTTTCGGGGTTTAGCCAGTCATCGACATTGTATTGAGGTTGAAGTCGTACATCGACTCCGAGAGTCTGACTAGCTTTCCGATAGAGGGAAGTATGATCAGTGGGGAGAAACAGGTATCGCACATTCGCAGTTTTGGTATTATAGGTATCCATATCGCGATAGGCTCGATCATTCACCATCTTGCTGTTTGTTTCCTGTATAGCTGTCAAGCTGTATATATTAGAATACATTTGTGAGTTGCTTAGAAAGAGGTTAAGTGGGTCTTACCTGGCCCCATTTCGAAGTTGATCTAAAGCTACCTCATAAACGTGTTCGTGTAATGGAATTGGAGGAACTCGTTCAAGCACTGCAGTTTCGCAAGGGCCATTGTGTTCTGAAATTCCAGCGATTCTTGAGATGGCTCTATCTCCCACCCTTTCTGTCACCTCTATGTGAGCTAAGCACCCAGTGAATGGATAAGGGACACGCCGTTGCCAGTTTTCGGTCTTTGTATTTGCCCCCTTTTTCGCCTCCCGTTCCTGGCGGGCTTGGACATGATATCCACAAGAACTGCAGGGGGAATGTATACTCAGCTTCGATTGCGTTTGGAAATCGATGAAGACTTGCCACTGGAACAAAGTCCGTCTTTGTTCGTGCAATCCACAACTCCACTTCACAGAGTACTGTGCAGTCCAGCGACTCTCTAGGGCATTCCGGGAGACTGTATCTAGACCAAGGGCAACAAGCTTTGCCTCTGCCTCCTGTTGTTGCCATGGGTCATTCAAATTGTATATAAACTCAGCATTCTCCGACTCTTCATAGAGTAGGTCGATAGATTGTTGTTGGGTGGCATCCAGAAGGAGCTTCTTGAGGTGTACCTTCAAAAAGCCCTCACGCACTATTCCTACTCGGTGATTGTGCAACGTACTTGAATATTATGTACGGGATTCAATGCAGGGAGACTTAGACCCGCTTGTACCCACCCCAGGCCTCCGTGTTGTGGCATGCCGCCTGCTGCATTGCCCCCCTGGATTTGAAATAGACATACAAAATGCGGATATGTAGTTGAACAAACTTACACGCTTTGTTTTCGGAGATAGTAGCTTGCCTTTTTCAACCCAAGTGAGCTTTTCCTCGAGCAGCGGTTTTATAGTAGGTGCGGAATAGCTCGGTAAACTTGTGCGACGGGTCAACGGGACCATCTGAGGTAACATTTTTGCCTTTTCGACCCAAGAGAGCTGGCGCTCTCCCGGTGTTGATTTTGTAGGAGTGCTCATAATCCTTTAGTCGTTCAAAACACTTTTGAAGGTAGTGTAGATGGCGGGCTATCTCCAACTTAAAACTCAAGCAAAAATGGAACGGATCGGATTATATTTACAAAAGACACTACAGGAGGCAGAAGGCCATTTGAAAGGGGTTCAAGAACAGAGGGAGGAAGGCATTGCCTCGGGGCTGGCTGTGGATACTCGACCGCGTGAGCCCGATTAATCCTTTAGGACCGCCGCCAAGTTCAAATAGAGCTCCGTGGTGAATCCAGAACCCTGTTCCTTGACCACCTGGTAAGATGCTTTGACAATTCCGCGAGCAGAAGAAAAAGAAGAAATGTGCCCAGATCCCTCTACTCGATCTGGTTCAACCAAATGCATCCGAAAAGGCGTAGGTGTCCAGAAAAGGGCATCAAGGCGGGCACGCGCTTGTTCAGCGCTTTTTTGGATGGTTACAAATAGTGACTAAGAATTATCTAAACTTTGGGCAGGCGCGGTTCGCCCATTTGGGTGATTTCTTCTCACCAATTCTGGGACTTCCATGTCCAATCTTTCGGGTCTTCCATGGCCAATTCAATTGCACTTCAAGGGTTCAGTGCCTAAAGGGGGGGCACTGTTAAGATTATGCGGAGAGGTCTTAATACATGTGGTATATATAGTCCCAACCACCTATGACAATTATCCTGTCATAGTAGCCTTTTGGCTCAGTTGGATTTTGTGTTAGTGGTTGGGCATGAATTTCACAATATGTTGAAAAGTCAAAGAAGCCAGTACATCAATGCACTATACCTTTCACTGGCGGCTTGACTATCGAAGACCAAGCCCGAGTTGCGAATTGGTTCGAAAAATTTGTCAGTCAAACGCCATCTATCTCCCGCTCCAAGTGGCACTCTCTTCTTGCACATGCACATGCCATAACCTTGTTCCTTGACCATCGACTTCATCGCACTTCCACAGGAATGTCCGAGTCTGAACGCCTTCACAATGCTTGGAACCACCAGACAACAACAAGACAGATTTCTTCAAATAGCTCAAATACCATAGATGTTGACCTCGAATGTCTCGAATATCTGGAAACTCGCATGTTTGAACGATCAAGAGAGGCAGGTGTGGCAGGCTGGTACCAATGGGGACTTGACGTTGGTTATCACCAGGACAATTGGGATCCGTATATAGGACTTCGAGAGGGATTGAATCACTTCAATTTTCAGGATGAGAAGGGTGATAGCCTTGAGGTGAGTATTAGTTCTCGAGATCATTAATGTTTATGGTAACATATATTTAGGTTGGATCTAATTACAGCAGGTACATAGATGATAAGGAAGGTGAAAAGAAGAAGATAGATACGAAGGATGAAGTTTTGCAGCAGGCAGCAGGACTGACTCCGAGACCAAAACCAAGAAGCATGCGCAGAACCAAGAGAAATCGAGCGGAGGTCGAGGAAGAAGAGACAGGAAAGTTTGAGAGGTTAAGCAAGAGATCATCGAGACAAACGTAGTAAATGAATGTATACGGTGGGCTATTAGACACAGCTATAGACAATGTAACCTTCTGCTGATAAATGCATGGGGGTTTTGACCGCATACTGACAAGACCGTGCCTACAGGTCAATAACTATAGCGGTTCTGAGGCCGGAAATGGCCCGGAAATGGCCCGGGATAACTCCGAGGTCCGGAGCCGAGTATTGGCCTGTAGTACACACTGGGAGTGGGACGTCGGTGAAGCTATTAGCAATACCCTTCACACACTGTTGGTGTCCCCGGGAATTATGGCAAGAGTGCAAGATTGGGATGAGCAGCCTAAATGGGGTTCCTGATGATCCGGGAGTCCGGAAGCAAAGGGTAAAGGAGATATTAAAGAGTGGGATAAGGTGGTACACTTGATTTCAAGCTTGACTACAACGTACAAAGTATTCTAGTTTATATACATCCCAAATACAGTAGTCATAAGACCTCGATGAAAGCTCGGAATAATAAATAAGTCACAAGGTAATTATTCCGAAGTCCGGCCGCTCCGGGCCGGGCCGGGAAGCGTATGGGGTGAATTGCATGCATATGACAGTATCCCCCCGTTAGGCCTGAGCCCACGAAGGCCTCTGTGAATATGTGTGCAGTGAAATAGTAAAGTATAGTAAAGCAAAGGGATTGGATTAGATCCAGTAGTGAAGACTAAATTAAAAGTGGAAGTTTCAGAGAAACTGGAAAGGATCGGCCTGCCGATGTAGGGGGTCAAAGAAACATCATAAAGCAAACAAAAACCAGATTGAAACAAAGTAAACTCGTAACAAAATAATCAACAAAAGAATGGATGACCACGTAACTTCCGAAGTCCGGGCCGGCCGGAAAGTGTTCTGAAGTCTCAAAAGACTAAAACAAGTTCCGAAATTCGGAAACATCGGGAGCAGCCGGGCCGAAAATTGGAATACAGGACTGGAATACAGCAGTATCCCCCAAGTACGCTTGAGCCCTCGAAAGCCATGAATCAAGAGCCGAAGTTGGAGTAAATGGTGATGTAGGAGGATAGGGTAATGGAGTAGGGAAAATTTCGGAATAAAATCCGAGCCGAGGGGCGGGATTGGGCCGGAAAAATCGTCGGAAACTGCGGAAAAGTCCGGCATACCAATCAACACAAAGTGCTGCCAAAAATGATAACCTGAGCTGATATCCACACAAGAGCGATGCCTAAAAAGGCCGAAATTGACACAAAGTGTCCAGAATGATGGTAGAACCATCCCGAGACCGGAAGTTCCAAGGGAAGCAAAGCCGGAAAGCGCTATAAGGATAATCATAAAAAATGAGTTGGAAAAAAGTGTTTCAGTCTACCCGGCAGATCAACGGATCTAAGTGGGAGTAGAAACTGTATCCTAACAAATAATCAATGAAATCCTACTAAACAGAGGAGCAGCTTGTGGGTGAAGCAAAGGAATCAACATAAATAGAAATGATAACAGATAAGTGAATGGAAGTGCTAATGAGCAAGCTTGAGATAATGTCAATAAAATGACGGGAAAATCGGAGCAAGGTCGGAAACATGGAATGGAATAATTAGTAATCAATAATAAGCAAAAACATCGGCCAAATCGGGCCGGAATGAAGCAATAATAGTTATTACAATGAAACATTACCTGAATATTCAAAAACTCGAAACAGAAGTGGAACATATGGCAAAAAAAGTGGTCCGAAGCTTAGAAACAAAGTAAATTATACTGTCAACAAAAATTGATCATGGAAAGGTGCAAAATCTCGGGCCGAAATTCGGAAAAAGCGGAAATGCGTTCTAGCATAAAGAAAATGAATAATTGGAATAGTAATGGCAAAAAATCGGGCCGAAATTCGGAAATGAAGTAAATCATAATGTCAAACAATCAATAATCATGAAAGGCATAAAAATCGGGCCGAAGTTCGGAAAGAAAGGAATTTGTAAGGTCAAATAAGTAAAAATCATGAAAGGAAAGGAAAACTCGGTCTAAGACTTGGAAATGGTCGGAAAATTCGGAATTAAAATGTAGAAAAAATTAGGAATTACTCGGAACCATCATCGGAGCCCGGAACATCTGATTCAGAGTTATCTGCATCATAGTTCTGTCCTGTACGGGCCTGCAGTTTGAGACAATCTACCTTCATATGTTCTCCTCCACAATAAAAGCACAACCCGAGCACCCTGCGCCTTTCCCTCTCGGAGTCCACAAGCCTGCCATCGGGTCCGAGGTGAGGATGACCAGATCTGTCATCACCGGGCCGGGGTTCCGGCGCTTCGGCATTATCAGAGGCAAACGAGTGGAAAGACTCAACAGAGTCTGAGGCTGAGGATGAAGGATAGGAATGTAGGTAACGGAGATCGTAAGGGCCGGGGTGATCAGAGTCAAAGTCAGAGGATTCATGAAGATAATCATAGTCAAATGGGCCAGGAAATTCCGAGTCATAACTTGACTGGTCAGGATCAGAATTAGTACCAGACTGAACTGAATCTTGTTCAGAATGCTGTTCAGATGAGCTAGATTGGTCCGACGAATCCGAGGTTTCCGGGTCCGGGCCGGCCGGATCAGGTAACGATAAGGCATACTCGAGGAAGGATTCAGGATCAGAGCCAAAAGACATAATGAAAGGGTATTTTGGTGAAGGAACAGTGTAATGAAGTGTAAGCTTGAAATACTGACAAGACCGTGCCTACAGGTCAATAACTATAGCGGTTCTGAGGCCGGAAATGGCCCGGAAATGGCCCGGGATAACTCCGAGGTCCGGAGCCGAGTATTGGCCTGTAGTACACACTGGGAGTGGGACGTCGGTGAAGCTATTAGCAACACCCTTCACACACTGTTGGTGTCCCCGGGAATTATGGCAAGAGTGCAAGATTGGGATGAGCAGCCTAAATGGGGTTCCTGATGATCCGGGAGTCCGGAAGCAAAGGGTAAAGGAGATATTAAAGAGTGGGATAAGGTGGTACACTTGATTTCAAGCTTGACTACAACGTACAAAGTATTCTAGTTTATATACATCCCAAATACAGTAGTCATAAGACCTCGATGAAAGCTCGGAATAATAAATAAGTCACAAGGTAATTATTCCGAAGTCCGGCCGCTCCGGGCCGGGCCGGGAAGCGTATGGGGTGAATTGCATGCATATGACACATACAAAGAAGTTTGTGTACAAGGATTCCTAGGATCCTAAGAACGCAGGAATGTCGTAGAGTACTTATATACCAGTACCAAGATAATGACATACCACTGTTTTCCTTGAAGGTGCGTGTTTTTTGTGTTCGAGTTGTTGTGCGTGTCACGCTTGTGCACGCCGTGCCACGCGGCGACACGTCGATTTTCCTATGCCCCAACAGGGCAATGAGAAATCGACGTGATCGAGCGTGCGAATACGTGAGGCTACATGTATAATGCGTGTAATAGTAATAAGTATAATGTGTGTAATAATGCTAGAGTTTCCTTCTCTCCACCCAATCCTCCGGTTAGCTGTCTCCGATTTAAAAACGGTAAACTCGCTCTTCTCGGCGTATTCAATCCGTAATATACACCGTACCGGGACAACATGTGGCTTCTTTATACAATTACCTCATTGAATTGTTCAATGTTCGATGTTCCACGTTGCAATGCCTATGCGCTCTACGCTCATCACTGTGCCATGGGTAGACGAGGATGACTTTAAAATGTACTGCCCACCTCAAAGCTGGGTACGGCCTGCAATATGGCGCGGCGCGTCCGGATCCATTTTAAAGAAGTCTAAGGGCTCAATGGGACTGTGTTGGTTTTGCTTTCCATTCCTTCGTTGTTGCTGTTTGTTTCTTGCCTCTCTTCATCTCCGACTTCAACAAACGGATAGCAACTGTACACTGAATATGACCGAAACATTTCTTGTGCGCCATAGATGTGACTGCAACAACTGTGGGGTTCTCCCTGGGGCTTACAGAGGGAAATCAGCATGCTCAACAAATTAGGCCAAGCTAGAAAGTACCGATAACAATGAGAGTGTGGGTCATATGTAGAAGCTGCTAGTAAGTGTCATTGGATCAACAAGGATTCAATACTAACCAATGCAAATGTAGATAATTCGGGACTCTGCTTTGAACATTACACCCTCTACTTTACTCTTTCTGTATCTGTATCTCCTGTCATGCCACAATAAAGCAATATTTCTAAACCTTCAATCATTCTCAGTTGAATACAAAAGCTAATGGGATACACAGAGGGAGGTATGTAAGTGATGACTTTTGAGCAGTGAGTTTTCCATGTCACTCCAGTATATTCTCCATGTCTCGTTCTTACGCGCCTTGACAAGCAGGTACACGCATGTACACGCATGTACACGCAGATACACGTGGGCGGCGTGTACAAGCGTGTACGGGGCCCGTAGGGGCGGCCTGCACCATGTGTGCCATGTGCTCATGGCGATGATATGCTGTAGTGGACATTATTTGCCAATATCTACGGTGCTAGTTTCAACGGTGATGGTCCTTGTAAGCATTGATTTATTTTGGGACAATTAACAAAGCTCATGTACAGCGAAGAACTTTTTGCAACATATGTATCACTATTACAATCCTCCTGACGAGGATATAAAATCCAACCCATTACCTGCTGGGCCGCAAAGCTCATCACAGGAGACGCATGGCTTGGGGGCTTCGTCAACCCCAAAGGATGTATCAGAGGCTACTTTTCGAAATCAGCCAATATCATTTGATGACCTTATACCGATCCGAAGTCTTGATGGTAGGCAAAATACAATTGAGTGGGATGGTCCAGATAACTGACATTGTAAACAGGCTATACCGAGTCATTTGTCCGTGTCCCAACTGCGATGCGTACAAGTCCCCGGTTCACCAGTTCAGCCTTGCCATCCTCACCAGGTAAGTCAATCCAACAGCTTTTGGGCGTCAAATTCAAATCAGAATCAGTCTATCCAGTTGCGCCGTCCACGCAGCTGCCAACCTACTTCGATAACCCCCTTGCTCCTCATTACCCTGGTATTTGGAGTCAAAATCTTCCCTGGTTTAGTCATTACTCCAACCCAGTACTGTTTCCAGGTATGTTGTTCCTTGCTTCTCATTAAACCCATGAATCTAATCATCGAGGATTGTAAGTAGCTCCTAATTCAATGCCCATGTATGGTTTTGCCCACCATCAGGTTTTCCCGCAACCCCCTGTATCTACCAGTGGTCCGCCAGTGCAACCTGTTCAAAACCCGACTCTTGGCAAGAAAAATTCTTTGCAACAACCAAATACAGTACCTGGACACTTGAGCGCCGCGGGCGCAGGTCTAAATACCGTTCCTTCGATCAATATTGTTCCTCCAACACCTGTCTTGGGTTCTGTTGTCTTGCCTAGCCAACAAACTGTGAAGTCTACCTCTCCCTCTGAATATCAACTTGCTGGCAAAAAAAATCCCTTGTTAAGTCCAAATACCACTCCCGAATCATGGGATGGCTGGTTGGATGGTAATCTTGAGGCCGATTTTACCTGGGAAGAGCTCGCTCAGACTGGAGATCTTCGGGTACACTGGGCAAGAAAGGATTATGGAAGTCGAGCTGGTGTAGGCAATGCATTTGCTGAGCATTGGTCCGCAGGGAAGAAGAATACCCGCTCGTGTTTAGGGGTCATCTCTTGCACCAATAAGCAGTGTTTGACAATCATCCGTCCTCACAGTGTTTCAGGACGGATTCAACGCCAACTTCTCACACTACGGCGGACCCTATAATATTCACACGAAAAAGATATCAATCCCAATGACTAAAATAGTTTATCTTGTCCTGTAAAATACTTACCCAAATAACAAAAATGATTTCACACGAACCAGGCAAATGATAATATAATATTTCTTGGCTGCAGATTTGCATTATATATGTAATGACAAAGACAATCTTTCTTACGCATTCAAAAAAATCTTTCTCGATCTTAAAAGATTACTTGTTTTGGGCAAACAATGTGGCAAAAAAAATTATCAATATCGCTCGAAATTGATATGATTAATCAAGTAAATAAGATAATCTTATCTTTCGTCATTATCTTGCGATCAAGATTATCATTTGTGCTTGAGAAATAAAATGGACGCTCGACGGTCATGGATTGGGAGTGCGTCGGGAATCGGTCACACATCATTCGGGTACCCTAGCAGACCTTCATCAACCATTCAACACCATCATGAGTGACCACTCCTTTGGGAGTTGACCGTAACTGCGTAGCAGATCCGCCTGCAGCATTTATACAGTGCGGCTTCATACGTAGTCGGAATTGTACAGAATGGACAACCTGTCAACACCGCAATCAGTACATAGACATAAAAAAGGAAAATCGATAACTCAGCGATGTACAGATAGAACCAGATGATTGACTGTGTCTTTGGCTTGCACGGCGTGAGAGGTCCCCTTCGAAGAAAAAAATCGAAGATAGAATCCGGGTGATAGCTAGAACAAGAAACCCTCGGTATCCTCGAAACGCACCCGATCGTAGCGCAAAATAAACTAGAACATGTATGAGTTTTACTGTGAACTCCAAAAGTTTTGACGAACTACTTATCTTGACTGAGTAAAACACACTATTTCAAATGATCCTGCCATTGCCGCGAGCCAGAATTTTTCGCACTTCGATACATACACTGAGCATTAACGTCTATAGATACAAGTTTTCCTCCTGATCGATTGCCCGTAAGCTGATTGAAAGTTTGAATACACAAAATAAGACATACCTTTAAATCATCACTGCCCTCCGCAACGCTGGACCCAAGATCTTCCTCCGAATATCCCTGCGATGACCAGCAAAAACAAATTTCTCGACGTGTACCCGACAGCCTGATTTAAGTTGCGTTAGAAATCGGAACAAATTTTACATATACTTCATACACGAATGGCAATAAAGCTGGGGCCGATCGACGCACTGAATCTCCAGAAGAATGTGGACAACAGATTCTAAAGAGCATGAAGAAATCAGCAAGAGTGATACAGAGGAAACTCACCCGCTCTACGCCTATTCGCAGCCAGTATTGGTTTAAACCAAATCCGATCCCGGCATGAACAGTTTCTGTCCCATTCCTGCTGACGGCGCTCGAAGTTCTTCGTCATTCCGATCTTGAACTCGTTACCGTTGTCGATGTAGACGTAAATCCAACCAGGTCCGTCCGAAGGTGAGATTGGTCGCGAAATTCGTTGGCGATACAGCAACTGGAGCTGATGAGTACGGCCACGGGCCATTGTGCGAGGCTGAGGACAAAACGCTGCAAAAGAGTCTCGCGATTACTCAACAGACAAATGAACACAAACACGAGAAGTTACTTCGAGCAGAGATCGGCGGACCCTCCAATCCGTAGTAGTCCGGCTTTTGACGTGAAGGGTACAAGAACATTGACAGGAGCTCCGTATTAATCTCTTAAAGGGGGACCGTTGTGCTTGGGGCGAAGATTTTTGCGAGAAAGTTGAGTCAGAATTGGATGTTCTTGATACTTACTCTGCCCATATCTGGCGACGTCCACGTCCTCTGACCGCGGTCTGTGTGGTTCTACGATGGGCATAACTGTCGAGTATGGGTGGCCAGTGTTCCGGTTCGCCAGCCGTCGACAGAGATCTAGAGGGAAGGTCTAATAGCGATGACTTTTCTATATGGATATCTCCGGGTTCAGGTTCAGGTTCGTGATAGTCACAGCGAATTTGCATATTTGGGAATGAGGATTTCGTGAATGTTCACTCCACCACTGCACTGGCTCATTGCGAGGATATACGAGGAACAACATTGACTTGACAATCTGATTATGTCCATTGATCAGCACAGGCCATTCACAATCATAGAAATCACTAACCCAGTCAATGGGGAAGACGGGGTTATTCGTTATCCTGATCCACCACTCGCTGCCCTTGCAATCCACGTAGACAAAGACAATATCCAGCCAGATTTATCCGAGTTTGTCACGCAATTTGTTGATGGCGATAGAATATCTGTAGCAGGCGATGAACGGAACTCAACAGTCCAGCCATTAGTTAATGACAATTCTACCGCGGTTACATCTGGGGTCACTGAAGGGGTTGAGTAGTCAATTCAGGCATATGAGGGTGGATTAGATACACACCATGGTATGAGGTCAACCTGCAGAGCAATATTTCGAAAACGCCTAGTTCTATGGTTGCACCGCTCTCGACGTGAAGAGTGCGATGCAGTTACTAGGAACTCCGGATTTCGTAGCTGAGTAATATCTAGAGGTCTTGCAGTCAGACCGGTGTGGGATAAGTTAGGATAGAAGAAGGTGTATGTAGAAACAAGAAATGTACTTACTGACCTTTTCCTACAAAAGACGGCCCATGACATCCAGATACCAAGAATGTAATGACAAATGACGATTAGCGCCCGTATCATCCGTTCATTGTTCAAATCTTTCGAATCCCAGTCAATTAATTTGGCGTTTCTTTCCTTGCTTGTTGTAAGTACATACATAGACATCCGCTCAGTTCTTATCTACTTTGAAGGACGTCAGTCTGACGAAAATACACAGCTCAACGAAAAAGTGAACTCGGGCGCCTGGGGAGCACAGAATGATGGACATCCCGCAGAGTAATCAAATCTCGTATGTTTGTCGATTCCATTGATATGCAATCTCTTCACAGGGTCTATCCATTCCAAGTTTCAACGAGCCACGCATCGCACAACGGCATCGATTCAGAACGAAGTGAAGTGGGACGTTGCCAGAGACGCGGGAAGACTGATGTAGGAGTAGGGAAAGTGGTTGGCGATGAAATAGGAGCAGTCGAAGACTTGGGGAGTTTATATCTGGTTAACGAGGTAACGGCTACCATTATAGATATTGATGAGGGATGAAAAACTCGACGCCCTAAAACCAGAGTATTTCAGGAAAGAAGAACTTCATTCAGGGCAAGGTATTATTGAAGCTCTGTTGCGGTCTCTGAGACGGAGAATACAAATTTGAATACAATTCACCGGTGAATGTATACTGAAGATGTAACAACACTATGTACGAACAGTATGCTTAATCAACATAAGAAGAATGGAATGATACAAGCAAGATTTAGAAATAGAGAAAGTTATGACAGCAAGAGACCAGTGTTGTAGCCTCGATGACGATCGGAATGGGACAGGTGTGAACTTCACGTCGATACACACAAGGTGTCGCCCACCCTATTTACCAGGATGCGATGATTGAAAATGAGAAGCCTAACATTGAGGTCAATATGTGCTCATCAACCGAAGGAACATTTCGCAAGTAGCAGAAGCTGATATCGGAAAGAGGCTGTTAAGCTGGGAAAGTCGCTGCGCTGGGAGGGAAGGGTAAAGGGGTGGGCCCGGACTGAAATTCGAGCGGCCACTTCAGTGGTTGACGGGTTGGAGACGGAATGCCTCTCGACTGTAACATATTGTCGACAATGTTCTGAACAAAATAGTTTGGAACGGGTGTGAAACATCCTTGAACCGTGCGGCAATCGGGGCAAGCGAAATTCATTTTTGCCTTCAAATACATGTCTGCTAATCTGACAAGACAGTCCTTGCAGCTGGTATGACCACAGCAGAGACTGATGCACAAAATTTCAGTCCATTCAATGACCAGAAGAGAATAAGATACATACACGAAAGGTTGGAACAAAAATTCGAGGCAGTATGGACATCTGTTCCGAGTGTCTTCAGCAGCGCGTAAAGTCTGTAATTGTATCAGCAAGTATCATGAAATATGTTTCAACAACTACATACCGCAGCTCCCTGGAGGGCATTATCGAGATCCACACGAGCTTGACGGAGCTCATTCTTCAGTTCAACTTCGCGGAGATCGTTCTTCAGTTCGACTTCGCGGGAAGATGACAATTTGACCGGTAAACCCTACAGCCATAAGACGTGTCAGCGTTAGGTTAGCGAAGAAAATGTTCACTCACTCTAGAAATAAACTCCGTCTTGGTGTCAGAATCAGCATCAGTGTCCATTTCCAGCATGAATTCCTTGACCTATGTGAAACAAGTCAGTGAGAGAAACTAGAGAGGATAGAGCTGATATACTTTGCTCGAACTCGATGTGCTCGTGAATGTAGATGAAGATGGGCTTGCATTAGAGATCAGGTCCAACAGCGAAGCGGACGAGGGCGGTGTCTCAGGAAGAACAATCGGAATCTCATAGTCAAGCGCGAGATTTTGCGTCGCATATGTACGCGTCGGCGGTGATACAAAGGCACTGCGATAGCGCGAGGGTGTGTTCGAGGTAGAAGCTGCGGGAGGGCTGCGGAGACGAGAAGGTGTGTTCATACAAGAACGAGCCTTGGATTTTCTTCCGTACACTCTGCTGGGGGTAGGAGGAGGCGATCCAAAGACCTGAGACTTTGCAGATTGGTCGGAGGATTTAGATTGAGATCTAAGAGAGCGTTCTGGAGAGGTGGCACGAGTTTTCGTTCGACTGGTTGCACCCATCTGTCGCCGATGAACAATAAAACAGTAAATTATGAGAAGAGGAAACTGATATGACAGGAAGAGATCACAGAGGCAATTTATAGATGATTCGTTTGTCCATTTGCCCCATAATCCATGTCGCAAAGATCTCGGAGCTCAAACGAGTCTTTAGGAAGAAGTGGGGACAGTGTTGGTTGCCGAACCTCGATGGGCCTTCAATGGATTACTCCGGAAACGGGCCGCCGTTGCTTTCTTCTCGCCACAATGGACTCTTTTTGCAAGGTGTTAACATACAACTGCTGCGGCTTCACAATCTTCTCCACAAAGAAAGTTACGAATCTTTCGTCTTTCATAAGAATCGACAAAGAATCAAAACCGATTTACGACCAAACCCTTGATCTTCAATGGCGATTTCGACTCTGTCCTCTGCTACCGCTATGTCTAACTCTCCTACGCGCGGCAATACTCAGTCCAACAGACGCGGTGCAGCTACAGCCCAGGACCATTCTGGGGTCATCGATCAGACTTCTTCATTTCCTTACAATATTGCAGCTAGCGTCGTGCTAGTGATATTATATTTCCTTGACCGCCATGGTGACCTCTTCCAAATAGTTTGGAATTACACAGAGTTGAATCTTTATCCTTCTAGATTTTGTCAAATTCCATTCGATTCTTCAATTTCTCGATCTACGGCCATCTTTGTCTCGTTCTTTGCCCCCAAAGATCCCTTCGGTCATCGAGAACGCCATTGGTACCTTGAACAATAAAACGTTCTTTGTACGTCTTTCATCCTTGTTTACCTGAGCTCAATTCTGATCTATCGTCAAGTTCTTTATCTTGTTCTTCATCGTGTTTGCACGTTCCAAAGTGCCACTCTCGTTTCCTTTCTTGCGCCGCGGGCCTGTTGTAACCTGCACTGGCCTTGAATGGGAAGTTGATTGTATACTTGATGAACGGAAAGTTGGCCGCGGAAGATGCTACCTTGTTCGCTGGAAAGGCTTTGGACCCGAATCTGACTCTTGGGAACCCGGTCGTTCACTTCAGGACTGTGTCGCGTTGGATCGCTGGGAAGGCATCGCAGGTGCCTAAGACCTAGAACAGATCATTTACCAATACCGTCTTCCCTATGTGTTGCTCGCAGTGAAATGACGCTCTACTTGATATCTCGGGTGAAGACGAAAACTCACAATTGCTCACTGTCACTATCATGCTCTACTTTTTGCCTTTGCTTCGTGTTGCTCCACAGTCCCCCTCTTCTCGTTCTACTTAGTATCTACATGTCGCTAATAACCAAAACATCGCTATACCCACTGCTATAATCAGTTTGTAGGATCATTCCTCATCATATGTTCGTATCCTCAGATTATATCATATTCATCTTGATTCTTTCATGGGTGTCTATGATTCAACACACCAAACTAGTAAGATTGTAATGGATATCTTGCAAGACTATTGAATCCTGCAGTACAGGTCGACTTGTAAGATATTTCTACGATACTGGTGTAATGGTGTCCTGGGCACGAGCCTAAATGATTCTTCAGTCTCGGTGCCAAAATCTCTTAGTAGCAGCCTTCTGGAAACTCACTTCTAGGACCTCTACGTTCTAAGTTGCGCTACACAGCTAGAACGGAAGCTCGCTATGTATATTCCCTTGCTTGTAAATCATAGGCGCCCGTCGTGTTCCACAGTGATTATTCCCTTGCTTAATCATAGGCGCCCGCCGTGTTCCACAGTGATATCGATCCGTTGATCTCATCTCCTTTCTTATTCTTTTTCACAATTTCGGTTGAAGTTAGTTCTCTGTCAGTCTCATCGGCGCCCTTCGGAGTACTATCTATCTATCAGCTAAAAATCGTTGCAAGCAAGGGCTGAGCTGACGCAGTTGGCGGTTCTTTAGCACGATAATACCTCCTTTGTTATATCTGCTTGGAGCCTCCCGTAGTATCAACTATATAACTCTTCCTTTGACTACCTTGTTTACCAACGGATTGCCTCGCTACCTGAAAAAAAAGTTTCTCTCATGACCATCAAGGTGAGTTATCATTAAATAAGCATGTTGCAGTGATCTAACACTACTTTAGAAATCTGTTCGCCGGAGATTCATTCGGTCCATCGCATCTCCTCCTCCAGTCATTGACGCAAGCCTTCCTCTATCTCCCGAAGTCATCGAGGCTCTCGACGCGCTCCATCTGATGACTCGAAGTTTGTCTGAAATATCTTCTTTCCAGAGTCGGTTGTGCATTATTGAACCCAACTGGTCTTGTATTTGGTTGTGGTTGAAGGCTCTGTTACGTCCTCTTGATGCCTTCCACGATGGTCAATCCAGAATCAGTGCGCTTTCTTTCGATATATGGAGCCAGTGTGTTCTTCAGGTCTTTTCTTTCATGAATTCCATCATTCTTCCCCGCAGCAGCCCTGTTTCCGAAATCCAGTTATTCATTTTCAATTTGGTAGAATCCCCAGAGTCCCTGGAAATTCTTGGGAAGATTTGGGTGTTCTCTTTTGCGCTGCGTTGGCCATTGCCCGTCCATCAGGCTACTACCCAATTCCTTGTCATTTTTTCTCAGATCATTGACGGTAGCCATTCCGGAGACACATTTTGTGTTGCTGTGTGTGACGCTTGTACAATTCTCACAGGTTCACGTATAGTTTCTACGTGGTCAACTGCCGTCGCAGAATCTCCCAGATGGTCGGTGTCCTCGAATCCGAACTCCCAGTCTTTGATGGGAAACCAAGGCCTGATTCTGGCTGCGACCGTAATGTTTATCCAGCCACTTCCGGTAATTCAAGAGGTTGATGTCATACTATCATATATACGCCGCTTATGGAATCGATGCTTGGATGGAATGCTGTTCTCCAAGAACAACGACATCGGGATAAACCTTCTCTTATCTTTTGAATACCTCGCCAGATTCTTTTTGCGTTTGATATCTGGTGGTTCGAAGTGGATCGTCAAAGCCTTGGATTATGGGCTATTGTGTCTGTTGGTAAAGACACTAACCTCAGGATCTCTGCCCACACTCTGCCATACCACTAACTCAATTCACACCGTCCTTGAGGACATCATCCATCAACTACTCCTGAATGTCATCTTTATTCCTGTCGTGCGAAGAGTGCGTCGTAACCTGTCGAAAGTGCGTATTCAAGGCCTAGAAGATTATCTGGGCGTTGGAAGACTCCGGAAGCTCTGGTCAGATTTTGAGAGTGAGGTTTATTGCGCCAATGCATACTTTTATAGGTCAATCTGCTTCGAAAAGAGTATAGAGACGGTCTGCTCAAATGAAAGTGTAGGTGGCTATTGTTTGTACCCTGTATACACTCTCATCTTGTTGTCTAGTGCCCCGGTAATCCTTCGCCTGGTGTACGCTCGAAATTATGCGGTGCCTGCCGAGCGACAGCATACTGTTCCAAATCTTGTCAGAAACAAGACTGGCAAGCGGGACACAAGAAATCCTGCAAGAAACAGTTCAGTAAGGTCGCTGCCTTCCTATATCTAAACACGTTATTCATGTCGCACTAGTCCACCCCAGAGATTATACAGTGCTCAATTTCGAGCAGCAACCAATATCTCTCAGCAGCCTAGACAAATTTCAGCTTCTTTTCCGAGTTCTTATCCAAGCTAAGACTTGTTGTAATGAGATCAGTCACTATATCCGTATTCACAGGCTCACCTCTTCACGCATTGTGATAGAATTTGACCTCACTACCTATCCCTGGGAATGGACGGTATTGGACCAAGTGTCATCTTCCAAATTGAGCTCCCTGTTTGCGGACTTTCCGAACGAGCAGGATACAGTGATTGGGTTAATATGCCCATCCACCACGATTTACTCAGATTACGCAGCTCATCCGGTCTGCCGTTCGACTTTGTTAGACCCTGCTCACAGACTCGAGTACAGGTGTGCTGACGGACATGCGTTGTGCAACATATACGATATTCTTAGTTAGTTTCTATTTACATATTGACCATGTAAGCAATGTATTGTGTACGAGATCCGCCGTTGGCCAACAGTCCAGCGGGGGACGGACGATGACCAGCGCGTCTCTTACGGAGGGAGGGTCTTTACGCAATTATATCATACCTTACTCCAGTAGGACAATGCGGAAAACTCGTCTCCAAAGACAAAAATATCAATACAATCCTGTAGGCTGTAGCGTGGAAGTGAATACCTTGCTATTCATTTCAGCCACGGTAATGTTTGTGGATCCTCCTTAGAGTCTTTCGCTTCTGTGCGTTTCCTTCCTCAGTTTCCGGTACTCGCCATATGGGAGCCACCGTTCTCATATTATTTCACACACATTAGAGAGTTCAGTTTGACAGTACAGTTAGCCAGCGTTCATCCGATTTTTCATACTACAAAATCCAGGGAAACACAGTGAATTTGGAGAAGAGACCAGGACTTCATGTACGCAACTGCTGTTGGAAGCTTGAGCACAAAGTGGCCCTTTGTATTAGCCTTCTATCAGGGCAATGTTTTGTAACTCTAAAACAAACGCGAGATCATTGAATCGTACGAACCGCATGTCACCCAGAACTCGTATTGTCAAATAGTGTCCAGTGAGATAACTGCCACCAGGGAAGGCAGGAAGTAAATAGTGGTGAAGCCTCGTCTGATTCTTCGACCCTTGCTTGCATGGATGAGGTGACGAATCGCAAGATGGTGTGCTGAAATTTTGACGGAAGAACCTTGAACATCGTCACCAATAGAATGAGGGTCAGAAGTACACGCAAAAGTTCTATGATTGTGTTTGATCCCTGTCATTTTGAATCAAGGGCTTGATTATGCTCTGACGCGGTGAAAAGGCATTTTTCTTACAACCAAAAGGAGCAACTCTTTCAGGAATCTAATCTTACTACAGTCCAATGGTGAGCAGCCAGATGTCCAGACACAGATTTTGCCATTCTCGTCTCCGGTGGCTATCAAGAGAGCATCCTCGTGGTAGGCCTAGGAATCCGAAACGTCAGTCTGGTAGATGAGTCGGGTTAATTGAACCCAATACACATACCAGTCCACTAATTAATATATTAGCTAGAACAAGAAAGGCTGTCGTTGGTATGGGCAGGAAGGGAGTATGAAATCAACCTACAGGTGGAATGACGAAGGATCTGACTGCTTCCCCCATGCTCTATGTTCATAATTTCAGCATAACCATTGGCGGTACCCATGACTATAGCGCGGCCCTGATAGATGAATTTGATGGGTAAAGATAGGCTGAAGGCAGACATCTCTTCACGCTCAACAGAGGTAATCATTTTCTTCCAAGGGTCTGTCGATAATTTGTACCACTCATAGCTCGCTCGAGAATATGTAGCAATCAGCACGGCGCAGTCTGGGGATATTGCCGATGCTCCTCTGGAATTCGTTAGCTGAAGGTAGTGATTATGGTGGAGAGTGTTCCTACAGCCTGTTATCGGGGTAAGTGTTCCACTGACTCCGGCCCGACTCAAGATTCAATTTCCTTCATCAGATAAGTAGGAAGCAATGAAGAGAACGAAGATGAAAAGTACCAGAGTCCATGATGTCGAGATACGACAACAGAATGTTGCTGATCTTCCAGAAAGTGGGCACTGCCAACGACGACCGGTAGATACTGGAGGCTCAAAATGGCTTGTGCTTCACGCGGTATAGGACATTGAATATGCCTTTGGAATGTCCAATGATCTGCCACAATCATAAATTTTACAATGAAACTTCCTCCGAATCACTCACTATTCTCCTTTCCCATGACGACAAGTTCACCCCCAGAAGTGACCAGCATTTTGTCCCTATCTTTGTTGAACTCAATTGAGTTGATGGGTAATGAAGACTCCGAGACATAGACTAATTCAAGCTTCTGCAAAGTATTATGGCCGAACACTGTTAAGCTGGCAATGTCTTACTTTGGTACTGTTCAAGCTAAATATGAACACCTCTCCTTGAGTAGTGCCCATGATCAAGGAACAATCATTGTCCCAGTTAATGATATTGAACTGAGATGATCGTCGATGGAACCAAATCGTCTGAAAGTGAACGTCCACATCGTATATCCGGATACTTCCATCTGCACTAACGCTGCCCAAGTACCGATGATCATTTGAGAAGGCCAGAGCAGCAATCGAGCCTTCGGTGTTTTGAATAGTTTTTGAAAGGCAGAACATGGAGGTCAAAAAGACATTATATCATAATGAGTGCCCATTGGTTGAATTCAAGCGCTTAAATTTTTCAATCGGAAAATGGGCGCCTGTCGTCACCTCCGTTGTACATGTCGTCAGTTCCGCCTTCCTTTGTTTGATTGACCTTCTCAATATCCAGTGTCATGGCCCAGCATAAAAAGAGGGTATTCTCTGCAAACTTTGCTGAAGACAGTGATTCGGAAGAAGCGCCGTATTCGGAATATTCAGTGTGCACCCATTACTTCTGAGCATTCTTCAACTTACGCATTGAATAGAAAATTAGATTGATTCATATAGACCCCACTGACAAGCTTCGTAATGAAGTCACATCTCTTCGTGCTCAGCTAGTCCATTTCAGCGGTCAGCAAGATTCTGTTGCCCACACTTTGGAAGCCAATGGCGGATTATTATTGAAGCTTTCTGTCGCGAAAGCTCGACTTGAAACAAAAGATGTGCTGATACATGAGTACAAGAAGAAAATCGACATAATGGTCAGTTCGATACGTCAACCTTTGCTCTAGATCCTATATTGACATGCAGCGATGTTAATTTAGCGTGGACTTGGCTCGAAAGAAACTGATGCAGCTGCAGTCGTCTACGTATATCCATATCGTTCACCGCGGTGCATTTGCCTACCAATCTCTTTTAGAACTTCACGCAAGCACTCGTATCTATCGACACAGAAAGAATCAAAAAGAGTCAAAACTCCTTCGACAGTGAAGAAGACAACTCGGTTAGTTCTTTCTGAACCTTAGTACTGCATAACCTCTTATGAATCACTTGGTAGTTTCTAAATCATTGGTCTATCATGCTATCACAAGAAGTACAGACCTTGGATCACAGGTACAATGTGCTTTGGAATGTGAACCGTTGCTTGAACTACGATTTCTTAACCATATGGCTGACATACCTTGTTTTAGGACTATGAGCGGCTTCGAGTGGAGTTGATTCATGCTCGACAGTTACGTTTACATACTACGAACAGTACAGAACCAGATCAACATCTGGACAGGGTGAAAATCCTCTCCTGTGAAATTCCAACATACTCATCAGGTTATTTGCAGGAAAATTGCGATGGTGGCTCTCGTATCTATCAAAACTATGCCGTGAAGCTTCGGGGGCTCAGTAGAGAACGTCCAGAGCCTTTGGCCGATGTATCAAGCTGGATAATGGTGAGTAGTTCCTTTCATGGAGGGTACTGCTCCGTGATCATAAATAATCATGACAGTGGTTGGAAGCATTGAAGGACACAAATGTAGAGGCTCTGGTAGAACTGAATGCTGGAAGGTGTTCACTCCTTCCAAAGCCTGGACGCATCGGGGCCATCAACAGTATGCTCCAAATGCTACTAGAGGATAATCAAGAACAGAAGTCCACGGAATTGGTGAGTATCTTCCGCACTAGATAAGGAAACTCAGGTAACTTGCATAAGCAGATATGCAAAGAGGTCCGTGCCTCAAAAGTTCCGAAGGGGACACTTGAGATGATGTTGATTGAGAAGAGCAAACAACCGCCACTTGAATGGGAACGTTCGTCGGAAACCATTAGACAGGACGAGGCATATCAAGCAAAACATGTGCTAGAAAAGGAAATGACGGTCGTTAAACAAGAAGTGCTCAATTTGCAGTGGGAGAACAAGGAACTTCAGTCCATGCTTACCGAAGCTACGAACTCTAAGGAACTTCAGGTCTGTTGTTCCCAGTTTGTATCATCCGTTCAGCATTCAGACTGCTTGTAGGATACCAGGTTAGAGTTGACTGCACAACAAGAACACCAAGTGGATTTGTTCGAAGCCCGAATTCTTGCAGCCGATCATCACAGAGACCTCCTTGAAGTTTCCCTAAAGCAAGCCTGGGAGTGTAAGAGCTTGGAGCTCAAGGTCTGTCCTAACTAGCCTGTGATTTTTGAACCATAATTCATCGTTTCATGCCAGCGGAAATGTGAAGAATTCGATACTATTGAAGAGGAGGTCAAAGCCATTAAGACTGTGCTAGATGATAAAGACATGCAGCTCAAACGTAGCGATCAGCGTCTTTTAGAAAGTGACAGCGCGTTGCAGAGTTATCGAAGTCTGGAACAGGAACACGCCATAAGAAGTGGAACACTCGAAGAGGAACTTACGGCCGCTAAACAAGAAACGTGTCGACTGAAGGCAGAGAATGGGGATGTCCGATTGATGCTCGAGGACATGCAAACTTCTGCCTCGAGAGTGCTCCAGGTCAGTGCTTCAAGAGTAACAGATACTCCGTCACTACATCGCTCAGTGCATTCATCAGGAAAAATTGCAGGAACAACGGAAAGAGCGACAACATTTTGATGAAGCACTCAAAGAGATGAATCGATGCAAAGATCTTCTTGAGTATTCTCTCAAAGAGGCCTGGGAATGCAAGAACCAAGAGTTTAGAGTATGCTTCATTAATTGGTTTTGTCCTGTATCACTGGTAATTTCATTCTGTCAAACAGGATTCACAACGAGAGCTCAGTAATTTACAAGAAGACATCAAAAGCGTGCGGCAAATATTGGAAGAAAAAGAGACGCAGATCCAAGGAAACCAACGAGAGATCTCCAGGTTGGAGGCTAGTTTGCGGCAAAAGGACGAAGAAAGTGATCACATAGATTCTGTAGAGGTGACTTGTCCTCGTCTCATTTTCTCCGTCTCCTTATTGTATTCGCACAGATCGATCATCAAATGCAAATCGATTCTTTGCAAGAGGATATCAAGTATTTCGAGGTTTGTCAGGTCCTCTCTTTTCCACTACGTCTTCATCCTTGCTGATGATCCCAAGGCCACTGCTCACCAACTAGAAGCCTATCGTGATTCTCTTGAAGCAGATCTGCAATCTGAAGAAGGCAGAGTTCGAGACCTTGAAGCAACCCTCCTCAAGAAAGAAACGGAACATGCTCTTACCTGCAAATCACTTGAGGTCCGTTAGAGCACTCCGCTTCTATGTATTATTGCTCATATATATATTAGGATCGTCTAATTGCCTCGCGTCGTCATAACGAAGCGAGAGTTGCCAAGGTGTGGACCAGTTAATCAGGATAGATATCTACCCATCTCTAACTCCCGTACATTTAGACCCTTTTGACCGAACTACAGCGCGCGCATGATCTTCAATCAGTGCGAACATATAACCTGTTCATGTAGCGCTCAGTTTTTGAACGAACTTTACAGGAGCAATTCAAAGCTGTGCAGGAAAAGCTTATTCTAGCAAATGAAGTGAATGCAAAAGTAAAGGTATGGTTGCCGACTGCCATAATCTAGCAGTTGAACATGACTAAAGGTATCTGTATTTCCATCAGGATCTCGTCGCCGAAAAGAAGCAAAATTTGGCTGCATCTCAGGGTCAGGCAAAGGAAATGCAACGCCAGATAATGCATCTCGAGTACGAATTAACGCAATCACAACGACAAATTCGGAACAAGGATCTACATCCTACAGTCTCCGTTCTACAAGACGAGAATCTTGCGAAGGCTTTATGAATCAAGGAATTACAAGATATACTAGAATATCATAAGGTGTGCCTCTCCTCATCGTTTACTGCGTTTGCGAGTTGATTATCAAGTTGATTATCTGTAGATCGACCATCGCTCTACTACGGATAATCCCTCTACTATGCGAACCGATCAATTTCAAACCCCCGCTGTGCGTTTGTAACTATCCGTCCTCACAAGTCAGAATCACCAATTCTTCTTAACAGGTCAGCTCAAGAGATATACAAATGCAGGATAGGCTTCACACAAGGATTAGTACCCCATCCTCCTCTCACGGCCAATCAGAGGATTTTACTGCATCAGCCACTCATGAACCATCTTCGGTGTCTTCAAGAAACTCTTTAGTCTCGTCTCATTTACCCGTGGCCGAGATGCAATCCTCCAGGCCATCTGTCGTACGGTTATTCCTGTTGATTTCCTTGAACTTTCCTTGACGAAATCACCTTCGAAGGCATTTATTGGCAAATCATTAGTGTCATCAGTGCAAGGATCCCAAAATTTGCGTTTTGGCGGTCTGAGTAAGAGTCTTCATGACGCTCCTGTTGCGGCGGAACTTCAGATGACTATGAGAAGGCAATATACTCTGCAATCATCGGTAGGTGTCTCCGTATATGTCTGCCAATACCAATGGTGAACTGGCTGTGTTACCTTGTAGGAAATCAGGCCACTCAGCCAACAGTTTATCCTGAAATCAAGACACCGCAAACGATCGCCACAACGAAAGCCTTCTATCTATGTGTGTTCTGCATTTCCATCTCAGGAAGTCAAAATTGATGCTACTTTTCTTAGTCAAAGCGTCCTCGAGCTGATACCGAACCTGAGAGTGCAAATTTTGATGAAGGAAAGGTGCAGGAAGATTGAAGAGATGCAAGAGCCGCCAAAGAGGAGGATTTGCGTTGGACCACAGCGTTTCTGAGTATAGTCGAGCATTCTCTTCTGTTTTCTTTTCTCTACTCTTTTTGTTATTGTTGTTTCTTGCATTCAATAATAGTCACTTTGTCCAGGAGGGGGACACCGTATTTGCCTCCTCTTACCCACAGCAAAATCTAGAAAAGAAAATCTGAGGTTCGCTCTTGTATCCACACATTCTCTGGTATTCGTAGCCTTCCCGCAGCTTCTACTTCGGATACGCCCCAGGCTACAACAGTCCCTAAGAATCTACCCACCTACCCACCCCCAACCAACAAAATATCCGGATATCTGAGTTGGCCGTCCTTTCTGTGTAGTCATTAGATGTGCTTCAAAAAGTCGGCAATGAGGATATAAGACAAGTATAGTTGCCTTGAAAACGATACAACGCGAGGAGGGATACAATGGCACTACCTAAATACTACACAAGGATCTTAAATTGATTGCTTCAAGCTTCTCCATCGAATGAATCCTCAATGTTTACCATCTCTCCAGGATGATTTGGCGATCAGCTGCAGGATATACAAGTTGCTGATGCTTACACCCCCCCTTTTTCGAATTGTCGAAAGTTGCCCTTCCCACAAAGCTCGACTTGTCTCATTTAAGAGAGGTAAGGGATTCGGAGGAGATGGTCGAATGGTTGTTGCAGTTGTAACTGGGGAACCCGGAGAAACCGAGATAGGCGTGACTGTCGAGGGTGGAGGTGTGGATGTGGGCGATGAGGATGGACCTGAACTGCTAGGATAAGGTCCACTTGTGCTCGATGAGCTCAACATCGGAGTGCTCAAAGGACTGGAAGATTCAGACAATGAAATTGGCTTTCGTCAATATCGGGAAGCGTTGGCATTGGTGAATCCGGTCAGATAGATCTACGAGAAACGGGAGAACCAGGCGGCTGAGGCCTTGGATACAAAAGCCAATCGTCAGAATGATGGCTAGACAAGAACGACATACTACTCGTTGAGCTCGGCGTACGATTCAACGAGGAAGGAGCTAAAGAAAGACTTCGGTTCTCGTCAGCGCTCATGGCACGACTGCTTCCGACACGCTCTTCAGCATAGTGTAGATATGGCTGTTGCGGGTACTGGGGTTGTCGCGGATACCTTGGACATGAAGGAGTTTGAGGTGGTTCCTGGGAGGGAATTGGATGAGAGTCAGAAAGCCCTAACAGCTCTTCTCGCAAATCTCGTAAAGCATCCCCCAAATCCCGGTTTTCTTCAGCTCTATTTTGATCGTATTGTCGAAGCTCCTCTGCTAAACGCTCAATATTGGCGCTGACATCACGTGGAGAGGCTCAACCCAAGAATGAGGTACTGGGTGTAGGCACAGTATCAAGTGTTGACCGTTTGGATGGCGTATCCCCGCGCGGGGTAGAGATACTGACACTCATGGAACGCTCTGACGGAGTGAGTGATCCGCGACTGCGAGGACCAGGAATAGCCTAAGTATGTGTAGTTATATGGAAAGACAGGGCACCCGGATCCGTCCCGCGTGAATGACTAAGTGTAAATAAAACACTGAGCGTCCATTGATCGCACCATAGATCCAAGTTCGATTGTAAGTAGGGCAAAGGATCAGTATTTGGTCACGTTAAGTAAATATATACAAGTCGTACAGTATACAAGTCATACGTTCATTAAAAACGAAGGAGAGCATCATTTAAAAAACAAGATAGGCCGTCTCTAGAGCGTTCGAAATCATAACTAGAGTTCAGGAGGGTGGTTCGGCGAATGGGACGAGCAATATATTTGATAGCGTTGCTGGTATACAGGCATATGACGGCCAAGACTGTGTTCCGCGTGCATTGAATCCTCAAACTCGAAAGGTACAAGCGAAGGTTGGCGGCTGACTTTTGGTTTGACACTTTCCAGGTCCAAGGATAGGAAGTAAGGTCTAATTCAATGAGGATTCGTGAAAAGGTGAGGCCCCGAACACGTATTGAGCGACGAATTTCGTCACAGTGCACTTGCGCATATGTGAGACCTCGGTAAATGAGGTGCAGCTGGTCCAAATCGCCTACAATCAGATCTGAATCGTCAAGTCGATAATCTAGAGGGTGATCTGCCAGGATGATTTTCAACTGAATGAAATCAGACAGAAAGCTTCGAAAACTTACTGAGACGTTTGGAGTTGGCCCTAAGACAAAGCACCCTATGCCCTGCTTCCCAGTCTTGCCGTTGACAAGAGCTCGAGCAATAACTCGCAATCAGACACCCGCCGCAAAACTGAGAACAGTTTCCTGACCAGTCTTGATGTGGGCACTAGTTATAGACGAGGAAGATTAATTTGCACAAACTGGACATATTATGGAAACTCACTTTATTATTGGAACACGATTCTTTTAACGCATTTTGAAAGCAGACGGCACTAATATAGCGCGCACTGCGGGTGCGAGCTTCACCTGACAGGTCTGCCCACAGTTTCCAAAGTTTTCCAGCACCTAAACCATCTTCAAGACCTTGAGAACGTGCTTCACGCATGTTACGACAAACCCCCCGCTAAACTTTTCTATAAATCGAGTGCAGCAGGACCAGCTCAATGATTTCTTCAAAGACCACATGAATTGACTGGTCTGATCCCACCACAACGTCAACCGAGGTTTGCATCCAGTCCATTGTTTTGGCTACTAGATACAAGAGGTTGGTGTGTAGTGCTTTAGCGATCCAATTTGGGCCGCCACCGGAAATGAGTCGCAACGAGAACCTGGCAAGGAAATAGATGGTAATGGAATGAAGGTCTTCGAAACGAGCATCTGGCATCCGCGTTTTGTCGATGCATCGGTTCCATAGAATATACACGTGGTTCAAAGTAACGTCAACTTTGTCCAGGGTTGGAAAAGATTGGAAGATTGAGGTTGTCGCAGCTATAAGCATTCCTTGATTGGCAGCTACAAGCCGACGTTCTGGATCAGGGTGTGGCGACTGTCCACATAAATCTGAAGCAGCCGTTGACCACACGGGCAGCAATTCAGAACCAGGACAAAAATTCGCCACAGCGACACGGAAAGAGTTGTCGAAGGGAGTGTTCTCCATCGAACGGCAAAATACAACAAGAAACTGCGTGACGTTGTGATGAACCAAGAGCGACCATTGCTTTACGACGCAGGCAACCCAGACTTTGGCCAGTACCGATATTGCGTTGTGTTGAGCTGCAAGTTTCTTAGTAAAGTTTCCCAGTTCAACGAGGGTGGCTCGAGTGGGTGAGGCAATGGAATTCAAGAAGGAGAACACTGTCAGCATGCAGCGGCTGGTGGGATCAAGGGAAAGATCGTTGACCACGGGCTGCACGTCTGTCAGGGTATCGAGTGGCTTCAGCAGAGCTGCTAGCCATTGCCAAATACGAGCCCAGACAGGCTCAACAATCGCAAAGCGGTCGCCGAAAGATGATATACACGATAGATGTCGGGTCATTGAGTGTATGACATCGAGCACCTGAATTACTTCAGAAGATAAAGGGCAACCTAGACGAATGAGCGGTGGTGTTCGCACAATTTGTCAGAAAAACTTCAGAGGAGCGACCTAAAATAGTGTGCGTGAACGTCGCCGAATTGATCATAATTGTAGAATCCTTACCGTGTTAGCCATTGACAGGTAAGAATGCTCAGATGAGATTATGGGGGGTGTATTATAGAAGCAATGAAAAGCATGGGAACCTTATCCGTTAGGCTGGAGAGAACAAAGGACAGGAAAGCACAAAGGAATAGGAGATCTCGCAACGTGCTGAGAGGCAGAAGAGATGCATTCGATTGAGAGTTACCGCAACATATACATGAACTGTAAGTGTAAGAGTTGTATAGGTAGGGTGTAATTGCAGGGAGAAGCAAATGTTACTTGTTGTTGCGTCGATAGGTTAGACAATATGTCCATATGAAAAGCAGTCCTTCCGTTGTATTATAAGTTCGAATGGGCACAAAGCAAAAGGAAGTGAAGCATACCTTGAAAACGCAATAGTGAAATACAAACTCTACCGCTGCCTTGATCTGTACATCAAAACGTCCTCAACCTGGTTCGCCTTATTAACCGGTCGACCTTCGTTTCGATGGAACTGGAGGCGTAGGGAAACTTGGATGCGGCGGAATGGGAAGAGCCAAAGCGTAATTGGGAGGATTGTGATTGTGATAGGGCAAAACCGGCTGAAAATTTGCGGTGCCGTCCCCTGATTGCAAGGTTATCTATCTATGTAGTCCTGGTGTTCCGGGTCCCTTCGATTACAACACGACCCTCTTATGACAAGATTTCAACGTCTTTTTTAATGAGCATAAACGATACATTCTCATTCATTCTTCACGCTTGCTCTCGAAGGAGGTGTGTTGAGAGCGATGTGTCCCCAGCTTTTACTTCAACATATCTAGTACATCTGGTAGAGGACACCGTTGTGGAGAATCCAACATCTTGTGCAGTCAAAGCTTTGGTTATCACCGTACCGATTCATTGACAGTTCAATGGCGTATCATGTGCAATTCATAGGGCAAGCGGCGGACGTGCAGCGTGGTCACATCAACTGCAATCGCGCTCGGAGTATACTACATTGGCTTTTTCCCGAGATGGCCTTTGACACAGAGACCAAAATCATGAGAAGGTGAAGGCCAATACAGGTAACGAGGAACTCGTACTCAACTGGTATGCGTATCTGTGCAACTCTGTATCTCATGTAATCATTGTTAGGCATAATGCGTTAAGTCAGTATACGGTGGACCTCATTTCTTTAGGTACTTACAACATAATCTCATCCTCACCTCCAGGAAGCAGCTACTCACAATTTCGCACATCCTTCAATTCACCCATGGTCGATGAAGGACGGGCAAAGTTTTGGGTATCAGGAGTTCTTCTCACCATGCCCAAGGGCACTTGTTTCTGAATACGCATTTCGACCTGTGTCTTATTCGACAATCAACCCGACTATCGTCTATCCAGAGAGTATGGTCAATGTAAGCGTATACATTATCAAATGGTGAAGGTTGACTGAATTGTTGTAGCTAATTGGAGGTGGCCATGTGCGTCGTCGGCGGTCTGGTTCCCTCGTTGAAGCTTCACCGATTGTTCGTACGGTGAATCAGTTGGATAATAGGCGATTTCGTGTGGACGACCCCTTCATCATCTACGCTTTGCAAAGTAAATTTTCCGTTTTAATCTTCATTTGCATGATTTGACGAAAGGGAAAGACGTCCTTCCTCATCATCCTTCTGCTATGCGAGCATCTTGTCCAGTTCAGTCAAGAGTCAGACTTACTTTAATGGACTTACGTGTTAGGCGAAAACGAACATCTTCCAGACCATCGCCTTACTCTCAAGCCGGATTCCTCTTGTCAAGAACCCTTCGATGGTCGCTGGGGTGGTTTTTACCCACGCAAAGACATCTTCCGAATTGAAAGTATCTGAGCTCGTCTTGTGGTTGACCGTAGCCGGACCTGCAGTACGGGTTCAAATCATCATCACTCATCCTTGCGCATGTGTTATACAACACATTCATTTTTTTCGATGTTTAGCTTCATACCAAAGGCGGAGAACGCAGCCCAGTGTAAATCACGGCGCGTCCTCTTTATGCTGAAAGAGACCCTGTTTCGTTCTTGCTTTACTTGTACTACGACCCCTTTCACGCCCACCATAAACATTATTGGCTTCTGTATAGCCATTGCCACGATGTTCCAAACTTCTGAAATCCGAACTAAAAATTGACCTCGGTCCGGAAGTTGTCGTGAGAGCTTGCATAGTAAAATGCCGCCTTCTGCAATCTTTGATGGGTGTGCCTCTTCTTACGTCGCACCTTTCCTTTGTGCAATATCGAATAATTAATGGCGTTGCAAAAGCAGCGCGGTGATATGCTAACTCTGGGCTATGCATAAAATACTAATGCAAGCTTTAACACTCACACCAACACCAACACAAACCATCATCACACACTAAGTTCAAGGGGGTTTATCATTGAAAAAGCAAGATAACACTGCAACTCTACAAATATCTACATCATGTGGGTATAATGTATAGGTTGAATAGTTTTTCTTCTCGAGATTCTATCAAACTCGGGCATGCTAAATCTTTCTTTGACTTTATCTGAACTGAACAAAACCTCTGATTTGTATTATACACTACAAGTACAATCCACAGAAAGAGTGTGCACTACTCACAGCACTCTGACTGCTATTAACTCTGAAGCATAATGGTAATCTGTAACTTTGAACTTTCTTTCTTTCTGTCTTTCTTAAACTCCAACTTGTTTAAAGTGAAAGTTAACACTGTATCATCTTTGTTTAAAGTGCACTTGTCACTATAGCCAGAAGCTACTAACCAACCAACCAAATCCTCTCAGAAGTGGGGGGGGAAGTGCTTGTTCTCATTCAGAGGCCAGCACCCTCCTTATATATCCTCAAAACAACCCTTGACAACTGATATCAATCATTGTAGCATGTGGAATTCTTGTAGCATGTGCTGATTTTGATGGAAATCATGCTGCATCTCGGAGTAGCATGTGGACCTATTGTACCATGTGCTACCTTTGATGGAAATCATGCTGTACCTCGGAAGGCTTTCCGGATGAGGGACATATGCTAAATCATTTCTGATATTCTCGGAATTAACTCCAGAGGTCCGGAATATTGTTATCTTTCAATCTTATCATTCAGCTCTATTGAAATGCTATACAAAGGTGAAGCTTGGAACACTTTAATTCTGCAGATATTGTCATAGTCCAAGTCAAACACAAGTGTGGGTTTTAGTATTAGAGCTTTGTTACTTGAAAATACAACTCTATTATGCTATGAAGACCCACTTAAGTGTCATTCAGATGCAATCACTGTGTAGATCTGTGTAATTTCTCTGAATACAATGTACTGTCCAATCTCAGTATCACTGATAGTACTTTACAGTTGAAAATGCATAATTACTGCATTATAGACTCAAATAAAAATGGGTCATATCAGCGGGTCGCACATAGGCTTTCTTTGTTACCTCAAATGCAAATCGGAGGTAAAGAACCTTTCTCCTTTCATTTAACTAGCAAACCTCAAAAACGCCACAGATTTGACATCCATCTTCGTTGCTTCTCTCATGAGCTCTACGCGCGCCGCCACCCCAGCTATCCCAGCCAAAATCTCCATGACCGCGTAGAACTGGCTGTACCACCCGCTGGATCTCCATCGGTCGACCAACGCATACTCACCCATAGTGGCCCTATGAGGTCTCCGAGATTGATTCGTCGAGTGACACCATATGACAATCGATCGCCCTCTCCTGACCCCAGATTTGCATCTTCTTCTCCTCCATCTCTATTTTCGTCTCCGTCTCGTCCTACCATTAGCTCTGTTGGCAGATATCACAAGGCTCCGTCTGGTTTCACGGTCTGCATTCCAAGAAGAGCTTCTCATATCTCTCAGAATCATGTTCCTGCGTCGAGCAGTTCCACTCCTCGAGATCCATTGGCATCAAAACTAGACACACAGGCTATCGTACAAAATTCTGAATGTCCTACTACATCCGGTAGTAGCCGTCGCAATGTCCATCTTCTTCAGACTCCTCAGAGTCGCTCCACGATTGTTTGCGCTCCCGCTACCCGGACATCCTCATTGATGGAACCACAAATCGTGGGAGGTGATGATTGTGACGAAGACCCTGATTCCAAAATCCCGAAGCCTCCTGGGGAAGTCAATCGACCTGGTCGGGGAGGCTATAATCTGCGCGCTGTGTTGAACTGGTCCAACCAGCGCTTTCAGAAAGTCAAGGTATGAAGATCGACTTGCAACATTCATAAAATCTTAATTTCCATTTAGAAATTTATCGACGCCACTGTTGAGGATAAATTGGATTGCATCCAACCTATCAGCAAACAATCTCTAGCGAATATAGAGGAAGTACATGTAATAGTAAGTTGTTGTGTACATTGTTCGTCGCTCAGTGTGTCATAAAGTACGCAGCCCCTATTATTTTCCTTTTCTCACCGTCTTGACGCCTTTACTTGTACGATACATCATCCCATCACTGTCAAACCCCCATCGATTACTGATCCATCGATTACTGATCCACCTGACCCATCTTCTCCTTCTATTGGCTTCCGCCACCTTCCTTGTTCCTAAACTGTACAGTATTACATCGTTGTTTCTCGCAGACCGGATTATGTATATATAGCCAACCCTCCACAGCCTGGTCCCTTATCTTGACCTCTCTGTCATTATCTGGGACCAGCTTGCCGCCGTTCTGCTTAGTCGCTCCGCCTTGTTGCCTTGTCCAGTTGCTCCGCCTCACCGTTCTGCTTAGTCGCTCCGCTTTCCCGCTCCGTTAGTCACTCCGCCTCTGCTGCTTCGTGACACAGTGCCTCATTCTCCTCCTCCTCTTTTCTCCTGCTCCTCCTCTTTTCAGGCGTTACAGAAGTTCCACTTCCTTGGTGAATATCGCGACAACTGGGTGATCGATGACTTCATCAAATGTCATCTCAAATACCTGAAACAGGCCCTGCAGAAGAAAGCGATGAAGACAGCAGTCACCGAAGCTCGCCAGGAAGTTCAACGTGCTCAGTTGCGAGCTGAGTTGGCTGAAAAGAGAGCTGCTGCTGTAGCAAGAGATACTCGGCAAAGGGGCGATCTATCTCAGTAGTTGAGTTGACGATAGAACTTAAGATCAAAACAGTCTTTTATTCACCTAGATTTCACAACAAGTTCGAAATTTGAGTATTGAGCGTGCCTTATGTACCCTCAACACAAGTTCGACATGTACAGTTATCGATGGTATAAAATTGAACGGTATCCTCTAGTCGTACTTATATGTGTGTAATAAGGCCATACATTTGAATAGCACACAAAGCCAAATCCTGAGTGAAATCATGGCTGGTAAGTTTTACTTCACACAAACTGACCGGAAGCATGCGAAACAGTCAGTTTGATGCAGAGCATTGTTCGACGACAGAGCGACGAGCAGCTTGTACGCTTCTGAGATGACAAGTGCAAAATACTGGGGACGCAAGAAGAGCAGGGCAGTAGCTTTGATGCGGTCGAAGCGATCCTTGAACCACTGAGCTACGTTCTTGCGATTGGGCAAATCGTCTGCTTGGCTGTCATTGAATCAAACGTCAGAAATCAAAGTGCGTGTCATGAAGAGAGGAAGAGACACAATCCAAGGACCATGTACCTTTCCGCAAATGTTCGCACAGCGGATGACCGAGGTCATTATTGCGCATGATGTGGCGAACTAGAGGATGTATCCAGCCCTCCAATCCACAATATAAGGACCTGCGACTGAGGCTGGGTACGTCATACACTCCAAATTGACCGTTCGTTGCATCACGTTCTTCACCATTGGCGCGATAAAGAACAACATTGAGCTCTACCAATCCTAGATTGGCGAAAACCTCCTGGGAGTTTGATACCACAAACTCCTCTAGCGAAGCACCATGATCTTGCAAATGGGTTTCAAAGAGCATGATGCTGCCAGGAGGGAAATAGTCGGGGATGATGATTTCGGAGTACGGGATTTCATCGTCAAGCCGTGAGGAACCACCACGGGGCTCATTTCAACAAGTTTACGAGGAAGTCCTTTAAGCGTCTTCGCATCCACCGGAACATCGTAGGAGGTAATATCGATAAGTTTTATAGGAGAGACTGCACAAACGTCAGTGAATGTAAGTTTTGACAATCATAGCTTGAACGTACCGTATCCGCGGTCTTTGGTGTTTTTAGCGAACCCTGTGTGTGCGACGAGTAAATAGCCTTTTTGTGTACCAGGTTGGACGCGAGATAGAACGATATACTAGAAGGAGACAGGTCAAAATTGATTCTGTAATCCAAATTTAGGATAGAGGCCTACATTGTTCTCTTGGTGGACATGTCCTTCCCCATGCCTCCTAAAACCATTTCAAGGTGGAGGGAATTCAAGAGACGTTTGACGCGCGCTATACCACTCTCTTCTTGCAAGCCGGTCACCTCATATTTCCTCTTCTCGCCAACTAGGTTCAGAAGTTTAGGATAGAGATCGTCGAACCCTTTGACAGACCCTATAGCTGAGTAGTTGAAAGTAACTAGAGGCCCGGTAGAAAGTGCGTCTTCTGCTGACCGTTTGTGAAGTGGAGAATAGTTATCGTGCGTCAGGTCGTATAAAAATCCATGAGGCATCGAGGCATTCAATGGTGTGACGACCGCCTTGCGTAATGGACCCTTGCCTGTAGGCGACGGTATCTTCTCGGTGCTGGTCAAACATGCTTCATCCATAGAGCCTAGGGAGCGTCAGCACTACGAACACTATACGAAAACATATAAACTGACCAACAGGTTTACCTACTCCGTGACGATACAACAACCTTGAGTACTCTTTAGCATCCCAACCAGTGTAGCTTTCACGAATGAGACTGTTGATTCCCAGCCTTTTGACAAAAAGCAGGTCCATTTCTTCACTACCAGTAAATAGCTCCGCACAGACATAGAGATCTCACAACGCAGGTGGGAAACGTAAGGAAAAGAGCGTCGAACCAGATTCAGGATGGTCCACTAGCCAAGGACTATCGTTTGCAGTGTGATTTAATACGATGTCTGTCAGACTGAGTAATCCATAATCCTCTTGAGCAACCCTGAGAATTGCATCTACCTTCTCTTTACCTCCATCGGCTCGTCGCTTTCCGTCAAACGTGCTGGGGTCATATTTGAGTTGATCACGAATCGAGTAAGCGCTGTCGCTTTCCCCACGTTCTTGCAAGGGGGTATAGTGCAACATGGTGTACCCGCGATCTTTGGCCTCAGCGAGGTGATTCTTCCACTCGGGCATTGGACCTATCCATTTCGACACAACAGTCAAGATCGAGAGTCCATCTAGTGGAAGATTGACAGTATCTTTCTGAAGAATGGCACCGGACGAGGGAGGAAGAGGAAATAGTCCAGAGCTGGTCCAGAGGACAGAATCGGCGAACGAGCTTTGATGCGAAGTACAGGGTCAACGTTGAGATAGCCTTCACGCCCTTTAATAAGACGCTGGCTGGGCAACTCGCCATATTCAACCCAAACACAAACGCGCCAGCATGAGAAATGGGTAGGTTGATTTGGATTGGTTTCGGAAAGTCAGATGGAAGTCTGGGGATATGGTGAGTAAGAATATATGCGCAAAATACAGAATAGTTCACGTACTTGGGCACTGTCATATGCATGCAATTCACCCCATACGCTTCCCGGCCCGGCCCGGAGCGGCCGGACTTCGGAATAATTACCTTGTGACTTATTTATTATTCCGAGCTTTCATCGAGGTCTTATGACTACTGTATTTGGGATGTATATAAACTAGAATACTTTGTACGTTGTAGTCAAGCTTGAAATCAAGTGTACCACCTTATCCCACTCTTTAATATCTCCTTTACCCTTTGCTCCCGGACTCCCGGATCATCAGGAACCCCATTTAGGCTGCTCATCCCAATCTTGCACTCTTGCCATAATTCCCGGGGACACCAACAGTGTGTGAAGGGTGTTGCTAATAGCTTCACCGACGTCCCACTCCCAGTGTGTACTACAGGCCAATACTCAGTTCCGGACCTCGGAATTATCCCGGGCCATTCCCGGGCCAGATCCGGCCTCAGGACCTCTATAGCTATTGACCTGTAGGCACGGTCTTGTCAGTATTTCAAGCTTACACTTCATTACACTGTTACTTCACCTAAATACCCCTCCATTATGTCTTTTGGCTCTGATCCTGAATCCTTCCTCGAGTATGCCTTATCGTTACCTGATCCGGTCGGCCCGGACCTGGAAACTTCGGATTTGTCGGACCAATCTAGCCCATCTGACCACAATTCTGAACAAGAATCAGTTCAGTCCGGTACTATTTCCAATCCTGACCAGTCAAGTTATGACTCGGAATTTCCTGGCCCATTTGATTATGATTATCTTCATGAATCCTCTGACTTCAACTCGGATCACCCCGGCCCTTATGATCTCCGTTACCTACATTCCTATCCTTCATCCTCAGCCTCAGACTCGGTTGAGTCTTTCCACTCGTTTGCCTCTGATAACTCCGAAGCGCCGGAACTCCGGCCCGGTGATGACAGATCTGGTCATCCTCACCTCGGACCCGATGGCAGGCTTTTGGACTCCGAGAGGGAAAGGCGCAGGGTGCTCGGGTTGTGCTTTTATTGTGGAGGAGAACATATGAAGGTAGATTGTCTCAAACTGCAGGCCCGTACAGGACAGAACTATGATGCAGATAACTCTGAATCGGATGTTCCGGGCTCCGATGATGGTTCCGAGTAATTCCTAATTTTTTCTACATTTTAATTCCGAATTTTCCGACCATTCCCGAGTCTTAGACCGAGTTTTCCTTTCCTTTCATGATTTTCACTTGTTGACCTTACAAATTCCTTTCTTTCCGAACTTCGGCCCGATTTTTATGCCTTTCATGATTATTGATTGTTTGACATTATGATTTACTTCATTTCCGAATTTCGGCCCGATTTTTTGCCATTACTATTCCAATTATTCATTTTCTTTATGCTAGAACGCATTTCCGCTTTTTCCGAATTTCGGCCCGAGATTTTGCACCTTTCCATGATCAATTTTTGTTGACAGTATAATTTACTTTGTTTCTAAGCTTCGGACCGCTTTTTTTCCATATGTTCCACTTCTGTTTCGAGTTTTTGAATATTCAGGTAATGTTTCATTGTAATGACTATTATTGCTTCATTCCGGCCCGATTTGGCCGATGTTTTTGCTTATTATTGATTACTAATTATTCCATTCCATGTTTCCGACCTTGCTCCGATTTTCCCGTCATTTTATTGACATTATCTCAAGCTTGCTCATTAGCACTTCCATTCACTTATCTGTTATCATTTCTATTTATGTTGATTCCTTTGCTTCACCCACAAGCTGCTCCTCTGTTTAGTAGGATTTCATTGATTATTTGTTAGGATACAGTTTCTACTCCCACTTAGATCCGTTGATCTGCCGGGTAGACTGAAACACTTTTTTCCAACTCATTTTTTATGATTATCCTTATAGCGCTTTCCGGCTTTGCTTCCCTTGGAACTTCCGGTCTCGGGATGGTTCTACCATCATTCTGGACACTTTGTGTCAATTTCGGCCTTTTTAGGCATCGCTCTTGTGTGGATATCAGCTCAGGTTATCATTTTTGGCAGCACTTTGTGTTGATTGGTATGCCGGACTTTTCCGCAGTTTCCGACGATTTTTCCGGCCCAATCCCGCCCCTCGGCTCGGATTTTATTCCGAAATTTTCCCTACTCCATTACCCTATCCTCCTACATCACCATTTACTCCAACTTCGGCTCTTGATTCATGGCTTTCGAGGGCTCAAGCGTACTTGGGGGATTCCAGTTTCTCTGAAACTTCCACTTTTAATTTATTCTTCACTACTGGATCTAATCCAATCCCTTTGCTTTACTATACTTTACTATTTCACTGCACACATATTCACAGAGGCCTTCGTGGGCTCAGGCCTAACGGGGGGATACTGTCATATGCATGCAATTCACCCCATACGCTTCCCGGCCCGGCCCAGAGCGGCCGGACTTCGGAATAATTACCTTGTGACTTATTTATTATTCCGAGCTTTCATCGAGGTCTTATGACTACTGTATTTGGGATGTATATAAACTAGAATACTTTGTACGTTGTAGTCAAGCTTGAAATCAAGTGTACCATCTTATCCCAGTCTTTAATATCTTCTTTACCCTTTGCTTCCGGACTCCCGGATCATCAGGAACCCCATTTAGGCTGCTCATCCCAATCTTGCACTCTTGCCATAATTCCCGGGGACACCAACAGTGTGTGAAGGGTGTTGCTAATAGCTTCACCGACGTCCCACTCCCAGTGTGTACTACAGGCCAATACTCAGTTCCGGACCTCGGAATTATCCCGGGCCATTCCCGGGCCATATCCGGCCTCAGGACCTCTATAGCTATTGACCTGTAGGCACGGTCTTGTCAGGCACTGTGAAGCGCGCGCGGTTGAATTTCCCGCCATCAAGAGGGAAATCTGTCTTGAATACACTGTTCATGTAGGCAGGAATTCTAGCGTGAATGGATACCCGAAGGATGTATAGAACATAAGCCGGAGGAAGTCGAATGTACTTCATTCAAACAACCGTCAGTTGCCATCAATATGTATAGGCGACGCGTCTGAAGCAAACTTACCGAACGATCTTTATGAGAATCGCCATCGATATCGAGACGATGCTCACAGACGCACAAAGGAGCCTCTCCTGGGACTAATGGCGACTGAAAAAACTTGATTCCTTCATCGGCAGGAGTCTTTGCCGTGACGAGCGAGATAAGACTCGACTAGACGCCGATGATTCCGAGCGTGCAGGAATGGGGGTGGACATGGAGGTTTAAAGGAGAAAGTAAGTTGCTGTATTTTCTGCATCGTCAATACCAGTTTTCCAGACGAGCGCGACATACTTATATATAAGGTTGTGCAGGTTCCGTTCACCGGCCCGCTCTGAAATTGTGAGTGTGCATTCTAATTTCTCACGACCTGCCCAAGAACGACCTCTTCAAAGCGTTTCCGCCCAGAATCAATATGTAAGAGGTATTATAGGCCGACATCTGACTGACTGCATTCACCTACCTGTCTGACAAACTTAGGCACTTCGGAATCTGTGTCTCAAATTTTATGTCTCTACCCGACTTTACTCGTAACTCCAAATCCTAACACGTATACGAAGCCCGAATTACTTTTTGCCTTTTCAATGATAGGACGAGCCAACGGCCATGGTATTCTCCTTACGCCTGGCTCAACTTGGACTCTAACCTACCCAAGTACATCGATAACCGCAGCTGCAACTAGCCTGTGATCGCTATGAGTCCCAGCTCCGTGGCGAAAGACTCTTTTGGCGGAAGGAATATATCAACGGATATCCTGATGCCGGCGTATTTGCTACAGTCTCCGCCGCCAGCACACAAGAATCTCTCTCTGTATATTCCATTCTTTGACCAGTCCCGATCTTCTAGGAGGGGAGCTGAGAGAAAGATGAGAATCTTACGAATCTCTCAAGATTTAGCATGCAATGCTCACATCACTGGCTAGTTTGAATCTCGAAAATCAACATCACGGTGTACAATCACCGTCACCTTGTGGCTTTTGCGACGTTCAATCAAGGATTTGTAAACCGCGAGTACATGATAATCCCTCCCGATTCGCTTTTGACAGCAGGTAAATAGTGCCCCCGCATCACCTCGACGTCTCAACTTTGTGGCGGCTGTCGATCTGCGAGTTATTGCTCAAAAGTCTGCCAAAGGTTGGATTGGTTCGCAGGACTTTGTCGATCGTTTAGGGCCCAACAATCAGGTATGAGCGGTCTATTTTCAGAGTAATCATCTGAGCTTGTCGCAAAATCTTTAGCACTTCCTCTCAGATTGGGAAAGGACTGGGACATGAACCGGAAAGGATGTACTTCCTTTGCAGGGCGATCCTGGATATCAAAAGCAATCGCGGTCACGAAACTGCCGTTGTAATGAACGTCTCAAGCCAACGCGTATCCTGATCGAGCTTGACATAACTGCATATCCTTGGAAATTGATGGTAGACCCCATCACGGAGACCTACATACCCGAAGCACATGTCAAGTCCATGCCGCGGGCCTCCATTCCGCCGCTCGGTACTCCGAAGATCCACTCGTTATTGTAATCTCACTCTTATTGTTCTTTCTCGCTACACATACCCTTTCGTTCTAGTCCCTTCTTATTGTCTTTTACTCTACCCTGCAGGTACTACTCGTACAGCTCCTAGTAGTTAGTCTGGCGCTCCGCACCGATGCGCCGTTCCGTAGATATAAATACTGCCTGTACGCTACTGTAGTTCCTCAGTTTAATTATCAACTTAGATCTCCCTTCTCAACTTAACTCTCCTCTAAGTCTTCAGGCTCAACGCCTCGAAGTACGTTCTCCTCGACCTTAGGACTTTAACGTTCTCTGGTCCGCTCCTCGTCATCGGCGATACCGCCGCTCCGACCTGGCTGCTACTTAGCTCCTCTCTCTCTACTCTCGCTCTCCGGGGACTAACGGCGTAACGGCGGTGTTGTTAATAACTTCACTACTGTCCCATTCGTATTCCGCACTTAGATACTCTGTGACCTCTGGCACGGTTACACGGGTTGCATGATCTTAACAGTATAATTAAACTCAATCCGTAACGT